GGTTTTGGGGGGGGGGGGGTTGAAATATTGACCGGCTTGTCTTGATGGCATTGCATGTACATCTGTTCTGATTGTTTCCTAGTGATTCCCTGCTGTTGTTTTATCTTCTTTTGCAGGCCAGTCTAGTCTGGCAGCCATACGATGATGCTTGTGATACATGTACTACCCGACCACTCGCATACTGGACATAAAAGAATCAATGAATCTCTGCTTGATTTTGTTCTCTGTATTGGGCATCTTTGTGGCGACATTGCATCGCAGATGTGGGGTAAGACACGAGGAGCTACATCATCCCCTCAGTAGTATATAATAATAATCCGAACATCTCCAACAACCCAACTTCAACCTCTCCATCATCAGAATCATCACCAAGACCCAGCATAAACAGAAACAAAGATGGTCGATCCTCTGGACCTCATCATCTGTTCCACTTGCGGAACCCAACACGACACCACCACTGCACCCTCCTCCTGCAAGATCTGCGACGATCCACGCCAATACCTCCCTGCAACAGGGTATGTATTACCCGATCCCCAATATAAACCAACCAACCACTAACAAAACAACAGTCAATCCTGGACAACCTTGCGCACGCTCCAAGCCAGCAAAACCTACCACACCGACATCCTCCCAGACCCAGCCCACCCCTCCGCCCTCTTCACCGTCCACACCTCCCCAAAGATCGGCATCGGCCAGCGCGCCTTCCTCTGCCGCACCCCGCACGGCAACATCCTCTGGGACTGCCTCACCTACCTCGACGCCGCCACGGTCGCCCGCATCAACGAGCTCGGCGGCCTCGCCGCCATCGTCATCTCGCACCCGCACTTCTTCGGCGCAAACGCCCTCTGGGCGGACACCTTCGCGTGCCCCGTGTACATCGCCGCGGAGGACAGCGCGTGGGTGCTGCGCCCGAGCGAGAGACACGTTTTCTGGCGCGGGAGGGAGCTGGTCGTTCCGCTGTCGTTGGAGAAGGCCAAGATCAAAGCCGAGGCGGATGCGGATGCGGACGCCGACGTGGACGTCGACGGCGGCAGTCGGCCCAACGAGGGCGCGGACCGCGAGGGTGGGCGAGATCTAGTCGCCGTGAAGACGGGGGGCCATTTCCCCGGCAGCGCGGTGCTGTGGTTCCGGTCGTTGCGGAAGTTGCTCGTGGCGGATTCGATTGGCGTGGTGCCGAGTGGTGTGTATCATAAGGATCGGGTGCCGGGGACGGTGTCGTTTACGTTTATGTGGTCGTATCCGAATATGGTTTGTTCAATTTTTTTTTTTTTTTTTTTTTTCCCTTGACTCTGTCTCCTTGGGGGTTTTGGTTGTTGTGGCGTGGCTAACTGACGGTTATACATAGATCCCCCTGCCGCCGGATGAGGTTTACAATATTTGGAAGGCTGTCAAGCACACCGAGTTCGATGATGTGCATGGGGCCTTTGTCGGCTGGGATACCCATGGGAACAGTAAGAAGCGAGTCTTGGAGAGTGCAAAGATCTACGTACGGGCAATGGGGTATTTGGATCATGCTATACATCAGGAAGAGTGTCCATGAAGACGGTCTGGTTTCATTTTTTGACTGCCATTGCATGCGTGCGAAATTTGTACTGATTCTGGATAACGAGCTAATGATGAATGACCCTTATTCCCATGAATGATCCAAATTGATAGAAGCAACTAGAATAAAAGCCAATTACCAATAGCCCTCCCCCTCTCAATTACAGTCGGAGAATGGCCTCACGGAAGTTGTCCCCCGGCCTCCCATATGATGCGGTGCTGGTCCATCACTCATAGGAAACTTTCCTGGGAAGCTCTCCACCGAGCGTGTTGCTTCCAATGTCTCCATTTCAAGCAAAGAGTGGCCCAGCTGTGAGCTCTCCAGCATTGGAGAAAGATGGCGCTGATCCATGGATTCCATCGATGCTGGTCGACTGGCCGTGCTAAAGCGTGGTCTCTCAGATGCGATCTTAGCATACTGCGCCGCTGAGACCATCATAGCCTGCTTAATACTCGATGAGCGCGAATATACTTTGCTCGCCGAAGTGCTTCTTCTCATCGTTCTCGCAGAGTAGACCGATTCACTGCCGGCTGCAGGGATCAGCGAATCGACGCCACTTCCCGAATTCGTGCTGAAAAGATCCATCCCACGGTCGGAAAGACATTGAAACATTCGGATCGCCGGCGAGATACTGGAGGAGACTTGCAGCAGCGGACTGTTTGCGTGTGATGATGCCTTTTCGGTTGTCTGAGTCTCTCCGGTATTTGTTCGTCCCAGAGATTGGCAGTTTGAATCCGTGAGTGTGAACAGGGCCTCGGTGGAGGCTGCCCTCCCTTTGAGAGCGGCCTGATACAGAGCATCCGGCACGACTGATACGAGGATGGTGATGGCGCGCTGCTCTGTGCGTTGGATGGCTCTCTGGACTGCATTTTCGGGCCCAGTGCAAAAGACCAGCGCCACGGCATGCAGTATCTTCAGCGCTAGTAGTGTCCCGGCTAAGGACAGGGCTTGCCCCAGGGTGATTGTGATAGAGTCATGCTTCTCGAATGAATTTTGCGGGTCTTCTGACATGATGAATGCGAATGCTCATAGAACTGTATAACCGCGTGAAACAGACTTCCAGGCTGGTGAAGCAGTGAAACGCGGACTATCAGGTCGGCAGGAGTGTCTGGAGAAATCAAAATCGAGATGGGGGACACCATGGCGACGTTGACTTCCCGCCGTATATATGTAGGTGGAAACACAGTGCTGTGTATACGAAGGAAAGAGCAACCAGCCTCCGCTGGATAGAACGAACAGGGTAGAATGTTAGGAGCCCAAGGCGTCTCGCAGACCATGAGTCTAGTGAGTGCTGGCTAGGTCGGGGTTGCCTCAGGTGTGCGATGTTGATTCAATATCTATCCTTGGGATGGTGTGCCTGGAAACCCTTCTTCATTATATGTATCCACATCAACAACGCAAGCAGGGGTATCATAAATAGCACAAGCACAGTACAGCTAAAAGGCCATCGACAAGTCCCGTGCAGTTAATCCGCAGCTACTCCCGCCTCGCCACTCTTATGCACCAGTAGTTCATCGACCAAGAACATCAACCGCTCCCCACTCTCTAGCAGCCAACACCATTCTACATCCTCCATCTTCCGGCTACTGTGGTTCTTCCGCGTCTCGATCTGTGCCTTTTCCGCGCGCGCCATGATCCCCAGCTGCACGGCCTCTTTCAGCGCCGGCGTGACGGTCAGCATGTCGCTTTCAGCGAGGAGAAGGAGCAGCGCCTCGAGCGTGATGGAGATCTTGGCGTTATCGACGATGCTGGGCGTGCTGGCCGCGTAAGGCAGGAAGCACGTTTCCAACTTGGTTTGGTCAAGGTACTCTTCGTCTGTCTCCGGGGCGGCGGTCTCGCGCATACGAAACAGCAGAAACTCGCAGAGGGTGGTCTGCGCGGCGGCAGAGAAGTGCGGGAGCACGAAGGGGCTGACGAAGGCTTGGAAGATGGGGAGCGGGAGGTGGCGGATATTCTCGACAAAGAGATGATAGAGCTCATCAAGGGTGGTGAAGGCGTCTGGGGAGGCTTTGGCGACGGCGGAGAGGAGGTGTAGGAGGCGTTGGCGGAGGGCGAGCGATTGGAGTCCGCCCAGCAGAGAGACGCCGACATGGGCCTGCACTGCGCTGGGAGAATCCGTCATCGCGGTGTCGGGAGCCAAAGTGGCGGTGTCTTTTGCGTTGGTCGAGCGAGTGTTGGCTCGCCTGGTGCGCTTGGACTGTCTGGTTGGGCGTTTCGCCGTCGCCGTTGCCGTCACTGGGGAATCGGTTGCGTCGGACTCGTCCTCGCCCTTGGACAGATAGTCGCCGTATTGGCCTTCGTCGATATTGACCTCAACCTCCCGCTTTTTCACATTGTCATTGGTTTCGCGCTTGAGCTGCTTCAGCTCCTTGTGAAACACCTCGCGAAATTCGTTGACGGCAGCCGAGCCGCCGTCCGCGAAGATGGCTCTCAGGATCCTTCGATTTCGCCCGTGCCCAGCGCTCCCATCGACAATATACCGCGAAATCAAGCTACCTTGTAAAATGCGCCGGCACTCCATGTCGTCCGCAGCGCTTGCGCTTTGTCGTTCCCGCTCATTCCAGTCGTCCTCAAGAACCTCGCACATAAATTCCAGCCAAATCTGCCATCTCGCCCACCGCTCCGGGTGCAGGATGGAGCAGTTAAACGCCCATCCTACGACGTGCCAGAAATCTTCCGCGCGAGACCATACGGATGCCGACTGGCCGAGGTCGATGTTCAATGGCTTCGTATCATCAGGCGAGACCTCGCCGTGCGCGCTCCCTTCGGCTTCCACGTGCCGCCGTCGGCCCTGCCGCGAGGACTCGAAGTGTGTGAATGAGAATGCAACGGTAAGCTTGGCAGACGTGGGGCCGACAAGCGTATTGGTGAGTCGCAGCAGTCGCAGTGCCGCGTTGGGCGCTTCCTCCTCCTCTGCTGTCCTGGCTCGAGTTGTGGTTGAGGGGTGTACGAGAAATGTCGCTGCGACTGCGAGCAGCTGAGGGGATGGAACATAGATTGGGGTAGAAGATACAGCACCGGGGGACAGTATGTTCAGTAGAAGGTTGAGGGCCTGTGTGTCTGTGATGCGGCGAGAATGTCAGAGATAGATACTGAGGGACGAGAGGGGTATACCAACATAGCTTCTCTTCAAGGAATATGCTACAGTGTTGGACGAGTTCATACGGGATGGGTTTGACGGGGCGATAGAGAGGGGATAAAGGTTCCTCTGTTTTCGCCATTGCCATAAAGTTCCTATGGTGATGGTTGATGGCGAAACAATTCTACCTCGAGCATACTGCAAAGTGATTTGGCAGCGCGCGCAGGCGTGAAGCGCGATGCTTATCGATATGCGGTGATATTCTAGTTTTGGTTTATAAGTGAATATAAAACGCATCTCGAATCAAATCAAGGTGCCGTAGTGTAGTGGTTATCATGCGACGTTGTGGCTCCCCACAGCTCCGTCTCGACCTGGGTTCGATTCCCAGCGGCGCCATATGGCGACCGGAACTTGATTTATTTGTTTTTGATATCACTTTGCTATCTACATTCATTAACCTGTAGTTGTCTACCTTTCATCCTCTCCTTATTCTTTTTTTTTTGTTTTTTTGCTCTGTATCTTGTCTCAATATTGCTAGACAATAATCTACGCCGTAGCTATTATTTTCACACGTGAGATGGTGACAAACCATCTTACATCCAATCCGTTAATTGTTAGATATATATCAGAGCCACTTCTATCAAAAACCCACACTATCGCGCATCAACAAATGGGCATCGGACAGAGATAAACCCTAGCAAGATATGAGCAAAGTACAGTGTCGATCGGTCGACCAGACAAGCTCCTGAGCCCATACTGGATGCAGTACCATCCCGAGTGGCCTGTTGCACGTGTGGTGTCGAACTGATCCTATAGGCATCTATCTATATTGCAGCCTCAGGATCGTCTCACACCGGCTATTTTCCGCTGAGGAGGTTTCACCTTCAGGATGTCTTACGAGAGCCCTTGTCCTTATCTTTTGTTTTCCCTTTTGCCTTCTATTTGTTTCTCTTCGAGTCTGATTTAACTGGATATTCAACAGGCAACCTCACAACTAACGTGAGGTTGGTTCGGATCAATATTAACAGATATCACATGATAGCCCCATGCAATGGGGACTAAGAGGTCCAGAACTCAGAAGCCAAGACACATTGTTGCGAAGGACTAGGCAGCGACATGCCACTATTGTAACAAAATAGTAATTCTATTAGGTATTCTATCCGTTCCAAATAACTAGAGCAGCGATTGGATTGTTGTCCTTCCAGGCCGATGTGGTGCATGGCTGGAGGTCCAGGTCTACTGCACATTTGCCCAGACCACGCCAAGTCAAACTAACAGAACGCAGGTTAATGATGAACTGGTGGTATGTAGACATGTATGCGATGGATAGGCCAAGGACATCAAGGCCGCCCGATATTCGCCATCCTCCTCCTAGGCCCATCCACACGCAATCCAGACTATTCTCGGGATTACCCCGACCCACGCCACGAACATTCATGACTCGATATCCGAGAAAGGTGCGGCAACCCGAAGCGTTGATGAGAAGAGAGCAGTCGACCCCGTAGATGAAGCGAGGTAGGTGAAGCGGTATAACAAGCGATAATATGCTCGCAAATAAACGAAAGGAAACACTGAGACGCCAAAGTGGTAGTAGTGTGCGAAAGGAAATACTATGTCGACTCGTCCGGCATGTCGGAGAAGAGACCTATCCGTAGACGGTGCGACTATGACCTAGATCAGCAAAGAGTCACGGCGATTGAAGAAAGAAAAAGGGACTAACGTACGAATGGTAATTTTGGAATAACAACAGCCAACGTGGCCAAGAAATTGATGGTGAAATACGTCAAGTCGTAGTGCGTGTAGTGCGTGCTGAGGAGAAAGAGACAGATGGGGACACAGAGCAGGAACTTCTTCGTCGGCGTGTACTGATCTCCATTGTCGATTTGCTCCCACATGTTGAGATTATCGTAGGCACCCGCGTTGAATTCAAATGGAATACCCCGCACCCAGTGGAACATCAGGAAGGAGCCAAACATGTAGCTGATGTTCGTGAGCGTCCATGATGTCTCCTGCGAGACGCCGGGAATGATATCGTAGAAGATCTTCAAGGCGATGATGAGAACGAAATGGATTGTCCAGGCACCTAGTCGCAGGAAACGAATGTTAGCCTTCCAGAACCAAATAAACGGATCTAAGCTCTCGGTATTCATGCATCGCTGCTCAACCACCCACTCACCCTTGGCATTAACCCAGTTCGCATTCAGATTGGGCAAGGCAGCCTGATCGCTGGTGTGCTCGATGGATTCCGCCGGCTCCTGGTAGATGATACTGCTCGACCTCCTCCTCCTACCGGCCTTGGATTGGGACATATTTGTGTCCGGAGACAACCGGCGCGGACCAGTGTCGACTTCCGGGGGGAAGGAAATGGCACGGGGGATGAGTAGGGAAGACACTTTGGCGGTGTTGTCAGAACGAACGAGGACGAAGTCGAGAATGGTGTTGTGAGACAAGCTGGACGACGGAAGGAAGACGGAAGGTCCGAATTCACCAATGAAGACAAGTCTTGACCTCTTGTCCTTCTAGGATAATCTCCTGTCCACTAAGAAATAATAATGATGCAAAGCAAGCAGAAGCACGCAAGTAACCCCGACCTCGAGATCTCACAAGAGGATCGACAGAATGATCGATCACGGGGGAGTCAGCAGACAGTAACTCGACGACTGGCGAACAAGCGGCTGAGGACAAGGCGAGACACGTCCAAAAGTGAAGAAATACAAGGAATGGCAGAAAAAAAATATAGAAGATTGACGCAGTGAGTGACAAAGGGGTTGATGTAAGCAGCAGAAAGCCTGTAGTTCAAGTCAAGAGTCGAGGGGCAAAAAGAGGAAGAAGGCCGGCGGAAAGCAGGAGGAAGAAGCAAGAAAGAGGAGGAGGATAAGGAGGAAGACGAGATGAAGCCAGAGAGGATGATGGACTATGGAGTCTGCACGCCAACCGAAAAGGGCCCAGACGAGGCCAGACTAAGAGAAGTCGATTATAGTGCAGGCAAGACAATTAGTTTGATAGAGAAGAATCTGTCTTTTTTTGGATGTTATTTTTATCCTCCCCCCCCCTGGAGTCTATCTAGATATAGATAGTCTGTCGCTATACATGAGGCCACATTCACCTGCAGTCCCAGCACAGTGGATAGTAGATAGAATATGCACAGAAAGTCTGAATCCACATTCTATACACATGATGCAAAGAATTGAGTATACTGTAGAGTTTAACTACGATGATCTACACAATATCATCTATCTCTCATATCTGTCTCTGTTCAGTAGAATCTCCAGTCTCGCTCCCCGACAAACTGCGCTTTAGGTCTTTGTTGGTCTCCGTGAAATTTCTCGGTCGAACAGCTTCACGGCATCAACAGCGCCAACCACTTTCTATGATCACAATTACCCCCTGGCAACGTTTGGATCCTCGATGCCACAGTATGGCTGAATCAGAAAACGAAAACGATTCCCGCACCGCTTCAGTGGGTGTCTCACGCCCCCGCATACCCGGTTCGAACAGCTCGTCGCGCCACAACTCCACAGACTCAAACCCGAATCCGAGAAAGAGACGGCGGAGAAATGGCAAGCCTGCCGATCGGGATGTGCGAGATTTCGTTCCTCAGGGAGCCACCTTCAGCGCAACATCGTTAGAGGTGGACCTAGACCGCACGTCCAGTTCTGGGTCCGACTCGTCTGAGAGCGACAGCGACAGCGATGGGAAATCCGATGCGTCTGATACCGAGAGGCAGAATTCTGCTCGGATGGATCCTCAAGCACCAGCCGTGAACTGGAACAAAGGGAGCAAGAGTGGAATTCGCACGTCGCTGGGTAGACGAGCGGATAAAACTGGCGAGAGCAAGCAGACGGCTCAGTTCAATGCTGTCAACGACAAGTTCTGGCGCAGTCGGAGTGACTCTGTATCCAGCGGCGGTGGTGAACAGGCAGTTCTACAAGATAAAGCTGAGGACGATATGGAAGAGGGGGAGGTTGACGAGGAGGACGAGGTGTCAGCAGAGTCTAGTGAAGTGGATCAGTCTGGGGATTCTGATGATTCTGTATCATTGGACTCCGAGGCCGATGATTCCATTCTGCTCAATGTTGGCTCCCAGGGTGATGAAAACGGGGCCTTGTCCCCTGCGACGCAAGTTGCGCATATGAATGGCTCCGCATCGAAACCAGCCACAGGCGACTCTTCATCGGAATCGAAGGAACAATCGCATCGGCTCTTCTCCCAAAAATATTCTATCGCCCCTACTACACTTGCCGATCTCGATCGCAACGATATGGAAGTTCAGGCCAGGTGCTTGTTCTATGATCGCGACATTAATGATATCAATCTCCAAGCGCCGATTTCATGCACGGAGTGCTTTAAAGAGGGACATCTTGCAGCAGTCTGTCCCTTAAAGGAGGTGCGTTTTTTGCAAAATATCTTTGCCATAAAGCTCTAAAAACCCCAAGTTCATCAAAAAGACGCTAACTAGACACAGTGTGTTCATTGCGGTGCCTGGAACCAGCACCAGAGCATCTTCTGTCCCTCCTGGAGGAGATGCCAAAGATGCCGCGAGCGCGGACACGATGAAGAGCAGTGCCCCTCGCTGCTCAAAGGCTCCGCAACCGAGATTCCCTGTGATTTATGCGGATCAGCGGACCATCTCGAGCTCCAATGCGATTTCATGTGGAAGCTTCCTCGCCCGGATTCCTCACCCGGACCCGTACTGGTCTCGATATCCTGCTCGCATTGCACCAGTAACCGCCACCTAGTCGGCGACTGCCCCTCCCTCTCGCGATCCATGATCTCCTCCTCTTTCACCCTCAGAAGCATCGATCCGAACATGGTAACCAACATCAACTCGGTAGTCGGCGCCAGAAAGGGCCCCCCGGCACCGATGAGAGGCCAAACCGGTCTCCAGATCCGCGGCCGTGCAGACCGCCGCTCCCCATCCTCAGACAGCGAGGACATGATGTCTAGGACAGACCGCGCTCGCCCTCCCATCAACCGCAACCGCGGCAACATCCGAATCGGCAACGGCATCGGACGTGGCAAGAATCTGGCACCTGCAGGCTCAGGCTCGCGTCCATCAGACCGCGATACCCGCCACAATCAATCATACAACTACCGGGATCGTCAGGACTACGCCGGACCTAACCACCGCCAGCGCTCCATGTCTCCCAACCCCAATGGCCGCCCCATCCGCGGCAGAGCCAATGATCGCCGCCAGCCCCCTCCGCGCTCACCTCCCCGAAATCGACCGGAACCATCCCGTTCTGGAAGAGGGGGCGGAAACGGCGGGGGCCGTGGTAGGGGCGGGCGCGGCGGCGGCGGGAATAGACGAGGGGGCGGTGGAGGTTCCAACGGGGACATGTATCGGCCGATGCCTAGTGCCGCGAAGAAGGCCTGGGATAAGGGTCGCTTGTGAATGGACAGATTGTGTTATGATACCGACCAAAGTGCAGGTGCCTGGTTGCCTTGCAGGTCATTGTATGAGCGGACATGCTTAAATATCCTTGTTGCATGATATACGGCTGTTTTTTTAGAGTAGAAGGATCTGATCCTTTGGTCGATTCATGGACAGAAAATTATATTTATGAGAGGCAGTATCTGGGAATGGTACCTGTCAGAATGTACTGGAGATCAGCCCAAATGAATCATGTATGAACCTTGCAACATCTCTATGATTTGATGGTTGCATTAAGAAGATCTAGGTATCTGCCGCAGTCTCCGATTATGGCGCATTCCATAGCGCAATAGTAGATCGTATATCTCTATATCTCATTCCAATGGGTTATCCCTCCTCTTCAGTGGTTGGGGGTTTATCACTGCCCTGGTGACCAACGAAACCGTTCTCTAGAATGTCAATCAAGTCATCTAGTCGGTCGATGCAGAGGTCCGTATGAGCATGGTCTTTGAGATGCATATTGTGCTCATTGAGAAGTAACACAGTCGCGGCGCCTGCGGTATGACCGGCCGTCATGTCATCAAGGCTGTCGCCGACCTGGGCAGCGGGTCAGTTCCGTGATATAGAAAAAAAAAAAAGAGAAAAGCAAAGGAGAAAGGATTCCCAAAGACGAAGTCGACCTACCATAATCATATTTTCGGCACGGTTGTCGAGCCCCCATTCCCGCGCAATATGCAGGATGCCTGCGGGGTCAGGCTTGGGAAGCAGACCGGGTGTTTCCCGCGTGATGATGGGCAGGAAGACATGGGCTGGAAGATGGTTCTGGAGGAGATGCATTACGGGAGCCCTGTGTGTGTGTGTGACAGACTCAATCAGTCATATGATCCCGGCTCAGAACGGCGACGACAAGACACACTCGAAGTTGCGCGTACAGAGCGCTCTGTACAAGCCACGGGACTGGAGGTAGTCCATGAGGTCCACGAGACCCGGCTGAGGCTGCTGGTGCTTCATGGCCTCGCGCTCGACGGCTTTGACCTTCTCGGCTGCGGCGGTGCGTTCCTCATGCGTAGGAAGCTGCCGGATATGATGCAGGATATCGACTTTCTTGTCGATTCCCAATGCAGCTCTGGAGATAGTTAGTCGGGGATTCCTGCTAGAGATGGGTAGTTTCGCGAGGGGTATCTACCGCATTTCGGCAAACATGTAATTCTGGGGGAGGCTATTTGCGATTTAGCATGTCCGATAGGCCAGTGTAGAAATTGCTTCATTGTATCGTTTGGATATATGTTTATGTGCGCGGATTCGGAAATCGTACCATAATGTTCCGTCCACATCAAACACGATTCCCTTCAGCCGCGGTGCCTGAGAGGAATGCGAGAGGGCTGGATTGAGAGGTGCGAATCGCCGTTGCCGAAGCGCATAATTCTCAAGAGAGGCAACCATTGGGGCAGATGAAAATGAGACCCGTGGGATTAATCGGAATGGAAGCATGGGATGAATTAGCTGATGTCGATGTCTGAGATGGGTGGAGACCTGGAGTTGACGGGGATCGAGTCAAGTGACATCCACATAACAGAGATCATGATGAACATGTCTATGAAAATGCACCACCTGGTCTCTGCATGGTCGTCAAGCTGTTATTCATTGCCTAGCAATACTATAGCCCCCAAGGTTAATCTCCGAACATCAAAGTTGAATACTCCTTTGTGGATCAACTATCAAGTCATCAAACACGTGATACTAGAAGCATCACACTAGAGCTGATTCCCATGCATATCAAGTCATGAGTATATTGGATTAGCAAGAAACTATCTTGATTGCGCCTGTTTGCCAAATAGAAGGTGATATCTAAAACTCAAATAGCCTATGTACAGATAACCGAGTGCACGTTGATGTTGAATTGCCTATCTCGATGCCAGATTGCGGGTCTCAAACGAACTCCAAGCGCCTCCATACCAGAGTATGACCAGGTAGGATCTCTCATATATGCCCGCTTCTATCGCGGAGGACGAGGCCCAATGATCTGCCGTCGCGCACCTCCTACGCCCAGCCCGGGACCACCACGGTTCTGGTTGTCACCACCCATGAATCCATATTGGTGAACATCCCAGGCACCCTGACCCGGCCCGACACCGAGTTTGGAGTCCGAGAGACCCTTCGCGGCGGCGTCGCGCGTCTGTTTCTGACTCTCCTCCCACTCGCGCTGACGCTCGCGCTCACGTTCCATCTCGCGCTCCAAGAGGGACTTGGATGCCCATCCGCCCGCGCGTGTTTTCTGCTGCGCGGCTATCCGGCGGCTATTCTCCTCATCAACTTCTGCGGTGGTTGTATAGTCCTGTGGGCGATGGGTGGCGGGCTTGGGTGCGACAGGGGGTCGGTTGGATGCGAGAAAGCGGTCGACGCGACTGTTCTGGGCCTGGGACTTGGTCGTGTATGTCGCTGGATCGGGCAGAGGCCGTGATGGGGTCGGAGGGGCTGCCCCGGCCGCTGATTGCGTTGGCTCTGGGAGGGCACGAGGAGGTATTGGCGGCGGCGAGCTGGAAGATTCAGCAGTCTCGTCGTGGGGCTGATGCTTCTGCCATTCGGTGCGGAGCATTCGGCGTTCCTGCTCGAGCGACGAAAGATCATAGCTTGGCTTGGGAGGCACAGGAACGGGGCGAGGGCTGCGGGGCTTCGGCGTTTGTTTTTCTTGGACATCTTGACGCTCGCGCTGATACTGGAACTCCCTTTCCTTGGCGAGTTCCAACTCCCGCTCGAGCTGCTTGATGCGCTGGCTTTCTCTGGTCTCGTCAGAGAGTTTAGCTTGATATTGACTGAGGAATTGCCCCGTCAAGAGGGCATCGGCTCCTTCTCGTCGCCGCTGTCTGTCATTGTCCAATTTCTCCTCCGCCTCTTTCTCATCTTGCTGGCGCTTTCGCTCCTCTTCTTCCCACTTTCGCTGTTGTTCGTCCCACTGCTGGCGCTCTTCATCCAATCGCCGCCGCTCGACTTCCTTCAGGCGAGCCGTTTCCTCCTCCCACCTGCGCTCCTCCTCCGCTTTGGCATGTGCCTCCTCCGCTTCCCGCTCTTGCTGCCGGAGACGTTCAGATTCCTCTTTCTCAGTACGCTGCCGTTCCTCCTCCTCGCGTCGGCGTCTCTCTTTCTCTTCCAATGAAGGGACAAGCGGCGACGGGGTCGTGATCTGTCGACGAGCACCAAACGCTACTCCCTGGTTCCCCTGACTGGCACCTCCCATATACCCGTACTGATGGATATTCCACGCCGGCATTGTGGCATGCTCGTCCGATTTTTTGCTCCAACTGCTCACAGCGGCTGGAGACTTGGCTGGGCTGGAGGTTCCCGACCTGTCGCTCACGTTGCTCAGTCCACGAGACTTCCTGGGGGTGGTGGCCGATTGGCTTGAGCCAGTCAAATGCGGACTCAAAGTCCCGCCCTTGCTCTGCACACCGATTGTACGAAGGAACTTGGTGGGCTGAAGAGCATTCGCTCTTCTGCTGAAAGCCATCAGACACTGTAACACCTGCGCCGGGTCCTTGGACTCGTAGAGATCGACCGTCAAGAAGACATCATGTGGTGGTAGACTGAGAGGTGGTATCTGACACGCGCGCAGGAAATGGGAGATGTTCTCCATCTGTACGAATGGCATGGAGGACTGTTTGTACTTGACGCCAGGGGACACGGCGAGATTGACCAGCCTAGAAGATAAGACAATTAGCGACTATACCAAGGGGAAAAAACCTCTTCTGTCTTTAAACTAACCTGCAGAGAGCAACGCCATCTTTGAGCGCATCCAGAAGATCACCTGCTGGAAGCCTCTCATGAAGCGTCTCTTCAATCCATTCGCGGACCTCTGCGGCTGCCTGCGGGGTATAGCGGGATAGGCGCAGATTGCGCAAGTCCTTATCTAGAGACGTAACGGACGCCATGCTGGGTTGAATTGAAATCAATGTGCCTCTGGTCGCATGCGAGAGGAGAATTTTAAACCGCAGATATTAGGTCGAGTAAGCAAGGGAGGATCGTAGGCAGTGACTATCCCCTGTTTATGCTGCCCGACTGGACCGCGGACGAACTATGTGGTGGTCCACAAGGGGTTGCCTGATAGGGGGGAGGTTCTAGAAGCTGCTTGTTCAGGGGTATGTTGAAGCCAATTGAGAGGTGATCCTCTGTACACAAAATTGGAAGGATGGAAAGAGAGTTGAAGATAAACAGAGCGGAGAGATGGAGAGCGAAGGAATTCCCCCTTGGCGAGAGAGTGGAGGGAGAGCGAGGAATGTGGTTGTCGGACCAAAACAGATCAATACGGGCATTCGTAATATTGATTACGCCGCCGATGACGTTTTTCGCATAAATTATTATTATCGCCGTCAATAATCGTGCCGATGCTCCCAACGCAGCAGCCACACAGCCACACAATCACCAGACCGTGACTAGTACTTCTTCCAATTCAGTCTGCTTATAGTCTTTCAGCCCCGATGAGTCCGGTAAACAGCCTGTGGTTCAAGTGGAAAAGCCTCCGATTGCCGTGGCGAAGATCCTTCCTCGTCGGTAGCTCTTCCAAGTACCACCCAAACGCAGACTACAGGTCTCTAACACTCTCATCGCAGGCACCGACTTATCCGGAAACACATACTGGGAATTCAAAGACTCATTAAATGCCTCACGGTACCGACGGATAGTCAAGTACAACTCCAAAACCCACTATGCGGATGTGAAAATAACCCGTGAGTCCCACCGATCTCCCTCGCGCCGATGCTAGGTAATAGCCCGTCTTGCATAAACGCAGTGAGCTGACTTCCACACCATCAGCCCAATGGCACCAATGGCTCCGCCACCTCCGAGCCAAACCCCCTTCGATCGAAGAACAGCAGCAGGATATCATCCGCCAGATCCAGATCAAGCGCCTCGCCCAACTAGCCGATGAGCGATGGGCAAGCAAACCCTCCTACCTCGATAAACCGCAAACCCAGCAGCCGGCCCCCGCGACAAACACAAGCGATGCGACAATAAACCCGCCGAAGGAGACAGCACACCAGAAGCAGAACCAAACGACACACAACGCCGTTTCGGGGACGGGGGCGGTAGAGCAAAAGCGCGATGGTGTTCCGCCAGCCAAGGAAGATCCTTGGGCGAAAGCGCGGAGTGCGAATAGTGAGGGCTGGCAGCCTGAGTCCTGGACGCCGTCTTCTTCTTCTCGGAGATGAGGATGGTCGGATGCGGATTGCGGTTGTCGCATGGTTCGATGATGGGCTTGAAACAATTTCTCCAGAACGTTGTCTGGAGGAGGTATTTGGATATGCCACCTCATTCTCGAGCCGGTAGCTGGAACTTCTGTGCGCATTACTTGAGATCTATTTGGACGATTCCTAGATGCGCTACCCGGTTACATATTCGTGTGAATTTGCTTCACCCTGTACAAAATGACGCTTTGAACCCCTTGCGTTTCATGTGTATAGTATTAATTGAGATATTTCTGAATAGAGATATTTCTATTCAGACCACTTCCGATGCTGCTGATAAGGGGTCATACGCTATACCCGAGACAACTCGAGTCAGTGAGGCTGGAGGGAGATAAGGCTCTCTACCAGAACCAAAGAAATTTGAGATTGGAATCCTGATCTTTTCATGATTAAGTATAATGATATATTTCATGATTAGTAGGTGTGTACCGGTGCTGAAAAGTCTATGCTTTTTGAAACCAAACCAGATAACAAGCGCCAAAACGACCATCGCCACAAACAAATAGGTATAGGGTAAAAAAAAAAAAGATAGAACGAGATATTACGCGTACAGAAAGGAGAATTAACATAGAACAGCCTCGAGTGCTTCGACGTCTCCGCCGGCGTTCCGCACGGCATTGATCGCAGCCTCGCTCAGCTTACGGCGTCGATCGCGAGCTTCCTGTTCGCGTCTCGCCTTCGTCTTAGAGCTCCCACTTGGAGCAACTCCTGTCAGAATTTTCTTGCTGTCGCTAGGGGTGAAGTTGACAAAGGACACGGTCAGCGACTTGCTGGGTCCTGATTTGGAAGTCGTTGAGCTAGGCCCTTTGACTGGTTTGGGTGGTGTCATTGACTGAGATGACAACTTCCGGCCATTGCGGCGCTGAGGAGTCGTCATGATGCATCCATTGCCAAAGTTGGCTCGGTTTGATGGAGACCCACCACGTCTTGGGGACAGAGACGGTGATCGGGACGAGTTTGTGATTTGAGGTGTGGCATAGACAGAGGGGTTCGGAAACTTCCGAGGGGTGACCGGAGTATTAATATAGGCTGGCTGGCTCTTCTGTGGCAAAGGAGCGGTGGCCATGGTTGTTGGCTGGAATGATGAATCCGCCGAGGTCGACACATCAAAAGCAGAGGGATCGAATTGGATCATCAGGCCCCCTTGCATCAGATCGTGCTGGGTGTTGGTATTTTGAATTGGTTGTTGTGGAGCCGGAGAGGCAACCATGTGTTGATATGAAGTTTGCGCCGGTGCGACCCGGGAAGGCATGGCAGGCCACCAGGCTTGCGCATCATGGTTCTGGAGTTCAGGTGTAAAAGACAGTGCGGAACTCCCAAGGGATTCCGAAGGCCATGAGGACAGGGACTGAGGATCGGAGGAATGCGGGGATGAAAAGATATCATCTGCTGAAGGGGGGCTTGAGGTGGTCAAGGCGGAATGCGATTGATTCAAATAGCCCTGCTGCTGCCGTCCTAGCACACAAACTGATGGAGAAGACATGGAAATTGCAGGGGACGGGTTGAAGATGCTAGAATCGTAATGATGTGGCATCTCTGCGGGATCAGCCGAATGGCTCATGTGAGCGACAACATTATCGGTAGGGATGTTCTCATGCTGCACAAGTATGTCCGAGGGCGGTGGTGATAGCGGCAAATGTTCATCCGAGCTACGGATGTTGAAGTTCTGCAGTCCCCGAGCCCAAGCTTCCGGATACACCATTCCGCCAGTTTGCAACTGAGAGGAGCGTATCAAGCTCGGAGAGAGGGTCTTCTTGCACGGCAAACGAGGATCATGAGGTTTCTGCCGGCGGATAGACTTCGGCGTGTTCAGAGCGCTCTTTCTTACTTTCTGATTGTGGCGGGGTGTTGCAGGAGGGGTGGACGGCGATCTGGAAGATGTTCTGCAGGCTACTACTGCAGGGATAGGGCATGAAGTTGGAGGATTTTCAAGGTTGAAGCTTAGATTTGAGACAGCGGAGGGATGAACGGTGTCCTGAAAAGCAAAAGCTCCTTGACCTGCAGATGGGACTGTCTCCTGCGACAGACACCAGTAGTCTTTGGCCCAGGGTTGCGGTGACTGCTGAGTGGGTTTGGTGGAGATGAGAGGAGAATGATCGCCACAATTACTCGACAACGAGTCAAGAGCGAAAATTTGATCGAATTCGCTAGGATACGAAACATCTTTGTTGCCATCGACACTGGAAGAGTCGATGTCGACGAACTGAGTGAACAGATCATTCAACGAATGATCGAATGGTTGAGCGAACATCTTGGCTGCCGTCCTCTTTCCGTTTGCGGCAATGATGTGAGAGCTGCCAAAAGAACCGTCAATAGCTATCAAGCGGATCAGATATGATTGGCACCGAACAACTGCGGGAACAAAAGTCTGGTACAAAAAGAGTTCGGATATCAAGCCGGTGTTCCGTCCAGTGGTGAAAGAGTTTGGTAACGGGGATGGAATGTAGTGTAGGATTGGTTTGATAGATTGACAATCAAAGAAAACACTGCACAAGATGCAAAGAAGACAAAGCAAACAAACAAAGACAGAGGGCGCTATTTGAATTATCGCGAAGACCGCCAGCCTCGAGGATTCTGCATACATTCCAGCTGCTCTAAAGATGGGAAAGGAATGTATACTGAGGAGCTCGGGAGGGACTCGATATGGCCCACCCAGACCCAATCGATAGAGGGGAATGATTCAAAGGAGACAACTCCAGATGGTGTACTCACCAATCAGGGACCCTGGAAAAAGCAGTGGCTGCCCGAGTATGCTACTCTCTTTCATTCTCTGGACGGAAGTGGGCTCGGGTCCCAGTTGGCCACCCGCAGGAATGCAACCTTCCTATGCCAGAACCAGAGGAGGACGAGTCACCAGCACAGGCGGAATGAGGGAGCTTCTGAGGGTCCAACGAACTTGACCAATGGGAAAGAGTTGCGGAAGCTAATTGACAGCCGTTGATTTGATGACATTGCAGAGCTTCTTAGGGTTATACGGTATGATCCGCTCAATAACCACAGCAAGTGCCTCCAGTATGGCGAATTGCCATTATCAGTATCGATCCGGTCAATTCCATCATTCAAAGTGTAAACGTCATTCTAATATCTCTCACAGCGTCAGTTTATGACTTGCGCCTGTAGCAAAGATCTACAATGGTCTTCTTGTTCGAGGCTTTTCTTGGTTGTCATGGTTGTCACCCTGAAATCGATGTTGTAATGAAGTTGTGGAGTACCAATTGTTCAATTGCTTCAAGGCACAGCCGCTCATGAGCTTGTTGTGAATAGGTCACCTGGAATGCTGGGGCTGGGAAGAATGCGCGCCCCCAGCAACAATGCTGGAGAGAATTCTCTTCGCCCTTGAAGACAAAGGATAAACCGTGACACTGAACTGCCTATTAGCCCGAGGAACAATTCGGGAAGGATCTGCAGGAGGAGGATTGCCCTCTTGCTCAAGTTTCTATAATTATATTCCCGACACACGCAATGAACATCCACTAAAGTTGAGCAACACTGCTCGCATTCAGAGCGTGGATTAGATTTCTTGGTCACAATTCAAAATTGAAGTCGCCTGGGACCACAGCAGATGATGATTGACTTGAAAAAAGGAGGAGGTTTTCGAACAAATTATGGCGTGTTATGGTGAGTTACTTCCAGTTCTCTGGAGAGAGGCAACATATCTGGTTGGCGGTTGCCCCATATAGGAAATGTAGGGCAGTGTGAGATGGAGACTGTGGTCAACGCGTTCTTTGCGAATCAACCTCTTTGTTCTCAAGGCTTTTCACCGTGCACATAGCCATGTGGGAACAGGGGCATCCCTGTATATGGCGCTGGCTATGCTTCAAGCCCATCCTGTGGACAAAAATAACGGACAAAAGAAGCATTTGATGTTAGTGAAAAGAGTAGAGACATCTATATTTTTTTTTTTTTCATTTTTGTCAAGGATCAAACACAGAAAGCATCAGCATGGTTGTCAATAATGACCATGGATAACTGGTCCTCCTGAGGCGCATCGCAGACCAAGTCAGACAGCAGCAATAAGCCGCAGCAAAAAGTGACAAGGCTATTTTCTGACACGAAGCATAACCATGTCATGAAACACTGCCTGGTTGTTTCCATTCTAAGATGGAAAACACCATTATTGACAAAAGACGGCGCTGAGAGCCATATGTTATAGTCCATGTGGTTGTTCAAGGCTTAGCCTCGACCCTTCAATACTCTGCTGTTTAGCCATGATAGTAGCCCAAAGGCTGATAGGGGAATCTGTAATCAATTGTTCAATCATTTGTAATAATAATAAGAAACATTTCTTGAATGATACCCGAGGGTGGACAGTCCTAGAATTGACTATGGATGATGAGAGTAATCAGTAGTAAAACAGCAGACAAAGGCGGCCATTGACCCGGGTTAACGGAGGAAACTTACTCCGCATTTAGTCAGCAAGCGCCTGGTTTTCCCGAGCGCCACTACACGCTAAACCTATTTCGTACGTAGGAAGATGACTGTATTGGGAGGCAACAAGGTCAGGTGCTGATGCCGGAAATCTGACTCCCTTGCAGCCGCTGAGAGGTTGTCGCGCAGTGAAACTCCTGTCTTCCTTCCACAAAGCACACCCTCTATTGTGCTACTTATGTCTCTTTGATATATCGTGTTTGCTCTTCTCTTGACGTGAGGAGTCAGTTCTATTGTATTTTCAGGCACTCCTTCCAGCAAGATTGTTGTAGTGTCTTTGATCTGTTACCCCTCGCCCCGCGCTGCAACCAGGCATCCCACGCAAAGTGGGCATGACTTCATAAGGACAGGTCCTATCCATCGATCTGATTTCAAACAAACGATATTCTCCAGAATTAACAGCCTCAAGCTGATTGCTTTTTTGCTCTCGCTCAAAGACGTCAGGGCCATTACAGAAGTCGAAGGAGTCCGAAACGCGTTGTGGTGCCACTGAGCCACCAATAGTTAATTCTCGACCTTCGCCACTATCTATCTTCCATAGACACAGTACAGACTATATGTCTCAAGTCAAGGAATTCCTCGGTATCAGATCTCTTTGGCTACGCAGACAACACTTCGACCCGAAACCTTCCTCCAACCTCAAGCGGACAAACGAAAGCTGTACGCATTGCAATCTAACCATCACTGGACTCTCGAAGTAAAATATCAGACTATATCAGGTGCTTACACCATGGCTTCCAAGTTTATCCTCGTTGAGGGAGTCCTCGTTTGCCTCCCTTAAGTGAATACTGCCGCTTGACGCCCGAGCTTCGCCATGGATACCCACCGACTGATCGGAGGCCTTCGAAGCCATTACTTGAAAAGCAATAACAATCATCTGAACAACAATAAACTATAAAATCTGCCACACTTCGTACTATAGGGACGTGGAGTGTGGTTCTTTACAACGACGTGAAACAAACTAACTTGAGGGTGCTTGCTCAACAAAATTACCAAAGATTAAACTCAGCAAGATGACCACTCATACAATGAACAAAAAGTCCTGGGAGTCACTCTCTTCGACATTCTCCAATCTCGAAATCTCCGTGTCTCAGGACAGTTGTTATGCCTCCGATGAATTCTCTGGCAGTTCATCCAACCCAGTCCCTGCTAGTCTGCCAGTGACTTCGGAGGCTGGCTTGCGCCCACTTTTGAAGCCTATTCTGAAGAGGCCATATGCTGCTATTGAAGAAGATGAGGAATCGGAATCTGGTTATGGAACCGATGATTCTGAATATGATTATGCCGGTGTATCCGACGCAATGGATGAAGACGATGATGAAATGTACGAAGTCTCGATATGGGATGAGGCTTCTGATGTTTCGGACGCCATGTCAGAAACTTGTAGTGACGATGACGAATCTGTCGATGGGTCATTCATTTCATTCGAGTCTGAGTCTATGGTTCGTTTTGCTCCTGATGTTCTCTATATTGACGCGCCTGAACCTCAAGAGGAGGAGGAGGAGGAGGTCGAAACGCCACGTTCTGAGATGACTTGCCATGAATTAATGGAGATGGCGAGGGCATCTGGCACCCTTCAATTTCAAACTGGGATGGATCCCAGCAACGAACAGGCCGAACATGATGAAATGAGCGATTCGATCAAAGAATGGCCCGAGGAGCATCCCAGTGATATCCTGGACTTGGACAAAAGGCTTTTTGTCGCCTATATCAATGGCATTAACGGGATCTCTGATGCTCGGTACAAAGCTCGTCTTCGCGAGCGACTTGACGATCTGAAAAAGGGTAACGCGCAATCTCCATATATGGAGTCTGATAGCGCCCAAGGGATGTATTTTGACAATGTCTTGAATCATGTCCTCGGCACATTCCGCAATATCATCGTCCAAGAGGAGCTGGATGAATTGGCCACGCTCAGCCACAAGAAGAGAGCGCAACAGCAAGCAGAGGAGGCCACAGAAGGCCCCGATAAGAGACTACTGGAGAAGATCGAGCATCTGCTCTCGGAGAGACTAGCAGGAGACCAGGTGCAAATTGGCCAGGATGAGCTGAGCTTCTTCGCTGGCGGGGTCGCTTATGCTCTCAGGAACTGGGCCAGCTATACATCCATTTGCGGGCTGTTACGCAGTTACGAATAAAAGTGTCCACAAAAAGAAGGCGTATCTAAAAGCGATGATTCTATCGATTTATGAGAGATGAATCTTGTGGTTTACAAATACCCCGAATGAATGGTGTACACAAATGTCTTTCGGCAGTTGGGCGATCCATTTCAATATTATCTACAAGTCTTTATCTGAGAGCTATCGTACTATATATTCTCGCATCGATGTCAAAGCGTACGGCGTTTCATATAGACATATCAGCCCTGATGGCCCGAATCAAACAGCGTAAGTGGGGGTGAGCATCACAGCCCTACCCAAATGGCCCAAATGTAATTTGATCTGGGTACACTGTACAGCAAGAACGGCCCCTGTATCATCAAGCAGTTACTGTTGGCGTCGCTCACATCCAATGTGACTGCCGTCGTGCAACCACAGTAAGTTTCGAAGAGGCGTTGACCTGTGGCGGAGTCTTTGGTGTGTGCACGATGCAGGTAGGACTGTAGGTGCATGCAGATGGAGACGCAGACGCAGACGCAGACGCAGATGCAGATGCAGTCATGTCGGGGTGAGCGGGTCAGTGTACGGAGATAGTGACGGAGTAGGCGAGGAGTTAACAAAGTGCGGAACTGCGGATACAGGCAGCGTGGGTTCAATCTTTGAGTATTTGAAATCGCCCGTTTATTTTCTCTTGTTCTTTTTCTTTTCTTTTCTTTTTGGGGTTTCCACCTTCCCACGTCTTAAGTGATTAGAGTCAAGTCCACCGTCATCCATGGCAGAGGAATTAGGAATCTCAGTTGAGCATCCACTGACCCAAGGATAGGTAATCATCGACCCCCATATCGGGGGAAAAGCGTGCCAATAAGACGGGGCCGATGTGCGATTCATTTGCTGTGCCTGATGGACTATCGGGTGGACTATCGGAGTCGACCATGGTTTTCCTTCATAGCTAGATATATAGTAGTATTTACTAGAGAGATGAATCTCCTCCGGAGTTCGGACTAGTGAGACTGTGAGGTAGATACTATCTAGATAGCCCACAGGTGAGATCCTGACCCGAGGCTGGGTTGGAGATGGAAACCGCCACATGGGCAATCCACTGGTCTATGTGGTTTGAAGTCTTCTACTAACTACCAACGGCTTCGAAGGCGCCTTTAAGACCAGAATGGCGTTTGGGAGAGATTTAAGTAAGTATTTTAAGTTACGAATCACGATGGTAAGCAACCTAGCTGATATGGACACTCCATAGTTCGTACAAATACTCTCCGAGAACAATAATACCTATGAGGGTACAGGGAGGGTTACAGTGTTACACAGTGATGGGTTCGGTGGGGGGATGCTTTTGATCATGACTGGATATGCATGAGGCTCACATCATCTTGGTGACTGTTTCTATAGACATTGGGGGATGAACTACTGGCCAAGATGAGGGATGACAGAATCCAGTTGATGGCTATCCCGACTCTTACTCTGCAAGACACTGGAAAATCAGTACTAAATATTGCCCGGGAGCCATGGGCCATGACCCATGGAAGCCTGGAAGGTTCAGCACGAGGCACTACTACTGTGGTAGTTCAGTCAACAAGGGTTCCCTTAATCCCTTTACCAAGGCCAAATGGGCTTGATTGTTATCTCTAGCCTCGTCTGTTTCATCAGTAGTACTAGTAACTACTCCGTAGTAAAAGAATCTTTCTACAATCTATTCTTCCCAAATCCCAATGGATCTCTCCTTTTCTTTCATCTGTTCCTCAGAATCTTCCCCTGACCGTGGAGTTGGGATTTGTAGGCTCGACCGCGCATGACGTTGATTGGCTGGCTGCTGATTTTCCCCGGCACTACAACTGCCCCACTTCTTGGACTGTTGATCCATTGCGCTTTCCCTCTTTGGGACGTGTTGTTCCTTCCTAAATCGTCAGCTGCTCTTTCCTCTTTTGATGGAAAACAGTTGAACTTTTATCAGTATACTACGTAAAAGATGTGTGCATCACGATCCAGAAGCCTCAGGCGTATCGGAGACTGTAAGCAAGATACTTGGATGTTTTTAATTAGATACTCAGGTAGAGATGTTTTAGTTGGACCATCGTGCCCCCTCTAAACGGTCAAAAGTGGCAAGAAGCGCTGTCGATCAGAATGGGCAACCCAGCTCGTGTTGGACGTGGCTGACTTTGCTTATCCATGTTCCATATTCCGTGGACTCGTGGGCTTATTATTCAGATGTATGAACGGAGTAAGTAAACTAGGTACCTCAGTATCTACATGTTGCAGAGCTGTGAGAGAAGTCCTGGCCATTATGATTATTATCATCATCAGCTATTATTACTATTACTATTATTTAATATTTTATAGAAGTGACAGTAGAAGTAGAATAATTGCCAGCTCTAGATATACCCTCCACCTCTCCTGATTTGCATTGTTTCTCTCCGTGTACGACCTAAAACTAGATAGTTAGTCTATCCAGGCGATTATCTTAGTACTAGTCACCTACTGGTACATACTAGATAGACTACCTAGTACCTACTACTAAGCCCGTCCTGCTGGATTCCAGAAAAGAACCTCCTGAGTCAAAAAGTTTAGTGTCTCCAGCGTCCATTATTGCTCCTCCTTTCCTTCTTCTTGTCTTTGGATCTTCACTTCTTGACAAATTCTGGCTCTTTGTTCACCCATTCATTCATTCATCCCTTGTATCCCTATAGTCTAGGTATCCTTGATGTTCGCTCCTTTCAGGTCTTGATGATCTTGTGTACTCTCTCTCTGCTCTCGCTCGAGGACTGTCTTCCCGATGGAATAAATGAAGAGTGACGAATGTGCCACTATTGAGTATGTTCAATCTTTTCTGCCCTCTTGTCCCTTGCTACTTGAATTCTACTGGCGACTTGCATCATCATCAGCTGTAAAGAATTCAGGCAAGAGAAAAAAAAAAGAAAAAAAAAAAGGCCCCCAACAGCAGGGCGGTGCAATCACCAACATTCTCCAACTCAAGGCTGACCAGAGACATAACATTCTTACAGTTTGCTGTTTCAGGATGATCTAGTGGCTTCATTTCGACTTCCTCAGCCCTTAGAAAAATACTTCTACACCCCTCCGCGAGAACCATCGAACTGTACAATCCGCCATCACGGCGTGAGATTTCTATATATCGCCAACCATGCAGCACACCAAAGGATCCGAATCCCCGGAGCTGGGACGATCAATCTCCCGTTCACGCAGTACCAGCATGTCTAGCGACTCCCAGCTTCCACGCCTCCATCTCCTCTCGCCACCACCAGTCAACCCCGCTCCGTGTTTCATTGCATCGTCCGCCGCCGCCGAGATCATCACCGCAGACCAGGAATTCAATACCGCAGACTTCGTGACCAACGAAGAAGATGCTGGCGCCGATGCCAGCGCCCTCATCACCCCCGAGGCCCTGATCGCTTTGAATGGCTTTCTCGATCACCTGTTATTCAACATTCTGGCCACAGCCAAGTCGACGCAACTGACCTGCATCCGGCCTGCGATAGCAGAGGTCTTGAAGCCTCGGCTGGCGAAGGAGGTGGTGTCCGCGGCTGATGAAGAGCTGAGCGAGTATATGGGCGGGGAAGAGGACGAGCAATCCGAATTCCGCGGTGGTCAGAGCCCCACGACCGACTTTGATCTGATTCGCTCCTGGAAATTGACTCGCCTGCGATGTATGGTGTACACGAGACTGGGCGACATGGAGGAAGACGACGAAGACGAGTACATTGCGCAGGATGGATTGGTGGAGACGGGTGAGGGGATCCCCGCCAGATTTACCAGCCATGTGGGCAATATCACCCCGGCCGCCGCGATCTTCTTGACCTCCATCATCGAACACATTGGAGAGCAGGCTCTCATCATTGCCGGTGAAACCGCAAGGTCTCGACTTTCTTTGAAGCTGGGCGACGACCACGATGAAGTGACCGAGTCCGGCGCCGAACGCAGCAGTTTGGATCGACTGGTGGTGGAGGAACTCGACATGGAAAAGTTGGCTCTGAACCCGACTCTCGGACGTCTCTGGCGAACATGGCGGAGACGCGTTCGGACCCGCAGCTTGTCTCGGACGGTCTCGAGGGAGTCGATCCCGCGTCGCAGATTGACTGTCGCCTCTGTGAGCAGCAGAAAAAGCAGCACTGCCGGCATCGACGATCCTCAACCCCAGATGCCTGTGCCGTCGGTCCAGGTGTCCCGAAAGGAACTCGATCCGGCATCTATCTCTCTACCCATGAGTGAGCATGATATCGATGAGATTGAGATTCCTGGATTCATCTCCGACCTCGATGGCAGCGAGGTGCACGAGATCCACGAGGTTCAGACCATGCAGGCCGTCGTTGCCCACAAGGTGCGACCCCACAGCCTCATGGTGCTCACGCTGGCGTCCCCGAGATCACCTTCATCAAACGGAAACTCCCCCGTCACTCCTGGCAGCGCACAGAGCACCAGGTCCACTCGTCATGTCCGATCGCGGTCCCTTCCTGGTAGTCCAGTGCTCCAAGAAGACACATCATGCAGCGACGAGGTGGCCGAGGGGGTCTCCCCAACTGAGGAGCAAAAGCGCCTGGAGACGATGTATGAACGCGATGAGGACGACAAGCATTCGCGGCCGCGGAAACTCGGCCAATCCTCGCATGCTCGAGGTCTGCCGGCCGATAGCCCGGCCGATGAGCCGACAGGTCCTGCCGCCTGTCCAGAAGCCGTCACCACATCTTCGCTATCAGCGGCGTCAATGGATGCCGTGACTAGCCAGGCCAGTACCACTGACCTGTCATCGGCATCCGTGAGCGATTACCAGGACAGCCGTTCGGAGATTATCGAGGGTCATGGACTGTTCGAAAAGCCGACTTTGGCTCCATTGCAGCGACCAAAACGAATGGGAAGCAAGGATCCTACTCGAAGCACTCCTTCGTCGCCAGCAAGAGAAAGTCCCTCGCAAGCCGAAGAGGCCAATGAAGCTCATGTACAAGGTCAGGTAGCCAAATCCAGTGCGTCACGCCCCGCTGTCAACCTCGATGCCTCCTGGCTCTCGGATGAGGATGCATCTGGCCCAGAAGCCGGACTTCCAGAACGATCGGCTTCTGCGGGCAGTAGCTCTACCCGAGCGACACCACTTCCAGCCGACATCCCCATCAAGAAAGTCGGCCAGCCCGTGTCCACTCCCGGAGAAAATAGTCGTTCCGACCGTCCTCGGACAAGGCCCATACCCGCGCCCTTGTCTCTGGTCAGTGTCGCTCAGCAATCCTTCGGACGGACGAGTCCCGCACTATCTACGCCTGGGAGCTCAATTACCGAGCGTGCTGCGGTTCAGCGCTTATCACGCCCATCTCCCTCGACAGCCTCGTCCACTTACTCGAGGTCTTGCCGGTCAGACAGTATCGGTAGTTGTCGCGTGACGCGCCCTCTTACCGCGGGGTCCACTACTTCCCAGGTTTCGAGCAAGATCAAGGGTCTCATTGGTCGCCAGACTGAATCCGCTGCTCATACTCTTCGCAGTTCCTCCGACACCGGTCGAGCATCTGCTGCCACTGGTGATTCTGTTGATGATGACAAATCTGCACTGGATGATCTGATTCAAAGCGAAGAGACCATCCACTATACATTGACACCTAAGAGCGTGAGGGATATAGAGGTTTGTTGATACCGATTTATCTTTAAACCCGAGAATTTGATGGCTGACATCTGACATAGGAGATGGATTTCCCTGCGCGTCGACCTTCGCGGACAGCAACTTCAGACTTGGCCGAGTTCTTTAAAGATACAGCACCACCAGGAACCGAGGTACCTAGACCGAAGGCATCCAAGTCATCTTCCAAGAGCAACATCGATCTCTCCCCAATCGCAAAGTCCAACTCAGCCGATAGGTCGAAGTTCAGGTCTATCCCGGCCACGGATGCAGATCTCGCTGAGAAACCGAAGAGCTACACCCGTAGCAATGGGCCACGTCTTGAGGCCCGCTCAGCAGTGAGCCCAAGAGGGGACGAAACATCCGAACTAATCAAGTTCCTGCTAGAAGGTCCACCCGACAGCGGGGCTCATCAGGTTGCCCGCACAACTGCCCCATCGCAGGATACACTGGCTTCGACCGACTTGCGGAAGAGGATTCCTTCAGTTGCTAGCACACAGGAGGGGTCGATGGCGACTCGGTCCCTGACTTCTATCGGATCCCACACGGCGCTTTTGGATTCTGCCACTCGCTCGACGGCACAGACAGACGTTGCCCTTAGGACAGCCACTTCCTCGAGTAGCACTCCAGTTGAAGCTCAGCCTGTGCGGAAACCGCGTCGGGTGCGAGATCCGTATGCCATTGACGATTCTGACGATGACGAGCTGCTTGAAGATCTCTTGCAATCGTCCAAGCCGAAACGGGAGGAGGAAAGTTTGATGGACTTCCTGCGCAATGTCCCACCGCCTGACTTTGATCCCCAGCCTGTGCCTATCCAGGCACCACTGACCAGGTCTCCTTCGACCAGTTTTGGCAGTGCCTCAGCCATGAAGGCCCGGCTTCTCCGCAACACTTCCTTCGACAAATCTCTTTCCATGAAGTCTTCAAGGTCTTCGCTGCGTCAGCAATCGGACAACCACGCAATGGGGCCGTCGAACTATACCGTCAAAGGCGGCATGGAGTACAATGGAGGAGCTATACATGCTGGGTACGGTCTGTCTACGGTGTCTGAGAAACAGACCGAGACCAGTGCGTTAGCCAGTTTCCTCAGGAATACGGGCCCGCCGGAGCCTCCTGCCAGTCGGCCTATGTCCACAAGCAAAAAGGACTTGAGTAGTTTCTCTCGTCTCTTTGGTCGTCGGAAGAAGGTGGAAGCCTAGTGCACCCACCATCCATCCTCGAATATTTTCAGCTTCTCCCCCTTTTTTGCTCCTTCTTTGCGACTACGAAACCCGCTACATGCTTGGCAGATGACCTGTCTCTTTGAGCGTTCTGAGCCAGTGACGAATCATTGCTTGCTTCTTCTTCACTATATTGATACTCCCTGCAGTATTTGCCAGCTGATACTCTGCACATACCTTTATTTGACTTTCATCAAAGCGGTCTTTATAAAATTGCGCTCACTTGGCTATACTATACCATCTATTCCCTTCTCTCTGTTATGATTCTCTTCAGCTCATATCCTGTCTGGATATTTATCTCGACTCTTCGACTTTCCAATGAACATCGGACTGGGTTGTGAATGTATATATGACTGGTTGCCCCATTCTTTCGGTCCTCAAGGCCAAAATCAATCAATCGCACTATACTTTCACATGAATGTTTCATGTTTCTCTCACTATGAGCAAGATCGGCGCACTCAAGCAGTAGATGTAGATTCTCCAAATGAGGACATAGAACCGACTCGCAAGCTGTATACTTGACTGCACTGTCGAACATTCCCTTACGACACTGTTCACGAAGAAAAAAACATCATTGGGACGACTATAATCGAAATCTCAATCTTCCAAATCAAATATTATTGCTCACTGTGACTATCAAAATGAATTGCGCTCCTCATAGATATGGCCAACGATAGCGGAACATCATTTTCCCGAGAGCTCCCCGTAGACGCGGCGTGGCATCAATAATGTTTGTAGTATCCGTTCCGCAATCGAGTCCATCTGTCCAATATCTTCAAAGCCTCCCCCTGTCGGCCCAACAGGACACTCTAAAACAAACTCCCTCACAATGGGTCGCTCCTCAAACCTCAGCCTGGGGTCCGTCCTTAGCGTCCTCTTCCTTCTTTTCGCCCAGCTCTCGTCCGCACTGAAATTCGACCTGTTCGCCAGCACGGGGAACAACGAGCGATGTATACGTAACTTCGTCTTCAAGGATCAATTGGTTGTGGTGACCGCTATTGTGGGCGGGCAGAAGGGTGATGGGCAGGTTGTCAATATGCATGTATGTGGTTCGCGGTTTGCGGTTTGCGGTTTGCTCCTTTGGATTTAAACCGTTGCGTGGTTGTCGTTTTATCGGGTGCGTTGTTGGAGAAGTGAACTGATGCTAACTGCCGTCTCCGGGGGGATAGATCAAGGATGCGCTCGGCAACGACCACGGCCGGCCCAGAGATATCGCAGGCGAGACTCGGCAGGCGTTCACCTCTGTCGCGGACACGGCGTTCGATGTCTGCTTTGAGAACAAGCTCGTTTCTCACCGTGAGTTTCCCTGGCCCTTCTGTCCCCTTGGACCAGGAATATCTGGTCTTCGGGGAGTTTATTGCATGGCGTCTGTGTGTGTGTGTGGTGCTAACACCGATTACGTTCTAGACGGCCACTCCAACCTCTTCGAATCCATCGAGCTCGACGTTGAAATCGGCGCCGACGCCCGCGACTGGTCCAGCATCCAGGCCCAGGAGAAGCTCAAGCCCGTCGAGACCGACCTCCGCCGCATCGAGGAGATGGTCGCGGAGATCGTCAATGAGATGGAGTATCTGCGCGCCCGGGAACAGAAGCTGCGCGACACCAACGAGAGCACCAACGAGCGGGTCAAGTGGTTCGCCTTCGGTACGATGGGCATGTTGATTGGGCTCGGCGTGTGGCAGGTCATATACCTCAGGGCTTACTTCCGGTATGTTTTTCATCTAGAGTCTGCTGGAGGTTTTGTTTGGGTACATTGGTCGCGGTGTTTGTATTCTGGCTAACCCTGCTTTGCGTTGCGTGGTCTAGGTCGAAGCATCTTATCTGAGACCTTCTCGCGTTCTGTTTTGGGAGCTTCTGGCTGTCTGAGGAGGTGGCTCATCGCTGCTTCTACATGGCACTGCGGCGGCTCTGTTGCATTTGATGTATTCAGCCTTATGTAGTTTCAGGTATATTTTATGGTGCAATTGCTCGGTTACTCATACTTATGAAATGACACCTGTGATGACTGAATTCTTCCGGACTGTAGTAGCTCAACGAAGAGTATATTTGCCCAGTAGCAATATTAATAGTATCGTTGCGAAAACGTGTTGCTCAACCGTTCTATGGGATACCGAATTGTGCAGTTGGTTCACTTGAGGCCCATTGAGTCCTTGTGTACAAACCTCTGCTAGCTACAGACATCATGTAGTAAGCCATGCCATACATCCTCATGAGAAGCAATCAGCTTCATGAAGACGATACTATGGATACTGCGTACCTAGGCTTCGCCTGGTATACATCCATGTGCAAACGCTGCAAACAACGCAGTATTACCGCGGATGATGTCAATTCCGTCATTATTAATGGCCTCACTCTACATTGTCAACATCGTCGTCAGCGCCGACGGCCTATACCCCAAGCTCTATCCTCAATTTACTCAATTTGAAGTCTGAAAATGTCTGCACCACGACTAATCCAACGCCTGCTGCGCCCAGCAGGCTCACCCCTTTCTCTCACGACGACAATCGCCCGTCGTCCCTTCGGCAGCTCGGCTGTCCGCTCAAAGGATGCCAATGGCAATGGCATGGATCGCGCGCCCTCGACGGCCCCAGCGCACCGCGAGAACCAGACATCCAAGCCCCCGAATCCCGCCGTGCCGAACACAACCTCTACTATGACCAATGACTTCCCCAGCGTTGGCGCCAGAACGCCGCCTCCGGAGCTCTTGAACTCGGTCGACCCGAACTACAAGCCCGCGGATTCGTACGCTGGCAAGGTTGAGCATTTCACCGGCGGCAGGGAGCAGCCCGGTACGCAGAAGCCGGAGCTCGCTGTGGGCGAGATGGAGGGGATCACGTTCAAGGTTGAGCCGCTCCGGCGGACGGGCGAGGACCCGGCTACGATGCGGGCTCGGTTGCTGTGTATGTTTTGTCCTCTTTTTTTTTGTTTCTTGGTTCCTCTACACTGTCCTCCGGAGTTGATTGGAGCTAATGCGATCTTATTCTGGCTACACAGACCAGAGCAGAAAGCGAGGAATCCTTGAATCGGACCTGCTCCTGTCTACCTTTGCCGACGTCTATCTGGCCGATATGACGCCCGAGGAGCTCCAGCAGTATGACCGGTTCCTCGACGAGAACGATTGGGATATCTACTACTGGGCCACGCAGGATGCCCCCGACTCATCGGCCGCGGCCAACGCGCCTGCGCAGGATACGGTCACGGAAACGTGGAAGCGCACTGGCGAGAAGAGCGGCGAATGGAGACAAACGCACGGAGCTTACAAGGCTGCGTATCGGCCTGTCCCCTCGCGGTGGGCCGAGTCGGAGGTCCTCACGCTCCTGAGACAGCATGTGCGCGATAAGAGCGCCAAGGGATTTCATGCTGCGAAGAACAAGAAGACGGCTGGCGGTGGTTTGGGACGGATGCCCAATATCCAGATCTTTAACAAATAGTTTTACTGCGCTGCGGGTTTGGGTTGCATGGCATATTGCTTGGTAGAGCATTATGTGAAGGGACTATGACCGGGATGTGTATATATAGGCATGTACAATAGAAAACAATGGTTGTTCAATGACTATCGGCAGTAGATATTTTGAATCCGGACAAGTCATGGTTGTATACCAGCTCGCTCGCTATATTCAAGTTCGAATATACCGTAGTAGTTCCCTCGACACAAGGACCATCGTGGAGACTAGTAGTAGTAGTAGTAGTCTACATGCTGCCCTCGAAGCCCCCATAAGGCCATTCTCCATCTGCCATCACCCGATGACATGACGGATATAGATGGACAAGCCACGTGACTCGCTTAGGCTTAGGGCTTGCGGACCACACAACCAGTGGCGGAACGGGCTAGTTTAGGGCTTAGGCGGGCACGCTGGTTCTGCTCCTCCATCCTCGAGTGCTGCGATTTTATCTCAGGCCCAGAGTCAACGACAATTGCTCCGCCCGCGTTCATCCTCCTCTCTCCTCTCGCGGCCCCTTCATCGTCATCATGGCTGAGCAGATGGTTCTTCGTGGTACCCTTGAGGGCCACAATGGCTGGGTTACTTGCCTGGCTACCTCTCTGGAGAAGTAAGGGAATACCGATCATCAAAAAAATTGCAGCAAAAAGATCAATGCCGCAAGAGATGGGAAAGAAATGAGAAAGAAAGAAAGAAAGAAGTGAAGAGAAATGAGGGCACAAAGAAATTTTCATCACCTTGAAGATGGGCGAAAATTTTCGGGCATTGATTTGAGCTGGAGCAATATATCTGGACAAATGGATTCTGACATGGTTTTTTTTTTCTCTCGATAGCCCCAACATGCTGCTCTCTGGCAGTCGCGACAAGACCCTGATCATCTGGAACCTTACCCGCGATGAGCAGGCCTACGGTTACCCCAAGCGCAGCCTCGAGGGTCACTCCCACATCGTCTCTGACTGTGTATGCCACCCCGTGAATTCCTAAGAGATCGGAGGATTCAAGACCATGAGAAAAGAAGCAAGGAGAGGGAAATGCGAAGACAACCTGGCTGACCGTGTATGTTTTCGTACAGGTGATCTCCTCTGACGGCGCCTACGCTCTGTCCGCCTCTTGGGATAAGTCCCTCCGCCTGTGGGAGCTCGCCACCGGCAACACCACCCGCACCTTCGTTGGCCACAACAACGACGTCCTCTCCGTCTCCTTCTCCGCCGACAACCGCCAGATCGTCTCCGGTTCTCGTGACCGCACCATCAAGCTGTGGAACACCCTCGGTGACTGCAAGTTCACCATCACCGACAAGGGCCACGCCGACTGGGTCTCCTGCGTTCGCTTCAGCCCCAACCCCCAGAACCCCGTCATCGTCTCCGCTGGCTGGGACAAGCTCGTCAAGGTACGTTCATTTCTCTCCCGTTCCGTTCGCGTTGATCTGAGACCCGAACCCGCCTGTTCAAATGATGTATTGCATAATTATGTATTTGCTACTTCAGAGCCCTTTGCGGCCATGAGACAAAAAATCACCAATGCCCTGATGAACACAAAAGATCGATTCGATTTTTTGCACTTGGAATATGACGAAACAGCTCTGTTACTGTGGAAACAAAGAACTAACACGAGTATTTTGGTCATTCTAGGTTTGGGAGCTCGCTTCTTGCCGTCTCCAGACCGACCACATCGGTCACACCGGTTACATCAACACTGTCACCATCTCCCCCGATGGATCCCTGTGCGCCTCCGGTGGCAAGGACGGCACCACCATGCTCTGGGATCTCAACGAGTCCAAGCACCTCTACTCCCTCCACGCCGGCGATGAGATCCACGCCCTCGTCTTCTCCCCCAACCGCTACTGGCTCTGCGCTGCCACCAGCAGCTCCATCACCATCTTCGACCTCGAGAAGAAGAGCAAGGTCGATGAGCTCAAGCCCGAGTTCGTCGAGAAGAGCGCCAAGGCCCGCGAGCCCGAGTGTATCTCTCTCGCCTGGTCCGCTGATGGCCAGACTCTGTTCGCTGGTTACACTGACAACAAGATCCGTGCCTGGGGTGTCATGTCGAGGGCATAGATGAGTGTTTAGCGGAGGAGAGGAAACTCATGTTTTTCTTTTGTTTTTTCAAAAAGAAAGCGCAGGCATTGGTTGGGATGTATGAGCCACGAGCAATGAAAGCACTCCGGGCCTGGGCCCTGGGTTTTTCTCTTGACATGTCCTAGCTTACTTGATTCTCCATAAAATTCGTACGTCTGGGATCTTGTGAAGGGTTGGCATGCCAAAATGTTCTAATACCAAGTATAAACAAAAAAAACATACCATAAAAATATACCTTAACTTTCCTACTCTTCAACGCCTTGTACTGTAAGCTCGTAGTATCTCCTTTTCTGCCCCAATAGATCAGTGTCATGTCAACCCATCGTTACAAGTGTATTATTATCCATCTACTGTACATATTTCCAGGCCGCTATTTCTTCAACTGTGCCAATGCCTCATCCACAAGCACAACACCCTCGTCGAATCCTAGACCCTTAGCAAGAGACCTTGCCTCGAGCCAATATTTCTCGGCTTCCTTGCGCTTGCCCTGGAGATGCGCGATTTCCCCTAGGCTGTGCATGGCCGCAACGCAGGACATGTCACACTCCTCGTCACGGACGGGAGGCTGCAGTCTAGCGGCGACGTCCAGGGCCTTCTGCGCCCACTGCTTGCCGGAATCGATGAGCTGCTGCGGCGCGGCCGCGGAGCCGGGGGACGGCGTGTTCTTGTGGAGCTCGCCGGTGATGGCGGTGGCGACGTCGGCCATGAGCGTGACCTGCTTGCAGGTCGGATTCTTGCCCTCGTCTGTGCGCAGCATGTCCAGAGCGCGCAGCAGGAGCGGCAGGGCCAGCTCGTTCTTCCCTTGCTGCAGATAAGTGTGGGCAAGTTCCGAGAGCGAGGATGCCATCTCTGTCAGGCTCAGCCAGGCGCTTCTGTCGTCTCCGGTTGAGGCCGTGCCGACGGGCAGGCCCAACGCCTGCCGACGATGGAGCTCCTTCAGGGAGAGTTCGACGGCGGCTTCCTGGCACGCCTCGGCTTTCTTCTCGTCCTGGATGTAGTCACTTGCGTAGAGTTCCGCGAGGCGCATGTTGATGCCCACCACCTTCTTCAGCACCTTGTCGCGCTGGCGCTCCTCGTATTCCGCCAGCTCCTTCATCTTCTCATCCGTGGCGAGCACCTCCGAGTCGTCAATCTGGATCTTCTCCGGCTTCTTGTCCGCCTCTGTCTCGGCCTTCTGCGCATCCTGCGTCCTCATCCTGCCTTCCTCCACCCACTTCAGACACTCCGTCTTCGAGCGCTCCAAGACCTGGATGGCAGGCTTCGCCAGCCCGGCCTTCTCCAGCATCATCGCAACCTGCAGATGAATCCCGATCATCTCGTCCGAGAACGGATGCATGCCGAGCTCAACTGCATTTCGCAAAGCCTCCTTGTACGCCTTCAGAGCCTTGGGCGGGTTGAGGTCGATCTCGGTGTAGTACACAGCCGTGCGCAGCGCCTCGGCGACCGGCGGCGGGAATTTGTGATACTGCGGCCCGACGCGCGTCACCTCGACGTACGAGATGTAGGCGAATATGGCGCTGGCTCCAACTACGGAGATGATGGCCAGCGGGAGGAGGATCGGGTTCTTGCGCCAGATGCCCTTCGAGGCTTCTTGGTAGCCGTGTTTCATTCGGTGGGCGAAGCTGACATGGCGGGTTTGCGGGCGACCGTGTCCGGACAGGCGGAGTGGGTTTTGGGGATGTCTGTTAGGAGGGAAGGTTCCGGTGCTGTTCAAGGGTCGGAATCTGTGAGACGTCGAGCGTGTTGAGAAGGTTTGGTGGCATTGTAAGTTTTTGGGCCGGGGGATGGAGGCGCAGGCGCGCCGTGATGCTGTGTTCAACATATTGTGTGCGTCCTTTCCCTTGCCGTCAGATCATTTAAATCGTGTGTATAAATCGTCTAGAGATGATAGCTTGTGGCGGAGAACTCGTGACGATTGCAAGCGATATTGGCGAGGTTGTTCGTAGTCTATCAGTGGAGAGAATTATATCAATGACTTTAGGATCGGAGGTGGTCCAAGCTCCGCCGCCTGGTACATATGACGTCGAGTCATCTGCTCAACACAACAATTATCACTCCTCCAGTTGCGCTTAATGCTTGCGAATCACTCGCAGATGATGTGGAAAGGTTGAAATACTATTTCATGGCACTGAATCTGCCAAGATGTGTGGACGATACGCCCTGGGAGTGGTCGGTAGATCGATACCTCTACGGAGTAGTGACTAGCTAACCAAATCACCAGCGCATGGCCTATATCCGGCGCCATCTGCAGGAGCAAGGCATGGAGGTGGATGAGGTACCCGATGAGGACGCAGTAAGAGAAACGTACAACTTTGCACCGGGGTATAACGGCGCTGTCTACCGCGCCGACGTGTCGGACCGTGGTCTCGTCGACGACACGGAGGAACACGACTCAGCAGAACACTCGGAAGAGACGCCAGCAGACTTTCGAGATGAGAAACAGATGACGCATGATAAGAAGTTGAGGTATAAGATCCAGAGTATGAGATGGGGTCTCATCCCGTTTTGGATGAAGCGGCAGCCCGACTATGGCTCCCTCATGCGAACGATAAACTGTCGCGATGATTCCCTTATTGAAGACCGAGGCATGTGGACGTCGATGAAGAGGAAAAAGAGATGCATTGTGATCTGCCAGGGCTTCTATGAATGGCTGAAGAAAGGGCCTGGAGGGAAGGAGAAGGTCCCGCATTACATCAAGCGCAAAGACGGCGAGTTGATGTGCTTTGCGGGGCTGTGGGATTGTGTGTCGTATGAAGGTAATATGCAATTCTCGTGGAGTCATTTTCGGGGTGGGATGGTGTGCACTGACACCACAGGCAGGCTCGGACGAAAAGCTCTACACATACACTTTTATCACGACTTCATCAAATGCATACCTGAAGTTTCTACATGACCGGATGCCAGTGATCCTCGAGCCAAACAGCAAAGCGATGCAAATCTGGCTAGATCCCAGTCGCACGACATGGTCGAGCGAGTTGCAGTCAATCCTCAAGCCGTACGAGGGCGAACTGGAATGCTACCCAGTCTCAAAGGATGTCGGCAAAGTCGGGAACAACTCTCCTGATTTTATCATACCCGTCAACAGCAAGGATAATAAGAGCAATATTGCCAATTTCTTCGCAAATGCGAAGAAGCCAAAAGAAGAGCCCGGAATATCGGTTAAGGTCCAGGAGGAAGACACGAAGGAGCTGCTGTCTTCTGAGCGAAAAGTAGTGAAAGACCAATCTGAGGAACGCAAGACTCAGGACGATCACTGGAGTGAGGATAATGCTCCGATTCCAGGACCAGGAGTTAAAAGGGAGCATCCTCCAGACGGCGACGATATGATCAAAGACGTAGATCACAAGAAACAAAAGACTGAGCCTACTCAAGCGTCTTTTACAAAGAAGGGCCAATTGCCTCGGCCAACTTCAAAGCAGCAGGCAGTTTCTTCCACCAGGAAAACACGAAGCGCAACACAGAATGACAAGCCTATGAAGAAAACAAATGCAAAGAGAGGGACCGATGGTTCTCAGCGAATCACGAACTTCTTTCAGAAATAATACACCACTATTTTCGTATGATCTCCCATCTGCATGGTTTACAAACATGCCCAGTGAGCGTTTGTCGCTTGCAGAATAGACAGTGCAAGCTTGCGGACACGCTCAGAACTGCAGAATCCTTGAAGTACCTAGGTATTGTGATGCGAAATTAACGCAAAATATAACTCAACTGTCCGGCAGCTTCGATGTTTGAGAATGCAACAAGTATAGTACAAGATATGGTGATAATACATGTCTAATGACGTACCCTATTGTAACTCACGGAGCCTCTGAACCAGCTTCTCTCTTAGGAAGGGACTCAATCCAAGGCTAGAGCAAAGTGTCAGCATCAAGATCAGATATAAGGACTCCGAAAGGATCTTACATTCCATCTCGAGTAATAATTCGGTAAGTGCCTGTTGCCAGTTAGCATGAAATCCCGGTTTTTATTGGGCACATATGAGCCGTACCGCTTGGTTGGTAGTTTCCATTCTCTCCCACAAATTGCCCATTGGCATCGACTTCAAGACTGCCGAAAATATCCTCGGGCCTTCCACGCCATTAGTAATTTACACCAGGGCTTCAGCGAAGGGTTCCATACCATGCAATCCGTCCATATTCTGGAGGCCGCCTGCTATCCGAGACATGGATCCAGCCACCCCTACCAGCAGACCCAACACCACCTTGACCGCTGGCTCCCCCACTGGAGTCTTTGGTCTCCCGCCGTCTCCTGGGTTGTTGTCCCGTCATCAGGACTCCTCCGGGGCCCAGATTGGCTCCGGCCGTCGAAACCATGACTTGGGCTTGAGAAATCGCATCCGGGTCTTCGTGGGCATATTTCGAGAGAACTTCTTGCAAGATCTTCAGAAAGTTGGGGTTCTCCCTGAAGGAGTCCGTTGTTGGGGGCAATTTGGATGTGGTGCCAATGGCCGTCTTTTGGTTGGTAGGCTCTGAAGATAACAATGACAACGTGTGTCTACCACTTTCCGGCTCATTTTGGAATACAAACTGGGACTGTGAGCCTTGAGAAGGAACGAACTTTGTTGACGGCGGAACTTACAATATGAGGATTGCTGTCAAGTGTAGACAATGAGCGGATCTGGCACCATCTCGCAGCCCTAAAAGAGTGCCGGGCAAATGTGTTCGTTAGAATCATACTCGAGCAACTACACGCGAATATCCAGAGATAAATTGGTATCTCAATGGAGTACTTGGAGGTGGATGGAAGAAAGCTTCGATTGATGCTTCTTTCTTATGACGCGGTAGAGGCAAACAAGACAAACTCATGTGACACAATGCATCGTCGGCTGCGACAATTTATTATTGTAGTATTAATGCAGTCAAAGGGTTATTCCACAGTTTTTCATATTGGCTACCAATCCCTCTACTTGCTTTTCTTTCTGTTCTGCTTGGCTGATTGTGATGAGGAAAGTCGTCTTGCGTAGACTGCCACCGGTCTAGCGATCTTGCATTTGCCGACAGTGTTTATCGTGCATCTCTCCGTAACACGGAAAACAGACACTTCATTGATAAACCTGGCTCTTAATTTTATTCCAATTCCATGCATGACACTCAACTGTTGCTAAACCATTCATGAAGTGCTGCTGCTGAGGCATTGTTAATACCATTCTTGACTCTGACCAAACATGGCGACACCATCTTCGAAGCCAAACCCGGGAGCAACCCCAACCCACCTGACTTCTTCTCCTCGTCCTTCTGGTGGGCATATGGCAAGACCCATAGCTCACAAGTCACCGTCAACAAGGACACCCTCAGCATCAGGACATGGCCATGGTCATCAACCGAGCGTGTCCTCTCACCAATATGCCACGCCTCTTGCCGCAACTACAGGTATTGACGATGCTGTCACGTTCAGTTCACCTTCGGCTCTGCTTGCGCTCGGTGGTTATAGCGGGATTAGTCCTTCTCCTGCTGGGCATGATGCGCTGGTAGGCTCTGGTATGAATGAGAATGACATTCAGACGCTGGGAATGCAGGGGATCAAACTAAGAACTGCTCGGGATAATGATGAAGAGCGGAGAAGACACATTGATGATGTCGTCCAGCTATTACGGACCCGCATCGCCGGCAGGGCAGTTTGCAGAGAAGGGATCGAGAGACTGGGCCAATTTGAGAAATTTGAATCGATCTGGCAGGAGGACAATCTCAATATTGCTGGAAATTTCGTTGACCTTGAGATTGAATTTTATCGCGGTCAGAATGTTGTGAAAGACGTCAGCCTCAACTATCTAACGCAAGAAGGTACGGATGGCGAACGGCGAGAAGAAGCTACGGCTGTCTTAAAGCGCGATCTAGTGCAGAACCCGGAAGACGGAGAGCGTGGTATATGGAAGTCTTTGACTGGATTTCATGGGAATCTACAGTGGCTTTCCAAACATGACCGGCTCAGCCAGGAAGTCAATTGCTTTGAAGCGATTGAAGGTCTCTATGCGAGCTTGAAACGGGTATGGAGTGAGGAGCAGAAGCTTCCCAAGTACTCCCGTGAGTATGAGCACCTATGTGCAGGAGCTATCGGCCGACCTGGTCTCCATAGAGGGAATCGATTGGGACTCTGTTTGGATTATTGGATTCCCCAGGCGCGAGTGCTAGACGCAAAGCATACGAAATCATCTCCTGACGCCATGGCCATCGATCAACCTGCTAGTCAAGCGACCGACGACGATCTAGAGCCGCAAAAAGGAAAATGGCGTGTTATGATCGAGTGCGAAGAAGGATACCCGTCACTACGTATTTCAAAAGAGTGGGTTGGCTCCGAAGCTCTTACCGTGGTGAACAATGACGCGAATGGCTCTTCTTCGAGTGAGACCGCCGCTTCAGACATTGCAGTCGTCAACTGGGCCGAGCCACCCCCAACCATGAGCTCCTTAAATCAGGGTGGCTCCGAGGCGATGGGGCTTGATACAAGCATGCTGGGTTCCTCCACACCGAACCGCCGATTCGTCGCTCGAATGGAGCCGCCTCTTGATGTTCCCATCTTGGCAGCTTCTGATATCTATCGGCACCTGGGCATTCAGCTGCCTCATGAGTTTCGAATGGTGACTTATGACGGGTTGCTAGTTCCCGGATGGTCGCCTCTGTCCGCGACGGAGGCGGACGCTGAAGACTCCAATCAACCGAGTCGGAGAAGGCGAAGAACGTCTGTACAGGGGTTTGACCAGGAAGGCAAGCCTTGCACAAAACATCATGGTTACACTTTCCAGGCTTTCGAGTCAGTGGCAGGTCGAACCATGCGTGATATACCATTCTCGCATCCGCGGCAACTTGCAGACATCTTCCCGGTAGGTACATGATATGGTGAATTAGTCTCATTTTCTGACACTTCCTTTGCCTAGATCCTTCGCCAGTATGCTGTGCTAGCAAACCTTGTTCACAAAATCTTCAAGGACGAAGGGTTGAAGAAAGATAGCCGGGGAAATACAGAGAGAACTTCCAGCCAACAAGATCCTAGGTTGCCGACCAAGCAGAATAAAACGATCGTCTTGAGCAACAAAGATCCGAATGAGCAGAAGCTTGAACTATTGCTGAAGGGACCAAACAAATCAGCTGTTGGTGCCACGGGCATCGGAGAAGACACTCCAATGTCCTCGCCGACACCGCTGGACAACGACGGTGCCCGACGAGAAGAAGTCAAGGTGGATGTGACTCTGCGAACTCAGCTCGGCCAAGCACCTGTGATTATGCTGCTGTTCACGGTGGAGGACCCTCGTCTCGCAATTTCTCCTGGGGACTCCATATTGAGTAAGGTGTCGCTTAGTTTAGAGATTGGGCCGAACGGCCGAATCTCGGTTGTGGACATGACGGGACTACTGGAGACCGAGATCGCCGCAAATGGCAAGCCTGATGTACAAGTGGCTGATGGCCAGGTCAAGGAGGCCCATGGATTGCAAAGCAAAATCGCCAAGGTGCTAGAGATATCCCAAGATATTGGGATACTGGTGGAATGGGTGTCGCGGTGGGTACGGCAGCAGAAGGGTCGGGGGTGAAATGCGGGACGGGCCACGGTCGTATGGAATACGGAGTAGGACTGTCCGCAAACCCCGGGTGGGGAGGAGGTAGCCTGGTAGGTAGTGTAGGTGGAATCAACCTGTCGGTTTGCTTACCGTCCCGACTTCCCCATGCCGTCCCTCAATCTCCGTTGTTCCCACATTGCAAGCAGCTGCCACATACATGCATTGCACTAATCCTGCGGACCGCGGGACGCCGGCACCCGATCGTAGGGGCTAGATACCTGAGCTTCGATGGGTTTGAACATTTCTACTCTCTGGAACAGCGGGGTTGCGAGCTATCATATCAACCAACCTCCTTCTTAAGAGGGTAAAGAGTAGCGTGCTTACTGCTCACTCCAAAGAGGCCGAAAGCCGACCTGCATGGCCGAACTGTTGTGAAGCTGTTGTTACTGGTTACTCAAGACGCTGGTCCAGGGGCCTTCTATCCCCGCGACGGCGATCCGTTGCATGGCTGGCCGAACGAGCGCAAGCGGGATACGGAGTGCAGAGTGACATGTCATTCTACGGGGTCGGGTCCAGCATGAACAAGTCATCCAAGGGTCTCCGGTGCAGAAATCAGGTCGAAATTCGGGCAAGTGTGACTGTGTGAGAGTCCAACCAGGGGGGGGGGGTTGGGTCTGGGGAATTTGGCATGGAGTTAATTGGCTACGGGATTTGTGTAGGATAAGATGCCTTAGTACAGAGTACCTAGAAAGCATCTAGCAGGTTACCCTGTGGAAGAAGCGAGCTCGATATTTGAGACCAGGGCCGCACGATGTATCATGTATCATATCGCACGTGTAACCTAATTCCAACCTCATTGTATCGAGTTGACTTCCAACAACTGAATGCATGCAACAGTCTGCGACCAACCCAAGAGCAACAAATATTAGTACTACTACATAGACGCAATTTCTTTTCCCAAATACGGAGGACCTACGGAGTAGAAAATGAGGGATTTTTAATCGATACGATCGAGTATCAGGCAAGGGGGCCTAGACCCGATGTACATATAGTATCTGCTGAATGCAAATGCAAATGACTATCTATATAATTTCAACCTGTTTTTACAATTTCCACGGATGTTGAAAACGGAGATGCAAAATGCTTGAATAGTGCGCATGCCAAGCGGCCAGGAATGTCTGATCAACTCAACTGCGCGAATTTCGGCCTCTGCTAAGTGCTAACAGTGACAGCTGGGTGAAAGTAGAATGTGATCCTGGAGGACATCAATTCAATATCTAGGAAATCTTGACGATACTTGGGAGTCTGAAGAGGAGAAGGTCGCGTAGACTGTAGAGTAGAGAACGTGAATGAAGTACGTAGCAATTGAACTTGAGTCAGTTCACCGTTGCAATCCACCGTATTGACTCGTGAAGACTATCTAGATAGTCTAAAGATAGATGACTTGAGACGCGTACCTCCGTTCCCTGAATAATCCCAGAGGATCTGAAACACCCACAACTGATGCCTGAGGCACGGTCCCAGACTGGGATCCAGTCAGCGCCGTTTGTCATGAATCCCCGTCGCGCACCAATCAGCAGCGGACGATAAGGGATCCGAGCTGAGTGGGGAAATGACTGGTCAGGCAGAGCGCTGTTGTCCGCGGTCGCTTTGGGAAGTTTGCAGGAGCGAGAGGTTCTCCAAGCGAGAGGGTGTTTCAATGATAGGTACCTGGTTTCTTTTTTTCTTTCTTTTTTTTTTTTTATTTTTATGAGGGATTATGAATGGTATGGCGGTTATTGGATGGTGATCCGATGCAAGGGGATGGATTTCTCCGTTCGATTTAAAGGTCCTTAGGTAAGTAAGCACTAGATTGATAGTCCCTACTCCATAGTCCGTAGTCCGTACAAGAGGAATTTGCTTTTGTGGAGTCGGTGAGGGATATAGGGATCCTCCGTAGATAGATACTGAATTACTGATATGATAAAGTGATACAGGCAGGTGACTATTACCCGCTGTATTTTCACTCTTTCGCCCGTGCGTTCGTTCGTTTCTTCTTTTTCATGTCTTGGCTTCCAATTTTTTCAAACCTCAAATTACAGAGCTCGTAGGTCGAGTCAAGTACCGAGGTCATGCAATGACGTTCCCTCTTTGACCCTCGGCCGTGAAGCTGCAACAAGGCGAGGACTGGTTTGGACTCAACTTTTCAGCGTCATTTGTCGGCGTCAGAAGTCTACGATCATCCCTCTGGTGTCCAGTCGCAAGTCGCATATGATTGAGGGAGAAACCGGACCAAGAACGATGATGTCTTTGACTCGTGGGAGATGACGCTAGCCTGGAGCCGGCTAGAAGGGAGTCAAGGACTAAAGGGGGCTTTGGCCGAACCGCCACACAGGGTTATGTAAGCTGTTCTCTAGCTATTTCCATCGGCTATCAGAATAATGTCAATGTCTTTATGTTCATGAAGAGTGGTAGCGATGCCCTCGTGGTGAATAATCAACGACACGACTTTGGATTCTGGAGCTGTCTGACTGTGAGACAATGCATCTGATGGAAATAGTAACAGTTCCAGTTGTCAAGTGGAAAGGAGTCGGAGTCGTCGATCTGCAACTACGGAGTATACGATTCACAACCCTCCGCAGGGCTGAAGCCTCAGCCACCCCGTACTCCGTCAGCAGCTGCTTCCTGATTCTTCCGAATTAGTTTGTCTTGACGCTTGACTCTCTCCATCCACCACTGCTTCTCTATCTGTCACAGCAGTCATCGGGAAGACTAAGGATTCCAGTTCACTTTGATCGGACACTAGCAAGGGTCGCCACTCGAAAAGTCTGGAGAAGATGACTTTCTCCAGAATTATCCTTCCATTCCTCCAGATTTTCGAGTTGATTAGATAATTCAACCTTCTTTCCCAGTTCCCCTAAATAATAATATTATCGAGGCGGTGCAAAAAAATGTGCGTTCTGTAATTTTCTGACTGGATCATCACAAGCCCTAGTATTATACTTAGTAACACCAGTCCGGTCTCGGGGTGCTTTTTTTTTTTTTTTTTCTTGTTTCTTTTTGGTTTCTTCTTCCAATTGAACATCTTTTTGCCACGACCCACATCTCGCACAAGTTCTTCGGGACGTGTGTGTGACTACACGGTATGTGTAATTGCTTTACCGCTTAAAGTTCCAATGTATCGACGAAGTATGGGAAAATCCAGTAAATTGATTTCTGCCTAAGGGGGAAAAAGAATTTGGATATGTTGGGCTGCATATATACTGGGTATTAATTTGTAGCGACTATGGGGGGAGAAAAGGATTCAATTTATGAGGGATATTAAAGAAACTTCAATGGGGGTTGATCTTGGCTTTTGGAGAGAAACTAGAACAGTCTTTCTGACATACTCCGTAGATACATACATATCTACTGCAAGCATGGAAGAAGAGAGCAGAAGCAAAAGATTAATGCAAAAATGCAACGAAAAGAAATAATAATAATAATGTGGCAGACGCGCTATGATCCACCCACGCGACATGGCGGGGGGGAGGGGGGCTTTTTCTTTTTTTGAGGGGCAGCCATTGATAAGGGATTCGGCCATTCAAGGCTCAAGCTGGAGCCCAGCCGATAAGTCGCAGGTACCGAGCACCGCGCGATTAGACATCGTTGGTTTTGGGATTTGGGAACTTGGGGGACTCTGTGTGTATTTACAGTAAGTCTTGAAAAGTCTTTGAATTTGCTATACACTGGGAGTAAGTAGTCTATTCCCAGGTTGAAATATGGACTGATTCACTGACTGACTCAAGTTATCAAGCAAGATAAGGAAGCTGTGATTAGGGCACGCGATGCTTCAAACTAGAGAATAGATAAGTCTCTATGGCGCAGACTACACTCGACTAGATTCAACATGTTGATGTCTCCTTGGCTAACTAACATGTCAAATCGCCAATAGGATTAAAGTCTTTTACCGTCGGGTGCATGGATGCCATGTCTGCATTCTGAAGCCGTAGATATCCTTCCATAGGTCATAGTGCTCAGTACCTATTTAGAGAGAATCTACCTACTATAGGCTTGCCATTGATATGCACTGGCCTTCTATCACAGTTTAGATAATACCTGTTAGCAACATGATCACGGATATCTCGTCGCTCTTCCCAGATATCAGAAAATCGTCCATCATTGCTTTTTTGCCGGAGAGTCAGCAGGCGCATCATGCGCGATGACCGCAACGAATACAGGGAAAGATCTTTATCAGAAAACCGCTGGTCGCGATCTCTCACAACTCACAAGCCAGAGAGCAGTCAAAGCAGTTAGAGTACCTCTGGCGTGGGGTGGGTCATCAGGGGGAAGACCTGCAATTTTGATTTTGAGGTTATTATTGATTCATTGGAGTCTGTAGCGAGAGGACCTGAAAGGCTGAAAGTCCGAAACTACTGGATTGTGCAGGCGAGGAACGACGGGACTGGAGGATTATTCTCTAGTCTCTTCATGGCTACCTATCACAATACATGTCCCTACGGAGTGGTAGTATCTATCTAGTGCCTGACTGGGAAGGGAAAGAGGGAGTCATTTTTCGAGCAATGGATGGATGGAATTGGGGATTGCCTAAATTGGGATTGCCCTGGATGAGCATGATGCTTGCAGCTAAACCACATACATATGAGCCTTGTACGGTATCAACGCAGGCGGCGATTTAGGCAGTGACAAGTAAGTCAAATATTTAGTAATAGAATCAATTGAACAGATGGATATATTCATACCAAGAATCCTGCTGCATATCACAACAATTGCAGACGCAGGAGTATATTGATGTCCTTTGCCAGCATAGTCATTATGATGAGGGATATATCCAATGTGGATGGTTGGTATGGTAACTGTGACAAACCCTGGTATTGAATTCCGCCCACACTTTACACCTCATTCCAGCCAGATTGAATTTTATCAACTTCACTGTCCCCATGCATATGATTATTATTATGTTGTTATTTGTATATTGATATTATTATCATTGCAATTGAGCAAAACAAATCCACCCTCTGAATCCTTGCCAAATAACCATCCCTAAGTTCCTAACAAGTCTAATATCGAGGCCAGATGGTTCGATCATCCATGCACACGATGTAATCAGTGGTGAATGAAGGTCGAAGCTGAGTGGTGGGAACCCGAGTAATTTTGTCTTACAGAAACGCCGCCCGGCGCCGACCTGACTATCCTTATCCGTAATTTTCAATCCTATTACCTCGTACCCTGGTTCCTTTTGTCCTTCCCGGAAAGTAAAAAAATAACAACAGATACAGCCAAACTTACACCGAATTTGCCCCCAGCAAAGCCCCAAAGGAAAATTGGCTTTTTTTTTTTTTTTTTTTTTTTTTTTTCTCTCAAAAGTTCTTCCTTCTTGCCTTAAATTTGAACGATATCCTCCTGCTCCTCCCCCCCACCCACACAGTACCTGTGACTCCCATATCTCGCTTTCGCCTCAATCTTCATCCTTTATCTTCTCTCCTCTATTTAACTCTAGAACCCACCTCTCCTCTCTCTCTCTCTCTCTTATCTACTCTCCCAAGTTACCATCGTCAGCTGTTGTCCATCTTTGGATCATTGCCATCGCTAGTACCCCGGTATCTACTACATTCAACTTCAAATCTTTCTTTTGATTGATTGAAGTCCCGTTTGCTTTGCATCGTGCAAGCTTGAATTTCTCTTCTTGAAGAGACCAAACATTTTCTTTTATATCTCATATCCCACATCACATCTGCCAATCATGGTATGTTTCTCCTCCCACTACTTGGGGGATGCATTGTCTGCAGTGCTGTTGCTGCTCGAAAAAGACCTTTGCTCTGACTCATACCCTTGTCTTCTCTAGGCTTCTGAATCGTCAACCGTCATCTCCAACACGGAGAATGTGCGTTTTCTCTTTTTATGATTACACTAGTTCCTTCTGCCGCATCTGCGGCTTAGAAGAAACAGTCATACTGACTTTTTGTGCGCTGGCAACAGCTCATGAAGTACATGAACCTCGACCAGAGGGGTCACATCCAGGCCGAGTACGTCTGGGTTGATGCTACTGGAAACTGCCGTTGCAAGACAAGGGTATGCAACTTTTCATTTTTCCCTTATCTCTCTCTCTCTCCCCCCCTCTTCTTATCATTCCGGTCCCCCGACCTGGGTGTCTGGATGCAAAACATGGATCGGGCCGGGCGCGCACATGGACAAGGATGAAGAATTCAGATTGCAATTGTGTTGGGTCAAAGCGCAGGCACAGTATGACGAATAGAGGCTGGAATCTTGCCGTTATCTTGATTGATCGATGTGCATCTTTCCCCCCTCTTCCGATAAGCCTGCGCACGGTGACTCGATGCTGCAAGCCAGGATCTCATGTCGCGCGCCAACCTGTGACACGTGACGCGTCACGCTAGTGATCCTTATCCTGCACGATCAGTCATTCATGAGTGCTAATTTGATTGTCATCCCCCCAGACTCTCTCCAAGCCTGTCAAGACTGTCGATGAGCTCCCTGAATGGAACTTCGACGGTTCCTCCACTGGCCAGGCTCCCGGTGACAACTCTGATGTCTACCTTCGCCCCGTCGCTATCTTCCCCGATCCCTTCCGCCAGGGTGATAACATCCTCGTCCTCTGCGAGACCTGGGATTCGGATGGAACCCCCAACAAGTTCAACTACCGCCACGAGGCCAACCGTCTGATGGAGATCCACGCCAAGGAGGAATTCTGGTTCGGTCTGGAACAAGAATATACTCTGCTCGGTACCGATGGCTGGCCTTACGGATGGCCCAAGGGTGGTTTCCCCGGTGCTCAGGGCCCCTACTACTGCGGTGTCGGAACTGGCAAGGTCTACTGCCGTGACATCGTTGAGGCTCACTTCCGTGCCTGCTTGTATGCCAACATCAAGATCTCTGGTATCAACGCTGAGGTCATGCCTTCCCAGTGGGAGTACCAGGTTGGTCCCTGCCAGGGTATCGAGAGTATGTGTCCCATATCGAATCTTTTTTTCTTTCTTTCTCATAAATGCTAACAAATCATTACAGTGGGTGACCACCTCTGGATGTCTCGCTTCCTCCTGCACCGTGTGGCTGAAGAGTTCGGTGTCCGGATTTCCTTCGAGCCCAAGCCCATCAAGGGTGAATGGAACGGTGCTGGTCTCCACACCAACGTCTCCACTGTCTCGACTCGTGGCGATGGTGGCATGAAGGTCATCGAGGCCTACATGAAGAAGCTTGAGACCCGCCACAACGAGCACATTGCCGTTTATGGTGAGGGCAACGAGGAGCGTCTCACTGGCCGTCACGAGACCGGCAGCATCGACAAGTTCAGCTACGGTGTTGCCGACCGTGGTGGCAGCATCCGTATTCCCCGCCAGGTCGCCAAGGATGGCAAGGGTTACTTCGAGGACCGCCGTCCCGCCAGTAACGCTGATCCTTACCAGATCACCGGTATCATTGTTGAGACTGTAAGTTACCTCAAACCATTGAAAGGGGGTTCTGCGCTTTTACTAACGACGTCTAGCTCTGCGGTGGCCTCTAAATATTTTGATATAAAACCAAAATGTGCAAACATTTTTTAGCGCTCGTATACCCTCCGGCGTCAACTGGGTGTAGAACTACAAGCGCGGCCTGGCAGCGAGAAGAGCAGACATAGATTTTGTTTTTCTTTCCTCCTCGTTCCCCCCCCCCCCTAATGCCGGTCTTTCAGATTTTCACTTTTGACTCTCTCAGAGATGCCAGAGCTTGTGTCTTTGCGTTCGTTCCCCACTGCTGCTGTTGCATTTTTAATCATATTTTCTTTCGCTTTTCATGTGGGTTATGTGTTACGTTAGCATAGAGGACTCCATTCGCTGAGGTGATATGGAGAGCCATCATTTGGGACTGGTCGGCGGCAAGTTATGAATCAGTCAGGAAATCCAAGCAAGAATCCCATCTTGCCTTGTGTGATAGTAGTATAGTGTATCAATAGAAGTTACCCCGACGCGTTCGGTGAACACCTCGCGTCCTCGTCAATTATGATGAAGCAATCCAGAGCATATTTGAGCAGTCATGTAAACTATTAACAAGCAACATAGCCAACACTATCTGCGTCCCAAAGACCATCAGCAACATTTCAAGTCCTCTTCTTAAAGAAGCGCAGAATCCCCGCCGATCCCAGCCCTTCCAACCCACGTTGACGCGCCTCACGCCTAGCAGCCCCGTCGACAATCTTGCCGGCGTCCTCGCCATTCTCACCAGCCGCAGCAGCACCACCACGACTGCGCCTCCGGCGCTCCACCGCCCACAGCGAAGCCTGCAACACCACCGACGCCAGGATACTCGCACACAGGATGCCGACCATGACGAGGTTACTTTTGCGGAACTTGGCACGGCCGGGAGCCTTGCTGTCGGCGGCCCAGCCGGCATACAGCGCGTAGGAGGTGAGGATGCTGCCGCAGTTTCCCCAGCCGGAGACGACGGCGGCGGCGGCGGCGACGCCGACCTCGCCGTGACGGCGCTGGAAGAGCTCTGTGGTCCAGGACATGGTGATGGGGACGGTGGGGCCGAGGCCGAAACCGACGATGAGGAGGCCGCCGTAGCGCGGCCAGGGGTTTGCGGCGGAGCCGGCGTAGGTGGTGAGGAGGAGGCCGAGGATCTGGAGGGCGGCGGGGAGGGAGAAGAAGAGGGCGCGGTGGTGGTGGAAGCGGTCGGAGAAGGGGGTCACGAGGAGGATGCCGAGGAGGTCCATCTATTGTTTTTTTTTTGTTGTGTCAGTTATGTTATTATGTGTGTGTTTTTTTTTTTTTTTTTTTTTTTTTTTTTTTTTTTTTTTGAAGAGAAAGGGGAGAGAAGGAGAGGAAAAGAGGGAAACGGACAAGCCAGATCGGGGCTGTCAGGAGACTCAGATCAATCCCCGACAGACCTGGGTTGATCCCCTTGATGATCACGGTTGCGTAGTTCTGCACCCCGATACCCACGCCCACCACGCCAAAGTACATGACCAGCAGCGGCCATAGGCGCCAGTCGAGGAAGATCCGCAGCAGGTCGCGCAGCGTCCACTGCGACCGGTGGTAGACGCGCCGCAGGTCGTTGTAGTGGATCTCGGCGTCGCGGCCGGTGAGCGCCGGCGGGCTGCGCGGCAGCCAGTGGAGGTATTTGCGGGGTTGCTGTTGCTGTTGCTGTTGCTCTGCAGGGGCGACAGGGCGGTCCGGAAGCCACCAGAGCAGCACGACGCCGACGGCGATGGTGATGATCCCGTAGATGAGGAACATCCACTGGAAGCCTACGAGGCCGCGGTCGCCATCCATCTCCTGGAAGCCGGCGGAGACGAGCCCCACGACGGCGGCGGAGATCTGCGCCGCGGTGAAGTACTGGCCGATGCGTTTGCCCGTGCGGGACGGCGGGTAGAAGAGGGTGAGGTAGTAGGCCATGCCGGGCCACATGCCGGCGATGAAGACGCCGAGCAGCAGACGGAGGAGGCTGCCGTGGGCGGGTGCGGTGAGCTTGTGATCTTGACGATTGGGTTCACCACACGGGGAGTGGTCGGTCGACTTACTATAAACTCCATGCCGATTTCATGGCTGCCATGCAGCTGCCGATGATGCCGACGCTGATCACGATCCGGCTCATCCAGACATGCGGGCTGAGCCGGGTCATGACCAGGTTCGACGGCAGATCAAATACAACGTAGCAGACGTAGAACAGGGCCAGACCGGTCGAGATCTGGTGCGGCGTCAGGTGCAGGACGGACCCGAGGTCGTGGCCCACGTCCATGTTCATCGTCTGCGCCAGTCCGACATTGGAGCGGATGGCGGAGCAGAGGAAGTAGAGGACCCAGAACGCGGGGATGATGCGATAATCCAGTTTTCTGGGATTGGTTGTTAGTCTGCTTTCTTTCTGTTCCTCGGATTGTTGTAGTAAAAGAGTCTTCTTACCTGTAGATCCGCTCAATCTCGGCAACACTGGGCTCATTGCCGTTCTCGACGTCCTCCTGGCTGAGGGCGGATTGCTCCCGGACGGTCTCGTTGTCTTGATGCTTCCCTGCATCCTGAGAAAAGATTGCTTGCTCTGACGAGGACATGTCGCTGTATATATGACGGCGGGGTATCAAAGAATTATACAGGTATCAAATCGCGAGTTAAAATGTGGGCAATCTGCCAACCCGGCACTGCGCAGTCGGTGGCCTTGATTGATAGTCGTATTAGGAATTAGGATTACCGTCACTTTGGAGAGACGCAGTGGACCAATTTTTTTGCGGATTTTTCCTTTGTAGGGGAATATCAATCTCTCTGAACCAATTAGCCGTGCAGGTTCTCGGGGGGCATAGGCTGATGATGGATCATGCATCCGTGAGGCAATTAAGGAGCAAATCCCCTCCAAGTCTCTTCAGTGCCTTTGAGATTCAGTTTCAACATACCTGATCAGTAAAAAACCATGGTAGTCGACAGCGATGAAGTATGAATGAAGTGATCGGTATAAGCTTGCTCGTAGAAGATCTGTTTCAGCTCCCCAAAGCCCAAGTGCTGAATCGGGACAATGTGCCAAGTACCACCTCCAGCAGAACTTCCAAAATTCCCCGAAAAATCCGAAACACTCTCCCAAGAGGAAGAGGAAGAGGAAGAGGAAGAAAAACAAGAGACGGATGATAAAAGAAGGGAGGAATCGATAGATCGATCGATATCTATACTCTCCCACCGGTATTTAGTCCACCAGCTTATCTGATTCTGTGCGCTCTGGGACACTCACGGATCGCTTACGGAGCACGCACCAGCCGCTCTTCTCTCACGTGACGAGTACTAGTTCTTTCACCGGTGGTAGTGTACCAACAACTACTGTAATACTCCTCCAGATTTATCATCTATAGACTATGAGGGTAGAGCGTTGCCAAAAACAAAAGAGGGTTATAGAAAGAGAGTAGTATGCCTCCTAATGACTAGCTAATCCTATTATACTATAAGTATAATAATCCATTCCCATCCACTATCCATGCTGGATACTTATCTGATAAGAACCTTGAATTAAAGTATGAAGCTAAGGGCGACCTGACGGAGTAGATTAGATTAGTCATAACTTCAAAAGACCCTTCCGCTATTGCCATCGTGAGGTAAAACATGTGTCCCACAGATGACTTGACTGTATACAATCCAAAGCATCCATGACATGAGCACATCTGAAAGCCTTGGAACAGATGTTTTACTTGGGCTGTCTCCCAAATCAGCGGAACACGCATAACAAAACACATCACGAGTTCACGACAGATCTTGGCAAGTATGCAACTGATCAGCGAGCAGCTATGATGCTCAATTCGTTCTATGTCAGTGTACTATACCAAGTAAGCAGCGACAATCCTTCCCACCTGACAACTTACATATTTTGGGTCTCTTGACTTTTCTTAACACCAGTAAGTCCTCATTTGGTTCCCCTGATCTCAGCTTATTCTAAGAAGAATTCCAAAGTTCGCCCCCAACTGCTAACATAATGACCGACCCAAAAGCAACCATCCGAGGACCGTCTCAGCCCCCTCTCCGCTCCTGTACCATAGGACAGCTTTTAAGCCAACAAGCCACCACCTTCCCCGAGAGACACGCTATCGTGGCTTTCAGCACCGGCGTGAGGCGGGATTATGACCATCTCAATCTCCGAACCAGAGACATCGCCCGCGCCCTCGTGGCCGCTGGGATCTGCTATGGTGATAAGATTGCCATCCTCCTAGGGGACTGTGAGACCTACGTGGAGCTCTTCTTTGCTGCTGCTAGGATTGGAGCCATTGCCGTCCTGATCCAAGGGTCATACTCCGTAGTCGAGACTCTCAATGTTCTCCAGGCGAGTGGTCAGTGGTGTGCCTGGTTTTTCTCCCGCCCCCTGTGGTGGATTCTTTGGAACCTCCCCCGAACTGATGAGAAGTTTTCAGAAAGCTGTATGTTGTTCATCTCCGCCAGCCTCGGCAATGAAGCCTCGAGTGCATTCCTAGATCAATTTCAAGGCCTTGTCGGGAGTAGAACCCTAGGGCAGCGGGTTCCCCGGTTGAAGACTATCGTGCAGATTGACGATGATAGCCCGACACTGACCAGCATATTCACACCTTGGAGGACATTTCTCCAGCGGACCAGCCTCGTTACCCTATCACACCTTACCTGTCTCGAGGAAAAGGTTGCTAGTGATGCCGTTTGCGCGTTTTTGCTCACCAGCGGTACGACGGGGAGTCCCAAGATCGCAATGTTAACACACTCGTGAGTGGAATTTGCCACTGATCTATCCTGTTTCTTGAGGGGGTTAATCCTCTGAAAAATCGTCTTGCCACAAGAAACATCATCAACAACGCTTTTCTGACTGGGGATCGGATCCGCCTGGCTGCCAACGATCGGATCTGCTGCTGCTTCCCCCTGTTCCACTGTGCTGGGCTCATCTGCGGCATGATGGCCTGCCTTGTTCACGGGGCTTCACTGATCCTCCCCGCAGCCCGATTCAGTGCCAGCACCGCTCTGAAATGTCTCCGCGTGGAGCAGTGCACTGGTCTGCACGGAGTTCCAACCATGTTTAACGCAATCCTTCAGAAGGCACGCGCACAGACTGCCCCTCCTGGTCCCTCGCCCCATCTTCGAACCGGAATCATAGGCGGCTCCTCCCCGTCCGAGTCTCTCTGGACCGCACTCCAGCAGGAGTTTGGGCTCAAGGATCTCGCACAAGGTTTTGGTTAGTCGGATCTGTGGTCGCATTCTCGGATTACTTGTCATTCATGTTAAACACTTTTGTATAGGGATGACAGAAACCTCTGCCGCCGCGTTCCTGTCGCCACCGCGTATGGGAGAGAGTAGATCACTGCCAGGCCAGCTGCAGATTCTACCCCACACATCGGCCAAGGTGGTTGATGTCCAGGGAAAGGTCGTTGCTCGGGGCGAGCGAGGCGAGCTGTATGTCTCCGGCTATCTGTTGCTGAAAGGATACTTCAAGAACCGGGAGAGAGCCCACGACGCGATGGTCTGGGAGGATGGAGAGCTATGGTTTCGGACGGGAGATGAAGTGCTGATTGACACCTGCGGGAACTTGCAAGTAACGGGTCGAATCAAAGACATAATTATTCGAGGTACTTCAAGTGGAAAGGGCGGATGAAACGATCGAATGCTGACGGACGGCGCAGGTGGAGAAAACATCTATCCTCAGGAAATTGAGGGCCGCTTGGAGGAGCACAGGTCCATCGCGCAGGCCTGTGTGTTAGGAGTAGCCGATGACCACTACGGGCAGGTGGTTGCGGCCTTTCTACAACAATTACCCAGCACCGTCCGCCCCTCGGATGCAGAGTTGGTGGAATGGGTTCAAATGACCCTCAGCCCGGTAAAAGCCCCGGCTCGCATATTCTGGTTGGGGACCGACGGTCTGCCGGACACCTTTCCTCTCACTGGCAGCGGTAAGATCCGCAAAAATGTACTCCAGCAGCTAATTGAGTAGGAAGTCCTACGCTCATGTTGCCTCTTTCAATCGGTATCTTGTTTCTCTTGCTTGAGGTTCTTGGTATGTTTTACAGCGTTACGAAACAGGTGAACATCACTCAATCTTTTTTTTTTTTAAAAAAAAAAAAAAAAAAAAAAAATCGATTACTCTGCATTGAGAAGTTTATCTAGCCGTAAGGGATTTCATGAGAACACAGTATCGAAAGAAAAAGGGCGAGTAAAGAAAATAGAAAGATGAATGCGAGGCTGTCAAGTGTTTCGGTTCTCCCACCATCACTGATGCAGAGAGCTACACATTCTCAGTAAGGGGTACCAGTACCACTCTAGTATGGTCAAAGATAGTTCCTGGCCTAGGAGACTGGGGAGTCCCTAGAAGTGGCACTGTGGCTAGCAGTCACTCCCGGGTCTGTCCGCACTTAAGCTTCTAACTGTGCAACATGGCTCATGGTTCAGAAAAACAGTTGAATGACAGTGATTCCATACCATGACAGGACAACAGAAACATTAGAAAGGGAGTTATAGAATGCTCTATCTCTGCACTGTAACTCTGTAAGTCAAAAGTATACAAACAGTGAGGCCCCGGGGGTGGGTGATCGAACTGCCAAGACTTGTATTTAAGCTTCTTGATCCGCACGGACTATATTTCCGCACCCCTAGTCCCCTAGGTATACTTAAAAGGAAACCCAAACCAGACCATACCTTCCGGCCTTCCCCAGGGGTTCCCGGGTGAAGAGTAGGCAATAGGCAATAGGCAATAGGCAACAGGCATTCTCACTCACACTTACACCCCAAATTAAATTAGCTTTCCCCAGAGCCCCCGGCAGTCAATGAGCACACCAGTGTGTAACTCAGCTACGATCCTGAATCCTGAAATCTGAATATCAATAACCTCGGCTTATAGTCCTATACTACTATACTACTATAACGAGTAAATACTAAAAGCTTTCTACCGTCCCGTGGGCTCTGAGTCTGGTACATAAGAAACTTCCACGTGCTGCCAAATTGCCAATGTGTGCCAGTAGATTTCTCCGGGAATCCAGTTCAGTACCTAGTAGGTAACTAGATGATTGAGTTGGCGCTTTGGTCATTATGGTCATGGTATTATGGTATCATGGTATCTTTGTTCTTGTTCTACAGGTCTAGGGAACTGTGGGTTCATTGTGCTGATACTTATTATCAAGGCTAATTAATATAATTACACGGGGGGTTTATGACTTGGAGATTCAGACAAGAGCAGAGAAGAGTATCTCGTTCATCAACAAAATCTAATTACAAAATCCAAAATCCGGGGGTATATAGTCATGCAGGGAACGCGACGCCCGTTCCTTCGTACAGCTGCCTCATCGCGAAGCCTGATGATGAGAAACTCTCGACACGGATTAGGCCTTCTCCACCTGCTCCACCTGCTCCATGCTCGTGTTCTCGTCGCTGTGATCGCCAGCCTCCTTGTGGTTGTGGTTCAAGACGCTGGCACGGCGCATGGCGTGGTCCTCGACGTCGTCCAAAGGGCGCAGGAGCTCGCCCTTTTTGCCGTACATGTGCGGCTCCTCGCGGGCGACGCGCACCACCGAGAGGACGCTCTTGGTCTTGCGGAAAATCCTGTCCATCTCTTCGAGGGATCGTCGGGTGGTCTCGGGGTAGAAGAAGTACACGACAGGGAAGATAGCCGCATTACTATCATTCGTTAGCGGTTCAGCTCTCAGTAAAAAAAAAAAAAAAAAAAGGAGAAAAGGAAAATGGAAAACCTCACATGACAGCGAAAATGATGTAGGTCTGATATTTGATGTTCTCAAAGGCAACCGGGGTGATCATGACGACCATGAAGTTGAAGATCCAGTTGGACGAGGTGGCCAGCGCATTGGCCGGGGCACGGATCTTCAGAGGCACAATCTCCGCAGGGTACAGCCAGGTCATGCCCAGCCAGCCGATGGCAAAGAACGTGTTGAAGACAAAGAGGAAGACGGCGCAGGCGATATTGGCCTGGGGGTTGCCCATACTGGCGGTAATGGCCAGGATGACCATGGAAATCGACATACCCGCCGCACCGAACAGCATCAGAGAACGACGACCAAACTGCTCGATGGTGAAGACGGCGATCCAGGAAGCAATGAAGTATTCGGTTCCGTTGCAGGCAGCGATCAGTCGCGAATTGATCATCGTCATCCCCAGCTGCTGCTCGAGCACGACTGGAATGTAGTAGGTGATCAGATTGATGCCGCTGATCTGCTGGAACATCTGGTTGACGTAGGCAAGAAGGGTCCGGTGGAGGTGGCGGTCCTCGGTCATCGTGAACATGTCGCGGAATGAACCCTTGGCCATTTCCAGAACGGTGGCTTTGATGGCCGTAAATTCGGTCTCCACAAAGGTCTCGTCGGCGTCATCCCCCAGCAGCGCGGTTAGAACATTCTTAGCCTCATCCTCTCGGCCCTTGAGCACGAGCCAGCGAGGCGACTCGGGCAGGAACATGACAAAAGCCAGAATGATTGCCGCGAAGAAGATCTGGAAAGCCAAGGGAAACCGCCAGGCCACCTCGCTAGGGTCCGCAAACAGCAAACCAAAGTCGATCCAGTAACTGATGGTGATACCGCAGGTGATCATCGCACCCTCGATCATGACCAGTTGGCCACGGTGGTTGGACTTGCAGCACTCGGATTGCCAGGTGGGCACCGTCGACGTATTCATCCCGTTTCCTTGACAGCGTTAGTAGGGGGTCGTCAACCACTGACTACTGGTCGATTCAACTCACCGAACCCGGTGACCAGACGACCGATGATCAGCTGGGGAAGGTGGTAGGCGGTGCACTGCAGGATCGCTCCGACCACCATGATCAAGGACCCAAGAAAGATGGTCTTGCGCCGACCCAGCCAGTTGCCAACCCAGATGGTGGGAATAGAGCCAGCGAAACATCCCAGATTGTAGGCCGCAACAACGATACCTGAATGAAGGTGTTAGGTGCGAGGTGCTCACATGGAGTATCCAAGACACTCACCTTGGCGGGTGGACTGCGCGCTCCTCTGGGAGCTATCCAAGCTCTCAAAGTACTCGCCGTTCAGCGCGATAGTGGGGAAGTATTTGATGAAGGACTGTAATGTTAAAAGACCGCCGGTGACACCTTGATCATAACTTAAAATGGTCAGATAAAAGCGCTCGTTTCTCCGTCGATATGTGCGCCCTGAACTTACCCGAACAGCAAGAAATCCATACCAGCGATGACACCGATAGCAAGCTGGAGCTTGGAGCCCTGAAGGCCCAGGTACCGGTTATTCCCCATGTTGCACAGAGATACGTTGTCTGTCCGCGACCAGGAATTTTAGAAGAGAGACGACGTAAAAGGGAACTCAGGAAAATTTCCCGAACGGACTCATGAGATATGAGTAGAGGGCGGATTAAGGGAAAGAAAAGCTGAGATAGAGAATAAGAAATTGAAGAAAAGATCGGCGTTGGACAGAGACGCAGAAGAAAGGGGGGGGGGGGGACCTTATATAGAAGTACCATTCGATTATTCAGTACATTATATATTTTAACCAACTATTTTATCACGGACCATTGGGAGAAAACCCTACCGTAGCTTCATGACCAGGGTTATAATTTCCTGCTGGGTCCAAAAGGTCCAAAACAGCAATGAGCGGGAGAATGCATGTCAGGATGGTGCATGAGAGCAAATCAGCGACCCCAATGGAGGGAACCATCGATGATGAAGAAGGAAAAGATCTCTCCACACTGTCTCCGGATCGAGCGAGGCAATACGTTCCCCATTCTTTGATAAGTCAGTTCGCATCGTCTTCTCTAGGTCTTTGTGACATCGGGGTGTAGTGATTGGCCGTGGTTGCTGACACGGGGTACGGAGTAGTAGTAGGCTACGACGAGCCACGGCATGATCGGGGTATGTACTCTGTGGAGTATGGAGTATGGAGAGTATGGACTCATGCACTGTGTCTCCACTGTGAGCGGCTCAGTGCAACGACGGACAGGAAAATATGACGATGGTCGTAGTCGCACTCTCTTGGTATTTAGTCAGGACTAAGGATGCAGTAGTAGTTAGTGAACCAGGAGCCGAGTCTAACATTCAACCGGTTCTGTAAAGACACAATTGTGGCTTGATTGATCGGCGGGAGCTGACCAGGTTGGATATGGAGACTGGACGGAGTCGAGTGGTACAACCGTACAAGACCTACTGCCATCTCGAGTCTTTATTCCTGGGTTAGCGGCATAACTAGTAGTGCATTAGTTCGTGGGTGTCTGGTAGGCTAGATAGGCTCTTAGACTCTACCCCGGAGAGAAGGAGAGAAACAGTGCCCACATCAAATTCCCTTCATGATGCCGTCATCAGAGAAACGGGTTGACTGCAGACGTCCATGGCACTAGCCCGTTCTGGGTAACCCGAGGAGTACTCCAGAAGCGATGGAACACAGTATTGGAGAAGGAATATATCCCCAGTCTCGAATAAAAGGCACCGGGTGTAGTCAAAATCATGCCGTGTGACGTCTATCTTCGCATCGATAAATTGTTGAGCCATGCTTGTTTGTATGATGCTCGCGTGGTTGATCAACATCAACTTCCTCACTATCACTGACCTCCACGTGCTGACTCATCCGGGGGTGTGGGGGCTCCGGATTCCCTGATTTACAATGGATTCATTCATTCAATATTCTATCATTCTACACTCAACCAGCAACAGTTGACATTCAGATGCTTACATCCTGAGACTCACGATGGCCATGACTTCTATCTACTCTCTGTGCCCTGTACCATATAGGTCCTCATTCGAGTTCCGGAACATTATCGTGGCCTCACCAGTTGACTGGTTCTGAGAGATGGTGGGAGGACTAGAGAATCACAGTCATACCCATGATCCCATCAGACCAATAACCAAAGAGTGTAGTGGTAGAGGTAATCACCCCCTTCTGGCACATGATACCACTCCGCAAAATTTTCATCTCAACATTAAAATATATATCTTTACTCCTTGCATTTCATATCAAGTCCATCAATGTTATTAATTTGGTTAGATTACCTAGTAAATAAAAACATAAATATATATATTTAGATATACTGAAAGTCTGGATTAATATCTAATTTTTCTAACATGTTCTAATAGTGTTTTTTAGCTAGGTGAGAAGGCATCTATAGAGCCTTATCCACCTACTCTTTCTTAATCTATGTCTTATTATCCAGCATGAAAGTGAAGCTATTCACATGGTCTAGATTTACTAGATTTACTAGATTCACTGGCATAGTGAGCAGTGGGAGCCGCCGGGGGGTAGGAGCATATAAATATCTATCTAGATCCAGAGTTAAATAAGAAGAACTAGGCAGTGGATATAGTGCTAGCCAGCATGGAGTCTAAATATATAAATATCTCTCTAGATTAACCATAGATTAAGAGCCTCCTTCTGCTTTAAAGAGGTGCTTTTAGTTAATCTCTATAAATACTACTATCTCTCCCTCCCACTGAGAGAAGTAGTTAATAATATAGCTAGCTAATCACTATGGTGGAGATATCTATAATAGAGGCATCTATGATAGTAGCATCTATAGTAGAGCTAGCAGAGCTGGTGTTAAAGATAGGTAGGAAGGGTAGTTAGATAGTAGAGTAGGCAGGGAAGACTATAAAGTCTTTATTTTTAGTATATTTACTATAGAATTGTAAGTAGCCTAAATCTCTTACTTCTACTCTTTCTTCTTCTTCTTCTTCTGCTCCTACTCTAGTTTCTAGGCCTCTATAGTCTTTACTTTCTTATCTTTCTCTTTCTTCTTTAACTCCTAGGCCTCACAGGCCTTTAGGGCCTTATCTAGGCTGTAGATATAGCCTAGAGATAGCTTAAACTTCCCTTTAGAGTACTATGAGTATTAATTCTTTAAGATAATAATAATACTAAGTAGATTATAATAGCTATTCTGAAGAAGGATAACACTATTTAACTTACTAATAAGTAGGTGAGTAAGATACTTCTTATATTTTAGTAAGATAGTAGGTAATGCCTGCTATATCTACTAAAAATAGAAGAGGTATTCTTCTTCTAATATAGGGGTTTTAAAGCTAAGGGTAGAGGTAACTAACTCTAGAGATAGAGAAGTAATATCTATCTCTTCTAGAGCCTATTTTATATGCTTTATCACTATTTTTAGGTTAATTAGCTAGAGACCTAAGGTTCTCTAGCCTACAGAGATCTAGGTAGATATTATTAAAGCATTCTAGATAGTAAAGAGGCTATCTAAAAAGTCTTCCTTTATAATATTTACCTAGCTAATATATAGGCACTTCCTAACTTCTATTAAATAGGTATAAGATAGCAGGCTAAATATATATAGATCTAGCAGTTAAAGCAGATAAGATGTATGTAGTAGTATATAGATTAGGATAATCTAATTATCCTAATAGATCTATATAAATCTAAATAAAAGATAAGATTCATATCTATTAATTAGTAGTAGTTATAGTAGCTAATCTATCTTCTTCCCTATATATATCACCTAGCTTATATTCATCTAGGGAATAAAGATATATTAAAGCTATTTAATAATATGCTGCCTATTACTATATCCCTTTAAAGAAATACTAATCTATATATTAGGATCTATAAAATAAAATAGCTAGCCTATATAGATCTGCTTCTCTTTAAAGATAATATATAGTGAGAGATACTTCCTATTCATACTATAGTATCTTAGAATAATAGTCTATTCTTAATTATCTAAGCTAGTAGTATGACACTGCTATATATAGAGATAGCTTTAATATATAATCACCTTCTCTTTATAATATAGAATACCTATATAGAATCCCTTCTCATCCACATTCTAGATATCTTCATAGAAGATATAATATTTCTCTATTATATGCTTAAAGAGCTTAATAAAAGATAAAATAATCTAAGGCTATACCTAAAGTATATATTTCTTATCTAGAAAAGATTCCTATATCTACTTAAATTTATAATAGTATTTAAAGAATTTTATATATTAGTATATACTAACTAGCTTAAATTTAATGCCTAATTACTAATAATTCTACTTATATAGAAGATTTATAGTATCCCTAAGCATCTTATAGCTTAGAGGGAAGCTAGATTCTATCTAATATATAATCTAATTATAGAGAACCTCCTCTTAGATTTCATCTAGCTTCTGGAATTATTAAAAAGCCTTAGATTATAGCTGCTATATGCCTTTTACCTAGTAGTATAAGATATAGTAATTAATTTCATATATATAAGCTACTTTATAAATTAACTAAAATTCATATTAATCCATAGCCTTAATTACTTTCTCTAGATAAATAGCTAGGGGGGGTAGAAGAGGCAGCTCTCCCTTATTTTTACTATATTCTATCTCTAATTCTCCTATAAGTATTAATAATAGGGAAGAAAGTAGCAATAATATAAAAAGTAGGCTCCCTAGATTATATACCTATATTTCTGGAATCTCCCTTACCCATATAGGTAGCAAAGATGGTAGTGGAAGAGGGGGGGTAGTATATAGTAGGCTTATAAGATATAGTAGTATTATAGGCACATTAAATTAAATTTCTTCTGAATTTTTAGTAGTATCACTATTATTTTCTAGATATAAATATTAGCAGTGCTTTATTATATATAATTTACTACTTATGATCTATTTTAGATGTGTTTTCATGGAATAATTTAATGTGGAATGTGGACAGATCCATGGTTGAGATGAAAATTTTGCGGAGTGGTATCATGTGCCGGAAGGGGGTGATTACCTCTAGTGGGTGAATATTCCTACTCAAGTTAGTTCCTTAACCGAAGCCAAAGCCGAACGACGGGCCGCCGAGACCAACCGGTGCTTCGGCTCAGAAGTCAACAATCAACATTCAACTTTGAATTCAAGGCCGGTGGAAACAAGAGCTTTGTGGCTTTGATTACGGAAAGCAGTATTGCTTGATATCAACTGCTTCTTGATACTAGTATATTTCCTTCCATACTCCCAGTTCGGTACAGTGTGTCGTAGACTACAGAGAACCTACTACCTAATATACCTAATATACCTAATACGCCAACGGTCCACTTCCCCAGGCTATTCCTTTACTCCATAATCTCTCAGACTCCCCAGTGTTCAGTGACCGGCCCACAATGAACGCACCGATCCTGAGTCTGAGTCTGACATTGGACCATGCACCAATTCCATAGTCCATACCCACACGATCCAACCGACTGCAATCGTGCCCTCAACTCTCAGACCAACTAAACTAACGGACTGGGGAATTTAGCCTCGCTTCGCACGTCCCATCCATGACGCCCTCGAGGCTCAAAGCCAAAGCCTCGAACATGCAATCAGGGCAAATGGGATGTCAAAATGAACCATGCATTCTGCCGCGATGCCGCTCCGCTTCACCACCAGTGATTCTTTGGCCTTTTGCAGCCTCTAAAAATCACTCATTCGTTGATGTCGCATGGTATATATATATATATAGTTGACTGTGAAACCAGCCGGAATTGCCGTTTTTGGTAAGCCGAGCTGGTCGTACCACATCTTCGACTCGCTTTTCGTGTCAAATGTCTGTCACTGTCCCTGATTTGACAGTTGACACATGCACAAAACTGTTAGATATTATATGCTTAGATAGTATCTGTCTGGGTATAACTGACTATGAAGTGATTGAGCATCTCTAACACTCACACTTGAGCCGAATGAACTCCGTGCTCTTCCGAACTTCAAATGGTTGTTCTTTTCTTGGCAAGTCAAATGACGGCAATGGCTTAAATAAACAATATATACTCCCGATCTATATTCTATACACATCGCGGTTAAGTTCGACAGTACCTACTATTAGTAGTTCAATGTTCAATGTTCAATGTTCAGTATCAGATAACCCCCCACGCGACATTGATGCCGGGCATTGGTACTAACTCCATTATCAGATAGTAAGTAGTACTGGAGACCATTGCTGTGAGCTCTGACGGTCATGGGCTGTCTATTAAGGAACAAGGAGCAATCGATATATTGAGACAAGCCGCGCTAAGCCCTGGGGTTGAGTCGCACGTTCACTACATAGCATTCAGCATTTACTAGGTTGCATAGGCTCCAGTGATCCTGTCATTCTAGAAGGCGTCCCTTGCATTTTGCATCCGAGGCGCCTCACCGCTGGTCCCACGTGTCTATACTCGAGGCTATGGAGGGCGTATGTTGATCTCGATCTGATCATCATTCCGGGAGGGTATTCTCTCGATACGGCCAGTCAATTAATACGGCGATAGGTCAAAGCAAGTCAAGAAGATGTCCTACTGTGGAGCAGATGGAACAATTCGTAGATTCATTCTCATTCATGTCCCGAGTGAAACGGACCGAGAACGGCGTCGTCCGTCGACTATCTAGATTTCCTTTGGGATGTAGCAGCTAGACTGTCGACAGTCAACCGTGCCCTCTGGCTGTTATTAATCCCGGTTGATTCATTGTGAGATACCTGGGTGATAGTTCCTGGGCCTGCCCGGGAATGCTGAAACAGCCAGCAACGGTGTCTACCATCCACCACCGCCGGACGACCAGCCACCTGCTCCAGCATCTCCGCCCTTGGTGTCATTTTGGGGCTGCGCTTCGGTAACCCATCCACTATCGCCCGAAGCATTGTCCTGGTAGTTGTTGTTGCTCTGGCCGAGATCGTCGCTAGTGGCTTGGGGGCAACGCTTGATGGTGTGACCCACTAGAACATTAGAATTGCTAGGTTAGCCTCCCAATTGATAAACAGAGTAGCCGTTGGAAGACTCTTACTCTCGCCGCAGTTGTTACATTTGACCTTCGACCAGTCCTTCTTCTTGGTGCAATCGCGGCTGAAGTGTCCAACTTTTGCAGTATCACGTTAGCATCAAGTCCATCAAGGGCTCGGAGGCCATGCGCCAACATGTGAGTCAACATCCTAACAGATAGCTTACCTTCGTCACAGTTACGGCAAGTCACAGTCGAAACATCACGAGGTTTGTCGCAGTCTCTAGCTATGTGATCCTCAGATCTGATGTAGTTAGATACGTGATAGCACAGTCAAACCTTCAGGCACTCACCCGCAGTTGCGGCAGGTTCTCGGTGGAGGAGCCTGGGGACAATCCTTTGCAAAGTGACCGACTGACAAGTATATAAGTAACGCACAAGAGCGGCCATGGAAAGAGACTCACCCTCATTGCAACGCTTGCATTCCACGCCTTCAGCAGAGCGGGGATTAGGGCAGTCGGCTGCTTTATGATCGGGAGCCCTATCGCAGTCAATATCTCACTCACAGCTAGAAGAACAGCAAGCCATACCCGCAGTTGCGGCAAGCGTATCTATCACGACGAACCTCAGGGCAATCACGAGCACGATGCCCACTGGCGTTGCAGTTGACACATTTGACCTCGACGCGTTCGATCAGAGCACGCTCCTCCTTGCAGCCACGCGCAGTGTGGCCCATTTCTGTCATTATCAGCTTTATTCTTAACTGAAGGAGATATTTGACCTACCACCACAGTTGCTGCACTTCGGGATCTGTCTGTCGTATGGAAATCCGGCGTCTTCGAGACGTTCAAGGTTCTCCTCGGGATTGGCTGGCCAGCGCTCCCTAAGGTTTGCACGCTGTGCTTTGGGGCTGAAGTAAAAGGCAACAACGTATTTGCAGTTCAATCTGCCCTGGAGGTTGATAAGACTGATGCTGTCACCCACGGGTTTTTCCTACAGCGGAGACGTCGATCAGTATTCGAAAGAGCCTATTGATGGTAGAAGAGCTGACCTTACCATAGCGATGAGATAAATGTTGAAGTTCTCCGCGCGCATTTTCTTCTCAATGTCGACAAAGCTGGCCTGGGGAGCTGCCTTGGAGTAGATCTTGAGGCCCTGCAAGACTATCAGCTCTCAATCACAGATTGAAGAATATGCAGAAAGGGGGTTTATGTTCAGACTATCCCTCGTACCTCACGGAAATCCTCAAGATCTCTCTCATCACTAGCCTTCTTGAGGACAGCCCAGGCCTCTTCTGGAAGCTTGTCGGGCACATTGTTCAAATCAAACTTGCGGTTTTCGGTGCACTCGATAGTTCTATGACCTATCATTTGCTTATCAGCCACGTTTTGTTTCGGGGCGAGCATTACATACCTTCGCTCTGGCAGTTCTTACACACATCAGGAGGTCTATCAGGACACTCCGCAGCAGGATGTCCTTCCTTGTTGCAAATACGGCAAGAACCCTTGAAAACACGGGGCTTGGTGCACTCTGCCTTGGAATGGCTATGCAGAGTTAGACCAGCAATACGACGGCAGCGCGGAAATCACTTACCCTTCCTCACCACAGTTGAAGCAAGCCATGCCCTTGCGAGGCTCAGGACACTCACGCGCAAAGTGACTTTCATTTCCACAGCTGGGGCCGGTTAATTATGGCACGCTACTTGGGATCTGTGAGTGGAAGCAGGACACTTACTTGCGGCACTTGTTATCGTTTCCCTCTCCTCCTCCAGCGGCAGAGGGCTCGAATTGGTCACCACCGGCATTACCACCCCAGTTATTCTTGCCAACACCTCCCCCGGGGGCCCAGCCACTAGGGCTGACGTTCTCATCGGCAAAACCTGCTGTATGAGCCCGTGAGTTTCTTGTCCCCGACTCGAGTTGTCATAGTGCGTGCCCATGAGACTTCCCAGCACTAGCACACAACAGAGACCATGTGATACCAGGAAGAACTGCCAGAATCTCGGCTACTATAATTATAGACCAGAAATTATGGAATACACATACCGGCACCGTTGCTTTCACCCCAGCCGGTTGCCTCGCCGGAAGTCCAGCCAGGCATCTTGTATGTCGGTTGACGCTCGGAACTGTGGAGGGCAAAGACGTCAGAAAACAGTGTTCTTCAAACTTCGTACTGTGAGGCACCTCTCTCAAGGGAGTTTGATATGGTATGCAGATTGAAAAGGGAAAAAACCAAGGCGTAGCCTCTTGACACAAATTTTGTGCGAAGGACGTGTTTCTCAGAGATGGGGAGGCGATAGCGAACATGCTTCTTTTGATGCAGAGAGAGTAAAAAGGGCTTACCTGATACACGTCTTACTCAGAAGCAGAACAAATTCTCGAAAAGGGAAATGAGCAAGAAAGAAAGAAGGAGAGAGAGAAGGATGGACAGAGGCAAGAAAGGAAGAAGATGGACAGGTGAGTTCGAGGAGAGCAACAAACAAACAATGACACTAGAGCCCACGCAAGCCTCAGGCCGTTTGCTTCATAAAACCTCTGGTCTCTTCATTGATCGAGCACATGTTGCTACAAGAGTATATCAGAGGCAAATTCACAGATAGTAAGTGGCTATTGACCAAAAGGTTGCAGAACGGCTGTTGATATCTATAAGGCACTTTGATTATACAGCATGACTGGGGTAACAGAGCATAGAGATAAATGCACTTCTATAACATTCTGAAGGTGCTCTTTAATTTTTCCTAGAAAAGTACAAATACCTTATAGAATAAAACCCTGCCAATCCCCATCTATGAGTGAGCCATTTGCAAAGCACCAAATATTATATTTGATGTGCATGCTTCTTGAAACGCACATGAGACAGAGAGAGCAATAAGCAGAGATGACCACAGAGATGACCATCCACTGGAGTGAGGTAATGTACAAATTCAAGCCATTAGAATCCGACTCTCTGCCTCCTACTATGCGTCTGAAGCTTTGCGACATTCCACTTGCCGTGTCCGTGTTTTTGAGTCAAGTTGCGATGCAGCCAAACTAGCCACAAACTCAAGCACAAGCAGTCCCTGCTGCCTTGTGTGTATCTTCATAGATCTTCAGGCAACGACGGAGTTCAGCAAGGCTCTCGGTAAGCTGGATATTGTCCATGCAAGTTTTGCACGGTGGCTTCTTTGGTCCATCAGCATCACGACTCTCTCTCAATTGCTGCAAATCAGCCTCCAGTCCCTTGATCTGATTTGTCTGCTTCTCATGCTCTTCCTTTTGCTTCTGGACGCTGTCGCTCAGCTCCTTCACTTGCTTTTCCTGGTTGGTGATCTGGTTCTCCTTTTCTGCCAGCAAGTCTTTTAGTTGCTTGATCTCTTGTTGGAAGCTCACAGCTTCTGCTTTGTGCTGATCAGCACGGGCACGCTCTGAAGCATATTGCTTGACAGCCACACTGGCTCTCATCAGGAACATTGAGATAATATCATCTGGCATATCATTTTCACCGAATACAGGCAGAATAGAAGGGGCAAGGGCAGGCGGAGGGAGCATTTGCGGCTTTGGCGACGAGGATTTATGCACCGGATCTTGCGGTTGTGGGGTAGAGTCGCGGCTCAGTGAAGGTGATGCGCTTGGAGACTTTCGCGACGTCACTGGAGCTGTCTTAGACAGCTCATTCGGTCCCTGGGGTACGGTCATCATCTGGGAAGAGCGAGTACTCAGGCCAGCAGATTCTGTGACCGGAGCCCTGTTAGAACTCGAAACTATGCCTGAGGCACTGAGCTGGTTGGAAGGCCTGCTTCGAAGCCCGTGGGAAGTCCTCGGGCTAACCATACCAACCGTGTGGTCAATATCCCCTAATTCCCAATCGGTTTGATCACTTGTGCTACTTTCATCACCAGAGGAATGAGATTCCGAGCAATCATCCGTGTCATTTTGGCTGGTCTTGGCCTGTTTTTGAGGGCGCTTGCCCATGTCCTCTCCAGGGCCACGGCCGCGTTTAGGCACTCCGTTCATGCTCTTTGTGTTGGATCTATTGGGCTGGTAGATATATCAGCCTAGAAGCCGGGTATATAGATAGGTTAAATATACCTTTACATCGGCTTTCTTAGAACCGATGATCCTTGAGGACTTGAAGATATCAGTAGGGCATAATGTAAGAACGATGAGGAAGACGGGGTTGTCGCTTACGGAGTATTCTTTGCAGAGCGCAAGCGGGGTGCGATCCGGAAAATTTCTCTATAAAGATCGGTCAAACCACGAAGGCTACAGTCTGGACGAAGATGGTCTGCATACCGCCTGAATCTGTCTCCAGGTCAAATCAGGGAAAGCATTCTTGATATGAAGAAGCCGCTGTCGTTCCTGGGGTGTCCAGCGAATTCTGGAAATCTTCGGGCTCGGCATGGATAACCCAGGATGATGAATAAATGCTGAGAGTGAAAAGGACAGAGATGGTCTGAGAAAAGGCAGTCTGCGTGTGGTTTTTACAGTGTGGCTATACTACCTGTGTGATTTGTCGGCACTGGGAGTGTTTGCCCGGGGATTTACCCTCTTGATCTCCCTGGAAAAAGCAAAATGACAGGGGACATTCTCGTTTAGTAGGAATTGGCTCTCTCTGAGCTCGATGTTGGCAACCAACAAGAATTCGAATATGGTATTGGCTATCGAGAACGGGCAAGGCTGAAACCGAGGGATGTGGTATCATGGCACACTCGGGTATATGCAAAGTACTTTTTGCACCTGAGAGAAAATAGGAGACATGAGGATATGGAGTCAGAAGATTGTGTGGGAAGGGTACAGCTTGCCTTTCGCAGGAGGCAGTGTTAATGGCTGTGATATTTGAACTAAGAACATGTTTTAACAAAACGTCTTCACTGGAACTGGATGTCTGTTGCCTTTCCAGAACAATGAGAATCGACTGAGTTCAATAAAGATCTAGTCCATAATACAGAATCATAGAGCAGCAACCTGCTCAATGCATTATCAGTTAGAGCTCGAGGTCAAGCATACTGGTAGAAGACGACGCGTGTTACAAACCTCCATTTCACAGCTTGAACCTTCTCTATGCTCTTTGATATCAAGACAGAAAGCGCTCAGGCGCACTCAGATGGAGCCCAAAAAGCAAGCATAAAGCCACTGTATGGAATGAGATACATTTCCATTTCAAGTCACCTGCATATGTCGCAGGAGAGAACTGCAGTAGCTTGCAGCTTAGCACGGGCACGTCCGAAGAACGAGTCATTTTGGCGACTCTTTGTTTACTCCAGAAATGCGGCGCAGTCACTTACTCCGTACAGCCAAAGAGGCATTGGTTGGCATCAGTTTAATTGTCGTTGCCTCGAGCCATAAAGTCCTTTCGAAAGAGCTACAAAGAGTAGAGAAATTTATTTGGGACTGTTATAAGCCAGGGTTAGCTGCATTATCTCTGGAGCTGAAGTGGATTGTTGTGATCACTGATCACTGCCATTTAATTTCACTTACTACTAGGTGGCACTGCGACAAAAAATACTAGCAAATACTAGCATATACTGGTGCCTAAATAGTGGGGATAGGCCAAACAGTTTAGGTAGATACCTAATGCCTTTTGTCAAGCTCAATACCTGACAAAAGCCCATACAACGTAGTTTATCAAATCTGTCATTACAAGGGACGTGGAAAAAGGACGGCAGGCACCGGTTATTTTGGCTGAGTGAATACGCAAGTCAATGACAATTGACTAATTGAGACGAACCAAGTTTTCTGTCTCATGCAATCTGATACTTGGAAGGTGCAGAAAGGCAGACAGACTCAGCACATAATCCGATTGTCATAGTCCTCTAAGATTGTCCATTTTCCAGGGAGGCCGTGGAATAAGTTCCTCGATGTACTACTGATAGATGGAATACTTAAATGCAATACTTGATTGTTATGCCTGGGCCATAAGAAGAAGGTAAGAGTGCCAGACACCAAAGGCCCTTGTTCTTGAACAGATCACATAAACTTAAATCATACATCCGTTGACTGATCACAATTTACTTAAAGAGTCTGCCCAGCAGACCTCCCGTAATATTGCTCACGATGCTTCCCCCAAACGCCCGGTTAGCAAACGTAGACGCTTGGCCGAAGCGATCGCATCGAGAGAAAGCAACCGTGTTGGTAATGGTCAAGATCAAGGCAATAGCTGAGGTTGAATTAGACCCTGCCCGGAGAAAAGTACGAGATGGCACTGCGAGAGAACAACTTACCAACCAAACTTAACCAAATGATTTTGCTCAATGTGACAATAGCCAACACAGCCAGCCCGATCCACAGCGCAGGCGTTATGTATAGACCGAGCCAGAAGAATCTCTTATCTGTAGCCGTGATGGTACGAGTGGTGGGGTCGGACGACTCAAATACCCAGTGCGAATCGCCGGTTGAAGTGTTGACTTCGTTCCACCAGCGCAGACCAACTAGGCGACGGCCGGCGATGTTCTTAAGATAGTAAAAGTCCGCGGAGAGGAGGAGGAGGGTCAAGATGAAGACAAGGACGCTGGGTATCATGTTAGCCGAAGATTAATCGCGGGGGGTGATTCTCATGGGTGACCATGAAGCTCATGCGCATCGCTCACATACAAATTCTTGATAAATAGAACTCCGAACAGATACATCAGGAGAGCACTGGAGCGGAATCCCAGAAAGCAAAGGAGTGTGATCGGATGGGCGCTGAGACGCCAGTTCAATTCCCCCTGCTGGGGCTGGAGGGGTTGGTCCATGATGAGGCTATAAGCAATTATCAAACACCTTCAAGACAGGAAAAGAGGAAGCAATAGAGCTATCTCCCCATTAAATGAGATCTGCAATTCGCAACTGCTGCGATGATAAGGTCGAGATGATGATGCTGCGTGTCTGGATTGTATACGTACACCAGGCGGTGGGGGACGGCATAATCGGCTCAACGGCGGAAAAAACAAAACATGCTTCAAGTCTCTATCACCAGAAGGAAAATTCTGTGTCCCTGCTCTGCTATAATTCTAAATGCAAATGGGAGCATGGGCTAATACCTCTCGCATACTCACAGTCCGATTTTGCATCAATGGTGGCTATTTCATTGAACAGTAGACCTAATCAGGGTCCCAAAGGTTCCACCCGGAAGAGATCAAATCCCAGAAGCCTTTATGCCAGTATGGGCCCGAACTCAACTCATGCTCCAGACCGAGGATAAAGACAACAGAGCCTGGCTCTTCAGGACAAGCTTTGTACCTGATTATCACCCGTGAGCAACTGTCGGCTACAAAATCATTCCTTGATATATACCCATCACAATATATCGCAGAAAATGGCGTCGAGAAATACCCTCCGCCGTGCCCTTCTCTACAGTACGTCAATGCCATCAAGCTCTCCCCGCATCCGGCCTCCAGCGTTCTCTTGGCGCATAATCATCTACTCCGTCCAACATACAGAAACAGCACCCTTCACTGACCACTTTATTGATAGTCCCCGGATCATCGCAACGCTTCATTGACAAATCCCGCTCCTTGACCGCAGATTGCGTCGCCTATGACCTCGAAGACAGCGTGACTCCGTACAAGAAAGCGGAAGCTCGCTCGCTAGTGCGGAGAGCGCTCGACCAGCCTGCTCCGTCTGGGATCCGCGAGCGCGCGGTCCGCATCAACTCTGTCGACAGCGGGCTAGCACTAGCGGATCTGACCGAAGTCGTATGTAGAGACACAGACACCGTCGCCCCCCTTGCACATAAACGCTAGGATACTAATAAACCCAACCAGCTCCAATCCCCCAATCTCAGCACCATTGTCATTCCCAAAGTCAATTCCGCCTCGGACCTCACCTTCGTCACGGACGTCATCACCCACACCATCTCGCAGAAGTCCCAGACACAGGATGGACACCCGCGGCCCCCCATCTCCCTCCTGGCGCTCGTCGAGTCCGCGAAATCCCTGACAAACCTCACCCAAATCTGCGCAGCGACACCCCTCCTCCAGGGCCTCATCTTCGCTGCAGAAGACTTCGCCCTCGATCTCAGTCTCACACGCACCCCGTCCCTGATGGAGTTCCTGTTCGCACGATCCGCCATCGTCACGGCCGCGCGGGCAGCAAACCTCCCGTCCACGATCGACTTGGTCTGTACGGCGTACAAGTCAACCAAAGGCGATGGCTCCCCGCCCGCCGTGCTTGAGGAAGAATGCCGCAGCGGAAAGCAGCTGGGTTTCAATGGGAAACAGTGTATCCATCCCTCGCAGGTGGAGACGGCACAGCGGATCTACGGGCCGGAAACGGACGAGGTTCAATGGGCGGTCCGGGTGGTGATCGCGGACGAGAAAGCCGCGCAGGCTGGCCGGGGCGCGTGGACTCTTGACGGGAAGATGATTGATATCCCCGTTGCGGAGAAGGCGCGCTCCATTGTGAAGAAGGCCGAGGCGTGCGGGTTCGATGTTCGGGAGTTGCGGGAGAAATGGCAACATCAGGAGCCTGAATAATCCCAATGCTCGTTTAAAGGGTGTGTGGTTATATCCTATTGAACTTGTGTTGAATCCCCGACAAGGCATGCGCTCTACGATTACCCTGAATGATATATATTCAGTAGAACTGGATGCAGTGATAGTTATGTAATGTCTTTGTATATACTCCTCACTGAAGCCGCACCAAAGTCATGCAGAATCAGGGCCATTTATGAAGAAATCCGGCCAGAGTGAAGAATAGGCTGGTAGTGGTATATACTCGATAGAGATGATCCGATGGGCATGACAATGAACAGGAGTGGAAGAATCCATCTAATCGTGCTTGTAGAAGTCCCTATGCGATTCATGCGTCGGCATTCCCTCCCTCTATGCCTAACAGGAAAGGTGCGAAATCTGCCGCGAGAACTAGTGAACTAGTGAGGATTGATTGAGACTCTTATTGCCGGCACCAGAGAAACAAAGGTTTTCAAGAGAAAGGTAAGGCTATTGATTGTTCGATTCTAAGTCTTCGCGTTTGAGCAACTGGATCTTTCCCATCGTCAAGACAGGCTGATTGTCATCGTCGGCCTTGTTCGCGTTCGCTTCTATGCTCTTGGCTAAGGCCTTATCATAGCTGGTGGGATCGATGCCTAGGATTCCGCCGACATATCCGCCCCTCTCTCCAGGCACGCTGAATTCGCGGAAGAGATATTTCCAGTCATTGAGCCAAGCTTTGACGGCTTTTCCGATCTTATCCTTGCCGTTCTTCGAATGGTGACCTGTCCCTGTAATCGCGTATATCACGCGGCGTCCCTCACGTGCATGTCGCAGGAGAATCTTCTCCAGATATTCAATTGCCTCTTCAGGATGCAGACCATGCAGGTCGACGTAGAGTTCTTCGGCAGTCTCATCCAAGCCGGCGGTAAGAAGGTGTTTGTTTCGCTCTTCATACAATTGGCGTGCTGCTTCACGGTGGCACTTGCGCATCGCTTCATTTTCTGCCTGGCCCCGGAGAGACAGTGCCTTTGCAGCCCTCGCATCATTGCGGTTCCAGGCTTGAGCGGCGCTGTAAGATTTGTTAGAACGTGATGTGTTCATCAAGTGTCAATATTCTTACCTCTGGAGGAATTTATTCCGCACAGTGCCGTGGCGAATGGCTTCTGTGCGGTATTTGATGTACTGCTGATTGGCGCGAGAACCGGTCTCAAGCCAAGGGATATTCTGCGGAGCGGGAATAGCTTGAGCGGCGGCGCTGTTCTCGCGACCTTTGCCTCCTTCTCTGCCATTCTTGGACAGAGACTTCCCTTTACCGGGAGCAGGAGACGGTGACATACGGACAACATCTGCCAAGGAAGTAGGCAGATTCTCTCGCGCAGAACTATTCTCGCGGTTGTTGCGCTTGCCCTGCTTTTTACCAGCGTTCTTCGCGCTGACTGCAGCAAGCGTGGGAAATGCGTCTGGGTCGTCGACGGAAAGGGCTGTCGGGTTAAGTTCACGGTGTTGATGCCGGCTGGTCGGCCGGGAGTGAGGACGAGATCCATAACCATTGCGTTTGCCTGGCGCCAGCTGCATTGACTGGGGAGACTTGTTCCCCATGAGACCAGACAAATGCGAGTACTTTCCGAGGTAATGATTCGTCCATTGGTCTCCGGAGCCGCCTCCGGTCTGTAATGGAGGGAAGGCTTCCGAAGTATTCTCTACGTTAAAAGCTGCACCAGTGATCGAAACCTGAGGATTGCCTTCTCCCATGCTGAGATTCGCGATCAATGCCGAGGGATCGTGAGAGAAAGGACACCCATCGCCCGCAAGACAATTGCCCATAACCCAATATCTGCACCACACGCAGTGGTTAGCTGAATTCCAATTGGTTTTCCTGACAAAATACCCATGGGGACTTACTTGCAGACGTGGCTGGTAAGATCGTGGCTGAAGCGACAATCTGCACGGAGGCATTGCCCCGTAGACAGCCAATATTTACACACGACAGGGCTCCGACTATGACCGGGAGAGGTGCCTGATTTTGACTGTTCCATGGTCATGGACTTTCCGACAATGACTCGGGAATCATCTGACTGATGAAAGGCCTCCCCATCATGATCCTGGGACAGAGCGGCAATAGTTGCGCCGAGATCATAGCTGTTCGCTTCTAAAGCAGCCTCGATGTCCTCGTTCGATCTCTTATCACCCAGGACAGTGCGCAGGATATCATGTGGACTCATGTCGGGGACAAATTCCGGAGCAGTGGCGCTGAGAGCCCCAGAGACGCTCAGCGCTCCCACAGAGGATGTGGTGCTGGCTGCATCGTCTGCAACAAGCCAATCCACATTGCTATCGTTGCCAAAGTCACCGTAGAAATCCGACACCTGGCTCTGGTCCGAAAATTCGTAAGCGTTGAGATTCGGCGAGTGGGGGATCGGCTGAGCAAGGGCCAATCTGGGAGAAGGGCGGGGAGAGGTAAAAGGCGATACGGTAGATGAGAGTGGTGCGCGAGGATATCCTCCCCGTGAGCTTTGGAGCCAAGAAGAGCCACCAGGGCTGGTACCTAGATTCGAAGGTGGAGATAGCGGTGTGGAGGAACGTGCCATCTGCCACGGAGCTGGCGAGGAGCGGCGGATCACCGTATGACGAGGAGGGGGAGGAGAGGAATCAGGTAAGGTTCGATTGCGATGTCGCCATAGAACGTCGAGGACCGCATTTTCCAATGATGCGCCGGTCAATGAGGTCTTCTCCCGCAGGAAGTCCTCGACCTTCTCGGCTTGTTCTTCTTCATCGAGAGTTTTATCCTGGAGGAGCTGAAGACAACTCTCGAGAAGATCGTCGGCGATCATTCTGAGGTTATATCTTACAGCGATAGACGACTTGGATAGGAGGGATGGGGGATGAAGCGATGAAACGTGGGTAGCACGGTTCAGATGTTTGGTGAGGGGTAACTGCCGTTCAGACGCTCGGGACGGCGATAAGACCCGAGTGGTAACTGGAACTCGAGTGCTAGTTTAGAGATGAGATTCCATTGTGCTCCGACGATGGCACGACAGCGTTGCTAATTACAATAGATTGGTTGTGGTCGTGTTGTCAGCTCAAGAAGGGGGTTTGTTGGCATGCGAAAGGGGGGACAGATTGCGAAACACTGAAGGAAGATCACATCGCAGACGTTAAAGGAAAGCACCCATCGAAGAGGATAAACGAGAGAAGCAAGCAGAAATGAACGATCAGAATTGAAGCAGCAACGCCCACAGGAAAGAAGAAAGACGAAAGACGAAAGACGAAAGACGAAAGACCAAAGACAAAAGATGATTGAGGACAAAGAAGGGGGAGTTGCAGTGTAGGTAGTGGATGGATGGGAAGTACCTTAAGGCAAGGTAAGGCAAGCTAGTTAGTTATGGAATTAGATAGGTCGACCGATCAATTCGATAGGATGGAGACTCGTGGTCGATCTGGCTGGCTGGATTTGACTCAGGCAGAGACATTGGTGGCCATAACACTGAGGCGCTCAGGCTGCCACACCCCGGTCACTCGCTCTGAGAGGAGAGTCTATCTAGACATCTTTGCGTGTTCCCAGAATAAATTGCGGAACTATACTAATAGTTTACGATAATCAATATTACTATTGTCTCGTAAATGTATTCGTGAGCTTGTCAATCCACAACTGCCAGTACACAACCAACTCCATAGTCAGTCGGAATGTATATTGAACGAGAGTGTGGGGAGATCTGGAACCTCAGGCCAAAAGGCACCAACTGGCTTGGCTGACAATAACAATAATACAAGAATCGGTCGATCAGCCGAGAAAAAGACATGCAATTATTACGATATCAATTTTCCCTTGTACTGCATGTAGCTGTATAACTCAGATGAATGCATGAAGGGGGAAAAAATAAAAAAAAAATAAAAAAAACGGAAAATAAATCAAAAGCCATGTAGAGTAAACCGGAAAGATATTGAAGCAAGCAATAATGCTGCCTTAGTCACAAGGGTTACTAGTAACTAGATAACTAGAGTACTAGCAGGTACAGTCAGCAACCCGCTGAACTCTCCAACCCCCAATGGAAAGGGACAACATCTTCCAAATGTTCAGAGAGGCATCGGCTCATTATGACGGCTCGTCTTGAGCTTTTAACTCAGTAGGGTAGCTATATTACCCTTAATACCTTTGGACAACCGGCAGGGGTGGTCCTACACGACCGTCATTTTGCTTCGCTCACTACTTTTGTCGCCTTTGTCGCCTTCTCCATCAGGTGCCCGAGGAACCCAAACGCCTGCTTTCGACGCAAACCGGTGCTTGATCTGTTCATTTGGGAGAACTGGTTCGCTAGTGGATAACCCTTTGCCAGATTGCGATAAATGAGATAGCAGCTACTTGACCCTAACAGGCTCTTCACTAACACGTCGACCTCTACCGCATTGAAGTCGCGACTTACCGGATAATCGTTGAATGTGAATTCCCGTCAAGATGCCTGCAGGCTACGCTTCAACAGCACGAGCCCTATCCCTTCCAATGTCACCTTCAGGAACGCCATCGCCAGCGGACGATGACATACAGTCGCCGCCATGGGGTCATCTGATCCCAAACAGACAGAATACGCCCAGTCCCTCAATACGGGAAGCAACTAGCTTTCGGGATCAGATCACTAGTCAAGCAACCAGGCTCCTATACCGGATGAAGAAAACTTGGCGAAGACTGAACTTTTGGCAGAGAGTTGGGGCCATCGGAGCGGTGATACTTGCCATTCTGTTGGGGCTGGGTTTCATGATCTTTACCGGACAGGTGTTCCTATGGCTCGAACCGGTCGCTGAGACATGGGAGCAGTCGAAGCTGGCATTTTTTGTCCTTTGGCTGTGTGTCTTCTTCGTCTCCTTCCCGCCATTGGTTGGCTGGTCCACCTTTGGCACAGTCGCGGGTTTCATTTTTGGCATATGGAAAGGGTAGGTTTTGCTCTCATCCGTATCCTTCTTTTTTCATCTCTGCAATTTTGTCACTTTTGAGACGGCCGTTAATCACTTTCTTAGCTGGCTCCTCTATGCCACTGCAACTGTGCTTGGATCAACATGCTCCTTCATCGTATCGCGAACAGTTCTATCGAAGTTTGTCAACCGCATGATGGAGCGCGACAAGAGATTTGCTGCTCTTGCCCTAACGCTCAAGTACGACGGGCTCAAGTTGCTATGCATGATTCGCCTGTGCCCTTTACCATACTCCGTCTGCAATGGCGCTGTCTCGACATTTCCTACTGTCCATCCGTTGATGTATGGATTGGCTACCGCTATTATCACACCTAAGCTGCTTGTTCCAGCCTTTATTGGGAGCAGGATCAGGATTCTCTCTGAACAAAAAGGGGAAATGAGTGCTGGGTCAAAAGCGGTGAATATCTGTAGTATTGTTCTTACCATTTCGATTGGTGTTTTTACAGGCTGGTATATATACAAAAGGTAAGCTTCTTCTTTCTCTATCGTTGTATCGCTTTTGCCCGTTCGAAGAATGCTAATGGGCATATTCACCCAAGAACGCTGGCACGAGCCAAAGAACTAGAAGCCAAGGAGAGGGCCGATATTCGAAGATCCTTACAAGCCGACCATGCTGCTCACCGTCCTCATGGTTCTTTCTCTGAAGACCCAGACGTCAACACAGCGGCTAGCATACTTGCTCGTGATGAGGAGGAAAGAATTGGATTCAACGACTTTGATGATGACAATGTTGACCTAGTGATCGACGACGAGAGCGGCAGTGACAATTCTTCTGGTCAAACGAGGAAGCATTTACAGGGTTCGTATAGAGATGAATTTACCGACAACGATTCAGACGTCTTCCGGGATGGTGATGGAGCAGATAGTGAGACATACCATCTACATACGCATGTACGTCCGAATTAAAAGTCATTCGCTACTCATGTTATCCATGGGTTATACATTCACGAATGATGTACCTATCCCACGATGTATATACACCGCTCCCATAGATCTGTCTATACCAAGGCATCACTGGCTGTTATCTCAACGATCATGTAGTATTACCGATTTATTCGTAACTTGGCTCGAGATCTTCCATCGTGTTTGGTTCAAGGTGGTGGACCAGAGACGATATTGGATGAAGGCTTGCTTGCGAGAAGGCCAGAGGAGATTCGAACTCGTTTTTTTGATCCTCTTCCGAAAAGAGGCTATCGGAATTGAAGATCGTAGCCAATCTGTCCTCCCTCTTGTAACGTATTGATCGGTGCTGCATCTGTAGATTGAGAATAAAGGTTGGTGAAGTTGAACTGTTGACAAGAACCAAGCCAAAGTGCAGAATGTGGCTTTCCATCTTCGGACTGAGAAATACGCTGAGTTTGGCCGAAGTTCCCGTCTGTACCATCGAGTCTTCTCAAATTCGAGATGCATATTTTCAACGAGAGATATCCACTGACATCGCAAAGGGTTTGAATATTTTCCAATCACTCGTCTACTGGCGGCATCAAAATTTAATAAACCTAAGAACCCAACGGGTCGAAGCGAGAGACGTGCGTTGACGGATGACCTAAGGACATATCTCGCTTTTCTTTTCGCCTACAAGTAGTCTCACATTGGTCCACCCAGGTAAGGCGAGTCCCATGCCTATGTCCCTTTCAGAGTTCAGAGACTAGTCATTTCTGCTGGGGAACTCTCTAGTGGGCGATTAGTAGATCTAACAGCTGTTTAGGAATATCATACATCGCATTATCCAAGAACCCCTTCCCTCCCAATCCAACGGCCTCGTCTGAGTGGACCCACCATGGAGGGAAATCTCGAGATCTGATATCGCCAAAATCTTCTCCGAAGGGAAGGGGTACTGAGTTGCTGATGCCCATCGGTTCATAATAGGTGATCTATGTGTTGATTCGGTGGATCGCAGCCTGTTCTGGTCAATACTTAATATCACGCGTCATCGTCAAGGATCTACCATACTCCCACGCCCTTGTTAGCGAGAATGGAGACCGCTGGATCTATAGGGATGCAGGACTTGAACAGTCTGTCCTATGAGATGTCGCAGTTCGATCGGTACTTTTCTCAAGCAACTTCTTATGGCAATGGCGATGTACACTTGCCGCTTGCAGCGCTGCAAGATCAGCCGCTATCGAGTCTTGATCAGCAATCTCAGCCCCCTGCAAAACGGCCTCGGAACTCGCCTTTGAGCAATTCCTTGGATGAACCAATCACCGTGGCCAATGACTCTGATGCACATGGGGGTCTTGAGATGATAGATAGTACTACTAATGGTGTAGCGAACTGTGATACTCAGATCGCGGATTTCTTGTCTCATGGTCTCAATGGACATACAAGTCAGAATATCTCTAGCGGCTCGGGAACGTCAGCTTCATTTGTTTCTGCCTCTAGTCAGAGCAATTCAACCCCGGCGTCTACTGTCAACGATGCGCCTTCCTCGTCTTTTATTAGCACAGACATCAAGGCGGCAGTCGACACTACAGACTACGGGAGATATCGACCAAGATCATCCATTCCTTCGAGGCTCTCAGCCGCCGTCTATGCCCATCAGTGCGTTACAGCAGCGTATGCATGCAGGCTTAATCCATATGCTCTCCACAAGAAGGAGCAGGAAGCCCTACAAGATCACATGTGCCATCTTCACGTCACTGTCTATCTGAATATTCGGAACGGCATACTCCGGCTTTGGACTCGGAACCCAATGGTCAGTGTAACCAAGGAGGAAGCTCTTGGGTGCGCAAAGGACTATCGTTGGATGGGCTTGGCATCGTTTGCATTTGAATGGCTTGTGCGAAATGGGTATATTAATTTCGGCTGCGTTGAGGTTCCGCCGGCTGTAGTATTTCCCAAAAAAGGGCGACGGAAGGATGGTCCTGTCATCGTTGTGATCGGAGCCGGGATGGCAGGTCTTGGTTGCGCCAGACAGTTGGAGGGTCTCTTCAGCCAGTACCACGATCCTTTGATATCGCCGCGGGTTGTTGTACTGGAAGGAAGACGAAGAATCGGTGGTCGTATCTATTCACATCCCTTACAAAGTCTTCGATCGTCTAAATTTGCACCGGGATTTGTTCCCAAGGCTGAGATGGGTGCTCAGATTATTGTCGGTTTCGATCGTGGGAATCCCTTAGACCAGATTATTCGCGGGCAATTAGCGCTGCCGTATCATCTACTACGAGATATCTCGACCATCTATGATATCGACGGCTCTCCTGTCGATGAAGTCCGGGATGCCATGGACGAGCGGCTGTATAACGATATTCTAGACCGCTCAGGACTTTACCGGCACAAATCTGTCATGGCAGCCACTGCCGAAGGTGATAGGGGACTTATTGACTCTGGTCGTGACCTGACAATGAGCGACGGTCTCACAGTGAGACAGTACGAGGAGGCACGTGCAGCAGGTACTGTTGGGCTCTTGTTTCCCACCAAAAAGGTTCGGCGAGGTGTAAGCCATAAGACTGCAGACATCAAAACGACTGTGCCTGCTGTGGCGGATATTGGTCCGACAGATGAACAACCGGCAGCGTTGGCCTGCCGGGCCATGGGATGGAAGTTGAGGGATGGTGTCTCTCTGAACGAGTCGCTAGATCTGGGTCCTATCGCGAGAGCTTCAGATTTGCAAACGCTGGGTGCCGTAATGGACGAGGGAGTCAAACAGTATCAGCATATGCTTCCTCTGACGCCTAAGGATCTGCGGTTGATCAATTGGCACTTTGCTAACCTGGAGTACGCGAACGCGGCTAATATTGGCAAGCTCAGCCTTTCCGGTTGGGACCAAGATATGGGCAATGAATTCGAAGGCGAGCACTCTCAAGTAATTGGCGGATATCAACAAGTTCCTTATGGGCTGTGGTCGCTACCGACAAAACTCGATGTGCGAACGAACAAAACCGTGACCAAGATCTCCTACGATCCCACGGGGTCTGGAAAACGGAAGACAGTGGTTCACTGCGAGGACGGTGAATCATTTGTTGCGGACAAAGTGGTCTTTACGGGATCTCTTGGTATTCTCAAGTATCAGTCAATTCAGTTCTCACCTGCCTTGCCTGACTGGAAGTCGGGGGCCATTGAGAGGCTTGGTTTCGGAGTCATGAACAAAGTGATACTAGTGTTTGAGGAACCCTTCTGGGATACAGAAAGAGATATGTTTGGGCTTCTACGTGAACCCAGGAATCGGGAAAGTCTAGTCCAGGAGGATTATGCAGCCAACCGGGGCCGGTTCTATCTTTTCTGGAACTGCATGAAAACAACCGGCCTTCCAGTCCTGATCGCACTGATGGCCGGTGACGCAGCTCATCAGGCGGAATGTACACCCGATGCCGTGATTGTCGCCGAAGTGACCAGCCAACTGCGCAATGTCTTCAAACACGTGGCTGTGCCCGATCCGCTGGAGACCATCATCACGCGATGGGGTTCGGATCGATTCACCCGGGGGACCTACTCTTACGTGGCTGCGCAGGCGCTGCCGGGTGACTACGATCTGATGGCGAAGCCCATTGGCAATCTACACTTTGCAGGCGAGGCCACCTGCGGCACGCATCCGGCCACTGTTCACGGCGCCTACCTGTCGGGCCTCCGAGCTGCATCAGAAATCATCGATAGTGTCCTCGGTCCTCTCGAGCTGCCGAATCCGTTGGTGCCTGAAAAGGGCAAGACCGCCGAGCTAGGCACACCCGTGGCTGCAGGCCAGAAAAGAAAAGGGCCATCTCTATCCACAGCACCTCTCGCCTTCGCGTCTGCCCCCACCGGCTCGTCCGCCTCCGCACCCGCTTCCGGCGACGCGCCCCTCCGCGAAGCCTACGAACAAGCCATGTGGGCCGCGATCCACGCCGAACTGGGGGCCCCCGAGCCACGACCGGCGCGGACAGGCCTGAACCCCTTCCTCCTCTACCAGAAGGACTACTGGGGCAAAGCGCGGCAGCAGTGCGACGAGGCGCGGCAGGCCGCGACAAGGAACCCGAGCGCCAAGGCCGCGCGCGACGAGATCCGGCAGGCGCTGGGCCTGATGTGGCGGCAGGCAAGCGAGGAGGAGAAACGGCCGTACATCGAGCAGACGGAGGCCAACCGGCAGACGAACACGGCGATCTGGGACCGGTGGAAGCAGAGCATGAAGGAGTGGGAGCGGAGATCGTACGAGGTCAAGGACCGGTGGTGTGCGGCGCACCCGTTCGAGACTTGGCAGCCGCCCGCGAAGAGATGATGTACCCTGCAGGGCTACAAGGTGCATGCATATCAGCTCCGCGGAGACCGAAGGACAAAAAAACCGGGGGGGGTTCGCAAAGCCGACGGGAGGATTGGTGGTATAACCGTATATGTCCTTCTTGCTTACGGGTGTACGGAGTATTAGTATTCAGTATTGATTGAGTATTTGCTATGGAATAAATCCCGAGCGTTAGCTAGGTAATACGGATATGATATTCGACAGGGGTAGGTCTAGATACCGCAAAACATAGATCAATCGACAGAATGAATAGAAAGATATTGGATGCAATTCACAAGGTTCAACCGTAAGATGAATGAAAAATGAAATCTTTTGTTCTATTCTATGCATCTCCAGGTAGATTCCCTGATCAATCAATTCTCAACCTTTATCTCTAAGGGTTGGATTGGAGTTCCGTGCGAGCAAGTGAACCCATAACTAAGAAAGATTTTTGGGAGCAAAAAAAAAAAAATAAAATAAAATAAAAAAACAAAAGAAAAAGAAAAAGAAAAAAAAGAAACAAAAAACGAACGCTGAAAGTCTAAGGGCATGAGGATATCATTATCTAGGGGAGATATGATGTGTGGATGACATGACGAGGCGATGGGAGGTGGAAGGTTCAGGGGTGTCGATGTGATCTATCGCTCGATGGGGGCGGGGATGGTAGTAAAGAGTATGTTTAGAGCAGAGGGTTGGACTTGTACTCGGGGACGGCGCCATTGGGGTCTTTCTTGACCTCCCCATCGACTTCCTGGGCGGCGGGCTGGACGGTGGAGCGGTCGCCGGTCTTGGAGACGACGGCCTCCTCCTCGGGACCTTCGGACTCCGCAATGAACTTCTCGGCCTCAAGAGCGGCGATACAGCCGGATCCTGTAACCATAAGATAGATGGTTAGTTTAAAGGCGGATATTGGAGCGAGGGAGAATGGAAGGAAAACAAACCTGCACTGGTGATGGCCTGGCGGTAGCGCTTGTCCTGGACGTCACCGCAGGCAAAGACACCCTCGCGGCTGGTGTAGCTGGTTCCAGGCTTGGTGATGATGTATCCGTCCTCATCGAGGTCGATCTGGCCCTTGATTAGGGCGGTGGCGGGATCATGGCCAACGGCGTAGAAGAGCCCGTTGGCGTCGACGACCTCCTCGTCGCCAGTGACGGTATTCTTGACCTTGAGGTGGGTCATGAGACCGTTGGGCTTCTTCTCGCCCAGGACCTCGGTCGCGACGGTGTTGAAGCGCACGGTTACCTTGGGGTGGGCGAGCAGACGGTTGGCCATGGCCTTGCTGGCGCGGAGCTTGTCGCGGCGGACGAGTACGGTGACGCTGCTGCCGTACTTGGCGAGGAACATGGCCTCCTCGGCGGCCGAGTCACCTCCACCGATGACGTACAGGGGCTTGTTGCGGAAGATGGGCACGGCGCCGTCGCAGACGGCACAAGCGCTGATGCCGTTCTGCCAGTAGGTCTCCTCGCCGGGCAGGTTGAGACGGCGAGCATTGGCGCCCGTGGCGATGATAACGGCGTCGGCGGTGCATGCGGGACCCTGCTCGGGTCCATCGTTCCACTCCGTCCACAGCTTGAAGGGTTTCGAGGACAAATCAATTCGCGAGATGGTCTCGGTGATCACCTCGGTGCCGAACCGAATGGACTGCTTGCGCATGTTCTCCATGAGCTCTGCGCCGCCAATGCCATCGGGAAAACCGGGGAAGTTCTCGATGTCGGTGGTGGTGGTGAGCTGACCGCCAGCAGCGGTGCCGTTAGCCAGCATACCCTCATAGAGAGTCGGCTTGAGCTCTGCTCGCGAGAGGTAGATAGCGGCAGTGTGAGCAGCGGGGCCGGAGCCAATGACTGGGAAAGAGGGGGTCGATGTTAGAAGCTGTGCAATAACACATCTAGAAGGGCGGCTCGACGGATATTCAACATACTAACTACTTTTGCGTGCGCCATTCTGGAAGTAGAGGTCGAATTGACGCGCAACGGCGTCGAGAAGGAATTGGATAGGACGGAGGTGGGCGGGGAGGACTTTTGGTGGAGCGACGACGCAGCAGCAGCAGTCAATCCAAGCGACGATCGGAGAGAGGCAAAGGAAAATCGGCGAAAGGCGGAGGAGAACACTTTGACGGTTGTTGGAGGGAGATTGGGAGAGAAAGGAAGATTGGAGGGGAGGGGGGCAGAGGGGAGGATTTAACCACTGGTTGTGTATGGAGGCGTGCACTGTAATTGGAGGCGTAGAAACGAAAGATGGCGAAAGACGAAGAAGAGGGGGCCACAGCAGCTACTTGACGAGAGTTACGAGTGATGTGGGGATGGGTGGAAATTGATTGATAATGAGCAGTTGAGCACAGAGCCAGCTAGAAGATCGATCTCGAAGCGAGCACGAAGACTTTCGTTCTTCTGCTGCTAAATCCCATCCAGAGCGGCCATTCTGAGAAATCATCTCCCCGGGCGAGACCCGGTCACGTGAGACTGCTTAGAAAGCGCGCTGGCCGAGACCTCCAGCTTAGTATTATTCCATTGACACCATCATCACTCTGCTTGGTGTGCTATGCTTGGAGTAATAATAATAATAATAATAATAATAATAATAATAATAATAATAATAATAATAATAATAATAATAATAATAATAATAATCATCAGATAATGATGATAATGATGATGCTGATGCTGAGCAGGGCATCATTCCAATAATGACCTGGATCGAGTTGTCTACGATCTATCTACTACTGACTGCTCAGGATCTGATCGGGTTTCCGATTTCGGACACGGTTGACCACGCCTTACCTCAGCTGACTCATCCGCCAACTGGCCTTGCTGCTGAAGCTATACCAACAGAGCTGACCGTGAAACTCCTCTGCCTGTCACAAATAATGTAGATAATATCGCCATTATATCGATCAATAGAACAAGTCAGGGTATGCATGCAGCGAGCATTATGGACAGAACAAATAACCAAGCGAAGAACACAGAAACCATGAAGTCATCAAGCATCAGTCGTCAATATCATCGAAATCGTCAAACATCATCCTAGCCGCCCAAACCACTTCTTCTTTGGTTTGATCCCTTCTTCAGACCCATTGCTGATGGCTCCCGGTGCCGGTGTCTGACCCATAGCCCCCATGGACTGTGGCATTCTGGGATCAGGTTCGTCAGGGTCGCTCTCCGTATATTCGTCATAGTCACCGCCGGAGTAATCCGTGTCTTCCGCATCACGGGCGGCATCATCAGCATTGCTGGGCTCTTTCTTGCGCTTCACGCTGAGCCATCTCTTCCATCCCTTGGCCACTGGGGTGGCGGGGGGTTCATACTCCGTCCCGTCGTATCGCAACATAGGCACCAGAAGCTTGTATGGGGTTGTGATGCCGGATGGGTCCTGCGGGTTGAGCTCGAGATTGAGTGTGATAGCCAGCCCTCCTTCCAGGTTAATGTAGGAGCCCACTCCATCATCGCCCTTCTTCGCAGCCTTCTTGGCCGCCTTCTGGCTCAGGTTCGTGGGTCGCCGGTGGAAGGGTCCTGGCCGGAAGTCTGCTGGTGCGGGCGGGAAGTAGTTGTTCCCAGCTTCGGTTGTTGGGAAAGGTCCATCCATGCTCATGTGACGACCCGGGGCGCCATCCAGGTTGAATTCTTTGGTTGGAGGCGGCCCTCGCAGCGAGAGTCGTCTCAGCAAGCCACCCTGGGGTCTATCACCCCGCCCAAGGGACAGTGTCCTCTGCAACTTACGCGGACGAGGCTCTTCCATCGGGACTGGGGCCTGTTCCAATTCTGGTGTATCTGGAGGCGTCGAGCCTAGCTACCGTTAGGGGGCTCACACTCCTTGCAAGGCAGAAATGCAACTCACCTGGTTGAAATTCACGGATGGCGCACCAGTTTCGACGTGGAAGCAGACGCTTGTTGTTGCGTGGCTTACTGTTGACATCCTGGGTGAAGATGGGAATCATGTCTTCATCTGTATTCGTATCCACATGGTGCACGTGGTTGCGCTTGTTCAGCATATCTGAGACCATTTCTGTCTCAGGCATGTCCGCGATAGCAGAAGAAATGACATTAGGCATGTACCGGTAGTCCTTGTCTTTCGGCACGTTCAATTTCGCGTTCGAGTAGAATTGTCCGATTGCCGCCAAGTGGACATCGCCACTAAAGTCTTGTGTTAAAAGAATTCATCCACGGCCGTGGAGTCTATCTCACCTCAAAATCGTGACCCGAACCGACTTCTCCGCGGCAAGGTCTTGAAGGTCCTCAATCAAGTATGTGCGTTCGGATTTGTGGTGTTTCGCCGTCCAGTGATCGTCAAAGATCTCGACCTTGCCGCCGTTCTTGTTCACCAGGCCTCCGAAAAGCCCGGCCTTTCCAAGCGATTTGCGACTGTTAATGATGTTCTTAAGCATGGCCTGCATAGAGATTTAGAATGATGTTTTCGAGTCGCAGTCAGGCGGGACATACCATTCTTGGATACGCAATGGGGACACTCGACAACACAATCAAGTGTTTTGTCTCGCCTCGAACGATCTCACGATGACATCTGTCCCAGATCATATCGCATGTCTGTTCGCTTAGAACCTCATCACTCTGAAGGATAGTCAGCCTCAACTCTCCTCAGCCTGCCAAATCCTTCTTACCAATCGTTCCGTCCTGCAGTCCAATCCGAGAAAAGCCACTTCTTTACCCAGGGACATGAATACATGCCGACTCTGATAGTTGATATAGGGCCCTGGCTGTGCCCCAAGGAGCCAACTAGGCTCATCCGCCTCTGTTTCTTCGGGAACGCTGTGGTGCTGGAAGAGGAGGTAATATTTGAATGCTATTCTTCCCAGTCCCGACATCACCGGAGCACCCATGAACTCATCCGGATACGATCCATATCCTTCGATGATCTCGTGGTCGTTCCACATGTTGACCATCGGAATCTGCGAATTGGCCAGAGAAAAAAGGCCCTGGGAGAACCATGCTGAGTAATTCTCGAGATAGAAGCTTTCTATTTCCGCTCGAAACTCAGGATCAAATGCTGTGTCGTATTTTTCGCTGAGGCCCTTGATCCTCATCCATTCCTGGAAATGCGGCGAATCGAACATGACCCGATCATTGAAGATCTGGTCACCGCCACCGATCATGACGTGGAATGGGCGAGTCTGGTGCTCGTTCAACACATCCCGCCAGAGCGGGTCGGGGCCGCAGAACATGTTGGAGTCGACTCCGAGGCTGAAACCATTGCAGGTGTGGAACATGATGTTCATAGACTGCCCTCGGGCAGGCACCCAGAATCCCAGTGCGGGCCCGTGGTTTAGCCGGTATGCGATACGCTGTTGCGTCGGTCCCAATTCGATCTCAATCGCGAATCTCCAGAATGTGACGTCGCGAGCTGGATCAGCGTACAAGCGGGCTCCAACCACTTCTTTGAACGCCCCAGCTGTCTCTCCGTCCACCGAGTGGAGTCTGTTGGCGGGGATCGGTTGCTTGATGCCTTCGCTGCTGTAGTCCACCATACTGGCAGACAGCTCGTAGATCCCATCGTCGTTCTCCACGAAAGACAGATCCAGCCCTTCCTCAGTATGATCTACTGGCTTGACGTAGAGTGGCCTGCCATCTCTACCCAGTTTCATGAGACCAGCCGTAGGGTCGATATATTCAGGTGCAAGCTCAGCGCCACTAACTGTGACTGGTGGTGGTGGTAGGAGGTCCATTGGCTGCGAAAACAGCTTTAAGGAAGGAGGTGAGTCGTAAGAAGAGCGCGAGTCTCTGGTGACGATCAAAATACTGCCTCTCCAAGTCTCCTTGTCAAATGGGCCATTTGGCCCGTCGATGCTGACTCGCTTCAATCCAGTGTATCGGAGGAGCGGGCCGCACTTCAGAAAGAGAGGAGGCTGGAAGCTCTTATTCTCTGGTTCCCCATTTTGTCAGTTAAACAATACAATCGTGATGAAGCTGGATCGACTGAATAAAGAGGTTCATTCGCAGGATAAAACTTTTTACTTAGGTCATGCTTACCTGTCAACTTCTGGGCTGGCTTCTGATAGTTACTCGGCAAAGCTCTGCTCTTCCTGCGATTACTGCCACCACCCTCCCACCAAGCCTTACTTTTCTCGGTATCCAGATGCTGGAAGTCAAAGTCTGATGCCCCCAGCCGGGCTACCGGCGCATTTTTCCATTCTGATAGCGGCGGGGGTGTAGGTGGTGGGACATTGAAGGAAACAGTGTTTTTCTTAGGCTTCATTTGTGCGTTCAACTCGTCCTGGATGGGTTCCACCGGCGTATCAGCAGGACCGTTAGAAGTCCCTGCATGATTTCGATCCTGTTGAGCATTCATTCCTGAGGAGAAGGCGATGTTTCTCTCAGGGGCTCGCTGTGAGGATTGGCTCTGCTGAATCTGAGATTCAGGATAGGCCTGTCGCGGTAGAATCCGGACTTGCTGTGGTATGGGGTGATTCTGTTGGGGAGGTCTAGGTGTTTGAATAGCCTCGGGGGTGGTACGGGTGTGTATCTCCTTCTCTCGTGGTAATTCAGGATTTCTAGCAGCTCCATCGGCATAACCCCCAGGTCTTTGGTTAACCGACACAGATCGTCTGGGGACGCTGCCCTGACTCACAACAGGCATTGGGGACTTTAGACTGCTGTGTGGCGAGTTCTCCGTCATGTAAATGGGTTGAGAGGGTGGGCCCCGGTTTTGAATCGCTTGCTTAGGCTGGCCAGGAGCTCTTTGCTCGCGGGGAATGGACATTTCATGCCTATCCGGGACTGTGCCGCGACTGATAGCCGGGTTTACCTGTCGGGATGCTGTGTCCGGCTGAAGCTGTCTAGCGTCTCGCTCAGAAGTGGATTTTTGACGTGTGGCATTCGATTGTGAACCGGTGTTAGAGGGTCTATCCGGCGGTCGTGCCGCTGATGCATCCCGGGTTTCTGCTTCCCTCTGTTGACGTGCCAGGCGCTCCTTGACTCTTCGCTCGGCTTCCAGCACGCGTGCTCTCTTCTCCTCTTTACTGATTCCATTGAGAGTCACCTCAAGCTTCTGGAGGGGAGATCTATCCGAAGCCCAGTCACGTCGCTTATCTGTCGACGATTTAGTTGTATTAGATCGACTTAGTGGTGATGGCTGGCTACTAGCATCAATCGGCGAAGTGGCTTTGCTGTTGCCGTCTATCTGCTCTGCTGACGCTACGCTGTATCCTTGAATTGAAGTCAATGATTCGTCTGGGCGTATTAAGTCGCCTTCTGGTCGATTCTGGGCCCTTGCAGAAAATGACCCGACGGCTGGCCTCCCTTGTGCCATGACAGAATTACCCTGGTGAACACTATATGCGGCTGCAGGGTTTCTGGATTTCTGCACGTCATTGGTTGAATAGTTCCTGTCAGCGTCCCCAACCTCATAGTCATGATGTGAACTGTCGGAGGTGCTGTGCTGAGAGGGCATGGTGTTCGTGTTTGGATGTGGTTGATAGGATGTTGTAGCCATTTTGCATCCCTTGTAAACCGCGTTATCTTATCGAGCCGCGCTCGAGAGCTCCAAGCGGGTATCTGAACCATCATGACACTGGTCAGATTGCAAGTCCAAAAGTAGACTCATAAAAAAGGAGGACAGTCGGTGCCGCTGAGAAAACTCATACCTGGGGTGATGGAAAATTGGTGTCAATCCGCTAATTGCCTCCAGATTGAGTCAGTCTACAGATATTGGGATTTGATCCGAATATGCGTTTCAGTCAGACATGATAAAATCAATGCCGAACATGTACGTGTCTGCCTTGTGAATACGTCTGAGGCTGTGAGATGGCGGGGATCAGCTGGTTGGCAGCAGCGATTCAAGTATACAGATTCGGGAGTATACAATGACGGGGATGGTGTAACGACGACGAATGATACACAAAAGGAAAAGAATATCAAGATGAGAATGAAAGAGAAGACGATGGACGACAATGAAATTCATCCCAGATCCGCTTGTCGCAAATCGCGAGAGATGCAGGAAGTTGAAAATGGGCCATGCAAGGCCCGTCTTGATTTATCCTGGTGGCTGGCAACTTGATCCAACTTTCCCCCCCAGCCCTCTTTTCTTGGACCTGCAGCAGAAACAATCCACCAGGCACCACCGAGTGTTGTGCTTGTCTCGTTGGTCGATTATTTCTCGTTAATACTCCGTTCTTCGTTAGGATTGCCCTCCATCCATCTGAATATTTTGGAAACAAACGTGATGTGATAGGATGAAGCCATCTGTCCGACCGCCTACATATACCACCTTTGGACAGCTGCCCAAATTGCTTCTGGCGAAAAAAAGAAAGATATCGAGGGCGCCAATGCATACGTCAGTTCGTTGACCTGGAATTGATTCTGAGATGCCACAGTCCAGCATCGAGATCTGTCTGGATCGGTTTATCTAATATCGAGGCTATTTGACGCAGTTGTGATACTCGATCGACAAAGCCTTGTGATGGAGGAGGGATCAGCAATTCGTTTATAGACACATAGTATGTACATTCATTGTAGACATCAATCATTCGTTGGTATGCTAATTTCTGGTGAAAGGTCCAGATTCCATCGATCTTGGCCAATTTTCTGCTTTTCCTTTCCATACATTTGCTTCGGCATTTCTGAAGTACTCGAAGCCTTACTGCTCAATGGCTCTTTCCTGCCTTTACTTCCTCTCAGGCAGGCCTTCAGCTGGCAAGACAATCTTTCCAGACCTCTTGGGTTATTTAGACCGGAAGTCCCAGTACGCATCGTATTCCTGTGGGAAGCGACCTCTGCTGCCTCTTTTGCACAAGCACCAATCCTTCCATTACTTATTTACTATGGCACGTTACTCCAGAATAAAGGTGGCTGCTCACCCTGTCAGCTCTGTCTTCTTGCCCCTGGGATTACTCCAAGTAGCACCTCGATTTTCACGCCTGCCATTCATTCACTACCCTCCAAAGCCTGACTTTGGTGATCGCATACTGTGTACGACATTGTTATACATACCTCTTCTTATTCGTCAACAGCAATGCCGCGCGGCAAAGAAGAGTACAACTGGATTGACGGCGTAGAGTCGCTTGAAAACTACCGCCCAGCGGCTATCATCCTGTTACAATTGGCGACATATTACATGGGCACTACCATAGTATTGACAAGCTAGGTTTTAGAGGCAATTCAACTATTTGACTTGCCTAGGACACTCACCAGGAGCAGTATGTTGCTGTTAAATTTAGTATTACAGATGTGCTTCTGCGTGAAAACTAAGATCATCCAAGCTGTGAGTTAATTCCATTCCCTCCAGATAAATTTGAGGTGTATGGCCCCAATGCACACATCTCTGCTATGCAATGGCTCCCACATGATGTAATCTCAGAGAGGTATCTTTCAGCTGCCTTTTCCCCTATCAGGTTGCCTTACAATGGCTATTTTACTCATTCACACGGCTATGTTCATGGAGGTTAGTGCTTGCAATTCTTTATGATGTCATCATTCTTAATCTAATACTTTCATCCAGATGTCCATCTCCATAATGTCTTAGTTAAACTTCCACCAAGTTTTGACCAGCTAAGCCCTTATCTAAAATAAGCCTCCGCTATGAAGGTGACTTCACTATATATATTGAGAACCCTTTGTGATCCTTATTCTTTACACATACTGACTACCTACTGAGAGCTAGTACTACCATTTCCCAATTCCCATATGACCAGGGTGGGGCCGTGGGAGGAATACGGACCTATATTATATCTGAGACTGAGAGTTCTAAACTTCTAATTCTATCAAATTTTACTAGTGATTTATATATGTTGATAGACATATTCAAACATGAATTTTTCATAGATGAAATATTAAATTCAAAGGGAAAGGAAATTCATGGGACCGTGGGAGACACTACCAGAGCCTCTAGAGGACCCCTGTGTGCAGGGCTATCAACTCAACCAAAAAGATGAATGGTTCTCTGCGCCCCACACCACAGGACTGGCTTGAAGTCAGATTATTAGTCTACATATTGATGGGGTCACAGCTTAAGTTATATAGAGGCGTATCAGCCAATTCAGCTTTAAGACTGCTACAACTCCATCTACGTTTCTACAACCTCCGAAAGCTTCGTCCCTCTGTTCCACATATCCTACAAATCCTATCGGTTTATTGCATTTCAGGATTCAACTGCCGCAAGAATGTCCAAGGTCTTGGGTTCTTTCGTCCAAAAGGCGCAGGCTATCAAGAACGCCCCGTCCAAATTCACCAGCACTGCTGTGGAAGGCAGTCGCCTGATCCCCCTCCAGAACTAAAGACTCCGATTTCCAACTGCGCATCGATGCCGGACGTGACAAGACCTCCTATCTTCGGTCTCCCGCCGAGATAGTCTACAGAGAATACACAAGATTGACTTCCCCATAACAGTAGGTCCTGGTTAACTGGAGTTACTAAAGCGCCAAGAGCCTCATCAAATGACTTCGCGGCATTTACTCATAGCAGACACTTAACCAGTCTGTCATCTGGTCGCTCCACTTACCAGCATGAGATATATAAATCATCCTAAGTCAACAGGAGATAATTCATGGACGGGCAATGAAGTTAAATAGAGCAACACAGTTGTTGCGGGCTGTTCACCCTTTCGCTCATGGTTTGCACACTCGACTTACACTCAAATCCTCTCCTCACTGTTTATCTCCAACTTATTCTGCGAGGCTTTGCTTTCAACCTACTTATGCCGCAAATTTTTCAACGGCGATTACGAGGAACACAATCTCAGGATTAAGTAAGGTCTCATTCCTGTAACAGACTCTGTTCATTCAGGTTGACTCATTGGCAGCAATCGAACCCCATGCTTACACGAGCGGTCGGTGGTTACGTCGCGACAAGGTGGAACATGACTCGCGCTACATCAAGTTCAATTTCGAAGCCCTTTGCCAGAGGGTGATTGATCTATGTCCTGGAGCAGACACCATCGCGACTTGTCGAAAGATTGAAGGAGGTTTCAATAGGGTGTTTATCTTCACATTGAATAATGCCAAGCGGATCGTGGCGAGACTTCCATTTCCGTTAGCTGGGCCAGCGAAATTGACCACTGCTTCTGAGGTCGCCACTATTTGCTATCGTGAGTTTGCATTATCAGATTGCTTATTAACGGGGTGCTAATTCACTCATATATATAGTACAAGCAAGAACTAGCATCCCTATTCCTACGATCCTCGACTGGCATAACGATGCTGCAGATGCAGACAATCTCATTGGTAGCGAATATATAATCATGGAGCACGCAGCTGGAGTCCCATTACGCGATAAATGGCAGGAAATGGGTGGGGATCAGCAAGTCAGGTGCATAGATGCGATTTACCGAAAGATCAAAGAAGCTGTTGACCTGGAATTTCCGGCATTTGGGAGCATATACTTCAACAATACTCTTGATTCACATAACAGAAAATACCTAGATAAGGATTTCTGTATTGGACCGCATTGCAGCACACGATACTGGGACTGCAACCCAGGAGAACATAGATATTATGATACGGCAAAGCCGAATCACGGGCCTTGTAAGTACAGTGGAATGTCGGGCGTCCAGGCAAGTTCACTTACTGTGATGAATGACCAGGGACAAGTATTGATGAGTACTGCGATGGCCTCATTGACGCTGGAATTTCGAGGGTACCCCCAACCAATGCTGAAGTTGAGAAAAGGCCACTCTATCATGGATCGGTTCAAACACACTTGCGCCTTTTAGAATGCGCCCGGACTGTGCTAAGGCAACTCGCCGCGGATTCTCGGATCCAAACCGCTGCGTCACCGCTACTATTCCACCCCGACTTGCATATGAGAAACATATTTGTTTCAGAGGATGATCCTTCTCTCATCAGCAGTATCATTGACTGGCAGGCAGCTAGTATCGAGCCAGCATTTTGGTATTCGGATGAAGTGCCGGACTTTGCGATAGAAAATGACATATGCGCCAAGACTTTTGAACTCTCCTCGCAGTTTTTAACACCCAAACTCTCTGGACCACGGTTGATGAATGAAAACCTCTTTCGTCCTTTTCGCTACAGTTACAGGACGTGGAAGGATGGCGCCGTCGCTTTACGTCACGAGATGATTGAAACTTGCCAACATTGGAGAGAGCTAGGACTTGAAGGTCAATGCCCATGCCCAATACCCACGTCTGAAGAACTAGTGAATCATGAGATCGAGTACAAACTTTTCGAAGCTGCACAGAATCTGCGATGTGACTTGTCAAGATTGCTCAACACTGCATCAGATGGTTGGGTACCCTTAGACAACTGGGAAGCGACAGAACTAGCCCACAAGGAACTGTTCCATGGGATGTTGCAAGCTGTTATGTCAAACGCAGACCAAGATGATGACGAGCCCATAAAAGATGAAAACACTCTCAGATCTATCTGGCCTTTTGATATTGATGGTGAAGACGGACAATTCAGGAGTTCCCTCAAATGAGATTAACGACTGTACAGCTCACCTTTCTAAATAAGCTGCCCTTCACAAGTCAGCTCGTTGAACCATTTAGTGTCTGGGAATAAAAATATATTTCTCATCTCAGAACTTCAAGATGCCTCAAGCTTTCCCCTGCCCGCGGGTTCACGTGTCATGCCTGACGCCTCAGCTATGCTATCACCTGCTGTCTTAACCATTGCCTGTTCCGCTAGTGGGTTTTCCCGAGTGTTCCATGTTTTATGTTGCTGTATTGAGCCTCCGTCCAAAAAGGTGACTCCAATAAAAGCCTCTTTACATTACATCCAGTCGCAGAAGAAACGGACTGCTACAGAACTGTGATTTCCATCCCACTTCAGTACTAGTGGTCCGTTCCGAGGGCGCCATGCAAGTCTGGGATCTGTTGCTAGTGCTGTGCTAGATTAACACTAATATATTGATAGTACCTGCTGGGGAGCCACCAGTGGCAGTGAGCTTTAACATAGCCTGAGGGTTAAAAGAGTTATCTACTGATTCCAGTATATATAAGTCTTATTAAGCCTTTCCTGAGTGCTGATGCTGTACTGCTTCAGTCAAAGCAGAGAGACGCCCAGGCTCTCTGCTTGGGTCAAGTAGTGTTTGGGAAATTGGGAGGTAGCTGGCCCTTGTTGTCAAAGGTGTCGTCGCTGTAAGGATCTCCAAGAGGGCGGTGCCTACCTACTGTAAGGATCTCTAAGATAGAGGCCTTAGCTAACCCAGTGCGCTACTATATGGGTCTGGATTCGTGAGCTGCCTGGTAAACTCGCGGTAAGGTGAGTCTTTTGGCCTTGTACCTTAGTCTGCTAGTATCCAGCTAGCATTCTTACAGTCGCCTGGTTCCCCTTCATCATCCATATCGCCGCTATCGAGGTCACTGCTGGAGTCGCTATTAGATTCGTTGTCCCGAAAATATTCGCTTGGGTCGAAGCTAGCATTACTCCAATTTTCTTTCTATTATTAGATCTAATCACTTAGGAGTGAGGCGCCATAGTCAAATACAGCTCACAGAGAAATAGTAAAGGATAGAAAGCCAGGCAAAATAGAATAGGAAGGAGAGAAGAATAGTAGTTTTATACGTAAGGATGGCTTGATGGCTTTAACAGAACATGAGATACTGCAGGAGATACTACTACTAATGATAGAAGGAGGAAGAGAAGCAGGGAAGGATATGGCCAGCACAATAATAAGACTTAGAACAAGAGAGAACATACTCTGTACTCCGGTTCCAGTTATTACAGTAAGGCTTACAGGGGTGTCAGGCTGTCAGCAGTTGGGACTTATGGCTTACCGCCTTTCCGATTAGGTATGAATATGAAGCTAGTAAAACTTCATTCTTCGTAAGCTCTAGTGATCCCAAGGGTAGTAATATGAAGCTATTCATACTATGGCCACCACAGTGACCACACCTGAGCCTACTACTCCTCCTCCAGAATCATCTGAACCAAGGCAGAAAATTACACGCCTTGACCGGGATGATCGAATTCGTGTCTTAACACTAAGAGATGCTGGCTTTACCTATCAACAGATCTCTACGCAGCTTCGGATTAGCCATCGTCAAGTTCAATATACGTGTCAAAGCTCACAGGCAACCCCAAAGAAGCCTCGCGGTCAGCCGCCAAAGCTATCTGAAGAAGATGTTGACAAAATTATTGCTTTCATCTCCTCTTCGAAGCGAACCCGCCGAATGCCCTACGCTAAAGTGATTCAGGAACTCAATCTCCCTGTTGGAACGACGGCACTATCTCGAGCTCTGAAGAAAAGAGGTTATACACGGTGTAAAGCTCTTCGGAGTAGTGGTGAAGGAGGAGCTATTTTTAGCTCCCCTCCACAGTGACTGCAGTGAGAGTGTCTTGGTGCCATGGTGGGCGAATGTTGGAATAAAGAGGAATGAAATGCCTTGTGTGGAGGGAAAGCTCATGGCCATGGAAATAATACACATACATAATGTCAAGATGGGTTGCTGGTTAGAGCGGGAGACACCTAAAAACCGCTTGCTGAACTCTGAAGTAGCCCTTTTTGGCCACCTGCTAACGGTCACATTGTTGAATGGGTTTAAAGCAAAATTGGAAGATATTTTGTTATATTTAACTATTTTTTACTAAAAAATGGCTTAGATTTTTAATATTATTCTTATAATAAAAATAGTCTAATCGATACCTAGTGATACAGAAATCATCGTAGGTAAACTCCTTCTTTGTCCTCTCGAGTGCTCTTAGTCAGTGATGGGCCCCTTTACGCTTTACGCCTCCCGAGTGGACGAATGTGAAACTCTCACTTCTCTCTATTGAACCGATCAACCAACTGAACAGCTTAAAGGAACTTGACCTCTGCAGATAATAATAACACCTATTGTGAATTGACTCGATTAATATTTGATTCCTCCTCAGCACATAATCAGAACGGCCTTATCCTTTGTCAAATAATTATCTACTGTATCTTCGTTTCTTCCGTTGTCAATCCCTTCCCCCCATTCTGCCTTATCCATTCATGGCAGCCACTTCGCTGTCCTTTATTCCGCCTCACTGAGAAGGCGATTTCCTTCTCTCCATCCAAACTCTTGGATCGTTACCATCGCAATGCGAATCCTCGGTAGTACGGCTGTGGCCTTGAGCTTCCTCTCTGCTGCCACTGCAAATCTCCATACTCGATCCTATGATACCCATGAGTTCTTCGCCCTCCACCTCGACGACTCCGCCTCCCCCTCCCATATTGCGCAATTACTAGGTGCTCACCACGAAGGTCAAATCGGAGAGCTCGCCAACCATCACACATTCTCGATACCCCGGGATAGCAGTTCGAATTTAGATACGCTGCTGGAACGCGCACGCACGTGGAGGAAGCTTCGGCGGCGTTCCGGCAACGATGCCCCGTCGCTACAGGAGGGTAACGATGGATTAGAGGGCATCCTCTGGTCGCAGAAGCTTGCACCGAAACAGCGACTGCAGAAACGAGCACCACCCCCCGAGAAGCTTTCCAGAGCCCGCGCGACCACCGAGACAGAAGACCCTATTGCTGTTCAGGATCGGAAGCGCATTTCCACCACCCTCGGAATCGCGGATCCTATCTTTGGTGACCAGTGGCACTTATTCAACGCGGTACAACTGGGCCATGACTTGAATGTCACGGGTGTGTGGATGGAGGGCATAACCGGGAAGGGTGTCACGACGGCAGTGGTGGATGATGGCCTGGACATGTACAGCAATGACCTGAAGCCGAACTACTTTGCTGAGGGCTCTTACGACTTCAACGATCACACGCCGGAACCCAGGCCGCGTCTCACTGACGACAAACACGGTACGAGATGCGCTGGTGAGATTGCGGCAGCTCGAAACGATGTGTGTGGAGTGGGTGTCGCCTACGACAGTAGAATCGCAGGAGTTCGCATTTTGTCCAAGGCGATCGACGATGCGGACGAGGCCAAGGCCATCAATTTCGCTTACCAGGAGAATGATATTTTCTCGTGCTCTTGGGGCCCTCCTGATGATGGCGCGACTATGGAAGCACCTGGCGTCCTGATCAAGCGGGCCTTGGTCAACGGCGTCCAAAACGGTCGTGGTGGGAAAGGCTCCATCTTTGTGTTCGCAGCCGGAAACGGTGCGAGTTTCGATGACAATTGCAACTTCGATGGCTATACGAATAGTATCTACAGTATCACAGTGGGCGCTATTGATCGGGAAGGGAAGCACCCCAGCTATTCGGAGTCGTGCTCCGCCCAGTTGGTGGTGGCTTACAGCAGTGGCTCGAGTGACGCGATCCATACAACCGACGTTGGGGCCGACAAATGCTACTCGTTTCACGGCGGAACGTCGGCGGCAGGACCTCTGGCTGCGGGCACAGTGGCATTGGCTCTCAGCGCTCGGCCAGAGCTGACATGGCGCGATGCCCAGTACCTGTTGGTGGAGACTTCCGTCCCGGTTCACGAAGATGATGGCAGCTGGCAAGTCACCAAGTCTGGCAGGAAATTCAGTCATGACTGGGGCTATGGCAAAGTCGATGCTTACTCTCTGGTCCAAAAGGCAAAAACCTGGGAACTTGTGAAGCCACAGGCCTGGTATCATTCCCCTTGGCTCCGGGTGAAGAATGCAATTCCGCAGGGTAATCAGGGCCTGGCCAGCTCTCACGAGGTGACTGAAGAGATGATGAAGACAGCGAATATTGCGAGGTTGGAGCACGTAACTGTCACCATGAATGTCAACCACACCCGCCGTGGCGATTTGAGTGTCGAATTACGTAGTCCCGACGGCATTGTCAGTCATCTCAGCACTACCAGACGTTCAGATAATCAAAAAGCAGGTTATGTTGACTGGACATTCATGACGGTGGCCCATTGGTAAGTGGCTTTCTCATCAAGTTTACTGAAGCAATAGCTCATTTAATTCCTTTTTTTTTTTTTTTTTTTTTAGGGGCGAGTCAGGTATCGGCAAATGGACAGTCATTGTCAAAGACACAAACGTCAATGAGCATAGCGGTGAATTTACGGACTGGCGTCTCAACCTCTGGGGCGAGGCCATCGACGGTACAAACCAAGCACTTCATCCCTTCCCCGACGGGCACGATGATGATCATAGCATCGAAGATGCCGTCGTGGCGACAACTAGCGTGGAACCAGGTCCTACCAAGACCGGCTCCCCGGACTCCACCGACGATGCTGTCAACCGCCCTGTCAACGCCAAACCTACTGGAGACCAAGCATTCGCTCCCGGCACAACGACAACAGCTGAATTAGCTCCCCCCGCCGAGACCCGGCCCGCCGTCACGGCGACCGCCTCTCCTACGCCCACTGCAGCATCGGACAGCTTCCTGCCCAGTTTCATGCCCACGTTCGGCGCTTCCAAGCGCACGCAAATCTGGATCTATGCCGCCATTAGCTCTATAATTGTCTTCTGTATCGGCCTTGGTGTTTACTTCCAAGTCCAACGACGCAAGCGCATCCGCAATAACCCACGCGATGACTACGACTTTGAAATGATTGAAGATGAGGACGGACTCAACGCTGGCGACGGCCGGACACCCCGCACTCAGCGGCGTGGCGGTGAGCTGTATAATGCATTCGCAGGAGAGAGCGAGGAAGAACCACTGTTCAGCGACGATGACGATGAGCCCTATAGGGATCGAGCCTTGAGCGAAGACCGGCTCCGCGACACCTCAAGCGATGATCATGCTCGGAGACCTGATGATCATTGAGAATGAAAGTGCTGTGGTGGTCTTCTAGGGGTTGTTTGCCTGTTGCTCTTGGATCTATAGATCCTATCCTAGCGAGGTTTTGAATCATTCTTTGTGCGGTTCAGCCTGGTGCTACATGTATTAAGTATATATTCCAAGCTTTAAGCTTTTTTTGGACAAATTGGATGTTCTGGTCAAGAACACAGCAAAGTATCTGTGACTGACGATGTATACGAACTTTGGAGTAGTTCTGTATTGTAGTGAGGTATGGGACCAACTCAAAGTTGATTCCAAGTTTAAGGCGCCACCAAGTATTGCCTTGTACCACTGAATCTCCTAGGAAACTTTGCTGGTTGCAGTGCAGTGTGTTTTGACCCACGATTCTGGTCTTGTGTCATATTAGTGACGGATGTCTGGTGCTCTCATAGTAGTCTCTGACACCTTGCTCTGATAACCGCGTCTGTGGTTTGGTATGTTATAGAGAATCCTGTATAAACCATCCTCCCTTCAACAGTATGAGACTGAGTTGTTTGGGCTCAAGGGTTATTGAAGACGTTGGTAATGTGATATAGCACAGTCTTGGCAGACATTGCCTGGATGTCTTGGCCGATGACGCGGTGGATTCTCCAGCTTCCCCCATTATTGCTCCACCGTGAGACTGACTGCTCTCCGCAACTCTTCAACATCAGACACCATATCAAATCAGCACTCGCTCTCCGATAACCATATACCATCTTTTTTCTGACTCAGTCAGCTCTATCGCCGAACGTCACGTTTGTTTCTAGTATCGCCTTCGAAAACTGTCAGTCCACACCCGAGCGACGACACCGCCAAACGGCAACCCCTCAATGGACCAACACGACGACTTCGACAGCGTCTCATGGAGACAGGGCTCGGAGAGCGACCTCTCCCGGCCCACCACGTCGGGCACAGACGCAGAGGAACCACACGAACACAATCGCGATGTCAATGGCAAGCGAAGGATGAGCTCGGTTCATGAGGACCCGCCCCAGGCCGGACCGCTGGCGGACGCCGTGGACTTGGCGGGGATCGGAGATGGATTGTTGGAATGTCAAGTAGATTCTCCACTGAAGGAAAATGATGGGACGAAGGATGCGTACATTTCGTATCTAGTAACTACACATGTGGGTTGGCTTTTTCCCCTTGGCGGTCGCTGCCGGAAAACATGAGTTGGTTGCCTAGCGGGGTGGTATCTTTGAGCGGCGTATTGACGAGATGATGGCTACAGACCGATTTCAGATCATTCCATAAGCCGGATTTTGCTGTGCGGAGGCGCTTTACGGACTTCTACTTTCTATATAAGACCCTTTACCGGGAGTATCCAGCATGCGCGGTGCCGCCGCTGCCCGAGAAGCATAAGATGGAGTACGTGACGGGCGATCGGTTCGGGCCGGAATTCACGAGCCGTCGTGCTTGGTCGTTAGATCGTTTCCTGAAGCGCCTGACATTGCATCCTGTGCTTCGCCGAGCCCCTCTGCTCGCTATCTTCCTGGAATCACCAGACTGGAATGCGCATATGCGACTGCACTCCTCCCGCAGTACATCGGGGACTTCGGACGGGGGCGGCGCGGGGATCTTCGACAACTTCACCGATACGTTCGTCAATGCTTTTACCAAAGTCCACAAGCCAGACCGCCGATTCATCGAGGTGAAGGAGAAGGCGGATAAGCTGGATGAGGACCTCAACCACGTGGAGAAGATCGTCGCTCGGGTTGCGCGCCGGGAGAGCGACCTCGAGACCGACTACAACGACCTGGCGACACAGTTCCGGAAGCTCGTCCCCCTGGAACCGGATGTGGAAGTTCCGTTGCAGATATTTGCGGCATCGGTGGAAGAGACCGCACGTGGGTTCAAGACGCTAAAGGACCACACCGACCAAAATTACCTAGGCTCTCTACGGGACATGGAAGCGTACATCGTATCTCTCAAAGCGCTCCTCAAGACGCGCGAGCAGAAGCAGCTCGACTTTGAAGCCTTGGTGGATTATCGTAACAAAGCGGTTGCGGAGCGGGACTCTCTTGCCGCCAACCCGTCTTCCTACTACGCCTCCAACCCCCTCACCTCCTCACCTGCCTCCTTTATCCGCTCCAAGATGGAAGACATGCGTGGGGTGGACCATGAGCAATCCCGCCGCGAGCGTGTGCGGAAGCTCGAGCTCCGCATCGACGAGCTCACGCGCGAGGTGGAATCCGCCAAGACGACGTCGGAGATGTTTGACGAGGAAGTCGTCCGCGAAGTCGCCGACTTCGAGCGTATCAAGGCGGTGGAATTCCGGGATTCGCTGGGGGCGCTGGCGGAGAAACATATTGATTTCTTCCAGGGTGTCATCAACACGTGGGAGCGATTTGTTGCCGAGATGGAAGGGGATCTCGAGAACGATCACGAGGTATTGGAGCATGGCCCCGGAGAGGGAGTGGCAGCTTGAAGAAAGGGTAATATGAGCATCGTTCGTTCACACATGTATAGGGGTTGTCCCTTTTATTTTTAGGTTGTTTTCCCTTTGTTCACGCTCGGACAGCGAGTCTTGTTACATGGAGAATATGGAAAGGTGGTTACAGGTCGTTTAAAAATGCTTTCCCCTGCAGCTCCCCTGTTACACACGCCGTCAATCATGCGTGCAAGTTCCGTAGTCGTCTTTTTTTTTTTTTTTTTTTTTTTTTGTATAGTTCGCCTATAACTGAGAACCAAGATCGTATTCGCACAACCCGGTTCGCCCATATGAACCCTCCCCTCCTACCAATCCCTCTTTGCTTGGAACTCGGCACATTCGAAATCAATCGGACTCGGATCACCCTGGGGATCTGAGATGGCCCGATCCAACGCCCTCGTTGTGCGCCGTCGGACTCGTTCCTAACGCTTCAATCAGTCTACTGCTCAGAACCCGTATGGACGACAATCGGCAGCACCACACGCACCTCCCGATATACTTGATTCGGCGTCTTCTCTGTCGACCTTCCCCCGGCCGTCGTCAACTGGAAGTAGGTTTCATGGTCGTAGCCCACCGCGTTGGGGGATTTGGAATGGGCGCCTGCGAAGTTGGCGCTGAGCTGGAGGGATGGGGCAGTGGTGTTGGATATAGCGGTCGACGCTGACGCTGACGAGGATGCCGATACTGACGCTGATGCTGATGCTGATGTTGATGCTGATGTTGATGCTGATGCCATTGGGGAATGTGAACGCTTAGATGTCCAGCTCAGAATAGTGCTCTAGTATGTTCTTCTATGTTCCAACCACGGAGACTGTTATACAGTGTCGGCGAATCAACAGACATACCCCTGTGTTGGTGTAGAGCCGAGGCAGATCGTCGCTGGTTACCTGGGATAGTTTGCTCACGAGAGATCATGGTCGGATTATAATATATCTCTGTATCTCTGGTGACGAACGGAATTCTGCGTGCGCAAAGCCACCTCCTTCTCCCCATTCATCCTTGGAGAGGGGGGGGCCAACGGGTGATACAGTCCGCTGTTTGCATTTCAGACAACTTGTACAGTGGCAATGAGACCCTGTGGGCTTTGCTGCGGATTGGGGGGGGGGGGGGAAGGAAAACTAGCTCGATTGTGTGGCATCAACTGACTATCTGTCTAGTCTACAGCGTAGATATGAATCCGTTCATGTTTCAGCTGCATTGGGAATTGGGACGGGGGAAACGGGAATGCAGCGATGCTGAAAGGTGTCGTTCGTGGTGGCGGAGTTGGCAGACTTGCAGCACCGCGTCATGCAGCGATTGTGGCAGTGATTTTAGTGGGATGGGATAGGGGCCAGTTCAGAGGTATGAGGGAGTGTGTCTGTTATATTGATGCTTATTCTCTTCTATCGGGGGGGGGCTGTTTTTGATCTGATGGGTGGCTGTAGTTGTACTCTGGTGTGCATTCTAGGTGCTGTGCGCTAACCTGGCCTGAGGGTCGGTGCCTGCGAGAATCGAATCATGCTTGCTGCTGTGTGACTGTTCCAATTATAGTTCTTCATGTTCCTCATGATCCTCATACCTTTTCAGCAAGAATGTGTCTCGTTTGCCTCCCAGGAGGAATCATGAGCACTGACTGTCCGGGATCGAAGAGCATGTGTTTGCTGCGTTTGCATCTCAGCCCGGGTTGCGCATTGTCTCCAAGGTGAGATGATCCCATCAACTTTCGCTCTCCACATCCATCAATCTTCTCTTCACCATGCGCTCTCTGTCTCGGTCGGTGATTCGGCCCTATATCTGTCCCTCCTGTCGATCAGGGACGGTGAGCCGTCGGAGATTCGCCACTCAATCAGCGCAGGCTCCGGAGATCTACGATGTAGTCTGTGTTGGAGGTGGTCCTGCAGGCCTGGGCCTGTTGGCCGCTCTTAGTATGTCATCCCCGCCGCATAGATGAGCCAATTGATCCCAGTTGTATGGTTTCAGTTGTACTGACTCGAACTAGGGGCCGCCCCTGCCACTTCCAAACTCAAGGTCGCTCTCATCGAGACCCAGGATCTTAGCAAAGCCCGCTCGTGGAAGCTCGGACCGCACCAGTTCTCAAACAGAGTCAGCAGCCTGACGCCGTCGTCCGTGTCTTTCCTTCGAAGAATCGGTGCGTGGGATCATGTCGACACGGCTCGTGCTCAGGAGTACCAGGAGATGCAGGTGTGGGATGGGGAAACCGGGTCAAAAATATCATTCGACTGGTCGACGGAGACATCGCCCTTTGAGAATCTCCCCACCATAGCGACGATGACCGAGAATGCGAACCTCGTTCGCGGCTTGCTCTCGCAGATTGAAGCATCGGGCGAGGAGAATGTCGCCATCTTCTCCAACACAACGGTCTCGTCGATCGAGAACGGGACTGATGACCCCAGCGGCCCGAATCTGTCGGCTTGGCCGGTCCTCTCACTCTCGCCGACTGGATCAGCAAGCTCTCAGGCAGCGGTGCCGTCTCGCATAGCCGCCAGGCTTCTGATCGGTGCCGACGGTATCAACAGCCCTGTCCGCCGGTATGCTGGCATTACCACCGATGGCTGGGACTATGACAGGCACGGCGTGGTTGCGACGCTTTCTCTTTCGGACCCAGTCGCCCCTACGTTCCCCATTGGCACGAGAACCGCCTACCAACGCTTCCTGCCATCCCTAGGAGGACCCGTTGCATTGCTGCCGCTGCCGAATAATACTGCCACCCTGGTCTGGTCCACGACAGTGGAGCATGCCGCCTACCTCAAGTCACTGTCTCCCCGCGCTTTCATTGCCATGGTCAATGCTGCCTTCCGCCTCTCCATGGCCGACCTCAAGTACATGATGGGCATGCCCCGTCCGGCAACCCCCGTCTCCGACGCAGAGAACCCGCATGAGGACGAACTCACCTGGCGCCTGCAACACACCCCCCAGCCATCGCACATCCCACCCCCAGTCACAGGCGTGCAGGAAGGCAGTGTCGCCTCATTCCCCCTCCGCTTCCGCCACGCATCGACCTACATCTCCCCCCGCGTGGCCCTCGTCGGCGATGCAGCCCACGTCATCCACCCTCTGGCCGGACAGGGCCTCAACCTCGGCCTTGGAGACGTGGCCTCGCTCGCCAAGACAATCGAATACGCCGCTAACCACGGCATGGACGTCGGCGACATCCTGACTCTGGAACGGTACGCTGCAGAGCGGTACGCAACCAACACCAAGATCGGCGCTGCCTGCGACGTGCTGCACAAGCTATACAATGTCCCCGGCCAGGGACCGGTGACGTGGGCGCGCAGTCTGGGTCTCGATGTTATTGATCGCTTGCCCTTCGTGAAGAGCTTCCTCATGAAGAATGCAGAGGGTTAAACGAATCTCTTAGATCCCACCTCATACTTCTTACGATCGATGTGCTCATTCGCTTGTTGTATTAGGATACTACCCGCTTTGCAACTCAGTCCTCTTAGCTTAGCTGATAACTTGAAAAATTCATTGTACATTACTTGGAATCAAACATAGTCACTGAACGTATGTTGTGCATTGTGATGCTCGAATTCGATCGCAATCTAAACTGGGTATTTTATGATGTTCGGCAGATTCCCCCTTTTTCTTTGGGTCAGAACCCCCGGCGTCCTCGGTTTCGACATGTCCCTGTTTTATATGTTTTCATAGTCTGAAATCATAGCGCCGCTAATATGCTATATTCAAACGCCCGCATCCTCGGTCTTGGGAGCCTCCGCCACCTTGACAGCCTCCAGTTGCTCCGTAACCCCCGAGAGGTCCGTCGCAGCGGGGCTCTGGGCCTGTTTCTTGGCTAATCTGGTCTTGACTTCGTCGGTGATGGTCGCCAGATCGACCAGGACACCTTCCTTCTCCGGGTGGCCCTCTTCCAGACCCATTTCCTTGATGCGGACCTTGCCGGCGGCGAGCTCGTCCTCGCCCAGGATGACGGCGAAGGGCACGCCTCCTTGTTCGGCGGCCTTGAATTGCTGGGGGAGCTTGGGCTTGATCTTGTAGGAGAATTCGGCCTGGGGGGGGGGAAAAGGTTAGGTTTGATTTGTACGAGGGTAGAAGAGGTTTCGTAGGGGAAAAGAAAAAAAGGGAAAAAAAAAAAAAAAAAAAAAGGAATTACCTTGATGTTGGAGTTCCATAGTTTTTGGCAAACATCCATACGCTCCTTGAGCATACCGGTGAAACCCTTGCCTCCAAAGGCCATGACGAAGACATCAACTTCGCTGCTGCGCAGGGCCTCGGCGCTCTTTTCCCGCTCGAGTCTGGCCTTGGTAATGGAGAAGATACGGTCGACGCCGAAGGAGACACCGACACAGGGGATCTGAGCCTTGGGCAGGAACATGCCGACCAGATTGTCGTAGCGGCCACCAGCAGCCACACTGCCGACACCCAGAGTCGGGTCGTTCGATCTGTCGTCGTCCTCGAGGTTACCGCTCTTGGACTTGCTCTTCTTTCCGGATTTCTGAAGCTTCTGGGCTTCGGGCGCCGATGACGATACGGCGGGTGCTGACCCCTCAGTGACAACTTCGTAGATCACGCCGGTATAGTAATCGAGTCCTCGCGCAAGCGACATGTCGAAAGAGATTCTGTCAAGCACCCCGAAGGCCTCGAGGTAGTCCATGAGCAATCCCATCTCCTCCAGACCGGCCTTGGCCGACGCGTTTGCCATCAAAGCCTCGTCCTTCGCGAGGGACTCGAGCAGATCGCGACCGCCCTTGCCGGCGACGTATTTCTCAATCTTGTCAGCCACCGCACCCTCCAACCCCTTCTCCTCGACCATCTCCTTCCGCACGTCAGCCCAGGGCATCTTATCCAGCTTGTCGACGGCACTCGAGATCGGACGGATCTTCTCCGCCGGCACTCCGCAGACCTCAAAGAGACCGTCCAGAATCTTCCGGTGGTTGACCTTGATGGTATACCGGCCCTTCCACCCAAGCTCCTCGAACACCTCGGTGACGATGCGCAGGATCTCCGCATCGGGGACCATGGGGTCGAATGTGCCGGCGATATCGAAGTCGCACTGGTAGAATTCGCGCATGCGGCCCTTGCTGACGGCAGGCTGGTCACGGCGATAGACCTTGGCGATGTGGTAGCGCTTCATGCTGCGCACGTCCGGGTTCATGGCGAGCCAGCGGGCAAAGGGGACGGTGAGGTCGTAGCGCAGGGAGCAGATCTCGCCGCCCTGGTCCTGGAGATCGTAGATGAGCTTCGAGTCCTCGCCATACTTGCCGGCCAGGATCTCGCGCAGCTCAAAGACGGGGGTGTCGAGGGCCGTGCCGCCGTGGCGCTTGAAGACATCGGCGATGGTCGAGAAGATGCGATCGCGGAGGAGAGCATCGGACCCGGACCAATCCTTGGTGCCCTTGGGCGTCTTGAGGTTGAACGCGTTCTTGTTATCCTTGGGCATCGTGTCTACCGGGCGCGAGGAACTGAAGTTGGAGGAGGTCGAGTAGTGGCGGTGATGGTGGGGGATGGTGGGATCGCAGCAGGAAAGATGGAGGGTTGTTGTTGGGCGGACGGCGGCCGCTTTGATAGTCAGGGCCCGACGGAGCGATACAACGGCAATAGGATCAACAATTGCTCGTCGTGCAGAGCGCAAAAGACCTGATCGGAGGATAGGCTTCATCCAAGAAGATCGGATGATTAATTGGCAGGCAAGGGACGATACAAATTTGATGGCTCTGGTGTCTGGCCAATCCGGGGTTCGGATGAAGCCTCTTGAGTCACGCTCTCCGGGTTTTTCTGACTGGGCTGCTGTTTACGGGTAGTTTCTCCGTGGCCGACGGCCCAAAAGGGATGTAGGGCTTGGCTCTAGGGCAAGTCACATGTCAGTTGTTCTACTACTAGTACGTCTCCCAACATCATTGCACAATGATTACTGGATACATCGATTCCTATCTCTCTTTCGAAATGTTTCGGGACGGCCGTCTCCAGGTACCACGTATGTACGGGTGACCCAGGAAGAACTAGCATATTCGCAATCACTTCGAGGATTCCTCTCGGAACATGCAGCTTCACGATGATGGTGCAGATGATAACCCCCATGGGACGTCGCGAACGGATCCACTGTGTCATCGTGTTTCAAATTCTGGAGCGGAACGAATCCCACGCAATCTCGATGCGGAGCTGCAGAAGGTGGCCCGAGCCCTCCCCAGCAAGTAGTGGTTAACACCGAACCTGGAGAATGGCTCAACAGACCCTCATGCTCCGTGTTCTGGAGTTCGTGGCGGCTGTTTGTGAAGGTGGTCCACTCAAATTTGCTTTCATCTACCGTATATGCTTCGCGACTTGTCCGGCCGAACACGGAAATGATTAGCAGAATGACAGTATTGTCGGGCATGTGCTAACTCAGAAGCGGGTTATGCTCGGACGGCTGCAGCGAGGCGCGACGTGACTTGCGCGGATACAGGCAATAATGCTGGACCATGATGACAACATCAAAGAAGATAGTGATGTTCCCAAGCAGTAGTTTAGGGATATTTCCACGGGTGCCGGACCAGTCCCCTTGCAAAGAAGTATCGATAACCAACTGGATTAGAGAGAGCATCCCTCCTGTGAAATCCATGAGGATAGCACTCATGCAGAAGCCATGTGTGGACTGGCGGCAGTAGTTCAACCACACCTGCGGAGTGTACTTGATAACAGTTAGAAACAGCTTGATGTTTCCCACCGTGTACAACTAGAGACGAGCTTAGTGCCAGTTCAATCTGATTCGAACAGAGTACATACCACATCAAGCCATTCTCGTGAGTAAAGCGGCGGGGAATACAACACCGCGATGACATCCAGGATGACCAGACCGAGACACGCACCCACCAGGACCAGAGTCACCCTACTCGGCCTCTGCTGTTCCCGTTTTGTGTCGAACCTCCACAGCGCAGGCCATTGGAGTTGAGTATAGAGGAGCAAGCAGACGGCGGTCCCATGCAGGGCGTAGAAAAAGTCATTCAAATGCACCGGCGGCTCCGGGCTCAAGGAGTGCCGCTGTGCGTATTGAGCGCGGATGACCGACGAAAATAACAGACCGCTGTTAAAGACAGTATAGGCGCACAGCCCGAGCACATTCAGCAGGCTAAAATCCAGGGAGAAGCCTGTTGTCGCGCGTCGACGGTAATTGTGGATAACCTGCGGGTAGAGTGAGACCGACCACAGCAGGAAATAGGTCCATCCCAGCGCCTGGGATAGGGCTTGGAGAAGCAGACGGGCTTCCAATGCCATGGTAGCCTCGTCACTGAGGGGGGTAGGAAGATGTTGTCGAAAGAATGTCGATGTGGGGTTTGAGACATTGTGAAGACTCGAAGACAAGGCCGATAACGATTCCTTCGGGATTGGATCCGGCGTTTATCGGAACAACTCACCAGGGAGTTTCCAGTCAACATTTTATATTTTAGAGAGTGTTTTTTCTATCTAAATCATCTCTGTAACATGGGGACTACAATCTGGTTCACGGGCATCTTACATGGTTCCTTTCTACCAGCTCTTGAATGTACTCCCAACCAATTATTATCCGAATGCATTTACTCAATTCCGCATTGACCATGGACTGGGGGGAGAGAAATCCACAGTAGTCCTCTACCCCAGACTACCCAACTGCCCCATACACACCAGGAACTGGTCAATAATGATGATGGATGAAAGCGGGGGCAATGGAGTGGCTTTACATGCTTTGACTTTTTGAGTCTTTGCCCTTGGAGTCTAGACATTTTATTCCTTGGAAATGTTCCTGGTAGGAATTAGGATACTTTCCGAGTACCGACGTTAGTAACCGGACTTTGATGTATGTACTATGGAGGAGATTGGATGCCAACACTAATTATGGCATTGCATCAATCAACATCCGCATCATTATGTATATATACATGTTGCGTCTCTCAGAGTTTCAGTATTCCGTAGACTACTCTGAAGTTGTAGACGTTGGCGAGATCGAACCCCCCACATCATATTGGTCTAGCCGTCTAGGCTGCAACCCCACGCGAAGCGGCACATGGCAGCAAGTGGCACAGATGTCCGGATGCAAGCCAACGGCTCCCTTGTCCCGTTTCGCATTCGGATTTCTGACCTTTCACCTGCCATCGATCCATCATTCCATCATCATGAGCTAGTTTGCTTTGAATCTTAATTCCTGCGAGATGCAGTTAAACGGATATCACTATGGACATATGTCGCCTGACCAGTGAAAAGATGCTGACCATGGTCGAATATTCCAGAAGGATTCGACCTACAGAGTACCTGATGTCTTGAAACAATTGATACATTTCTCCACGATACGCCGTACTCTGTACTGCGCTAGTATTATAGACCTTCTGAGGGGCGTTCATCAAAAAATGTGGGGCAAAATGAATTTCGGCGATTGGACCTGGTATTTACTCCTTATCAAGTGCTCTGTAAGTTATCATCCTAGGTAATGTCTCCACGTGGTTCGGTGACAGAGAAGATAGATTCTATTACACTACTTTACACAGTGCAATACACCAGGATCAGGTAGGTACCTGACCCCTTGTACAAAGTATAGGTACCTACTACTAGGCTGTGGATTTAACAGATAAAATCCGGTCAGACTTGGACACCCATGTGGAAGTAAGTCAGCTGTGATGACTGACAAACTACGTAGTATTCATCCTCCAGTCTGGATGTCACGATCCTCAGTGCTGGTTGGTGTCATGCAAGCAATCAATTACTGTATTGTAGTACCAAGCAAGAGTTGCCAAGATAAGGAGAACCGCTTGAGCCCCAGGCATGATGATTAAATCACGCATGCGTTCACCAGGTAGGTCTCTCTCCCATCGTCCATACTCGATAATCCCGCTATGATTCCTTGTCCGGTATGCCAGCGACGACTTGATGTATCTGCTAAATTTACTTGGATTCGTGCTATCGAACTGTTCTGAGTATCCGATACATCCCATGACGGCCCTTCATATGATATATCACTTAGCCTTCATCATGACGGATTTGGGTTGCTGATTATCACCGGTGTTCACCATGATCATGTACGGCCAGCTAAGCCATAGAGGCATGCCTAAGCCATTGCCGGTGGGCTGGCATCGAATCAGACTGCGAATAAGTTGCTTATAGCCCCCCTTCTGCTATTATTTCTAATGGCCTATGATAATTATCCTGTAGGGGTTGCGGTATCCCACCTCCGTCGGACATCTACTGCATCTACTGCGTGCAAAGACCATCGCCGTGGTGTGGTATGTATGGATTGGCTGACGTATTTGCTTTGATGGAGGAATCTCCACGACGACTTCCACACATCCACAGGACTCGGAATAAATCCCTGAGGGGCGTTGAGACTTGAGACTTGAGACTTGAGAGATATACGAGCTCGATTGTAGTGATCGGATTGCCATGCCTTAAATAGAAAAGTGGCTCTTTTCTTGTTTAATGTGAAGCAGCCTCTTGTTTCTTGGAGTATCCATCCTGTACCTCCAATTGCTTGGATTACAAGTACTAGTAGGTTCTGTTATTGTATTACACTTACATATCCCCGTACTTACTTCCTCCTGGGTGAGATCTTGAGGAGATTAATGTCACCATACCTATCTACTCTAAGCCTCTGCTGTTGAACTTCTGCCTATTTGTCGAGGTAGTTGAGAGTGGTCATTTTCTTTCAAATAATAAACATCAAGAATCAAATAGAGGCGACGAGAATCCGAACATCTCTCAGCAGTACTACTAGAATTGAAAGGGAGCAAGGTTCAACCCCAGCCCACCAAATCGACCAACAGTTCTTGCGAAGTTCGCCCCCCCCAAAACTCGCTCGGGCCCGCCCTTCGCTTCTCCATCATAGCCATAGCATATTATTAGTTAGTTAGCACTGAGCAGCAGCAATCATCCTGCTTTAGTCCATCATTTAGTAGTTAGTACGGAGGTTTAATATGGTTCTGCCTTAGTATTCCTTTTTTGTATGGAGAAGTCCGGCATTTCTGTCGATGTTTCTTTGGTGTCCAGCACTCCAGCCACGGTACCTGGTGTCTAACCGCCCACTTGCCTCCTCTGCTGTTCTTTTCTATCCTCACATCGATCTATCTTTATTTTATTATTTTTTCTCCTTGATACCTTGATCCCTCTCGCTCAATTCTGCCCTGGTCTTATCGCAACCCTCGTGGAAGCCAATCTCAAACGTCCGTGTGTGTGTGTGTGTTCCATAGTGTATGGGGTAGTCCCACCTTTCGATTCCGCTGCTCATCCAACACGTTCCGCCCCATCCCTCTCGTTCTCTCCCCCAAGTCAAGGCTCAAGGCATCATTCAAACTCCAGCCAAGTTCTCCGAGCGAATATATACCTTATGCTGTCCTGATTGAGGATATTTATCGTTTCCCAGTCTGCTATTAATCACTTATTCGAATCTCTCTCATCAATTGTGCCGCGTTCGCTCATCTCGCTGCTGCGTTATTCTACCTCATAACCATACCCTCCTCATCCCTCGCGCGGCCCCCCGGCCATTCAACTCCGCACCCCGTCGAGTGCTCCTGGTGTTGGGCTGCCTTTCCCGCGGAAATTACCAGATGAAGCTGGCTATTGGGATTTGATTTATCTGGTGACAAAATCATGGGGTCGTTTTTGAGGAGTTTCCGAAACAATGCGGTATGATTTCCCCCGGCAGTTGCTGTGCTTGCCTGTCCTGCCCTCCGCATGGAAGACGTTTTTCTTTGTGTGTTCGCAAACCGATATCACGACGACACCAATATCCTTTTTTTTTCCCCAGTCGGAACTAGACGGGCGGGGCAGCAAGGCTTCGGCTTCGGATCGCTTTTTCATTTCTTCGATACTCTGATCGATCGCTGAGTTATCGTCTTGTCTAGGGATCTACCACGCCTTCGGTCGGGGCGGTCCCCGCAAAGAAAGAAGTCCCCATCCCTCCGATGACGCCTTTAGAAAAGAGATTGCTGGACATGGGTTCAATCAGAGGAGACGGAAGCGACAAGTTCTATGGCATGGAGAATGTGAGTTCGCATGATGTTTTGGCTAGTCCCTGCTGGCGATGTCAATTACTAACACATCTGATCCTCCTAGTATGGAAACACCTGGTAAGATATCCTGCGCACGCGACCTGGGGCAACTGGGGCAAAAGGGGAAGATATAGGGCAAAAACATCGCTGACACCTCGCCCAATAGCTACTGCAACTCGATATTGCAGTGTCTCTACTACTCGGTCCCATTTCGCGAAGCCGTGATCAACTATCCTACACGAACCCCGATAGAAAGCTTAGAAGCCGCGTTGGCAAAAAGTCTCCGGTACCCGAATCCAAATGCTCATCTTGAAGCAGAAGCCCAGGCAGAGAAACAGAGAGCCGCCAACGCTCAGCGACCCGGCATGCCACCAGCTCAACCGCAGAAACCCGAAGATAAGGACTCCCCGGACTATAAGAAGAAAATGGCCCTGCAGACTCTCCCGCTCTTAGAGGCGCAAAACAACGCCACCAGTTATGGTATGTCGGAATCATTATTCACCTCCCTGAAGGATATATTCGAGTCTGTCGTCGGGAGTCAGTCCCGAATCGGCATCGTGCGTCCGCAGCAATTCTTAGATGTGCTCCGACGGGATCATGAAATGTTTCGGACGGCTATGCATCAGGACGCGCATGAGTTTTTGAACTTGCTACTCAACGAGGTGGTTGCGAATGTCGAGGCCGAAGCTTCGAAACAGCCTGCTGCCATAGAGAAGAGCCTCCCCGCGCCCGACCATGCGGAGACCGTCGATCAGTCCGCTAGCTCGGGCTCGAAAACACCCAACACCACGCGCTGGGTTCACGAGCTGTTCGAGGGAACCTTGACATCCGAAACACAGTGTCTCACATGTGAGAAGGTGTCTCAGCGGGACGAGATCTTCCTGGATCTCTCAGTGGATCTGGAACAGCATTCGTCGGTCACATCATGCTTGAGGAAGTTCTCCGCCGAGGAGATGCTTTGCGAACGAAACAAGTTTCACTGCGACAACTGCGGTGGTCTCCAGGAGGCCGAGAAACGAATGAAAATCAAACGCTTGCCGCGCATTCTGGCCTTGCATCTCAAGCGGTTTAAATATACCGAAGATCTGCAGCGACTCCAGAAGCTCTTCCACAGGGTCGTGTATCCCTACCACCTTCGCCTGTTCAATACCACCGACGACGCTGAGGATCCCGACCGCCTGTACGAGTTGTATGCGGTGGTGGTGCATATCGGTGGCGGGCCCTACCACGGACATTACGTAGCAATCATCAAGACCGAAGATCGAGGATGGTTGCTTTTCGATGACGAGCTGGTCGAACCGGTGGACAAGAATTATGTCCGGAACTTCTTTGGCGACAAGCCTGGCTTGGCCTGTGCCTACGTCCTGTTTTATCAGGAGACCACCCTCGAGGCCGTCATGAAGGAACAGGAGCAGGAGAACATGGAGTCAAATCTTAGCGCCACCGATACGAATGAAGCGGCCTTGAAGCCGAATGGGTCCTCTCCGTCACATCTGGCACATGTCCACAGCGCCTCTTATATCCCATCGCTGGAGGAACACAATCGGCCCAACGGTCTCAAGCGCGCTCCGACCGCGCCTCAGCTTTCTACCCATCACGAGCATGGAGATCCCGAGAGCGGTGCATTTAGCCCCGTTACTGCAACGCCCCCTGTACCTCCGATTCCCGAGCACCTCTCCGCCGCTCCGATTCCGCCGAAGAGCGACGTGCAAGGCAAGAAAGAACGGGCCCGAGAAGAGAAGGAACGAAAAGCGGCTGAAAAGGAACGCGAGAAGGCCGAGAAGCTGCGTCGAAAGGAACAGGAAGCGCGAGCGAAAGAAAATCAACGCCGCGAGGAAGCCGAATTGAAGGCTGCTCTAGAGGCGAGCAAAGCCTCCAAGGCTCAGGAGGACCGCCGCCAGAGCCCGGACCATGGCAAAGACAAACTCGGCGGGGGGTTGAGCCGACTCAAGCGAGGCAGCAAGAGCTTCAGTCAGAGACTGGGCAAGGACAAAGAAACCCGGAGTGTATCATCGTTGGAAGCCCCACCCCTGCCCATCCCAGGGCATCCGATTTCGCGCGATGGGCCGATCCCCGAGCAACATCAGCAACAGCCAGACCCGAAGGATGATCCGTTCCAAGATTCACACCACCCCAACAAGCCTATGATGAAGGAGGACGAACAAGCGAACCACAAAGACCCCAAGCACGAGCGAACCGGGCATGGGAAATGGAGAAGTTTCAGCCTGCGAAAGAAGTCATTCAGCATTCTCTCATAGAGATACATGTTTACCTCAAAAGCTCGAAAAACAATTGCATCACCTGCACATAATACCCGACTGTCGCCTCCCGTACATATTTCGATGAATGTATCATCTTCTCTTTCTCTTCAACATCGGCGCCATTCTCCGTGATGACAAAAGCAGGCTGCTGCCGTCATCAAACGCAGCTGCAAAGCTGGGATGCCGATTCTGTTTTATTCCTCTTCTTTTTCTTTTTGCCCATCTTTCCCCATTTTCTTCATGCATTTATGTGGCCGATTCTGTTTTCAGTTGGGTGATCTTGTGATACCCTTGCCTGGGTCAGACAGTGGCGTACATGAGGCGTCGCGCGGATATCTGTTTTGTTTTGTTTTGTGTTTTTGTTTCACTTTCTGTTCCTACATTTATTTTTAAACAACTCGAATGGACACGGTGTACAGGTAGCGTTAACATTTCGTGATCATGGGACGTCCTCAAGGTCTTTGAAAAAAAGGGTATAATCCGTCCGAATATAACGTAGATTTTATCTTCCAGCGGTCCTTGCCAGATTGATAGTTCTTCAGAAGGATAGGTTACGTTCGTAGTGTAGACTTCCCTGCGACTGAGTATGTCGAATTAAAGCATATCATCGAGTCTATGGCCATGAAGAAGTAATACACGCGATGAACATGACAGCGCGGTGTACGCATGAACCACCCCAAGCGACAAGACGAGGGATTCCTCCTCCATGGTAATCAATGAGGAATTCAACCGTGGTATCAATCAATCAATCAATCAATCAATCATACATGCGGTACAGAGACCCCCGGCAGTCTTGTCCCGAGCAGGCCCACACGCCGGACGTCTCTCCCACGTACCAGCCCTCGCGGATATAGCTCGGCCAGCTCTGCTCCAGCCCGTGAAGCGTCCTTCGTATCCCGCAGACATGGGTATTCGTTTTTTTCCTCCACCCCCGGCCCTTGTTGCTCCCCAGGTACAGCGCAGAAGAAGTAAAACATAACGCAATTGGGTCGCTGGCGCGCTTTCACCCAAGGATAAGCTCGTAGATGATGATGGTCGTATTGATCACGATGAGGGGTACTGCACACCGATAACAACGGCAAAACACGTTAGCCAGTGGCTTCGCTCCAAGCTCCAAGCTTCAAGCTTCAATTTGCCTAGCTAAACACCGTAAACCCCCCCAGAGAAAGGGGGGAGGGGATAGATGGCAACATACTTCGCATAACCGTGCGCACACTCGCGATCAGGTTCACGGATTTAGCTTTGATGCTGGTGCTATCTTGCGAAGTGCCGAAGGCAGGGTCGGCCTGGGTGCGGCCCCATCCGACTGTTTCAAGCGTCGGGAGTTAGTATTCTTTGTCATTTTTTTTTTTCATTTGGGGAATAGGGAAAAGAAAGCTGGGGCAAGGATGATCGAGAGGGAGGGAGGGGAGGGGAGGGGTATACTTCTAGCGAGGAACCGGTCTTCGGAGAGGATGGCCACGGCGTTGATTAAGAGGCAGCATACTGCGGAAGAAGTCGAGTTAGAGCTGGGCACTGGTTGGTATGCGCCTGTGATGGGCGCCGGAGGGGAAACAGGGGTGGAAGAGTCATACCGTAGAAGAGTTTCCCGAGACCGAAGAGAAACATCTTTGCGGACGAGAAGGCGAGACTCAGAGGCGCAGGAAGAAGGGATTATTAGACGAGATGGAGCTGGATGGGAGAAGGGGAGATAGAGATTCGGAGGCGCCAGATGGTCGTTGCGGTTGCGGCGTTTGTTGGACGTGTGGGGATTATTATTGGGGGGGGAAAAGCCGCCGGAATGACTTCACAGTTCACAGTACCTGCCAAACTACTTACATCCTCCATGCTGCATACGTCTCCCCTTCCCAAGGGACATGCAAAGAGGACCTCGCTTGCGGCACAATGGGGGGTAATAATCTAGGTACGGGATGACGACGGTACTGCGCGCTGAGGTTATCTGTGGAATCATTGCTGATTGTTGATACCGGCTACATCTAGTCTTCCTGCTGCTGCTCGTGGCCATCCCAGTCCTGGTTGATCTGCACCTGTTTGTCGCGCCGTACACCAAGGTCGAGGAGTCGTTTCACATCCAGGCCATCCACGACATCCTGAAATATGGCATTCCGACGGAAAATATCTCCAAGGTCCTGGCTCAATATGATCATTCCGAGTTCCCCGGGGCCGTACCTAGGACGTTCGTCGGCGCTGTTCTCTTGTCCGGGCTCTCGCAGCCGTTTATATGGTTGAATGAGAACATCGATCGGCAAACCTGCGGTATGTCTTTTGCCTTCATTCCTTCCTTTCTTTCTTGGAAACTATCGATTGCTGATGGCGTGTCCTAGCTCGCGCCATTCTAGGCCTATTCAACGCCTTGTCGCTGGTATCATTCGGACTCGGCGTCCGGAGAGCCTTCGGAAAGACCACAGCGATCTGGTACCTGCTGTTTCAAGCGAGCCAATTCCATGTCCTCTACTATGCGTCGAGGACTCTGTCCAACATGTTTGCCTTTGGCATGTCTACCCTGGCGATCCGCGCCCTTCTGCCGGAACCCGTACCCGCCGATGTCTACCGAAGGAGGTGCCGTGTGGCCTTGTTCCTGCTGACCATCGCCGGTATTGTCTTCCGGTCCGAGCTGGCTCTCTTCCTGGATACAAACACAGCCTTCCTCTTTGCTACGGGCCGCATCCGCATCGTGCAGGATATCCTCCCCGCCGGCGCACTGGGGCTTGCCGTCGGGCTGGTCATCACCGTGCTCGTGGACTCGTTCTTCTGGCAGCAGCTCCCGCTGTGGCCGGAGCTGGCCGCGTTCAGATTCAACGTCCTCGCCGGCCAGGCCTCCGCATGGGGCACCCACCCCTGGCACTTCTACTTCACCAGCGCCATCCCGCGCCTCCTGCTCAACCCGTTGACCTACCTGGTCGCCATCCCCTGCGCCCTCCTGCACCCCTCCACGCGCTCCCGCGCCGCCTACATGCTCGTCCCCTCGCTCGCCTTCGTGGCCATCTACAGCATCGTGCCCCACAAGGAATGGCGCTTCATCGTCTATATCGTTCCATCCTTGACCGCCGTCTCGGCCCAGGGCGCCTCGTACCTCTGGACCCACCGCACCAAATCCATTCTCTGCCGCCTTCTCTCGCTCGCCCTGCTCCTCTCGACCCTGGCCTCCTTCCTCCTCTCTACCTTTGTCCTCCTCCCCGCCTCCTCGGCAAACTACCCCGGCGCACGCGCCCTCAACACCCTCCACAACCGCGCCCACAACTCCCATCCCGTCATCTCCGTCTACCTCGGCAACCTCGCCTGCCAAACCGGCGTCACCAGGTTCCTGGAAATGCCGCCTCCCCCTTCCCCGTTGTCGCACACACAACACCCCCTCGAAAGCACGCCCTCGCTCTGGCACTACGACAAAACCGAAGATGAGACCGCCAAATCCCTCCCCTCCTTCTGGGACCAGTTCGACTACCTCCTCGTCGAGCCGGCCGAGGCATCCTATGTGCAGGCCCTGCCGGGCCAGTCGGACCGCTGGGCCGAGACGGAGGTGGTCAACGGGTTCGCGGGGGTGAAGGTCCTACGGCCCGGCGACGTGGCGACGGGGCAGCTGGAGGAGCGGGTGCTGGGCGTGGCGCTGGGGCCGGACGGTGCGCGGTCCTGGCGCGAGTTCCGCGATTATGCGCGCAAGTATCTCACGCGCGGGTGGTGGGCTGAGTTGAGGATGGAGCCGAAGATTCGGATTATGCAGCGTGTCTAGGGGTCAGGCATTAATTCGGGGATATTAGAGGGTATATGCGTGTATGATATAGTATGATATATGTCTTTTGTTCTGGGTAAAATCGAGAATCAGGAGAAAGAAATGAAGAAAGAAAGAAAGAAAGAAAGAAAGAAAATGTACATCAGCTCTAGGATATCACTACAAATAGAAGATTCAATCGACAAAAAAGTCTCCAGGTTTCCCGTTTCCCCCTCACGCCGCCCCGCTTTCCAGCCTGTCCAGTCTCTGCTCCAGGTCCCGGACCCAAGGCTCCACGAGCTCGATGTTGCTCTTCATCGCCGTCTCGCTGAGACCCATCTTCTCCTCGACCACCTTGAGCCCCTCGCGCCACTGGTCGATTTCCCCCGTCATCGCGGCGTGTCGCTTCTCCAGCTCGTTGAGCGACTCGGCGGCCTGTGCGGCGCCGGCGTGGATCGCTCGGAGGGAGCGAAGCCGCTCGAGCACGCTGGGGAGGATGGGATGCAGGGATTGGATGGTGGGGAGGGTGGCGTAGAGGGCCTGGATCTTGGTGGCCTGTTCGTCGCGCTGGGTGGCTGCCTGGTCGACTTCCGTGGCCGACGAGGACGACGCCGTGTCGGACGTGGGCTCAGCGGTCGTCGTTGACGCGAGGCGGGCGTTCTGGGCGGCTTTGGCGGCGTCGACGGCGCGTTTGCGCGCGGACGCCAGGGCCTCGGTGTCGCTGGTCAGTCTGCGGACGCGGCTCGCCAGGGCCTCCAGATGAGTCGTTGTGAAGGTTGCGGAGGGCGCGCCGGATCCGGTTGGCGGGACCGTCGATGCTGGGGTGGGGCCCACGAGGACGTTTGTGAGGGTGGCGAGGCGGGAGGTGAGGTGGTCCAGGGCCGGAAGCACGGGCTGCAGGGCCGGTTCGGAGATCCCGTCCGAGACAAAGGGGTTGGAGGAGCTAGAGATGCCAATCGCGGCTTCGACTAATGCTAGCCGGCCATCAAACGCCGCGGCATGCGCCAACACACCGGGGGACGACGAAGTCGTCGCCTCTTCTTTCGCGGCGGCGCTGTCGGACCCATTCTGCTCGCTGGGCAGGTCGCGGGCGCCGTTCGACGCGAGCTTCTGAGAAAGCACTGTGGCTGCAGAATGCGATCCTGGTACGTTACGAGAAGACGCGTGGAGATTATCCAACGCCCGACTCAGCTCCAGCACGCCGTCATCCACCTGGTCCGCAGGTGTCTCCTGGGACTCCGCTGCCGCTTGCCGTGACTCCATCTCATCCTTCAGCTCCTCCACTTCTCTCCGCAGGCGAGCCAGCTTCCTCTCAAAGCTCTCCTCGTCGCTGTCGCTGTAATCGCCCGCCCCCTCGAGACCGTCGTCGCGTGCCCGCCGTCGCCGACTTTTGCTCCTGTATGCTTTTCGTCTGAGAGCGATGCTGTCCGAGAAATTGACATCCCGGGCATCTACCGTTGCTCCGAGGAAATGGGCGCGCGCCTCGTCGACGTCGACGCCATGTCGGTCAATGTCGGGGTTGGAGCCATTGTCGTCGGCGTCGGAAGTGGTACGGATAGTTGTGGTCTTGCGGGTTGCTAGTTAGAGAGGGTTTCGGGTCGTCTTGCGCATCCGCAACGGAACTGGTGGTACTAACCGGGACGGTGGATGCCTCGTCGGTCAAGTCTGGAGTCTCATAGATATCGGGGGCTAGATCCTAGTGGGAACACGGTGGTGGTTAAGTTGGGATCAGGTCAGAGCGGTGATGTCCTGAGGAGGTTCCACATACTAAGTCTGGGAGACCGGCATATTTCTTATTAAAGGACATGCCTGGGGGGGCGATCACTGTGAGACAAGGTGTCTCTGATGGTAGTTCTCTGTATCGGCGTTGACTCTTGGGGTTTGTTTAGTTACTCCATGGATCTGTTGTTCAGAGTGTCGATGTGGATGTCCAACTCCGCGTTGGCACGTGAAAGGGGGAGATCGGCTTCTTGGCTGCCTGAGAATTCAGGAACGGAACCGCTCAGGGCCGAAAGTTTCTTCCCCACACTGCCTCAGGCCCTCAGGCCCCCAGGCCCCAATCCCATATGAAACTGCGTCATCAGCAGCCATTCAACCGAGCTGCCTATGAGCCTATGAGCCTATGAGGTGATAACTATTCGTGAGCTCGGAATAATACTGTAGACACTAGACAGGATCAGCTAGTTACCTTCGTAGATGTCTGCTCTCTTCACGTGTCAGCCTCGGTGGTTAGCGGCGGAAGAAAGCAGTGGACAGACACTGTTCCCAAACAGGCAGTGGTGGAGGGGAAACACAACATGTGCTGCAGCTGCTCAACTGCTGGTTTTAAAACCACCCCGTCTGGCGTCCTCCTCCTGCACTTCTCTCTCATCTCTTTCCCGCTCATCCTCCCCTAACTTCCATTCTTACCATCTCCTTATCATCCATCATGGCCGCCCCCGCAGAAGTCACCATCAAGAACCTCAGTGGAGAATGGATGATGGTGAGCACCAACACCAAACCCCCCCCCCACCCCTTCCTCGTAGTTCAGCGCACTCGCGGCTCTCCCACCGTCTTGCCCTTTGCTAATCGAGCTTCTCAATATCAAGGAGAAATCCATCTCCGATCCTACTGATCCCGTTCTCTCATTGGTATGTCATACCCTCCTTCTTACCTCTTTTCGCGACAAACCCCCACTCACCCACCTCCCAACAACAGCAAGGCGTCGGCTGGGTAACCCGCAAAGCCATCGGACTCGCCAGCGTGACACTCAAGGTGACGTCGTACGCCGACGCCCAAGACGCCAAGGTCTTGCACGTCGATATCGACCAGATCGTCACGGGCGGTCTCAAAGGCACCAGCGAGAAGCGCCAGACGGACTGGACTGACCGCGAGCACACCGACCATATCTTCGGCAGGCTCCAAGGCCGGTCGCGGCTGCTGCGCGGCTCCAAGGGCGACGACAGCAAGGTCCGCCCGGACGTCGAGGTCTATACCAAGATCGACGATGCCAAGGTGAAGCAGTTTCTGCGGGGCGAGATCCTCGCGGACGGGAGCGCGTCCGAGGGCTTCCTCGTCGATAATGTCGGGGAGGAGTATGGGGAGGGCGAGGGACTCTGGCTGCAGAGCTGGGTGGTGAACCAGGATAGTGGATACGGCTGGACCGCGGAACAGGTGCGTTTTCTAGCGAACTCTCCCGGGGGGGGGGTTGTTGATCGTGGGAAATGATGGGCAGATGCTGACTTGCTGCAGATTTGGGGCTTCGAGACTATCAACGGCAAGCGGTATCACACTCGCCGCGTGGTGGTGGCCAAAGACGGCAAGTACCAGATGGCCCGTCTTGTCTATGACTTTGTCAAGAAGTCGGAGTAATTGTTCCTTGACGGAATCTCTGGCTATAAGACCAACTTCTAGAGAGAGAGGTCCGACTCCAGATGAGTGGACGGACTGGGTGGGATATGGCACACATGTACAGTGGCTTCGAGCTAAAATCACGATTCTATTGGCCTATTGTTAGTTGTAGAATCGACGAATACTCTTCTTTCATCCAGTTCATATGTAAACGGATCATATCGCTTCGTTAAAAGTCAAACAGTCAAACATCGTGATAATTAGATACATTCTCGATGTCCCAGATGCAATTGGGAACTCCCAATGACAATTATGACTGGACAATCTCCCAACATAACATAGCATAGGTGGTTAATATTCATCAGCTCAAATACCAGACCGACACGCCATAAAGTGCAACTCAATTTAATTTGATATCACACCGTATCTAAACCACCTTTTTTTTTACGAATGCGTCGGCATCACCACGTTCGCCTTGGTGCTGACAGCATCCTCGCTGCGCCACAGACTCGTGACCGTCTTCTGCTGGGTATAGAACTGCAGGCCCGGTTTGCCGTAGAAGGTATTCGCGCCGCCGCCGGCGATGCTCTTCTTGTTGCCGGTGAAGGAGAACATGGGCAGGGGGACGGGGATGGGGACGTTGATGCCGACCTGGCCGGCCTCGATGTCCTTCTGGAAGCGGGAGGCGGTGGAGCCGGAGCGGGTGAAGACGGCGGCGCCGTTGCCGTACTCATTCTTGTTGATGAGGTCGATGGCGTCGTCGAGGGTGGGGACGTTGAGGCAGATGAGCACGGGGCCGAAGATCTCTTCCTTGTAGCAGCGCATGTTGGGGGTGACGTTGGTGATGATGGTGGGGCCGACCTGTATCTCAGATGTTAGCCGGGGGGGGAAGGGAGGTTGGGAGGTAAAGAGGGACTGGGGGAACGGGGGAAGGACTTACAAAGTTGCCATTGGGGTACTTCTCGGGCTTGTAGCCGCGGCCGTCCAGGAGGATGGTGGCGCCCTCCTCCTCAGCGCTGGCGATCAGGCCCTCGATGCGTTTCTTGCTCTCCGGGCTGATGACGGGGCCGAGATCGGCGCCCGCCTCAAACCCGCCGTTGACGTTCAGGGCCTTGGCCCGCTCCGCCATCTCGGGGAGCCAGTCCTTGGTCTCGCCGACCATGACGACGGTGCTGAGTGCCATGCACCGCTGTCCGGCCGCGCCAAAGGCCGCGCCGACAAGGGCGTTCAGGGTCTGGTTCTTGTTGCAGTCCGGCAGGATGGCGGCGTGGTTCTTCGCACCCAGGTTGGCCTGGACCCGCTTGCCGTTGGCCGAGCCGCGGGTGTAGATGTATTCCCCGGCACGGTTGCTACCCACGAAGCTGATGGCCTTGATGGCCGGCTCATCGATGATGAAGTCGACCGTCTTGGCCGACCCGTGGATGATGTTGATCACACCGGGGGGGAAGCCCGCCTCCTGGGCCAGCTCGGCCAGGATCATGGCCGCTCCGGGGTCCCGCTCGGAGGGCTTGAGGATCAGACAGTTTCCAGTGATCGTCGCAATGGGGATACACCAGAGGGGAATCATCGCGGGGAAGTCTGCGGGTGGGAGCGGTTAGTCTCGGAGGTGCATAGATGGGGCTGTGGGATTCTTACTGAAGGGGCAAATCGCGGCCACAACTCCCAGGGGTTCTCTGTAGCTGCGAGTCTCCATATCCTTGGCGACTTCCAGAACCTCGCCGGTCAATTGGGTGGTGATGCCACAGGCGGTCTCTGCGACCTGCAGACCCCGCAGGACGTCACCCTTGGCGTCGGCGAAGGTCTTACCCTGCTCCAAGGTGATGGACGCGGCCAGGCGGTCCCAGTTGGCTCGGATGAGGCTCACAAACTTGAACATGATCTGCTGCTTGGCCATGATGCTGGTCGCGCGCCAGGCAGGGAAGGCCTTCTCGGCCGAGGCCACGGCAGCACGCAGCTCCTCATCGGTGCTCTGAGGCACGCGGGTGACGAGGTTGTTGGTCGCCGGGTCGTGTAGATCAATCCATGTGGTGGCCTTGGACGACACGAATTGGTTGTCAATAAAGTTGGTGGTATCGATGGGGTTGGCGATCGGGGTATGGTCCGTCGGGTATTCGGTGGCGGTGGTAGCCGCGGAAGTGGTTGCTGCGGGGGCCATTTGTTGTGCTGTGGCGTGGAGTCTACGAGCTGCCACTCGGGATGCGGATACGGAAGAAGAAGAAGAAGCAGCAGCAGCTCCTCTCCGAGAAGCTAATAAAGAGGAAGCGGACGATGTCGATGTAGACAGAGATCGAGCTGCAGCAGCTGTTGCGACTCTTGACGTGGCAACGGCCGTGCGGGGAGACGCAGCGCGGAGAGCGGGGAGAGAACGGGCAAAAGACCGACTGGCGGCCATGACGATGTAGTATAGGGAGGGAGGGATGGTAGAGAGGGGAGGAATAGAAAGAAGCCTTTGAGATGAGAGAGTCAAGGGGGAGGTAAAAGAAAAGAAAAGAAAAGAACAATAAGCAGGGGGGGCGTTGGGGGGAGGGGAATGAAGGATATAAAAGTCCGCGGGTGATGGGAACGAAGCTCTGGGGAGATGGACGGACTCCGCGTAAGTTACGAGTACACAGTACTCCTACCACTTTTGACCTTCCCCTTAGGTTCAATCCCTCACCCAGTCACACTAACACTACACTAGATCACTAGGTAGATCCTCCAAATACTCTGTAATAATAATCTACTCCAAATCATAGTTACTACAGTCTACAACTACTACTACAACCCGGAAAGAACGCCGAGGTCAACCGATAACAGCCATAAACACTGCGAATTCGGCGATCCTCACCAATCACCGTCCCAGCATTCCCCTCGGGGTCAACCTAACTCCTAGGTATTGTATGGCTGAACCTATCTTAGTATTCCATAGTCCGTATGCTACCACCATTCACTCAGAAAAATGGACACAATATAAAATCCTTCGATTCATAGCATCTCATGGAATCATCCATTCCTTCGTAAGAAGAATGATCTCAACTATGGAGTAGCTGGCGCGTGTCTTGACCGCCATCCTCACCCACTTGCTTACGGAGTACATGGAGAGACGAACTACCGGTGAACAGTGCTTAGAAAACGACTCGGTAGGTAATAATAAATTTGCGATCTCAAGCTGCCGACTGGACTACTTTACATATGCCATCCGGTTTCTCTCCTCGTCCAGGTCGAGAGATGGCCCTCTTCTGTTCTCATATCTCATCATCCGTCGCAACAATCGTCCTCCACGGACCTTGCTGGACCGTCCATAAACAACCAAGGATATCGGAGTACAACAACGATTTGAACGCTGCAATCAATATAAAATGTGAAATCTTAATTTCATATGTTTGTTTGTATGTTTGTTTGTGTGTTTTTTGGGGGGTAATTTTTTCCTTCTTTTCTGTGTTCTCAATGCCCCGTGGAGTTCTCATTCCCCAATTCGCCATCATCCCCTCCGAGAAGAATGGAAGAGAAGAAGAGCGTTGAGTTTACTGAGCAGACGAGCGGGTGTTGCGCTTGGTAGCTCCACCCTTAGCAGTATCAGCCGCAGAGCTGACAGCCTCGCTGGCCTTCTCCTTGGCAACCGTGGCGGCCTCCTTGCCCTTCTTAGCGGCGGCGGAGGCGGCAGGCGCAGGGCTGCTCGCTCCAACAGCGCCGACAATCACCAGGATCATGGTCAGGAGAAGAGCGCCCAGTCCACCAGCGACCTCGGGAACCTGCTTGACCGCGTTGATGGGATCCTGCTTGGCAAGGCCAACGAAGTGGTCGACCTTCTCCCGAACATAGGTCACGGGATCCTCCTTGAAGCTCACGCTGGGAGTGACAGCCTTCTCCTCGGGCTTGGGCCGGGAGGCCTCTTCCAGAGCAACTTCGACAGGGTGCTTCAGATCAAAGGTCTCCTTGCGGAGCTTCTCGGCGTCCTCGACGGAGTGACCAATGTAGATGTTGTCGAAGAGAATGTCGTTCTGCATGGTCCAGATCTCGAAACCAACCTATCCGGGATTAGCAAGAACGTCAAGAGCAAAAGTGGGAAAGGAAGGAAAGAAACTTACAGCGCCCATGGGCTCAAAGTTGGAAGGAGTCTTATCCTCAAAGTAGGTGGGGTTGGCGATCTTGCGAGGCGCCCACTCACCCTTGTAGGCCGGGTTGTCAATCATAGGAGCAAACCACTTGCCCTTGTAGGCAGGGTTCTTCTTCATGGGAGGAGTCCAGGGTCCGCATCCAGAGACATCATTGCACTTGGGGTTGGGGACGGTAGGGGGGACCCAATCACCATCCTCCTCATCATCCCAGTCCTCGGGCTTCTCGGCCTCGGGGTCGGGGACGCTAGAGGGCTCGTCCTCGAGCCAATCCTCGGGGATGGTGGCCTCCTCGTCAACAATTTCGAAGGGAGCCTCCTCATCCCAGTCTTCAGGCTTGGAGGCCTCAGGGTCGGCGATCTTGATTTCGTCAACCCAATCAGCGGGCTTCTTGTCCTTGGGATCATCGATCTCCTTGTCGGGGTTGACAGGAGGGTTGAAGTCCGCCAGTAAAGTACCGTTCTTGACAGCCTCGCCGTCAATCAGGATCTGGAAGGACTGGTCGGGCTTGACAACCAGGGTGTACACCGAGGTGAGGGTGGATGTACGGGCGGCGGGAGGGGCCGTCAGGTGCTTCTCCTCATACTCGCCGGTCTTGGGGTTCTTGTGGCGGAAAATAAAGTGAACCTAGGACACCGTTCAGTGAGCAGGGCGATCCAGAAGCAACGGGCTGGGCGGCCAGTTCATACCTTGTTGGTAGCACCGCACTTGTCGGGACCAAACATGATCACGTAGGGGGTGGTGTTGGAGAACTCCTCGGCGTGGAGCTTCTTGTTCTCCTGGAGGATCTTCATGTAGGCACCGCCGCAAACGAGCGAGTCTTGGGGGAAGAAGAGGATCAGCATACTGTTGAGCGATCACTGGAGACTCCAACAGGGAGCACCTACTCTGTGGCTTGACCTCATACTGAACAACCAGAGTCTTGCCCTTGTTGTCAATCACATTGGGGAACTTGGCCGAGATGGCGTGGTGAGCCGCGACATTCTTGACCACCAGACCCTTGTCGCCAACCATGCCGTTGAGCACGGTAGGCTCCTCGACGGACCATTCACCGATGTAGGCCCAGTCCTCCTCCGATTTGGAGTCCTCCTTCTTGGCGTGGGAAGGAGTCCATCTCGAGTCCCAATCGCCGGTGAACTGTTCGAGGAAGGGGGCTTTCAAGGTAGTAGGCTAGAATTTAAGATTGACCGTCAGTAAATGAGATGCGGAGACGCAAGGTAAGTGGTGTGGGGGGGGGGTTTCGAGTCGCGACTTACAGTGAAGGTAGGCTTCTCCACGAGGGAGGTAGCGTCGGCCTGCTTCTCAGTCTCCTCAGCATGGGCCTGGCCCATCAAGGTGGCCGAGGAGACGAGCGCGGACGTGATGGCTGCGTTGAAACGCATGATGGACGATGAGAAAGGGAATAACCCGACGACAAAGCTTCTAGAAACAAATAGCACAGTGGTAAGCAAGCAAGCAAGCAAACAATGAATTAGACTTCCGTAGAAGGAAGAGAGGGAATGCAAGAGCTGAGCTCTAGATAGATGAAGGAAGGGAAGATGTAGTTACCAGAAGAAGAGAGATGATTGATGATCCACACCAAACAGAAGGGAAGGAGAGAAGGAAGGGGAAAGAAGAGAACAAAAAAATGACTGGCGGACAATTGAAGATATTATATATCCAGCAGTGAAGGGATAATCAGGTAGCCGGCGGAAGCAATTGTCCACAGCTCCAGTCTATCGTGCAGCTTCTTCGTCCTGACAGCTGGGAAGTTCAAAGGTGGCCTCTTCTTGGTTACTGTTTGGGGTAAAGCCGACACGGCCCGATGGGGTTTAGTGGGTGATTCTCTAGTGTTCGGTCGATGGAATTCTTACTATGTATTATTATGATGATTCTTATTATTGAATGATTATTAAGAATCATTTTGCTCTGTCTATCACTCTAATTAATTAGTCTAGTTATTAGTGGATTATTATTTCATTATCGTTGTACTTGGAGTTTTATCTCTGGATCTCTCTGTTTTGTGATTACTATCAGTAGTGATCCAATATGGACTGAGTCTCTTGCTGGTAGACTCCAATTCAGTATACTATACATCCGATTTCAATAAAATATAGACATTGAACACCTCCAATCGTAATGACATATTGCGCAATCACTATATACTCCGTAGGTACTACATACCTTAGCCTCTAGGTACATAGTACTTACTATCTAGTATCTACTGTATCTCCCCCCGCTCCTGTCATAGAGGAAAAATGATTTTCAGCTCCCTCCCCCCGCCTCACCACCCAATCAATCTATACCATCACCATCTTCCTGTCTTCTCTTGACCACCGATCTTCTCATTCTCTGAGATACTTCTCTTACGGTCCTCCGTTCTCCGGTAATGGCAATCGCTTCTTAGCTTCAAGGTCTCGTTCTAACAGTCGCCATAGGTGTCCGATAGCAAACTCACGTACGGTGGAGTACAATCTTCCAAAATGGTCCAGGAAGTCGAGAACAACAACAACAACAACAACAACAATGATCACCTGGTGCAGTCTTCTGACCCAGAGCATCCCGCCAACTTGATTCCCGAGCTCTGCCGCAAATTCTACAACTGGGGTTGGGTTACCGGTACTGGTGGTGGAGTAAGTGTTGCACTCCGCGTCGCAAGAGAAAAAAAAAAAAATCAAACCGTCGCTGAACAAGACCCTCGTCAAATTATATAGGCTTCCATCCGTCGCGATGAACATATCTTCATTGCGCCCTCTGGAGTGCAGAAGGAATTGATTCAACCCCACAACATTTTCGTCCTGCAGTTCCCGACCCCCAAGTACCCGCCCTCCGACCGAAAGTACATTCGCAAGCCCCTCGAACTCAAGCCCTCCGCATGCACCCCACTGTTCCTCGCTGCCTTTGAGCGCGGTGCCGGCTGCTGTATCCACACCCACTCCCAGTGGGCGGTCTTGGTGACACTTCTGGTCGAGCGCGAGAAGGGCCCCGACGGCTGCTTCGAGATCAGCAACATCGAGCAGATCAAGGGTATCCCCCGCGGCAAGGGTAAGGGCATGATGGGTTTCTTCGACACGCTCAAGATCCCAATCATCGAGAACACTGCCTTCGAGGAGGATCTCACCGGAAGCTTGGAGAAGGCGATGGACCAGTACCCGGATACCTATGCTGTTCTGGTCCGCAGACACGGAATGTGAGTTTTTTTCTTTCTTTCTTTGGTTCGGGTCTTTAAATAGCCATTGAAGCTGACGAGTGTACAGTTATGTGTGGGGTGACGATGTGGCCAAAGCAAAGACCCAGTGTGAGAGTTTGGATTACCTTTTCCAGCTTGCTGTTGAGATGCACAAGCTTGGTATCCCGTGGGTCAAATAGATCTGCCCTGAATAAAGAGAGCAAGGTGAAAATACAAGGCGAAGGGATGCTTATGACAAGATTGAGCATCTATACCAAAAGAAAGAGAGAGAAAAAAAAAAAGCTGGATTTCAGTCCAGCAATATTATGACGAAAAGACGCGCTTGATGACTGAGAATACATGGTGTATATGACATTATATAGAGCTGTTTATAAATGCGAGAAAGGTCTCTGCAAGTTGAAGAATTGTTCGTTTTCCGAGGTATATCTCTCTCGTAGTAGCAAATCAGATCCGCTTACAAGGTGATCAATTCCACTAGAAACAAAGATCACATCGGATTCGCTGTATTTATTTTTGGTCTTTGATTATTGCTTGAACAGTATAAATAATTTCAATGGATATCACTATCTGATCGAAGCTCGGCAGTACAACAGCTAGTATCTACGTAGCTTAACCCAACCCTTGGCGGGCCGGAGTGACGAGGAACTTAGTCGTTGGAAACGGCGCGGATCATCCATCTCCATACAACCACCTCTCCAATTCCGATCCACGCCCCTCATCGGCTTGTGATCTATTATCATTACAACCTGATCATACTGTGCTGTTGAAACTTGTCTCCAGGAGTTAGAACCAGTTATAGTCATCAACTTCACCTCAATTCTCATGGATCTCGACGCTGGGGATTCCCCGTGGGGCGGTAAGCAGGCAACACCACCACCACCACCACCACTTCGCATTGCCATTCCTAACATGGCCCTTACTTAGATGTGCCCTCGCAGGGCCCTGCCTCACCAGGACAGGCCGCCGAAGGAACCCGTATGTACTTTGTTCTTTCTGCGCACCATACCCCGTCCACTACAGACCGAGACAGGAGCTCACCTCCTACCTGCAGCTGCAGAACAATCTACACAACATGCCAGCCTGAGCGCTACCCGTTCTCCAGTCCGGCGAAACCTGCGAGGTGCTCGTAAGATCAGCGCGCACGCGACGAAGCTCGAAGCCGTTGACGATGCCGTTGACCCGCTTGGCCCTCTCGGGGACACGACCACCGAGACCGCTCCCGTCACCGAGCAGGCGCCGACACCACCGCAGAAGGAGCCATTCGCCGGTCGCAACGCCCGTCCAACCTCGTCCACATCGCAGGCTTCCAGTGGCGCGGCATTGGGGGAGTCTGTCCATCTTGAGGAAAATGGTGCGGGGTTCAGGGGACCTCCACCGGTGCAACCCGCGCCGGAGGCGGATGGGATCAAGAGACAGACCCAGCCCAGTGTCAGTATTGAAGAAGCTGCCAAACCCACGTTCGAGATCACAGTGGGTGATCCGCACAAGGTTGGAGATCTGACTAGCAGCCACATCGTATACCAAGTCCGCACGAAGGTAATGCGGCCCGCTCTTCTTTTTGCCTGGAATGGAGATACTAATTTCAGGCATAGACAACGTCCAAGGCATACCGGCAACCCGAGTTTACTGTCAGCCGCCGATACCGGGATTTTCTATGGCTTTACAATTCCATGCATAACAACAATCCTGGTGTCGTTGTGCCACCTCCCCCAGAGAAACAGGCCGTTGGTCGATTTGACACGAATTTCGTCGAGTCAAGAAGAGCTGCACTGGAGCGCATGCTCAACAAGATCGCCGCACATCCCATTCTACAACATGACGCTGATCTAAAGATCTTCCTCGAGAGCGAGTCTTTCAACTTGGACGTCAAGAACAAGGAGAACAGAGAACCGGATCTGGGCCAGAACAAGGGCATGTTCAGCTCCTTCGGTATTAGCGTTGGTGGCGGTGGGAAATTTGTCGAACACGATGACGTGAGTTTTTTTGAGGTTGATTGCGGCCATAGGACTGTGCTGACTGGTGTTTTAGTGGTTCCATGACCGAAAGATCTACATGGACGCATTGGAGAATCAACTCAAGGCACTCCTTAAATCGATCGATGTAGTAGTTGCACAACGAAAAGGGCTGGCAGAATCTGCTGGCGACTTCTCATCTTCGCTCCACGCCTTGGCTGCTGTGGAGCTGTCCCCCGCTCTTTCGAGTCCCCTGGGAGGACTTTCAGATTTACAGCTGCGCATCAGAGAGCTGTACGAGCGCCAAGCACAGCATGATGTCCTTACACTGGGAATCACCATTGACGAATACCTACGCATAATCGGAAGTGTCAAGACCGCGTTCTCGCAGCGCCAGAAGGCCTTTCATAGTTGGCATACAGCCGAGTCTGAGCTGCAAAAACGGAAGAACACCCAGGAGAAGCTTCTCAGACAAGGGAAGACGCAACAGGATCGCCTTAATCAAGCCAACGCCGATGTTGCCGACGCCGAAAGGAAGGTCCACCAAGCCAGATTGTTATTCGACGACATGGGCCGCTTGATGCGCAATGAGTTGCAAAGATTCGAGAAGGAGAAGGTGGAAGACTTCAAGTCTGGTGTGGAAACGTTCCTGGAAAGTGCAGTGGAGGCACAAAAGGAGGTAAGAGCCCTGTGAACCATATAGACAGACGGCTATCGCAGAATCCACTGACGAGTTATCCAGTTGATCGAGCTCTGGGAGACATTCCTTCTGCAGCTGGATGCTGGCGAAGAGGGCAACCCATTCTACGCGCCTCCTCCCGTAGCCGACAATGCTCCTACACAGCCTACTCCCGAGGAACCCGCCGCATCTGCTCCTGTTTCTGCTGCTGAAGAGACAGCGTAGGCAGGTTGCATCTAGTTCTTAATCATTTCCCTGTCTCACGGAAGTAATTGCGACCACGACCCCTCGAGTTCACTTGACACCGTCTTTCATGTATCTATCGTTCCAGGTGGACTGCTGATTGTTGCAGGCCTACAGGCTCAGACGTGGGCTGCTGACTTGTTCATCTCACCCTAACAAGCGATCTCCGTATACCATTCAAGCGTAGTATGATTCATAATTTTGCTCAATTCATTCTATGATGATCGACCCTCAATTTTTGTACTCGTACTATTTTTGTCGAATGTACGGAGGGAGTCAATTAGATCAGATTCCTTTGATCTCTGGTAGAAATGGCGCAACTGAGGTCCAATTCAAGGATACAATGCTGGAGCCCTTTCAAACGGTATGATGTACATAGATAGTCCATAAAGCAGGCAGAAGAAACAAAACAAAAAAAGAAATGAAAACCGAGTGGCCAGAAAGGTATAGCATGTCATGTCTTCCCTCTTCTCGACTGACGACCATTGCATCGTCCTCTCCAGCATATCATACAACCCACGGGAATTTGAAAAAAAAAAAGCCACCATCAAACCATCTAATTCTTCTTCTTCGGTACCTCCTGCTCCATCTCCTGCCCAAACGAACTAATCAAATCAAGCAGATTATCCTCCTCCTCCTGCGCAAGCGCCGCCTCGGCCTCCTTGCTCTTCGCCCCCTCCTCGCCCTCAACAGGCGTATTGGCGTCCCAGCCGCGCCCGAACTTGGCTCTGAACGCAGCCAGCCGGCCGGCCTCGTCCTCCTCGACGTTCATCAGCTTGCTGGACGACGGGTTCCAGAGCAGCGAGTTGCGCGTGTCGCGGGTGGAGCGGTAGACGGGAGTCGGGGAGGTGGTGCGGTGCGTGAAGGTGCTGCCGTCGGAGAGGGTGATGAGCTGCGTGAAGGTGTAGGGCCGCTTGGGGCGCCGGAGGAGCGTGGCATGCCGGCATTGCGAGCAGATGTAGGTGGTGGAGGGCTTGACTCGGGCGGTGCTCACCGCGCTACGGCGGAGGGTGATGTGGATTGACATTGTTTATGTGCGTGTGTGTTTATTTGTGGGAGAGGTAAATGTTTTGGGAGGATGCGAGACGAGGCTCTCTTTTTTTTTTCGAGACAATTCAAGGCTTCTGGACGGGACGTATTGGAGGGAGTTCGTGCTGTTGGTGCTTTATCGGGGCGTTGGTGATTCTGGCCGAGAAATTTCGCGGAAACGATAGCGGGAGGGTTATGTAAGCACCCGCTTTGCTCTTGTTTTTTTCTTTCCCTTCTTCTGCCGGGGCCGCGGAGGTCGCGCTCATTCATAGTTTGTTTCGTTCAGGGCATCTGCGCTGGATACGAATGGTAGATAATGACTGGAAATTGAAGTCATTGGAGTGAGATTGCTAGATTCGGTTCAGGATGAATGTGAAGGGACTTGATGGTCTTGTCTCCGATCCTGCTTCCGTCCACGCCCCCATCATACCCTGAGCTTCACTTGAGAGAGCTTTGTCCGCTCTTCTACCGGCGGGATGAAGCTCCGATTCTCGCCATCTGTGCTCTCGGCCAGATATATTCAAGCTGGTAAGTCAATTCTTGCTATAGCACTTCTGCTCAAGCATCATCGGTTCTGATCAAGCGACTTCACCCTCTAGACCATCGATGCATCTCGACACTATGTAACCCGCTCATCGTCCCCGCCGCCGGCCACGGGACTCCCACGCCTTCATGGCCTCGCAGACTATACGGGACATCATCCCCGCAAGCCAGCAGCGCGCAAACGACGCAACCAGCCCCTGAAACCTGCGTCCCTCCCACCCCGCTGTCCGACCAGATCCGCCTCCTCATGCGCCGCGTCCCATACCCCGTCGCCATCATCACAGCCACAGACCCGCACGGCCCCGTCGACCAGGCCTTCCGCGGCATGACCGTCTCCTCCTTCAACACCGTCACCCTGCACCCGGAACCCGTCGTCTCGTTCAACGTGCGCCGCCCGTCCGAGACCCTCGCCGCCCTACAATCCTCCCGCCGCTTCCTCGTCCACCTCCTCGCCCCGACGCCGGCCACCGCCTCCCTCGCCCGCGACTTCTCCCGCGGGAACCACAACCTCGCCCTCCTGGCCGGCGAGGGCGACTTCGAGTTCGCGCCGCATGTTCCAACAGCGGCGGCCGTAGACGCAGACGCATGCGATCGCGCCCTCCCGATTCTCCGCCGGAGACCCGCGAGTGTCTTGGCTTCAGCCTCCACCTCAGATGCAGACCCAGTCCAGGAAGATTTCCCGTTCGTCTTCGAATGCAGACTCAACCCGCAGAGCGTCGAGGTCCACGACCACACGATTGTCGTGGGGACGGTCGTGCGCGCGCTCTCGCCGCATGTGCACGGCTCGGAGGTCGAGAAGCCCGGGGCCGGCTTTTCGGCGAAGGAGCTGTGTCTGACGTATGCGAATACGCGGTTCTGGGGGATGGGGCATGAGATATGAGTGCACAGTGGAGTATGAAACGACTTTTGCTTGCCATTGCCATTGCCATTGCCGTTGCCGTTACCATTGCCGTTGACTTTGACTGAACTGGCTTGTTGATGGGATTGCAAGTATGTATTATTACGGAGTACTCAGGATTGAGAAGCCCTGGAAGAAGAGAAGGGCGAAGCAGTCGATATCCCACTATCCCGCACTAGATGTGATACTTTATATAGAATAAATCTCCCTCTCAATGTACATTGTTCTGTTCTGCGCAGCTCATGTCCCTATAGTGCTGGCGGATCTACAGAGGGACTTCTGATGGCTTAGACACAAAACTAGAATAGGCTACAAGTCAAGACGAGAAAACGCGGGCGATTGGAGACGATATAGGCTTTTGATTCTTTATCCAAGAAAAAGAGATCTACACACGACGAAGGACACGGGATTGAACTGATCTCAGGCAACGGAGAACACCCGAGCCGAGTACGAAGACTTGGTCGGAAGAAATCCACCCCATTGCAGGAATCTGGCGCCAGATCGAAAAGGGAATAACACAAGCAGAAATCGGAGACAGAACGCATGCATCCAGGAGTGCCACGGGCTTCACACGAAGGCAGAACTTCGTGGGAAAGCCGCCCATTGATCCTTCTACACTCCTAGTTGGGCTTGCCGTACGCAGAGCTAGGGCTGCCACTTCCGCTACCGCTTCCACCGCTTCCATTGCTTCCGCTGCCACTTCCTCGGCTACCTGCCCGTTGAAATGGGCTGGAGACGGGTCTCAAGCCCGATTTCAAGGCAGTGCTGTCGGATCCGGAATTTCTCTTCTCACCAAGCAGCTCAGGCAGGTCGATCTGGAAAGGCTGGCGGCGGCTTGAGTCCAGAAATTCGGAGCCGTAGAGACTGCTGCGGGCTGATCGGTTGGAGAATGACCGGTCACGATACGTGAAATCCGAATCCAGATGGGAAGTGGCGTTAACCAGTGGAGATGCCGGGAAGTTCAAAAACGACGGCGGTTGTACTGGGCTGGTGGGATGCGAGGACGATGCATCGAGCGCGGAAGATATCGTCTGGAGCGGGCTGGACTTGATCGCGGGAAAGCTGAGTCCGAGCAGTGATCTGCTGTTAGGTGCTGTCGATGTCAATGCGCCCAAAGGCAAGGCAGACGTCTCGGAGAACGGATTCGTCCCAGGCAGATTGCCCTCGGGGGTCAGAGGAGCAGAATCCAGAAGCATTCGCTGCTGCTGTTGTTGTATGGCCTGCTCGATTGCATCACATTGTTGCCAGATCTGCTGCGCGCGCAACTGGTACTCCTGCACAGATTGCCCGATACTCCCAAACTGCTCATTGAAATTGGCTTCGAGTTTCGCCTGATCTTGCTCCCTGGCAAACTGCTCTGCAGCCCGACGTTCCCGTTCATTGAGGCCCTGCGCGTTGGCCGAGACAATTCTCTCGTACTGTTCGTTGACCCTGGTACGGCGGCTCTGGAGACGCTCCCGTCGCTGAACCGTAGAACCCAAGTCAGATTCCAAGGAAGAGACCTCACGCGCAACAGCGGACCGAGCGGAGACAAGCTCTTCCTTTGCTGAGTTGAGTAGCTGCAGTTCCTGATCGTACTTGGCTTTCTGATCCGACCACTCTCGAAGCTCTTCTTCGGGGATGTTCTCTAAACTGTCCAGCTGGCCCTCGAGCAGAGCAGTGGCCTCTTCTGTTTGCCGAATATTCCTCTCCAACTGTAGCGAGCGCTGTTTCTGTCGATTCTCATCCGTTCCGCTGTGTAGACGATGGTTATAGTTGTCGAGCTCCTTCCGGATTTTGGAAATAATAAGCTTGTGATCATTTTTAGCCTTCCTCAACCGAGAGCGCTTCTCGTTCAACTTGGCTTCCGCATTGACGATGGAATTCTTCAGCGTGGTAGTTGGGGACGAGGGGCGATAGGACGGCTGCGGCGGAGGAGATACCAAAGAAACTGCTGCTCCGATATTAGTGGTCGTTCGGGAATCGACAGCAAAGAAAGCAGAGTATCCCGGGAGAAGAAGAAAATAGCTTACACTGTTCGGTGTCATTCGTCACCGGTGTTTTGACACTAATGGCGCAGATCTCTTCATCGGTATCACTTCGCATGAAAGAGCAAGTATAAGCACAATTAGGAGCCAGGCCAGATACCTCGCCCCGCCAATGAACCATACCCGACCCTTTTTGCGCATCCGGCACCCTAGAAATCGTGGCGGTGGCCCAAAGGGCACCATTCACACAGACGTAGAACGGTTCTATTTCCTCATTTCCCAAGCGTCCATCTTCACAAGCGCCCGAAAGGCCGGAATCATCTGCTGAAGCGAAATCCCCGGCGGCAAATTTGATGGTCGAAGCATCGACATCAGTAATCCATACCAGTCCATCATCAAAAGAAACACCCTGAAGATCGTTCTCGGTCATTGGCAGACCGCGAGCGGTCTTCGACAATGCCCTAGAATGTTCGTACTCCCTCATGACTGTGACCTTTGTACTTGCCAGCGCAGCCCAGAATGGCTGCCGGCTTCGAACCTGGTTTGCCTGTCTCCTTCGTTTCTTTGCCGACAGTAATCGATCCCTGCCATCCTTGTGTGCCGTCGGGGTAATCAGTTGTCCATCAGGGCCCAGATAAGAAGAAACGCTGGCTCCCGATTCGAATGCAGAATCTATTTGCGTCTGTGAACCGGCGGACGCTTCGGTGTCGACCCGTTTGCCCGGGCGCGGTGGATTAGGCGATCGGTTCTTGGCCATTGAACGTCTTGCCATGGCCGTGCCAGCCTGTGCCAGAATATGGACGGCGAGCAAGCTTCGAATCCAGCTGGGTGACGTCTGCGACTCCGTGCGTCGGAACTCCGTAGGCAGAAGATGTGAGTATTGCGCTAAAAGATCGGGACTGATGATGTTTGAAGAAAGCAGATGGCCTATAACAAAATCCTGTATACCTTTGCTGCGAATCAGATGCAATATAAGAACTATACCGACACAGAGGGTATTGACACCCCCATTTTTCCCAGACCCACCGCCCCCCAGCGTGATGGCGACCTGAACGTGGGCCAAGTCAAGCGCAAAGTTTTGCGCCCAGGTCCACATGAGCAAAGCCCAGATGAGGAGACAGAACCCATCCATCGCGATCATAGTACTGAGAGAAGGCGTCCCGGCCGGCCCCTGGAAGATATCGAAGTTGGACGACAAGGAACCAGCCGACGCACCGCTGGGAGGCATGAAGGTCAACGAGGCGAAGAGGAATTGAACCAGAGTCAGAACCATAGGCGGGAGCTGCAGGAGAAAAATCAGGATCGCGATCGTGTCGTACATGGGGCAAGACTTGAGGATGGTCGATGCGAGTTGAAGCGGATTGATCGAAGCATTCGAAGTTGACCTCTTGGCCCCGGTCGCCGACTTGTCGGTACGATGCGAAGCCTGTCCTGCATGATCGCCACCATTCTGCGAGCCGGCCCCGTTGGTCTGCACATACGACATATCAGCGTTGCCCTTGGTGTATCCATTCAATTTCTCGCGCCCATTGCAATCCTCTTTGGAGCTATCCGAAATTCCGTTGAGATTGGACGATGCGGCTGCGGCGGGAGCGATGGCTGAGTCGCTGGTAGAGCGAGACGAAGGCAGGTCGACCTGAGAAGAGGAAACAGAACCGGGGGTAGAGCCGCCGTTGAGACTGCCATTCAGATGTCCATTAGATTTCTGCTTGGCCACTTTCTTTCCGGAACTTGCGCCGTTCTCATTCCGATTGCTCTGATTCTTCCTAGCCGTAGCCGATGAACGTGGCATGGACAGAAGAGCCTAACACCCAGGTCCGAGTCAGCTTGGCAGATGAAAGCCAAGGACTTGGACCAGGCGGATGAATGAGACCGAAGACAATATCGAGAAGGAAGAAGGGAGGGGAGGAGAAAAGGAAGAAGATGAGTAAAATACAATAGAGAGAGAGAGAGAGCGAGAGATAAAATGAGGCTGACTAGGAAGGGTGAACAGGGAGGGGAGGGAGAATGGCGAGAGGTTCTCTTAGGCAGACAATAATATGTGCGGGATGGAAAAAGGAACGACAAAGAGGGGATTGGGAAAGCGGTAGGGATGGGTTATGTAAGGACCAATGAAATGGACAAAATGGAAAGGATCGAGATTATAGAGGGAGGAGTGGAGGGGAGAGGATGAAGAAAGAAGATGCAGGCCTGAATCATCCAGAACCTCGTAGGGTGGGAGTTTGGTTAGGATGAGTAGCGTGGCGGGAGGGGCGGGTTATTTGGGTCAGGAAAGGGAAAGGGAAAGGGAAAAAAAAAAAAAAAAAAAAAAAAAAAAAAAAACAGGGCAGAAGAGATGGAAGAGAGAGCGGGAGGGAGGAGGGAAGGGAAAAGAGAATGGGATAAGGTAGATAATTCTTGGATAGCCAAAGAGAAAGTCTAGAGGATAGATACCTTATTTAGTTAAGGTAAGTAAGATAGACGAGGCGGGAAAAAGATGAGAGTAAGAGAGAGAGAGGAAGAAAATGAGCCACTGCTAGATAGATAGTGGTTACTGGTTGGTTAGTAGTCGGAGGCTAGTAGAGTTGGAACTGATCGTCAGAACCGAAACCAGAAAAAGAAAAAGAAAAAGAAAAAGAAAAAGAAAAGAAAAATGAAGGCGAGATATCTTGACACTGAAGTTTTGACAAGAGGGAGAGAGAACTGACTGAGGAATAGTCTAAGGTAGATAGACCAGACCAGTCGTGAATAATGAAGGAATAAATGAGGCTGTGACTGACTTGTCAGTTGTCACGGAGTGCAACCAAAGCCACCGAGCCAGAAAAAAAAAAAAAAAAAAAAAAAAAAAAAGTGCTTCCTAGTTCCTAAGGCAGTAAGGCGTCCGCTCCACCAGGTTGCCTGAGGCACTGGAATTCAATACGACACCCTGTAACTATGGAGGTACTCTGTACTGTACTGACTACTGTGTAAGGTACTGTCCATACCTAGATCCATATGGGCTGACGAAACAACTGGATAGCGTTTGGTTCCGGTTGGCTGCCGAGGTTTATTTTTGGTGTTAGAGGCATATGAATATTTCTAGTTGAATGCTGATATCTACGGAGTAAAGAGATAATAATGTTGGACCAGAGATCATCTGTTATTCTTGCATTTATGAAGTCTATTCAATCTCGATTCTGAACAGTTAGGTTGTTGTTTCTCATCCTTGTTTTACTTGTTTGGATGGAAATATTCGCTCACGTCTGGTAAGGTAAGCTTTGGCTTGGCAGCTACTACCTATAGGCGTTGTTCGTTGGATGTTTCGATGGCTGCAGATTTCTATGGAGTACTCCATGCATCGGCGACTCAGTTCGGCCACAGTGATTTGACAGGCTTTTCTCTAGCCAGTAGCCACACATACTACCTTACCTACTCTGTAGATAGCTAACACCCGGATCGCTCTACCTACCAGAACTTAACCACATGTATCTCCAATCTGGCCGTCGATCATCCCGGCGTCTTCACCACTCATTTACCTGGCAGTGCTGGCACAGTGCACACTCACCTTACCTTTCTCCACCGTGTTTACGAGGAAGATCTTGCCTTCAACAATAGGTCCATATGTGATCAAAATCTTCTGGCTACATGACACCGTTACCCCTCATGGATGCGCAAACTAGCCATACAGACAGATATCCTCACTTTTGGTCCAGCTACAGTCGCCATGGCCATGCGAGGTGGGGGGGGCTGTACTGTAACCGGAATCTGCCTGGTTAGTTGATCATCCAGCTATATCTAGCAGTCGCGATACTTGGACTCGTGAAAAGACACTTCCGAATCTTACAGTGGATTGTTCATGGGACCAGTTGAGTAACTGCTGACGGCAGAGTCATCGAAATCAATGGTATACCTCGCGTTTACCCTCCGACAAACATCGGTGCAAATATCTACCAGAATATTCGTGGCACTGTCAACCTAAGCTTATTCTGGACAATCATACAGCTCGCTGCAATGGTCATATGATAACAACATTTGTGATCACTAAGCATCAAATGCAGGAGACTAATTGGCGACTAGTCCACGGAGAGGGTCTTCAAGCTGCCAGTCAAGTACAAGCATGGGTAAGCTAAAATCTGCCTAAATGTCAAACATCCTCGAGATCATGGCGTCCAGATTATGCTTCTGTTCAAATGCCAAAAAGGGACACGCTCAGTCATACTGATGAGCTTATGGGGTTGAGATTCAGCAACTCGGCCGTTTTTGAAAGCAGCACGAGATTTTCATATCGAGAAATTGAGAAATAGCCTTGAATCTGTGATTGCGTGTTCCCCGAATGGAGTGAGCTCATCCAAGTGGTTTTTTTCTCTGATGAGGTTGTGCTAATGTTAGCCACCACCCTCCCGTAGCCTCCAACAACCGCTTCTTTAGTCACCACCTGGGCGATCAACGATTGCTAATTTATTCATATTGAAACATATCCATCAAACGACGTGTTGCCGCGATCGATCATCATCAAGGCACTAGGCCCAGGCTTATTTCTTCGCTGAACCCATATCCTCAACGGCGTCCTCACGATCCCAGCTATCCGTCTCCAACTTGCGAACCCGCGCTTCGATATCAAGTATCTGCTGCTGCCAGTGCTGCTTTGCCTGCTTCTGGAGCTCCCACGTCTTCTGGAACTGGGCCTCCATGAAAGGCGGAAGCGCGGTCTTCTTGCCCTGCTTGTAGTCGTAGACAACAATATCCTCGTGCACACGGGCAGCAGGCCGCTGATGCGCTTCAGAGACAATCATAGCCTGGAGATGAAACGCGTACTGGGATGACTGGGCGGAGGCCGGATCATGCGCCAATTTATGATAAACGGTAACTTGGTCAGGGTATGTCATAGGCTGCGACGTAGGCTCATTAGCGACAAGAGCGAGAGGAGATTAGATGCGATGCGATGCAATGACATACGAATTTGTAGTCGACCTTGATACTGCGGAGGATCACCCCGACGCCCTTTGAGCTGACCAGGTTCATCCATTCCGTCTTGTGTGCCGGGTCGATGTGGAGGGCGAAGTTGCGTGTGAAGTATACCCGCGCGGTCTCCGCATACCGAACGTATGTCACGTTGTTGACGTGCCCTGGCATAGTACGTATACACATATATATCAGCATTTCCGCAATCGCAATAGGCTTTCAGAAAACCGCGACCAACTCCTCTGTTTGACATACCCTGATTCAATCGTTAGCTTGTCCCCAACACCAAACAATTGCGGGGAACGGTCGGATCATTTGCATTGCTTACCATGGTATCCTAGCGACCCAGCACAAAGCGTTCTATGTCAGCCTATTCCCAAACCACCGGAAGAATCAAGGATCACGACACAAGGCCCTACCATTTCCCCCCACGCGACTTTCTGCCGGTACAGACCTCTGCGTGTCTCATCGGTCAGGTATCCCTCACTGCCCGCGATCAACCCCCGCCAATCCCGCGCAACCCGCTGCAGGATGTTCCCTGCCTCCTGGATCTGCGGCGGCTTCAAGCCGAACATCATGCATTTCCCGATCCGTCTCTTGATCATGGTTAGCCATCGCGGATCAATGGTGTGGGGTTCCGTCGGGGGTGTTCTTGACGCCGAGGAGTGCACATCCTGTGAAGCAGGTGACGTGGAGAAAAGCCGGGAGTAGCAGGCTGGGTACTGGGATGTAATTGCGGCAAGGCGCTGCCTTGTTAGAGACTGGATTGCGATCATTATGCTGCTGTTGTAAAGTGGGAACAGGGATTGGGGTACTCTGTAAGTTGAGTTTCGTTTGTTGTCTCACTACCTAGTGTCTATCTATCTAGCTGCGGCCGAGACATCTGGGGATTGACGGCTAATCCCCGCTCTTCTTCTGGACATTGCCGGTGTTGAGCCGAAGTTGTAAACATAGACAGATAGACTACTACCCGGAGTAGTGTGGATTCACTGGATGTAGGTATATGGTATTAGATAGGTAGTAGTTAGTTGAATGATATACTACGTACACAGTAAGATTGCAAGTATTTTTGCATGAAGTACCTGCGTCTTATCTTTACGGGTTGTACAGACGTTCACTCCACACTGCAGCTTTACATATCTCCGCAATACCTGGCGTATTGTGTACTGGACATACTGCATGCATGGGTAACACACAATCTTAATTGACCAACTATAGTAGTACAATTGCATCTCTTGATACTCACTTCTTCGATCATCATCTCTCTTCAACCAAGCATACACGACCAGTACTACATACCCAACCTGATCATTCTACATCGTGGCCATCTACAGATCCCGTAGTAGCTGGAGGCGAAGTTTGCCTGCACAAACGACGTCACCGACTTCTTCCGGCCAAAGAAACAACAACAACAACAACATCATCAACATCAACCATCCCACTCACCTCCCTTGATGCACTCACCCGCTTTATAAAACCCTTTTTGCAAAATTAATGGACACACAATGACTAATCCCGAGCTCCGTCGACAAGTCATCAACATCTACAAAGGTGAGTTCTACCAGTTCTTCGATCAAGCTCGAGCGACTGATCCCCCATGGGATGACCGGCCGGTCGGTACTGCTGTTCGATACCTAACGTCGCGTGCACCACAGAGCTGCTCAATATCGGTCGGGAATATCCACTAGGATACGATTACTTCAGGACAAGATTGCACAAAGCGTTCTCCAGTCAGGCGCACCTGGACGACGATGAACAGATACGAAAGGGTATAGCTAGGGCGGAGTTTGTCAAAAAGGGTATCGAATCCCTTTTCCCCCTCCTTCAGACCATTGTATTGAATTGAGACTTATTGGGCAATTCCTTATCGATGCAGAGATTGAAGCAATGTAAGCATGCGAAGTGTTCCCCCACCTCTCTCCCTCTGGACAACCCGCGACGCGAATGGTCTCAGCGACGGACGAAGCAAAAGAAATGGTCTTATATAAAGATCTTATTACAATAAATGCTCGACGACCGTATCCATCATTTATGTCAATTCATCATGTCATATCGGCATGCATACACATGATCTTGAAGATGGTGCTGACGAGAAAACCAGGTACTACCTAAAGCGGTACCGCACGCTGAAACAGCGATATGAAAATAATTAAATACAGAGGTGGTGTCAGACGCCTGGGGTGAAAATAGTTGGAACATATACAGTATGAAGACAGAAAATAGAGTCGGGGGTATCACCAATTAGGGCCGTGAGTAATAGTCGATAAAACTTTTTCATTTTTCTTTGGCATCCAGAACACCAAGTCCTCTTTATCACGTTGCCAAATTTGTCGTCGGGAGAGGTTTACTTCTTCCGACCCCACCATGCGCTCACCTCCAGACACTCTCCGCTGGCGAGACCGCCTTTCTGAAATAGATCATTGATCATGGCAGTCCACCATCTGTCCCACTCATCTTGGCTCTTTCCGCTGGCCTCCATGAGCATTGGCTCCATGCCCTCGATCATTTGGACTACCGTCAGAAGCGCGGTGCGCCGGATAGACATCTGCTCCGCAGTCAACTGCTTGCGCGGGCGGCCCCCCTCACGTTCCCAGCGCAATTCGCCCAGCGGGATGGCGATCCGGCGACTGTCTACTTTTTCAAGTACATCTACCTCGGAGTTGAATGAGAGACCGATTGTGGCGCACGGTATCGCAGTGAGCTTTCGACAGTCAAAGGCCTTCTCGACCCACGAGTTATAATCCAGCAGGAACTTGTTCTGCACGCCGGTGAAGGGCGTAGCCGGCGAAAATGTATATGTGGCGGTTGCATCGGCGATTTCCTGCTCTCGGGAAGCCAATTTGCGAGCAGGAGCGGGATTGGGGAGCAGTGATCGGAATACCCAGTCGGAATCCCACACCTCCAGGATGCCGCCCGATTTGAGGACACGCAAAGGTTCACTCAACCCTGACGCTTGCTGCGCAGGGCTGGAAGGGCACATTCCCGCGTCTTTGATGAAAACAAAATCGAAGTAATCGTCCGGATAAGGCAGTCGAGGCTTGCGTAGGTCATGTCGCTTGAACTGCCAGTTCACACCTTTCTTGCGCAAGTCGGGCGCCACGGAGACGAGGTCAATGCCGTGAAAGGAGACGTTGCGATGGCCGCGCCGGGCGAAATGCTCGTGACACATGCTGGACCATAGACCGGATCCACAGGCGATCTCCAGAACCCTCTTGGGAGGTTGTTCGTTCAGGGACGGTGTACAGAAGGGGCCTCCGAAGACGCGGATGAGCATCAGAGACCGCAAAGTCTGGCGATGAATCTCCGAAAGGTCGCATGGCAACGGATATAGATTTTCTGGGTCTCTGAGATAGGTGCGATCACCTTGCCGAACTAGAGGGTAGGAGGAATATTCGTTGGCGGAGGAGGAGAGGGAGGAAGAGGAGGTGCCTGCCCATGTAGGGCCGGCTGAACTGAGGGTGGAATTGAGGTCGGATCCGGAGGCCACCGGTGTAAAGGTAGCTGGCATGATCTCCATTTTTTTTTTCTCTTTTTCTCTCTTCTGACAATCGGGGGAGCTCTATTTTCAGGTCGAGATGCTCTGACAAATTCGAGTGACGAACAGGTTGATTGGCATTCCTACCTCCACTTGTAGGGGGTAACAAGCAGTTTAATCGTGCATTTCGTAACGAAAGGGTGGGAGAGCACGTCGAAGAGTAGTTGAAACAACCAGAGTCCGACCAGCGGCAACGGATGATCAAAAAAGGAGGGGTCACAGGCAAGAGAAAGTTCACTACCAAGGAATAGCTCCTACTGCTTTAGATCGGGTAGATCTGGGCACTGAACTCTGGAAGGGGAAAAATTGACCCATGGAAGACAACGAAAACTGAAGTAAGTGAGGGGGAGAGAGGGAGAGAAGAGGAGGGGGAGAGCCAAACGAGCAAAGACCATGGCCAGCAAAATTGCACCCCCAAGTCTGGTGTTTCTGCGACCCTAAAAAGCGACCTGGAAAAAAAAAATAAGAAAAACTCCACTCTAGATGACTCCGTAGTGCCGTGGTCTATCGAGTCTGACTACTTACTCCGTAGTTCTTCTGTGACTGTCTGGGAAGTTTTTTAGAGTCTTCTAGGTCAGAGAAAGTACTAAAGTAGCACTAAGGTGCCGCTTAAATTACTCTTCCGTACCGCCTGACGGGACCACCGGGCAGGTTCCTAAGGGTATCGCCATTCACCATGATTTCCAGACATCGTCAATGGCCGATGCAGAACCAATGATCAATGAGAATCTCGGAATAATATTGATGGGTTTGTCGCGATTGCCGTATAATAGGAGTCTACCTACGGAGTAGGTACCTAATCACTGTCAGTAGGTACCCCTGAGATCTGACTTGTCTGTCGAGTTAGTACTCCGAGTCTCCGACTAGTGTCTAGTACTTGCGTGCTAGAAATATCATTGTCATCATTTTCAGTGCATTTTAGCCTCCTCGCCTTAAATTGGGGGGAATGGATGATGCTCTGTGGTGGCGGAATTCATTGAACTGGGCTACGGTACGGATTTCCATCCCCGCCAGCCCCTATTATTTAGTCAGCTTGGACTGGGTCTCAGTTACTGTACATGGATGACCCCAAGAGTCCCAAGCAGATAGAAGATATGCAGAAGTATCATTTCTATTGGAAAAGTAGCTAACATACGGACTATCTACGGAGTACCCAAGTACCTAATTGCTCACAGCTGAATTATGCAGGAGGTTAAAGCATATAGACTAAGGTAGGGTAGTATGTACTATAGACACTCGACAGGTGGACTGTGGTATCAAATGCTGCTGCAGTCTGCAGACGCATTGATCATGTTACACAATATGAAACAAAATGGCAATAGTTGATGCTGATAGTACGGGAATAGTTCCCTGTCAGGCTGTCTATCCGTAGTACTTACTCCGTAGTACTTACCTCCATAGGTTGTGTAGTCAGCGGTGATCCCGTGATGAATCATCGATCATCGAGTTTCCCTTCTTGACTGGAGTCTGGACGGGGGGAGACAAAAGGTCCCATGGAGTCCATTTCCACCTGCCAATCTTCTATCGAACTAACTACAGAGTAGGTAGACTAACTACAGAGTAGGTAGACTAACTACAGAGACTCAGAGAGCCAGGGTACCAAATAACTTTTCCAATCTAACCCATGACGGGGAATTGTAGGCTTGTAGCTTTGCAGCTGCAAGATTTACGGAGTACAAGGAGTCTAAGTGGCCAAGGGCAGCCTGCAGATGGGACGGGCGCCCAAACCAACCACAACTTCACAAGGCCCTCTGGTCTGTGTTCCCGAGGAAGCTAACGTAGGTACGGTCTAGTAGTTTTAGCCTAGACTCCTGTCCCCTGCTCCGTATGTAGCTTACTGCATCAGGAATCTGCCCGTACTCCGCCAGGTATCTCCAAGTACCACCGCTGTTCTGGGTTCTGTCTGGGTTCTGGGTCTCTGGGAGAAGGAGGAGATATGTACATAGTCCTGAACCCTATTTGAACTCGTTGGCTGTCACTTCTGCCATATGATTGAGTCTACTTATCCACTGATATGACCAGTTGGGCGTGAGATCTGACCTCTCCATCCGATGTGTCCAAGTCCATTTCTATCGAGGAGAACGGATTCAACGGGATTTCGGGATCATGCAGGTGTGGAAGGCCCGGGTGGCGGTCCGTTACAATATGTACACGTGCCTGTCCTGCACAGGTCACATTGTGTACTGAGAGCGAGTCCTTGGGAGTTAATACAGCAGTAATAATAAGTCGATGTTCCAGGGAGAGGAAGACAACTCCGGGGTAGTTAGGTACATTATACATGATTATAAGAATAATCATAATATTAATCATAATACTGTAACTGAACTGGTCGAATGATTGTCCTTGTTATGACCATTATTAATTCTTGCTCAGCATTCTAACAGTGACAAATGCTTCTTGGTCTTGGACTTCTCGTTGGTGACTTGGCGGTCATGATTGATATGACCATGGAGTTAATACTTGGTAGTGATAATCATAATAGTCTCGGCTACCCTTGAACAAAATAGACTATCAATAATCTGTCATCTTTGACAAAGTACTCCGTCCCTACGAACTGCAGAGGAAACCAGCGAGGATAGGTGCTCCAATCAATGTGATTGATGACTGAACACTCGAAGTACCTATATTTATTACCTACCCATCATCTCAGCACCAAAAGATAGAAACATAAGTACGGGGTAACTAGATAACTTGAAGGCATAATCCCGCATATCTGTACGAACTACGAAGTATATGTACAATCTGCCACGGTCAAGTGATGCATCCAACACAACAACATAGCCATCAGCTAACTACGATCTGGATAGTTAAGGGTTCAATGTATGGTGTCTCAATTTATCATTACGAGCGTACCAATGGCCTTCAGTCTCAGCGATTTAGACCTTGCCAGTCACGCCACTTTGAAGCTAAAAAGAGCTCCGTGCTTACTTCGGGCTGAGGCTGGACGATCCGGTCTCCTGGGTCTCCTAGGAAAGATCATCAACGACAATAGTTAGACTTACAGAGTAGAGCATGACCACGGTGTTTAATCGGCTGCGCTGAAGTTAAATGGTGCACATTGTAAGATTGTGTAGGATCCTGCGCAAGTCCCCGTTGCAACCTCGCCGTCATTTCTCAGGCAAGCGAATCTGTGGGTTAAATCGAGTAGATTATCAGTCCCCAAAGGATAGATGAGGATAGCACGGTGCCATTGTGCGACATGAGGGGACGTGATCGAGGAGATGTCCGAAAGAGAAGTGAATTGATGGGGCACATGCGAGATCCTCAGGCTCAAATGCTGCCCGCCTTCTGCGCTATAACTTGGTTGGACACTAGACAGCGTCCTAAGCTCGGGGCACTTGTAGTCGGGTTAATTTGTTATCATGATTCAAGATATTCAGGCCCCGACGCTTTGAATTCTGACAGCTGCTGCCAAATGCCTAGACAGATTATTTTGAAGCCAAGTTTCGAGGGAAAGCTGGAGATCTGGTGGTTGTTGAGCTGGTCTTGGCCCTGTCATAGCTGGCAAATCATGTCCTCGAGTGCAAAGTCACGTGACTGGACAACTCCCGCCTTCGATGCAAACCACTTCGCAAGCATCAAGGCGACAAGACTGCCATCTTGACCAGACCCTTGGTGCTTGTGCTTCATCATTCGACAAGGTTACTCGTGCGCATTGCCCAATTTATTAGGCCCACCAGCGATCTGACGCTCTGATAGCCATCCGGTACAGGCCTCTTACCCCAGATCTTTCTCCCCTCTGTGCCAGTGACTCGTTCGGCGTCCGCTCTCCCGCCCCTAACGTTTGACCAGCACACCCTCGATCGGCAAAATTAGCTAGCAAACGAGCTCGATAGGATAGACTGTCTGCGGTGAATCCTGCTGCAGTGGTGATTAAGTGACATTTTGGGGGTGGTTCCACGTCAGAACCCCATGTTGAAGAGAAGGAGAGAACGTACCATTATCCGATTCTTGACTCCTCCTTTCTCTCCCTCCGCTGCGCTTCGCCCTGCCTTGTCGGCTCGAACTGTTTCCAAGACTCCCTTTCAAGCAATCCGCTCTCGGTCTCATCTGCCACGTTAAATGGCAGATGGTACCTACAGGTTCCAGCAGCCTGGGGCCGGGCAGTTCTTCTTCCAAACACAACCACAGCAGCATTCTCACCAGCGACACATTGCTCGGAACGGGACGAATTCACCTACTGGAAGACTGAAGTTCAACCACGATACTCCCTCCCCCTCCCGATCCCCTCCCCTCAGTCAAGCCGCGGCCCTCAACCCATTCAGCATGTATAGTCAAACTCATCAAGGGCAACATGTCATGATGAATGGTGGCCAAGCGCACCAGCGGTTTGGCATGCAGATTCCCAAATTCCAGTCGCAGAACCATCATCCGCACCATACCCAACAACCTCATCATCACACGCATCACAACCAGGCTTCACACAACATTAACCATCAACACCAATTCTCGAGCGGGGCATTGGCCTCCGCGACCCCCCACTTTACCCCGAGCCACATGCAGAATGGGGCTCACACGAACGTTGACGAGGATATTGATGACTCCATGAATGAGCATTGGCAGCAGCAGCTCCAGCTGGCTGCCGAGTCACGGCAGGCTAATTCTCCACACTATCACGCCCGATCCGTCGCACAGCAAGCCAAAGGAATTCAGATCGCGCCTAGCCAACCAGACACACAAGAACAAGGCTCTGATGGACAGAATGGAGTAGGAAAAACAAAGGCGGTCTCCCGGCAAGGCTGGCATGCCTTGGATTTCGGTGGACAGGGACTCCGCGCGCTCTCGACGTCTCTGTTTAATTATGTTTTCCTAGAGAAACTGTACCTGAACCACAACAAGTTGAAATCTCTCCCTCCGACAATTGGACACCTTCGGAAATTGAGCCACCTGGATCTGTCCGGGAACGACCTCACCGAACTCCCAGACGAGATCGGCATGCTCACAAACCTAAGGAAGCTATATCTTTTCGACAACAACATTCGTACTCTCCCTTATGAAATGGGCTATCTTTATCGACTGGATACACTCGGTATTGAAGGCAACCCGTTGAACGATGTCCTGAAGTCTCACATCATGAAAGAGGGTACCAAGGCCCTAATCAAATATCTTAAGGAGGAAATGCCAGGTGAGTGTCCGAAGCCGACATGTGCCCTATTGAGCGTACTGACATTTCCACAGTTCACCTTCCGCCTCCAGATCGGGATTGGGTTGTTCTCGATGAAACTGCAAGCGCCTCTACTGAGAAAATCACCGTGCTATCCTACAACACCCTCTGCGATTCCTCAGCGACACAGTCTCACTATGGCTACGCTCCAGCTCGGGTCCTGTCATGGGAATTCAGAAGAGAGCTTATCCTCAGTGAGCTACGGTCTCATGGCTCGGATATCGTCTGTCTCCAGGAAATCGATCAAGGAAGCTATAATGAATATTTCCGGGAACAGTTGGCTTACAACGATTACAAGGGTGTTTATTGGCCTCGAGGAAGGGCTATGGGAATGCAGGAGGAGGATGCTAAAGGCGTGGATGGATGTGCTACGTTCTTCAAGGGCAGCAAGTTCATCCTCCTGGACAAGCAGTTGATCAACTTTGGCCAGACAGCCGTACGGCGACCGGATGCAAAGGGCCAGGATGACATCTACAACCGACTTTGGCAGAAAGATCATATTGCGGTTGTCGTCTTCCTCGAGAATAGGCAAACTGGCTCGCGTTTCATCGTTGTCAATGCCCATCTCTACTGGGATCCGGCGTTCAAGGACGTGAAATTGATCCAGACAGCTATCCTGATGGAAGAAATCACGAAGCTTTCAGAGACTTACGCTAAATGGCCTGCTTGCACCGACAAGGCCGCCTTCCGATTCTCAAAGGAAGAGGGCCAGACGGAAGCGCCACCCCCCGAGGAGCCGGCGCCGTCTGTGCAGTATTCCAGTGGCGACCAGATCCCACTCCTTATGTGCGGAGATTTGAATTCCTCACCAGGCTCGGCAGCATACAACCTCATCGCTCATGGACGGCTTGACGAGGAGCACCCGGATCTGGAGAAGCGACTCTATGGCAATCTCAGCAAGGTGGGTATGACCCATCCTTTCAAGCTGAAGTCCGCATACGGTTCTATTGGCGAACTGCCGTTCACCAACTACACGCCAGATTTCAAGGACATCCTTGACTACATCTGGTATTCTTCAAATTCACTTCACGTTTCGGCGTTACTCGGAGAGGTAGACAAGGATTACTTGCAGAAGGTGCCCGGGTTCCCGAACTATCATTTTCCAAGTGATCATATCGCATTGTTCGCGGAGTTTACAGTTAAAGGGAAAAAGGGTAAGGTTGTGGAGGCGGACTTTGGGCCGCAACGGAATTGAGGGAACGGAGCATGTTGAAGGTCATGAGACTGGTGTTTGTGTAGCCGGTTTTTGCTTGTTATTTCGGAATCTTTGGGGGCCTCTCGTGTGTCTCTGGTGTTCTTATTTTGCTTCTGTTGTGCTTTTTCTCTTCTTTCATTCTTGTGATTACATTCCTTGCTTTTGCTGTCATCGGAGGGCAACTTTGCTCAAGTGAACTCGCCTATCATGTTCTTGGAAAGTAGTCAATTGCGCCGTTCGCCTTTTCTCCTTCCTCCTCCCGCCTGTCTTGTCCTCCCTCTTGGGTCTATTCTTGTCGACTCGGTACACCCCGTGCCACTTTTGTGACTTGGGACCTGGCCTGAATCTGGGAGAAGATTGCCTTGTTTGCTTATCCTTCTCTTCACTGGGCGCAATGGGGTTCATCGTTGCTGTTGTATGTCTTGTTTGTGGTCTCGTTACTTTCCGAAGAATCAAAGCCGCGCTCTTCTTGGATGAAGAGAGACCGGCCGTTCTGCCTTTCTTATAAGCTTATCGATGTGTCGGGTCGTAGCTACATGTCAAGCCTCACTGTCGACTAGAGTTGCCCGATCCTACAGGTCCGAATCAATGTCGACCGGCGTATTACCCGTTTTGTGTGGTGAGATATATTGTACAATGCAGTCTATACCTATATTACAAAGGGTGGAGGGGGAGATATCCCAGAATACCTGTTCGCTGACTCAAGGGATCAGCATCACTGCATCGGCGCATCCTCAATCCGCCTCCAAACACCAATAAAGCCTCCACCCACGATCCTCGTGCCAACCTTGGGCCTGCAGACAAGCACGCTGTCTTCCTCCTTGGAACCCTCCTCCGGAGCAGGAGCGGCGGGGGCGCTCTCCACGTCCGTTTCAGAGACGACGTCCCGATCCGCGTCCACCGAGTCCGCAGACTCGGTCCACGAGGACGGATCGGCACGCGACTTCTTCACAGCGAGTCGCACATCCCACAGTCGGCCGCTGCTGATGCCGGAGCCGAGCTCCACGACCTTCTCGAGGATGAACGGCAGGCTCTCGCGGCGGATGAGCTCCACGCAGTCGCCGACCTGGGTCACGCTTGGCATGAAGACGGTGAGGAGGCCGTCGCGTTTCAGGATGGGAGCGACGTGGGGGATGCGTAGGTGTGCGGAGGGCATGTCGAGGATGGCGTAGGAGAGGAAAGGGTCGACCTTTCCGCTGCCGGAGAAGAGCGAGGTCGGGGCTGCGCGCTGCTTCTTCTGCTCGGTGATCCAGTTCTCGACGTGGCCGACGTAGAAGTCGACGTTTCCGGCATAGATGCCGCGGCGGAACCCGCGGACGATCTTCTCGGCGTGGGCGGAGAATTTGGGCGATACGTCGACGGTGTGGATGACGGCGCGGCGTTGGGCGCGCCAGGCGTCCCATTGTTGCTGGGCTTGTGTTTCGGCTGAGATGGGTTCTGCTGGTTGTTCATCCGTGCTGGTGGGCTTGGATCCGGTCTTGTCCGCGTCCGTCCCGGGCCGTATCGGTCGACCCTGGAGGTATTGGATCTGCGATGACTGCGGTAGGGGAGGTGGGGTGGAGTTGGCGGCTTGGATTGCGCGCGCGAGGTGGAGAGTCAGGGAGCCATGGCCGGTTCCCGACTCGAGGATTTCCAGCGGTTGTCCTTCCTGCGTTCCTTCTGCGGGAGGCGTGACATGGATATCGAGGAGGGAGACGATCAGGTTGGCATCTGCGGAGTAGATCTACTAGGTCATTCGTGAGCGGAAGGTCAAATTCAGAGGGCAATTGATCCCATACTGGTGTGACTAGACGTGGTGTCATGGACACATACTCGTCGAGGGTCGGAAGGCTGAGGCGGTAGTCAGGGCCTACACGCATTCATTGAATTAGCCACAGTATCCCAGATGCGCAGAGTCAGAGTCAGAAGGCAAAATCACCTTTATGCGCCTTGACTTGATCCCGCACTCTCTGACCAATGATGCTGTTATGCTCCAGTGTCCCCCGTCGCACATCGGTCTTCTGCCCTCGGCGCAGAGGCTTTGTCAACGAAGGAGTTTTGCCATGAACGATGACTCTGTCGCCCTCTATGAAGCCATGTATCAGCATAAATGAGCCTGCGAGAGTCCAAGGGCTCCGTTGGCTGTACCTTGAAAGAAAGAAAAGTTCGTGTCGATCGACCTTGCAAACGTAGGGACGGGCTTGGATGGAATCAACCCCAAGGCGCGACGCAGGGATTGTAAAAAGCGAGCCATTCAGACAGACTCAATTGCTTGCAGAAGACCAAGTCTGCTATAGCAATCAGTAAGTAGAAAATAAAAAAAACAAAAAAATGCCGACTTTGGTGGAATTGTGTAGAGAACGATCTAGTCCAGTCCAGGGTATCTCCATCGAAATCTCAAAACTTCTGATCACTATCGGACTAGTCACTAATCTCCGTCGCTATCATATATCATATCAACAACAGCGTGGGGATTTCCAGTTCCCCCAAGTTCCCGGTGCTTTCGGGTCCCTCCACATTAATTGGCTCAAACGTCCATTGAAGTCTGAACGTCCTCCAGAGTCCAATGATCGTCCTGAAAATGACCAAATTGATCCCAAACTGCACTAATGACAACTGGCCAAGCAAGATTGACTACGGAGTAAGTCTAATCACCCTATGTGAAGACGCGGGGCACTGGGACCTAAACGGTTGAGCACACCGGCGGGATGAATCATATGAGAACTGGCAGAATATAAAGCCAAAGTCCTCTCTGGATCTCTCTTCTTCCAAACCTCGATCCGTTGAGCAATTCTCTACTCGGACCATCTCCGGTTTGCGCTCACTTACCCGGCCGACTTTGCGATATCTCGCTGGATTTCCTCGAAGTGGGTCTAGCGATAGCATCATATCCGTCGTTCTTAAGCCGCAACCGTTCTTGATTCTGACTCCTTTCCGGACTCTCAGCATCTTTGTTGATACTTGATACACATCGCCATCATGGGCTCTACCGATCTTCCGTATATCCGGACGAACCCCAAAATCATCTTCTTTACCGATTTTGATGGGACTATCACACTGGCAGATAGTAAGCATTGCGGGGCCCCGCTGTTGGGGGAGGGGGACGGCCATGAACTATATGACTCGGAAACTAACTATCTGTGCTTCATTCTAGGCAATGATTTTTTGGTATCACCTTGCCCTACCGAGAGACATTGTTGGGATTCATTCACAGGCTGACACGTTTCAAGACCGACAATCTCGGATATGGACGAGAGAGGCGCCGTCAACTCAACATGGACGTGCTCGAGGGTAAAGCGAGCTTCCGGTATGTGCCGTTTGTGTGGCAGTCAGTATTGATGGGTCAGCACTCATATTCTTCGGTGATCGTATAGTGATGCCTTCCGCGACATGCTGGACAGCGTCAAGACCCCCTTCAATGAATGCATCAAGACACTACAAGAGAACATGAAGCTGGATCCTCACTTTGTCGAGTTCTACTACTGGGCCAAGGAGAACAACGTGCCTATTGTTGTCTTGTCCTCGGGGATGAAGCCAATCATCAGCGCCTTGTTCGAGACGTTACTGGGACACAAGACAGATGATCATCTCTATATCGTTTCCAACGACGTCGAAAGCCGCGACGGCAAGGACATCAACACCGAGGGCGGCTGGCAGATCAAATACCACGACGAGAGGTGAGACTACCCGTAGATCCCCGGTTACGCTTTCAGAGATCTAATGGTTATCTCTCAAGCCATTTTGGCCACGATAAATCCCTGGAGATCAAGCCATATGCCGCACTGCCCGATGAAGAGCGGCCGACCTTGCTCTATGCTGGAGATGGTGTCTCCGATCTGTCTGCCGCAGCAGAGACTGATCTTCTCTTCGCCCGGAAGGGACATGGTAAGCCAGGAAGAGTGTGGATATTCCTTGCTCGTGTGCTGATTATATTTAGATCTGGTGACCTTCTGCGAGCGTCAAGGAATGCCCTTCACAATCTTCGAGAGCTGGGAGTCGATCCTGGCCACCACAAAAGACATCCTGAGCGGGAAGGTCTCCGTTAAGAAGGTGGCTGAAGAGGGACTCGAGAAGGTACGGAAGGAGGGCAACTAAGACAGCTATAAGTGATCATTCTGTTGCTATTCTGGGTGGCAGTGCTGCCATATCGACATGTGGGATGTTGGATCCAAGCTGGATCGAGGATATGATAGATACGAAGACGGATGGATATATACTTGGATTTCTTAGTACGGATAGATGACTACGATAGAAGAAAAGATTCCATGATTGTGACCATCATCCAAGGGAAATAATTTCCCCCTATTCAACGATATATCCATCTACCTTAGACTCGTTGTCTTAGAGAACAAGGCTCCTCTATGCTCGTCCCAAAACAGTTAGCCGGCCGCGGATCAGGGACTTGGCCCACATGTGACCGCCTGCCAGTCTGGACTTTCATGGTGCTACAAATACGGGGGGCCCGTCGGATAATCAGCATCTTTCGAACCCCAGAAAATGGACTGGCGTTAATTTGAAAAGCCTAGTCCGCGGTGTGGCCAGATATTATTTCAGAGTCTGGTGCCCCCAAAAATCATGCTCGAGGGCTTTGGTGTGTACAATCTGCTCAAAAGTTACCAGGGGCCCCTATCATTAACATGACACGCCGACTTGTATGGATCACCCCCTTCCTCGAGACATTGATTCTGGCTACTGATGTTCTTGGATTGCGGTTAGGTTCGGACGGGCGTGCAGCTCGCGATTGTCGCTCTGATTACGTTACTCTTTGTGGTCGTTCTCGATAACAAGTTTCGTGTACTACCCGCCTCCATCCATGGCCACCTCCCAACTCATTATGCCGGCTCTGTTGTTACCGATGTCACCGTTGTGACGTGCTCTTCCCTCAGCCTCTTTTCGAGTTGCAAGGTCGATCCGAATGCATGGTTCCGCGTGGAAAAGGATCTCTATCTGCGCACAGGCTGGACGTCCAGCGCATACGTCCAGTTCCAACGCAAGAAGGAGGAGGAGTTGCTTGCGTCAGATAAGGTCGTGATCGATCTGAAAATAGGCCGACGTACGCCGGAATCGTCGAATGATCCGCACGCTGAACAGAACGACTGGGAACAGCGGCCGGGCGGAATCTGGCTGAAGCGAACGGCCAAACGTCATGCGAGCGATTCGCAAAAAGCAATCACCTCGGTTGATGTGCTATTTGGCGCCGACGCGGTTGACCCGCGTGTCGGCTGGGAAGTGAAAGATACTCCGCTGCTGCTGGATAGTCGGACGGAGGAAGTGGAAGCCCGGATTACCATTCGGAGGGGAGACCCGCCGAAAACCAAGAAGCCGGTGCCTCGGATCAATGAGAATGGAAAATTCAAGATCATGCAGATGGCAGACCTTCATTTGAGCACTGGAGTGGGAGAATGCCGGGAAGCGGTCCCAGCAGAGCCTGTGCCTGGTCAGAAGTGCGAAGCGGATCCGCGGACCTTGGAGTTTGTGGAAAGGCTACTGGACGAGGAGCGGCCGGATTTTGTTGTGTTGAGCGGCGACCAGGTGAACGGCGAAACCGCAAAGGATGCCCAAAGCGCGCTCTTCAAGTCCGTCAAATTGCTTGTGGATCGCAAAATCCCCTACGCAGCCATCTTCGGCAATCATGACGACGAAGGCAATCTCAACCGACAAGAGCTTATGGGTATTCTTGAAGACCTACCTTATTCTTTGTCAATCGCCGGTCCTGAAGATGTGGACGGGGTAGGGAATTACATTGTGGAGGTCCTCGGCCGGGGAACGACGGCGCACTCGGCGTTGACTCTATATATGCTCGACTCGCATTCCTATTCTCCTGATGAACGCCAGTTCCGGGGCTACGATTGGATCAAGCCCAGCCAGATCCGGTGGTTCAAGAACACTGCCCAGAGCCTGAAAGCCAAACACCACGAATACAGTCACATGCACATGAACATGGCGTTCATCCATATTCCTCTCCCCGAATACCGCGACACGGCGAATTATTATCGAGGCAGCTGGGCGGAAGCCCCGACTGCTCCAGGTTTCAACTCTGGTTTCAAAGACGCACTCGAGGAGGAGGGTATCCTGTTTGTCAGTTGCGGACAGTAAGTAATCTCTCGACTAGTGATAGCGGACCAAATGAATTTGCTGACATATCTCTAGTGACCACGTCAATGACTACTGCATGCTTAACAAAGACAAAAATGAGAAGCCGTCTCTCTGGATGTGCTATGGAGGCGGTGCCGGCTTTGGAGGCTATGGAGGTTACGGAGGCTACGTTCGGCGCATCCGGTTCTTCGATTTTGACATGAACCCCGGACGAGTTGTCACGTACAAGCGACTTGAATACGGCGAGGTCGAGGCCAAGATTGACGAGATGATGATCATCGACGGTGGCACTGTAAAGGGCCCGGACGGAAGTCAATGAGCATGCTTATAGCGACATACAGCGCCGTCCCTTATCGTCGTCTTTCTAGTTGTTTTCGGGCCAAAAGCGGTTTACTTCTTGTTTCTTTATACCTTGCTACTTTCACCTTGATCACCCTCGTTTCCCGGTCTGTGTTGTTTAACTAGCGATCTCTTTCGGACACTTCATCATACATTCTCCTTCAACTGTATATATTAAGTGTGCAAGGCTGATGAGCGTGAGCCGAGATGGCCGGCCAGTTGAATAAGAGGCATGGATTATTCATCCTTTTAACATACGTCTCAACTTTTCTTTTTATTTTTAAGTATCTGGGAGCATACAGTATATTTCCTCGGTGATCGTCATGGATTCCATGGCTTTTGCTGAAATGAAAATACCATGCTCAAGCTCAAAACCTCAAACTCCAACAGAAGGTAACTTGACTACAATACGAAATCCCTTTCAAAAATCAATCGACTACCACCACTTTTCAAAGAATATGCGCTCCTGCCCATCACCCAGCAACCCCTGAAGCGTACTCACAACCTCATCCGTCATTTTCGGCGGCCCACACATATAGCACACCGACTCCTCCGGCCGGATGATGCCCTCACTCCCCTGAAGAGCCCGCCGCAGATCAGCAGGCTGGAGTCTGCGCGCCTGGATGTTCAAGTCCGGTACGGGCTCCGAGAGCCGCGGGACAGACTCCTCGTGGAGATTCGTGAGGAAGAGGTTCAGCGCGATGCGCAGACGGCCGGAGTGTGCCTGCGCTTGCGCGATCTCGCGCAGCCGCGAGAGGAAGAGGATCTGGTCGATTGTTGCCTCGGGGGTCTTTTCGGGGATGGAGGGGGTTGCGGGGATGGGGAGCTTGGTGGAGTAGAAGAAGTGGATGTCTGGGTGGTGGTGCAGGGCGGCGGTGCCGTCGTTGTTACAGTTTAGGTGGGAAAGCATGGATATGAGGGGGCTGTGTGGTGGGTTAGTTTAGGGGCCGTATTTTGTAGGCTGGTGTTAAGAGATATGCCTGTGAGGGTACGTACTTTATGCCGACTCCGCCGGCGATGAAGATGATCTTCTTGATCTTGTCGAGGGGGATTCCTGATGGAGGCCAGACGAAGCTGCCTCCGACGCGGATACTCAGCTCCTTGCCCATGATCTCGTCCTTGGGTTTCCAGAACCACGCACTGGCTGGGTTGTCGGGTGCAGTTTGGACGGCTAGTTCCACGTAGGGCGCCCTTCCTCGCGGATCTATAGGAGGCAAACCCGTTTCCTCGTCCGTAAGGGATTCCAAGGGAGGGCCTGGCGAGGGAAGCACCTGCGCATCAGCTGGGGTGGAGGTGATACTAAACCCTCCGGCATTGGCAATGCCAGGTATATGCACATCTAGCCATTGGCCAGGGAGGAAGGTGAGTGGTTGTGGTTGATCGGTCTTATGTGCTAGTTAGCTTGAGACAACGAACGACATCAACAGGTGGTAGATATATAGATATAGATATAGATATATATATATCTGACGCTACGACATACTTCTCCATCTGATACTTCAGCTTGCTCATCCAAGCTCTGCACATAAGGAGGGATCGTCAAATGTACCAACCGCACTGATGGGTTGACCTCGTCGACATGCGAAAGCCGTACAGAGTATAGTCTGTTCTGCCTTGGCTCTGCCGCAGTGCGGATCAAATGCGGCACAGAGGCTTTCCGTGAAGTTGGAAAATCCATCTGGCATCGGATCCCATTCGGAGCGGACTGATGATGAGCAGATAGGTATTGCAGCTGCGCGAGCACAGGCACACGGCGAGAGGAAGCGATGCTTGAGAGTGGTGGTGGACGGTGGAGTCGAAGGCACCACAGGAACCGGAGAGTCTGCATCCAGATAGGTCGACCTGGTTGCTTGACGTCAAAGAGGTTTAGTTTTCGGATTGCCTTTTTTTTTTCTTTTGGTTATTCCTTCTCTACTTCAACGTCCTGTAGATAGTCTTTTGATGGACATATCTTCTGTTCTCCGTTGCTGGTGGTAAATCATTGATTGAATTGTTCTACGACCGTCCGAATGACGTCTTGTCTCTGTGTCATACTGAATTCATTATCTCCATCATCGTTCCATCCCAAACTTCATCAATTCATCCCATCCTCATCTATTTTAGTCCAACGTAAATCTGTCTCTCGGTATCTTTCTGGACGTCGAATCTCTTCAACACAAATGTGAATGCTTGTTCTGTGTTAGTCATCGAAGTTTGAGAGGTCGAGCACGCCAATAAAGTGGATAGAGTATCCTGCAAGCACGATCACAACCACTCAAGTGATCCTCTCCACATCGGCGCTTCGCCTTCTGACAGGACCACTATTCTCTCATTCAGGTTGGCTTGCTGGATAGCTCGATTCCTCGATTCCTCGATGCCACCGATGGAACGCATCTCCAGCCTGCAGATAGAACCCCTCGTCACACGGACTAGCGTGTGATGGCCGGCAGCCAAAGGGCGGGTTACTGCAGCCTTATTGGTGTTGGATCCCCGGCTTCGTGCCTGTGCTGGCGCTTTCACACCACCAAGCATTGGCCAGATGCAGCTGGAGGAAACTTTTGCATCGCTCGATGCTCCGGTTCGACTGTCACATCCTTGCTGTGATTGTGCCCCTCTTCTTGGTCCGGCAGCATGAACGAGAAAACGACGGGCCTTCGACCCTGCTGGTCTGGCGGAGCTCCTGGCCATATCTACGCCCGTGTTTCCGGCTGATCTACGATGCTTCTCCCTGAGGGTAGCTTGTTTGATTCTTTTTGCTGCTGTGGTTGATCAAGCCTTTTGGGTCATTCAATGCAAGTGAACTGAATGCCTAGCCAGCCGGACTGGCCGAATCTCGCTTTCAAGATTCGACGCAGAAAACAATTCTGATATAAGAACCTGGCGACTGATATACTTTGAGCATTACGAATTTGGAGGTATACGACCGTCTCAGCCACCATGTATTTCCCACGGAACCACCGCCATCACAAACTGCTCCTGTACTTGATGGCCGTCGAGTTGCCTTTTACTATTGCCATCCTCACATTTACTGGAATCGCCTCTCACAACCTTTACCGGACAAAACTGTGGCAAGATGGCGCAGACAACGGCTTCAACAGCTCTCCGGATGAGCAGCTGTATGCTGCTGCGAACTATCGCCCATACACTGCGCCTATGGTCTGGAGTGGCTTGTATGTCCATCCTGTCTTCTATCCTTTACTTCTCCTCTGCCTTGTAAAGGACCCCTATGCTTTTGTTGAGCACGTTACTGACAGGCCACTGCAGTATCACAGATTACAATCTGGTACTCGGCGTCTTGAGTACATTCTTCCTGATCACCAAGGCTCCTGTACATTTTCTCCGCATCTTCTACCCGCCGTTGTCAGTGATCGTGCACGGCGGTCTCTTTGCAGTCTATATCGTCTCTGCTCGATATCAGAGCGGTAGTGATATGTCAGACCCGAGCCACCCGCAACCGGGTGCGCCGTGGTATCTTGCGAAGAAGTGCTCTGTTGCTGCGCACAAGGAGAATATCAATTACTGCCAGCAGGCCAAAGCCTTGTTTGCGCTTACAATCGTGATCATGTGAGTGATGCGTCTATCCAAGGATCCTCAATTTCCTATCCAGTCCTAGATCTCATCAACTAACCCAGAGGATAGCGTCCTCTACTTTGTGGAATTTGTTCTGAGTATCCACTCATGCATCATGACCCCCGAAGAGCGCGCGGAGCGACTGGAGCGGGCCGAAGAAAAGAGGAGCATGAAGGAGTATGAGGAGGCGATCCTCAAATCCCCCTCGATGATTCCCATGACACCGGCGTATCCGCAAGAGGGCATGCCTGTCATGTCACCCCGTACCCTTGCGTTTAACCGACTCGGAGGAGACAATTCCGCCGACCTCCCGCTTAGAGAATACTTCGGCGCTTCCGACCCGCGCCGCTCGATGCAGCAGGAGTCGGCAGAGGCCCTGACCTCTGCGTCGCAAGCCCAGGCAGGGTACGCAGCTCAACATCAGATGTATTTCCCTCCGCCTCCCAATAAGGCAGCCAGAGCGTGAGAAGCAATGTCATGGCATATCATATCATATTTCCAGCAGTATGTACCATTTGTGTGACCTTTTGTCGAACGAAAAGTTCGCCGGTTCTGTTGATTTCTGCTCTATTCCCCTGTCTGCGTGTGTTTATTTGCTCAATAGCTCCAGTTGTGGAGGCGCAGCTGGGCCATTATTGATTATGGCGTTATCTCTTGGACTCTGTGACACCGTCATCGTGTCTTGGATAATAAGCACATTGAGAATAGTATAGATGGTCGAAATGATCTCATCGAATCCAATGAAGCAAAAGAAACGCAAAATGGGAGACGTATGAATCCGTAAGAACCACCAGACAGCCTGATGCCAATGGACAGAAGGAAAAATGAATCATATATGTATGTAGCGGGGGCCAAGGGGTATGGTGGCGCTCATGGGGCCCGTGAACAAGCCGTATTTGCAAAAACGAAACCTAGAAGGAGCAGAACGCAAGGGTATCTTCTTTTGCTGAACAGAAACAGCAGCGCGAGACTCGGATGGGGAGTAAGTGGGTGTACTCCACAGTAGATGGTTAGTTTGATTCCTGACGTTTCTTCTCTTTCTTGGCCCAGCGTACTATTAGGCAAGGACTGGTTAGTGAACGAGTCGCTTGAAGAGCACGGTCGGGGACAAGACAACTCACATCCACACGCATTACACAGGGTCTTGGGTCCCTCGGGGCCCTTTCTCCATTCAGGGGAATCGGAAGTCCCACAATCAGTGCAGAGATACTCGCCCTTCAACCGCTTCCTTCGATCGGTCTCTTGCACGCTCCGTGCCTGCTCCTCGATCGTGGCGATGTCGATATCGCACTGGATCAGACGAGCCTGGCGAACGCCGGTACTCAGACCCTGTGATCGCTCGCCGTCTCCGTAGAACAGGCCCGTCATGACTTCGATCCCGTCAATGTGCGCCAGCTCCTCCGACTGGCGGATCGTGGTCTCCAGATATGACCTCGGTTCCCCTTCGTCGGTGTTGACCGTGTCGGAGGACTCATTTTCCTCCCCGGAGCCGGTCGCATCGTAGTACGTGAATGGGGGCAGGTTCTGGCGCATGCTCGCCGATCCTGGGTTCCCCTTGGGGTAGGACTGTCGGCCTGCGTTCAGGTCTTCCTCCTCCTCCGCTCTGAGTTGCGCTATCCGTTGGTTGAGCCGAATATTTTCGATCTTGTGCTCGAGGAAGGAGTCGAGCAGCGCCGAGCTCCTAGTAGGATACGGTCGGCACACCAGGAAGACGCCGTGGCAGGTGTCATTCTCGCTCTTCACGTGCGGATGGCCGTACGCTTCGACGATGAAGAAGGAATTATTTGGCCGATAGAAGCGGAAATGGCAATGAAGCGGACGCGCCGTAGCGATGCATTCTTCGAGTTCTCGAGTGAAGACCGACTTGTCGTCGTCGTGGATGAAACGAGTGAGGGCATCGTGTTCGAGCTGCTTGGACTCGTAGCCGGTGATGGACTTGCAGGACGGGGAGGCGTAGAGGACGGTGCCATCAGAGCGGAGGAGGAGGAGCATATCTTTCATCTCGGCGAGGGCGCGCTGCGCCCAACCCTGTTCCGTCGTCGCATCGAGATACGGCTGGGAAGCTGTTCCTGGAGAGGTCCCGTTGCCGTAATTTGCATTATTGCTGTTGCTGTTGGAGAACGACCGTGGGATTCGTTGTATGTCCATGGTATTTGAGGAATCTCTCTCGTGTTCGAGGGCGTATGTCTGGTTCTGTCTCACACTGTCCGACGCCAGAGGGGCAGTTTCCATACCCCGTGGAGTACTCAACTAGCAGATAAAGTAGTTAAATGTGGCAGAAGGGCCGCCGCTCTGTATGATGACGAGGATAAAGCTGAAACGAACGGCTGGAGGATCGATTGCTGGAATGCAGAGAATGGGTTGTCAGTCTGATTTGCCAATGGCCTGAGAATGAAAAGTAGAGTTAGATAGATACTACGGGGTTTGAAAAAAATAAAAAATAAAAAATAAAACTAAAACTAAAAATGATGTACTGGGGAGCCTCGTCTGAGAGCTCACATTTGCTGATAAAAACAAAAATGAATGAACTGCTTGATAGAACAAGACGATTCCAGCGTCTGTAGACAACCAGCTTGTCATCCATCGGAGAGAAAAGAAAACTCCCGGGACTTGCTGACATTGATAAAGATTACAAGTCTCATGTCATCAAACCTTCGCCTTCTACATAATTGATTGTATTGGCATGACTGCTCCACGTTGTCCAGTCCCTTACTTTCTTTTTTGCCTCCCCGGGGTGTTTTTTCTTGGTTGATGGGATTTCAAGCAGCGACCCAGCATTCAGTTGCTTTGGAAAAGGAGATTCAGGTACCTTGCTTCTCGTTCCTTGTTGACTTTTGGATACTTCAGTCGTCGGGTGGTGTTTGTATGAGTGCGTGCCATTCTGTTCTCGATGATAACCATAACACAATGTTGACCATGTCCATAGAAGCGATAAATAGCCTATCATCACCTCTTCATTTTCTATAGCAGATGGCTACGCCTGCCGCCGATTCATATCAGTTTCAGCACGATTCGTTCCCTCGTGAGGACCGGCCATGAGTCTCCACCCGTGGAATGCCTTTTGCGTCTTCTGCAACATCGGCAGTCTACTGTTAAGGAATTCCGCAATACAATACTCTTCATCACCCTTCTAATGTTCTTCGGTACGCGCCGAGATTCTTCAGGCGCAAATCTTCTAGTCAGGTTTAAGTTCCTGGTATGTTGTATCGACAGAGCGGCAGCTTAGAGGCATCTGAGTACACGTAGCTGCCACTCAGCTTCCGTACTTGCAGAAAAAAAAAAAAAAGAGTGGTTATGGCTTGTTCAACCAATTTTTGGATGACATCCAGACTTTGATGTATGTTTCTGATTTTGAGACCCTCCAACTTCAGTGAGAGCGATGTATCACCTGCTATATCAGCACAAACAACACAAGGGGTCGCAGTGGACAATGCTGTCTTTTCTACTTTTCGACGATCGAGGTCTTACAAACGGACACAGGCGTTGACTCGCTTATACTCGCCGTCTAGAAGATTTCCAATAGCCATTCCTGTGCACGAGTGTCTCAGAAAGTTCAGTATTCACACGATGAAATCTCTCTCCGGACGGACGGTTGAGCCAAATGCTGACTTCGAGCAGTTTTTTTTTTTCGTTATCCGAGTGGGGCGATGGATTTGGAATGAAGAACAGCAGCTTCAAGACAGGTACATGGCCTTTAATGTTGCTGAGCACCAAATATCAGCGGCCAACGCAGCGGGTTCAGACCACTGGGTCTCGATAGCGAAGTACTCACTTTTGTAGCCTCAGGTAAATTCTACAACATTGTAAGGTAAGTTGAAAGTAGGATGAATATAAAGTCTTAAATAGACCAATAGAGCAAAAAGGCGAATACTATTTGATTCTATTTGAGTGGCCAGAGACCGTATGTGTCCTTGATAATAGAGTCCCATGCTGCCATTTAAGGCACGTGACTTCGCGCTGCTGGGCCGCGTCTTCCTGACGCGCAGGCAGAAGCGGCGATAACGATCAAGCTCCGATGAGGTTTGAATGATCCGCCAGCGTTGTGGCTACGCTTGCGGTCTGAGACATCCGCAAAATCGCCTATATCAACTTGATAGGCAGCACTGTGAGTGCGATCATTCATCATGTGAGTAGTATTATGCTTGTCGATGTTTGTTTTTGATACTAACGAGCTTGACAGGTGTAGGTAGTGCACAGAGCAGATAGTGATGGTCGGACTGAGAAAAAGCTGACGCCATCTTTGATTATAGCGAAGATTGACAAACTCTCGATTCTTGGGTATAGTTGATCTTGACACAACAGCCTGTGAGAAGCGTGCTGCATATACTGATGACACTTCCACCCACCAGTGTCCGCTCCTTCGACAACACTCGTAGCGAGACGATCCAGTTCCACACACCTCTTACATTGATTGTCGGTTATAACGGCTCAGGAAAGACGGTAGGGACTACTTCGATACCGGAGAATATTCTGTCGATGGCTAATCGAGGCGAATAGACCATCATCGAATGTCTCAAATATGCCACCACCGGCGATCTTCCGCCCAACAGCAAGGGTGGTGCTTTCATCCACGACCCAAAGGTATCCCAGTGACATTGTTCCATTGTATAGAGATAGCTGCTAAGAATCACCGTATAGCTCTGTGGAGAGAAAGAAGTGTTGGCCCAGGTGAAACTGTCGTTCAAAAGCACATCTGGAGCGAAGATGGTAGCGACACGAAGCTTACAACTCACGGTGAAGAAAACGACCAGACAACAGAAGACATTGGAGGGCCAACTTCTGATGATCAAGGATGGCGAGAGAACAGCTATCTCATCTCGCGTGGCAGAGCTCGATCAAATCATGCCTCAGTATCTCGGTGTGTCCAAGGCTGTCCTGGACTCGGTCATTTTCTGCCATCAGGACGAAAGTCTGTGGCCCATGAGTGAACCATCGGTATTGAAGAAGAAGTTCGATGAGATTTTTGAAGCCATGAAATATACAAAAGCCATCGACAACATCAAGGCTCTACGGAAAAAGCAGAATGAAGAGCTTGCTAAATACAAAATTATGGAACAGCATGCGAAGGAAGACAAGGAGAAAGCTGATCGCGCAGAGAAACGATCTATCAAGCTCCAGGATGAGATCGAGGCGCTGCGTGTCGAAACCCATCAGCTCTCCCAGGAGATGCGTCGTGTCGCCGAGCTTGCTGATAAGGCATGGAAGGAATCGGAGAGTTATGCGCAGGTTCTCGGATCCTTGGAAGGAAAGCGCATCGAAGCAAAGAGTCTCCAGTCGACTATTGATAATTTGAAACGACATCTCGTTGAGCTTGATGACCCGGATGAGTGGCTGCAATCAAATCTCGAGCAATTCGAGTCCAGACAGCTCCAATACCAACAACAAGAGGAAGCTCAGAAGGAAAATTATATGGAAATTAAGGATCGAATCGAACAGACCCGTCAGAGGCTGGGTGTTAAACAAGCGGAGTATGGAAAATACGAGAATGACAAAGCCAACTTTGAACGCCAGGTAGAGAGGAGACAGAGAATGACCCGGGAAATCGCTCGCAGCCACAACATCCGAGGGTTTGATAGTATCCAGGACCAGGCCGACATCGATGACTTCATGCGAAAGATCCGGAAGCTGCTGAAGGAGCAAAACCAAGCTCTGGACCGCGTGAAACGAGAGGCGCAGACTGAGCTACGAGAAGTGCAGTCTACCTTGAATGAGATTGGACAGCGAAAGTCTGCATTGCAGGAAAGCAAGAATGCGGCCAAGCGACAAATCGCCTCAAATGACCGGGAAGCCGCCAATTACCAGGGAAAGCTCAACGAAATTGATGTGGATGAAGGTGTCCAGGCTGCACTCGAAGCAAACATTGAGGATATTTCCTCTCGACTGACCGAAGCTAAGGATCGCGCGCGATCTGCTTCGTGGGATAAGGAGATTCAGGACCTGAATTTGGAAATCCAGAACCTCGAGGACGAGAGCTCACGACTCAATGCTGAATTGATCGAAGCCACAAAACGTGCTGGTGATTTCGCCCGGTTGGATCATTTGAAGAGGGAGCTGAAAGAGCGGGAGCGTAGCTTAGAGACCATGAAAGGTGCTCACGGCGAACGTCTTGCAAAGTTCGTCGGCTCCAACTGGAATCCTGCCAGTCTCGAGCAAGACTTTCAGCGTGTCTTGGAAGAGCAATCTAGGGACCTCTCCAAGGCTGAGAGCCAACGTGATGGAGTGAGCAGAGAATTGGAACAGGTTGAATTCAAACTGAAGACTGCCAAGAAGACATTGACTCAGCGGCAAAAGGAGCTCAGCAGTTGTGCCAAAGAGATTCGAGAAGCCATCAATGAAGACCCCGAGGAGTATCCCGAAGTACTGAGGCAACGACAAGCGCAGCTAGATGTTGCCAGGAGGGATGCGGAGCAGACTGCTGGAATCGGTGACTACATGATGCGTTGTCTTGAAACCGCCAGGCAGGCTAAAGTCTGTAGACTGTGCTCAAGGACGTTCAAGGATGATGCAGAATTCACGGTCTTCAGAAAGCGTTTAGAGGGTCTTGTGAAGAAAGCACAATTAAATGTGGAAGAGGAGGGGGTTGAGAGATTTGAATCCGAACTCGATACTGCGCGGGCAGCTAGCACATCCTATGATACATGGACTCGTCTTTCGAAGACAGAGATTCCTGATCTAGAGAAGGAGGAAGATCAATATGTTCTCCAACGCGATGAGCTCCTGGACCAACTCGAGAATCACGACAAGATTGTTGGCGAAAAGGCCGAGAAGAAGAGAGAAGTTGAGGCTCTCTCCAAAACCGTTAACACCATTGCGAGATATGACAGCGAGATCAAGACTATTCGGTCTCAGATCCAGGACCTTTCGGCGAAACAGAAAGACACAGCTGCCGCACGCACCCTTGAGGACATTCAAGAAGAAATCGCTGGTATTGGCGAAAAGTCTAGAACTCTCAAGAAGTCACTGGCGAAGCTCTCCAATGACAGAGAGCAGGCCCGGACAGAGATGAACAATCTGGAGTTGCAACTCCGAGACGCGAGAAGCAAGCTTGACAACACAAAGTTCCAGCTCGAGAGGAAAGCAGACCTACTTTCTCGCATTGAGGAATACAAGAACCTCAATAATCAGCAACGAGAAGCAATTGAAAAGGCTGACAGGGATATCGAGGAATTGACACCGGAACTTCTCAAATACCAAGCTCAGTACGACGATATTACCCAACGGGTTGAGGGCCGAGAGAGAGAGTTGCAACAAGGCATCAATCAACTGTCCGAAAATATCCGCCAGTTGGACGTGGCCACGGAAGAGATTGATTCTTACAATGAACGAGGCGGCCCCAGTCAACTAGAGAGAAGTAGACGGGAGTTGCAAACGATTGAGAATGAAATCAGCCAGCTCGAAGCCGAACAAGGGAACATCACAAAAGAGATCAACAAGATATCTGCGCAGCTCAAGGACAGCGAAAACACAAAACGTCAATACTCTGACAACTTGACATATCGTCAAGCGACCCGAACACTGGCAGAAGTTTCAGCGGAAGTTGAGCAGCTGGCAGCTCAGAATGCCGATGTTGATCGCAGCCGCTTCAAGGACGAATCGGAGCGTCGAACTCGTGAACATAACGCGCTGGCTGCAAAGCAAGCAAGCAAGATGGGAGAGATGAAATCCAAGGATGATCAGTTGATGCAGCTCCTAGCGGATTGGAACACGGACTACAAGGACGCCACGTCGAAGTACAAGGAGGCGCACATCAAGGTGGAAACCACTAAAGCTGCCGTCGATGATCTTGCCCGGTATGGTGGTGCTTTGGACAAAGCCATCATGAAGTATCACTCCCTAAAGATGGAGGAGATCAACGCAATCATCGGCGAACTCTGGCAGAAGACCTACAGGGGCACCGACGTCGACACGATTCTCATCCGCTCCGACAACGAAAACGCCAAGGGCAACCGATCCTACAACTACCGCGTCTGTATGGTCAAGCAGGGCGCCGAGATGGACATGCGCGGACGCTGCAGTGCCGGGCAGAAAGTGCTGGCGAGCATCATCATCCGCCTGGCCCTGGCGGAATGCTTCGGCGTCAACTGCGGCCTGATCGCACTCGACGAGCCGACCACCAACCTCGACCGCGACAACATCCGCTCTCTTGCCGAGTCCCTGCACGACATCATCCGCACGCGGCAGCAGCAGGCCAACTTCCAGCTCATTGTGATCACCCATGACGAAGAATTCCTGCGTCACATGCAGTGCGGAGACTTCAGCGACTACTACTATCGCGTGTCACGCAATGAGAAACAGAAGTCGATTATTGAGAGGCAGTCTATCGCCGAGGTTAGTCTCTTCTCTCCCCCCAAGGTATGCAATTGTACGAAGAATGGGCTGACGGATCCTAGGTCATGTAAATTCCACAGCCCATGCACTCTACTGTTCGAGGCTGCGGTGCCACCCGTATCTCGTGACTGGTCGACCCTATGCTGTTACGACCAAGTCAGAGCCCAGGCACTTGGACGAACCCTCGACTTGCTTTCTTTGTACATTAGTAGCTACATTCTACGGCCTTTTGAGCTACATGTTTGCTTCGCATACCCGCGTTAAGGAAGTCCCAAGGGACCCTCTTCGCAGCAGTCACACTTCAAGCCTATCTGTCACACATAATGATGTCCTTCTACTCTATATGTTTATACGATGAGCGATAAAATGAAGCACCCGGTGCTAATCCAGTTCAAGATCCATTGCATCCTCATCCAGTAACGGTACAAAACGAAAGTCCACAAAAGTCACCGTGCCCCCAGCGCTTCCTGCCGATGACCGTGTGCCGCTAGCTGCGCCAACAGGGCCATTGTTGTCGAACTCGATCATGAACTGGAGGCTTAAGACACCTTGTCTATCGCCCCGGATACTGACTTTATTAGCCACTGCCATCGCACGAGCTGCCTTCTTGATCATGGAGAACCGATAACCCTGAGTTATGCGAGAGCCCATGGACGACGGTGGGCTGACGAGAAAGGTTTCCGTGACGGTAGGCGCGAGTTTGGCTCTCTTGGCCCGCGATCTGGATGTTCCATCATCGGTGAGCACTTTGTGGTGGCTATCGGCCGGTCCGGTGCCATGATTTGGTTGCTCGATTGAGAATTCTACCGTTGATTCGCTGAGGGGACCGCCCGAGCCGGACAGTGCGAAATATGGCTCTCGCGTTGCGGAGGCTGAGAGTTTTAGGACGGTTGGATCCGTGGCGTCGAGCTCTGTGATGGCATTGTGGAGCCAGGCGGAACGCATGATGATCTTCATGACGATGCCGTCTCGCTGGAAGGGGATATCGAGGTCGGTGTCCTCCGGCTCGTAGGTCGTCAAGTCGCAGGTTGTTTTGATACCTGTCTCGGACAACGTGACGCTGAAAGGAGCACCGTCGTGCAAGTATTGTAGCGTGCATGAACGGTCCAGGAGTAGTGCTGGTGCGGTGAAGGCGGATAACGCAGAAGGATTTGGTGGTTGAACGCTGCCTGCTCTGCTGAAGTTGCCGGACGACGCATCATTGATGCCGAAGATCTTCAACGTTTCAAGGAGGGCGGATAGGGAAATAACAAAACAGGGATATGATGCCACGTCCGTAGCATCTTCCCCTACTTCGTCATCGTCAGAATCGTCGATCGTGTTCCGCTGACCTGGAGGCGGGTTGAACGTGTAGCTTGTGAAGAGTGCTTTGTCGAGAAATGCAAACCCCTGTATGACTCTGGTCTCCTCGGCGGAGAACCGAATCCCGTCTGGGGTGATTTGAACAGTGGCTTTTGAAGCGAAGCCAATGCATTGAAGTAAGGTATAGAGCTGATGAGCGTTGCTGGAGACAGCAGAAAAGATGGGCGCAGACTCGGTGGTTGCCATGGCCCTTGCAACGTCGATTGAGATAGCCAAGGGAACGTGATAGCGAGCACCGAGAAGTAGATTATTGGGGTATGGTGAAGATATGTAAAGATGTGTCTCCTTGTTACGTGTCTTCTGTTCTTCAACTCTCCACTTTATAGTACATCGAGATGCGAGTCACTCAAACGTAGACACCAGCGGCGCAGATCATATAAACGGCTCCGAATCTAGGAAGACAAGACATGAGCATGGAAGGATACTATCTATCATAGCACGTCTGAACTCACCCGAATGCCAATGAGGCCGGGACACCGAATGATGCAATGCTCAAGAAAGAGCGATCTATTGGGAAGCACACGTAAGGAAATAGTTCTAGCGGAGCTTGAATCTCAGTACGAGGCATGAGACTTACTCAGACCGAAAAGACCAGTCAAAACCAAAGCTAAGCTGTGGATTAGCCTCCAACGATGTCTATACCGGTTATATCCCTCTTACCACTAAGCAGCAGGCTGAAGCCAACGAAGAACTGTTGATCTTTAGAGATCAGGGGAGAATAAGGGCTTGCGGAAGCTGCCTCCCAAACTTCGTTCAGAGACATTGAGGATGGATTAAAAAAAAAAGATCGAATGTGTCACAGCAAAGGCAGCATGTACAGAGGTGAAGCGCAATTGATGTCTACATTTACTTGGCCACTAGAGAGAGCTCTCTCTAACTATCTCCAATGCGGGAAGAAGCGACGCGTTTCCCAAACGGCTGATCTGGCCCCAATCGCCGGTGGAGCAATGTATCTCCGATCCGCGGTCCCTCTCCCATCTCCGCTCATATCGGGGAGTCCGCAGTTGGCGCCACTTGGTTCCAGGCTGAGGGCAAAAAGGCGGCCTCATCGCAAGCATTTCAAACACATCATGCCGGCACTCACGTCAGAAGGTGAGTCTGCGCGCTGTGTATCTCGTTTTTGGGCGATTTCCAGAGTCGACTGACAGCTATGCCAGGTACCAAGCGGAAAGCTTCGGAAGAGGCGGCTTCCCCGGATTTCCAGAAACAGATCAAGAAAGCGCGCACTGACTCTCCAGACAGAGAGCTAAAGGTTTGCGGTCCCTCGGTTTCAGTTGCTCTTGAATGCTACTTCTGACCCATGATATCTATCTCTTGCAGATTGAGGAGGAACCGCTGGACAAGCCACCACTGAGGATCGTCCCCTTCCCTGAAAAGGTAAGCTTCGCCGGTGGATGCCGATTCGACGGAGTCGCTGATGTTGATACCCCACAATAGCCCGCAGTCTTGGAAGAACGACGAGGTGAAATCGAGTTTCGAGTGGTCAATAATGATGGCGCGCGGGATAGTTTCGTCGTCCTTACCGGATTGAAGTGCATCTTTCAGAAACAGCTCCCGAAAATGCCAAAGGATTACATTGCGCGGCTTGTCTACGATCGATCGCATCTATCCATTGCCATTGTGAAGCATCCGTTGGAGGTGGTAGGGTATGTGGACACGGCGCTTTGTATATACTTGACAAGGGTTGTCACTGATGGGCATCCAGAGGGATCACGTACCGTCCATTCAATGGCCGCAAATTCGCGGAAATTGTCTTTTGCGCCATTTCATCTGATCAGCAAGTCAAGGGTTATGGTGCGCATCTCATGTCGCATCTCAAGGTATGTCTCCCTGGTGATTGTGGCGGTCCAGAGCTGACAATAACACCATGTTAGGACTACGTGAAAGCGACCTCGCCCATAATGCATTTTCTGACGTATGCGGACAACTATGCGATTGGTTATTTTAAGAAACAAGGGTTCACGAAAGAGATTACGCTCGATAAATCGATCTGGATGGGGTACATCAAGGATTACGAGGGAGGAACGATAATGCAATGCACGATGCTGCCCAAGATACGGTATCTCGAGGCAGGCCGCATGCTTCTGAAGCAGAAAGAAGCCGTTCAGGCGAAGATTCGAGCGTTCAGCCGCTCGCATATCATCCACGCGCCGCCAAAGGAGTGGAAGAATGGCCCGTGCAAGATCGATCCTTTGAGTATTCCCGCTATCAAAGAGTCCGGATGGTCCCCAGACATGGATGAGCTGGCGCGCCAGCCACGCCATGGGCCGAATTATAACCAGCTGCTACATCTGCTTAATGATATGCAGAACCATAGTGCTGCTTGGCCATTCACCCAGCCCGTCAACCGGGACGAGGTGCCCGACTACTATGAAGTCATCAAAGAGCCAATGGATCTCTCGACCATGGAAGAGAAGCACGAGAAGGACATGTATCCGACACCGCAGGACTTCATCAAAGATGCCATGTTGATCTTTGATAATTGTCGGAAGTACAATAACGAGAACACGCCGTATGCAAAGAGTGCGAACAAGCTGGAGAAATTTATGTGGCAGCAGATCCGCAACATCCCAGAGTGGTCGGTGAGTGTCATCCAGAAACGATGCACTATGTTATTGGTTTGATTCATTACTGACTCCGGCGTAGCATTTGGCCGATGGTCATTGAAGTCTTGGCCATCGGATTGATATCTTTTTTCTTTTTTCTTTTTTTTCGTTTTCGATTTCTCTTCGTCTTGAAGCGTGTGGGAGTTTAGGTTACGGATGGCGTTGATCTTTCCTTGCAACCAACGAATACCCAATTGATGCATGGTGGAGCATTTTGGCCGTTTCTCGTCTTTTGTGATATATTCAGACAACAGCACAGTAATTAAATCATCATCTGTACTGTAAAGATCGATTTTGTAACATGCGGAAAGGCTGGGACTGGGAGACCGCTCAAGCAGATTAGGCAAGGGAACTAACTCATGGGCTTGGAGACTTGCCATCTTGTTTAGCTTCTCGACTCTAGAGCTTCTTCTAGCCACCAGAGCCATCACATCGTAGTCAAACTCTCCCTTGCAGCATTGTTCCTCATAGTTAATTATCAGTAGATAACCACGGTGATCTTTTTTTTTTCCCAGCAGTCGAAGAACGTGGTGTGTTGATCACGGTGGGTCGTTCATTTCGGAACAACTCTCACAGCCGCTTTGTTGGCAGTCAGTCAAGCAAGAGAGAGAGTCCCAAAGTGGAGAAAGCATTCAAGAGGGATGGCAGGCAACTACGGATACTTGAGCTTAAAATCATCATAATAATAATAATGATGGTGGTCGGGCCAAGCCACCACTAATCTTACTATCTACTTCATTTTTCTTCTTCTTCTTCTTCTTATGGTTGTGACCATCGCTCTCTGTGTACTCGCTCTCTCTCCCTCCTCCTTGATTTCGGATGCCATATAGCGGCTGCTTGTCGACTTCTTCAACTTCAGGTGCCCTCACCCCCGGGGGGCTCCTATGATCACAGAGCTTTCATAAAGTCATCAAGCAAATAATCCATTGATATTATGCCTTGATCTGCATTCAATTGCCTCTTCGTCACTCGTTTACTGCATAACAGATCGCGACTTTCTTGGCCCCTCCTATCGTGAGCTGACGGATTCTATTATTATTGAGACCGTTAGTGGCACATAAACACGGGCCAACTCCTATTCTTGGACCGACAACCAACTAGACATCGTCATTCCTTCTCGAATTTTTCGGCTTTCGCTTCGATCTGCCTCTCGCTCTTTCAGTGAACGGACTTTCGGTTTTATTAGCGATTTTGGTTCTTGTCGACATCTCTCCAACATGGCGTCGCCGTCGCTCCTGGAGATGGAGCAACGGAATCGGCTTCCCACCCTGTTCGAGGTTCTGAGCCGTCGGACTCTGGCTCCTGTCGATCTCTTTTCTTTTTACATCTACATGCGAGATCAGCAGCGCTCGGTCGATTATTTGGATTTCTGGTATGTTGGCGCGTGGGCGTCGTGGGCGCTGCGTCGCTCGGGGGGGGTATCACAACTCATACTGATCATCTCGGACTTGAACCAGGCTCGATGTTTCGCAACACATGTCGCTATGCCGCCATTACGTCCGAGAGCTGCGTCGTTCCGTCCTGGTCGCCACACCGGATCTCGAAAAAGCAGACAGCAAAGGTTCCTCCGCCGCCTTAGATAACCTGGAGCATTTCGGCGACATCCCGCTCACCGAAGCGGGGCCCTCCAGTCTGCGCCATAACTGCTTCCATGACTATCACGACAAGGACGCGAACCAAAGACTGTCGGCCTTCTTGCGCTCCGATGGCCACACGACGCAGAACTCTCCCCAGGGTAGTATCACCTCGCGGAACGGCGGCCGCAGCTCCTCCAACGAGTACGAGCCCCATCCGGACTCTGGGCTGCTGAATGACTCGCATTCGCCTGGCCATACGGTTACCCGGCAGGATATCCGCGCCTCCGCAGAAAAGATCCTGTATACCTATCTGCTGCCTGGTGCTGAGCGGGAAATTATTCTCCCCGAGGAAATGGTATCGACTATTATCAATCTAGTCGAGGATGACGGACGAGACGATCCAGAGGTGTTCGACCCCGCCAAGGATTATGTCTTCCAAGCGATGGAACGCGACGCCTACCCCGGGTTTTTGCAGGCCAAGGCCCTGGGCAATCTGGTGCCGCTGACCGTGGTGATCCGCCTGGCTTGCGCTTTAATCAGCTTTGGCGGTGGGTTCTGGGCAGCTTTCTACGTTGTCTTGCGCGACAAGCCACGGCATACCCGTTGCTGGGTAGGTTCAAACCTTTTTGAAGTGATCTATGCGTCACCCTTACTGATGATGGACTAGGTGATTCTTCCTTTCGCGGTAGCGGCCTATCTCATCGCTTCCTACCAGTACAAACTCGACCCCATCATGGCTTTTGTCGGCTACAGCGAATACACGTTCATGAACTGGGCGCCGATCCGCGAGCCTTATGTTCGAAAGCTCTTGAATAAACGGGCGATTGCAACCTTATTGATCGCCATACTGGTCGCGGCTGCGCTGAGTATCTTGTTTATTCTTGTGCCCGGTACTATGCTCTGAGTGGTGTGGTCCCCGCTTGGCTCAGTAGCCTTTATTCTCCGGGGCCGACGCTTCCAATGCGTTGCTGGTTTGGCGTGACCATTAGGCGGTGGTGGTTACTTTGTTTATGAGCATTTGTCTCGCTTCCTTGAGTCATCATTTCATGTGGATGAATCACCGTCAGACTATGTCGAGGGCCCTCTGCAGGGAACCATTCTTGTCGCGCAATTTGTCCGTTTGTTATCGAAATGCTTTGGCGTGTCATTTCGCCTCTGAAGGCCGGGCCTCGCTGACTCGAAGCCTCTCGATAAAGAAAACCATGTTCCACATGCCCCCATTGTTGCTTCCCAGTTATTTGAAACACTGGAGCACGACGTCCGGAGGACCGTGCCGCCTCCTCCAAACATTCCTTACTGATATCTTTGTGAATATCTCTTTTTGCAGCTCTGCTCTGTTCGATTTCTCTTCTCACAATACCCCCTTTTTTCTTTTTCTTTCTTTTTTTTTTTTATATTCTGTCAATTCTTGCATGGATGTTACTATGACTTTGGGCGAGACAGCGTTGGTGTTGGGAATTAGTCTCTAATCTACTATACTAATTCAAAATAATGGCTTCGATACTGTTGTTGGAGTTCCTTCCGGTGGAGCCTGGATTGTAAGGTAGAAATATATCATGGTCTTCGTAACTGCCATTAGTTGCACGATCAAGGATTGAGCCTGCATTGTTGAGATGCGATGCGTTAGGGGGCGTCCTCCAAGCGTCGATTCGATTCAATTCAAGTCTTCTTCCCAAGGAAGCGTTTCGCATGTCTTGCCCCGGCACCGCCCAATCCTAACCTAGAAGACCCCAAGCTCTCATCTATATCCATGCGCGAGCCAGCCGCGTGGAGATCAACGCCCCCGTCATTTGCATTATCCCAGTACCCATCATCCGCATCATCGAGTTCATCCGCACTGTACTCGCGCTTGTTGCCGCCGCCCAGCGCAAACCGCTGAGCGCCGCCGAACCGCCTCAGCCCCGCGGCAGACCCGCCCCCGCCGACGCCGACGCCCACGTCCTTACCGTCGTGCAGTGAAGCCAGGGCCTTCTCGAGCAGCTCGGCCCGCGCCTGCTCCTTCGCCTTGCGCTTGGCGGCGTTTGTCTTGATCTTGGCGATCTCGGCCTCGATGTCGCCGACGACGTCGCCACAGCGGGTCTCCCACTGCGTGAGGAGGGAGATCATCGTCGGCAGGGACTGGGGCTTGATGTCGCGGAGGGGCGCGACGGCGGTGACATTGACGGTTGGCGGGTCGGAGGCGGGGGAGAGGCGGGCGGTGATGAGCGAGGCGTAGATGGCGGTTGTGACGAGGGACTCGAGCTCGGCGGGTGCCGAAATGGAGAGCGCGTCCATGAGGGTTGTGTATGTGAGGGGTTTCAGGGTTGCGGAGAGGTTGAGCAGGGAGAGGAGGCGGAGTTTGAGGGTTTGTTCGGGGCTGAGGGGCGGGAGGTTGGGCGTTGCTGGATCGGGGTGTGAGCCGCTGTCCGGGAGAAGGGGGCCGGGAATGGGATTGCTTACTTTGATAGTCCTGCCATGTCCCCCAGGCGAAGATCTCGAGGAGCGTGAGGTAGCCTTGGAACTCTTCGGGTGTGTCTTGGGACCGGAGAGCCTGGATTGTGGGCGTCTCCAGTAGCTCGGCGAAGACGTAGGTGTGCGGGTTCGAGGTTGCATTTGTGATGAGGTTCGCGATAAACCGTGGGGATGTAGCGCTATTGGCGTTCGCCAGGTGTATGAAAGGTTGGAGGGCCTCTATGGCCCGGTTGTGTACTTGATCCATTCGGAGATGGTTGTCTGGGGTTGATGAGGGATCAGCTATTCCGTACCAGCTATCGCATTGTGTTGGTCTTGGTTGAGGCTGGGGGAACTTACAATAGAGGATTGAATGCTGACGCAGTGCGGCAGTACAACGTCAAACAGAAGCAAGCAGAGACCTTCTCCTAGTGTCAGAACAGCTGATGGTGATGGTGACAGTCGTGTTGATGGTGATGATGATATCAAAGTAGATGTCCGAGATGGGGGTTGTTTGCACCTGTTGCAAACAGGTTCCCCGGTTTTGCCTCACCTTTCAAGGCCATTTCAACAAATAAAGATATCATGGTGATTCTGGTCGAGGATACTTCCTTGGTGGATATGCGTACTTCTCATCTATACTGCTATGATATGGCTTGCTGGCTCGCTCGGTAGTCTGTGGGTTTGTACATTCATGACCCTTCCCTTGCCAATCCCTTGATTTACTACTTGGTACAAGTCTGCTGCACGGAGTATCTACGAGATCAACAGATGTTGAAGATCACCACTCAGCTCAAAATGTGCTTAGACATCACTTCCTATGGCAGTGTGGTATATGTAGGCTGACAGCCTAAAGGTATGAGCCATGCCAAACGAAAGACGATCAAATGGTCCCTATAGCCTCCTGAATGGATGAATGGGTTGTCGGAGAAGGTGTATCCTTGTCCAAGCCGGAGAACATGGTCCTGTGCGTTTCACAGTGTTACGATGGGATTCAGGGACAGCTCTTGATTGTTTGGTAATTGCCGTCCCAACTAGAGGTGGTGTACAGAGTATGTCAAAAGTCTGGCCAAAATGTCAAATGACAAGCCATTATTTTCCTGACAAGTGACAAATGTCACGTGATAGACAAGTGGATACCAACTATACTAGGTATAACTAATGAGAGAGCAGCATTTCAGAATCTAACCAATCAGGTTATATAGCTTTTTATCACGTGATTTCAGTAGCCAACTACCTAGGTCCATAGAATTGACTACCTACAGTAGGAGATGAGACTACACCTCATCAAAATATATATCATCGTTTGCTCTGTAGATAGTTATCCACCAGCATATGGTAGTGGCTCTAATGACACGTCATTTTGACATTTTGACTACCACCCCTAGTCCCAACATGGTGTGGCCTGTCGATAGTGAAATAAAATGGAGCGTAAAGCATGTTGTCAACTGGTCAGGTGCTGGTCAGAGACTCAGAGTTGCTGTGATCAGAACTAGGGATACAGGATTAGAAATCAATCAATAGCTTCCTGCATGTTCTTCGAGGATCTTCAGAACTCGTCTATCTCATTGGGTTGGAGCACGGTCACTTGCAGCCAGTTGGACTGTGGAATGAGGGGCGTCCGACGACGGTGAAGACGCTGGCGATTCACAATTGGCCGGACCCCCTTACATGGTCAAGCTATGCTGTGACACTTCTTGAGAGCAACAGTCAAGACTTCAACTCGTCCCGAGGCGGTAAGTTCCCGAGACGCTGCTTTAACGGAGCTGATGGGAAGCGATCTGCAGAGACCATTATTGGTAACAATCCAGATGATGAATGTGACAAAATCACAGTGACTTGTCCAGCAGGGTAGGTATTCTGGCCTCCATTTCTATGGATAGAGCTACATCCACTCCCCTATCTTCCAACCCAAGATCCATGACTTATAGACATCTATCCCACCTTGGACACAACGATATGAACATATATCTAGGTCTCTGGCCTAAACCCACACAGTCAAACTGGTAGACTTAAAGCTGGAGTCAGGATGTCACCAGAGCAGTATATAGTATATACCCAGAAAGGCCGGCCACAGCTATGCTAGGTCCAGAGACGCGCTCATTAGCAGAAGGGGCTAGTGATTTCACTAATACTCCTTGATGCTATATCACTCCCCATTCAACTCCTGAATTATTCCCAGCATCATAGGTCACTATGGGCCGGTTGAAGCACTTGGTGCGAGTTCCTCCTGGTCGCACTGGTGACCGGCCCAGGGGGGAAGTTCGTTAGCATAGTCACCAAGGAAAACTGTAGATGTTCATGAAGCTCCGGTTCGCCAGCACCGGGGACTAATACAGTCTGTATGACCATCAAATAGCTTGGTCGCACCGGTAGCGGCAAAGCGGGCGACTGTGGGATTGCGTATGGACAACAGCGGAGCTGACATGGCTATCTTCCGAGGCCAGAGGGATATATACACGAGTTTTCTCCCATCTTTGGCAGGCGTAAGGTGCTAAGACGGGCAACTCTCAAGGTCTAGTCGGGTACGGGGGACCTATATTGTGGTTCCTTTCCTCCAAGGGGATCCAGAAGCCATCTTGGGTCCGTTCAAAGTCGCCATAGCTCCGTTGCCCTACCACGAACGATATATGCCCATCCGGAATAGCACGAGCTACCCCATTAGTTCCCTCCAAAAGACAACTGAGTCTGAAGGTAATCCAAGATTTCGCGTAGTCATAGTATCCACAATGCAGATTGGACCTAGTTCATCCACCCGGAGAGGACAAGACCTTTGATCTGGTTATCTGAGACATCCTCACACCAACATGTGCTCGTCAGGAAGGACACTGCTGCATCTCGTCGACCTCGATCATGGCGTTGAGCAGTCCATATTTGGGACTTGGGACAGCAAGCCGCCAAGTGATCGACGGGTGAACAGCGCTGTTCATATTCGCTTGGACACTGGAACCCTGATCCATAGTTAGCTCGAAGACTAAGGATGTGGAGATTAGTTCAAAGGTATGAAGGACCAAAAGCCAGAAAGATGAAACCATGGAAGTTGGTGCGCTGCTCAGGACACGCACCGGCCAGGCTTAGCGCACGCTCTAGAATGCTCAGTCAGCTAAAAAGCAGCGCCGAGTTGAGCCTAAAATGGGTAGGGAGAGTGTCACTGTCTCAATAATAATATTATTGATTGGTAACGCCATCACATTCACGACTGCACGGCCAAGGTTTGATAAATATTTAATATATATGATTCTTCATGCGTCCTGGCCAAGACGTTCCGCCTGTTTCTTCCAACTGGCATTTAGTAGTCTATAATAATTATTAAGAAAGGGATGAAACATCCTCTCGGACTTCCGACCACATCCGTCCCCATTCTTCCTGTGCTGCTCTATTTTGCCGCCGCTTAACATTGACGTCTTTCCCAGCTCGTCGTATGTGATTCCTTCTCCTCCCTTGATTTCAGTGAATTGATCCCTTTTTTTTTTTTTTTTTCTTTCTCTAGATCAATCGCTCGTATGCGGTAACACGCTCAGAGCAAGCTTCCCGCGTGTAGCTCTCCTTACACCGGGACCCGCGCACCATGGCGGCCTACGATCTGCTACGCGCCGACGATAAGGACATCCCCGCTGGCCGATCCCCAGCGCATATGGCGACCACAACAGTCAAGGTGGATGGAATGACATGCGGGGCATGTACATCCGCCGTGGAAGGCGCCTTCAAGGATGTAGAAGGTGTCGGAGAGGTATCCGTGAGCTTGATGATGGGCAGGGCCGTCGTCCATCACGATCCGACTTTGGTCCCAGCGGAACAAATAGCCGAGAAGATTGAAGACTGTGGGTTCGATGCGGCTATCATATCCACCGACAGCCTGACGATACAGGCCGATACCTCCGGAGTTTTGCAGGGTTCGGGGCCACAGTTCTCAACGACTACGCTGGCCATCGAGGGAATGACATGTGGTGCTTGCACATCGGCGGTCGAGGGGGGCCTCAAGGAGGTGGCAGGTGTGAGATCGATAAATGTCTCCTTGTTGTCAGAAAGAGCTGTCGTGGAGCACGATGCTTCCGTTGTCACTCCTGAAAAGCTTGCCGATATCATCGAGGATCGTGGCTTCGGCGCAAAAGTGCTGGACACTTTGACGCTGCAGAACGGTCCCCAGGGTTCGCTAGAGAGCACAGGAAACCTGCCCCATCTTATGATTACGACGGTCTCCATTGATGGTATGACATGCGGCGCATGTACATCCAGTGTGGAGAACGCATTGAATGGAGTGGATGGACTGCTGCAATGCAATGTCAGCTTACTTGCGGAGCGCGCCATTATCCTTCATGACCCGAAGATCCTGTCCACGCAACAAATTACTACCTTGATCGATGACGCGGGCTTCGATACGGCAGTTATCTCATCAGAGGAAAAACTGCATACATCCAACTCTTTGAGCAACGTGAATCTAAGCCTACACGGCTTGCGAGACGTGGTTGCAGCGAATGCTCTGGAGGATTCCCTGTTGGAAAAACCAGGCATTATTTCGGCATCTATCGACATGGCCACATCCAGGCTTGCACTTTCATACGAATCTTCCAAAATTGGAGTTCGTTCCATCGTCGAAATTATTGAAGCTGCTGGGTACCATGCCTTGCTTTCGGAATTGGACGACACCAACGCCCAACTTGAGTCTCTGGCGAAAACTAAAGAGATTCAAGGGTGGAAACGTGCGTTTTTATACTCATTGTCGTTCGCAGTGCCGGTATTCCTGATTAACATGATTCTTCCCATGTACTTGCCGATGCTGGACTTCGGCAAACTTCCATTGTGTCCAGGGGTCTTCCTTGGGGACGTACTATGTCTGCTGCTCACTATTCCGGTACAATTTGGCATTGGAAAGCGCTTTTACGTGGCCAGCTTCAAATCTCTCAAGCATCGCTCGCCAACTATGGACGTTCTGATCATGATGGGCACGTCTGCTGCTTTCCTCTACAGTTGTTTTACCATGCTTGTGGCGATGTTCTCCATGTCACACAAACGGCCAAGCACTGTGTTCGATACAAGTACTATGCTCATTACTTTCATCACACTCGGGCGATGGCTCGAGAACCGAGCAAAAGGTCAAACATCAGCGGCGCTGTCTCGATTAATGTCCTTGGCTCCGTCTATGACGACTATCTACGACGACCCAATCGCTGCCGAGAAGCTTGCCGAGGAATGGACAACCGAGAAACTCAATACGAATGAGCAAAAGGCAGGCGAATCAGCCCCAGAGAGATCCGGCCCAAACCACAGAGTCATTCCCACCGAGCTTATCGAAGTCGGCGACATCGTTGTTCTTCATCCAGGAGACAAAGTTTCTGCGGATGGCATAGTCATTCGAGGAGAAAGTTATGTGGACGAAAGCATGATTACTGGTGAAGCGCTGCCTATCCACAAGAAGAAGGGTAGTACGGTCATCGCCGGAACCGTGAATGGTACAAGCTCAATTGACTTCAAGGTTACCCGTACCGGCAAGGATACCCAGTTGAGTCAGATTGTGAAGCTTGTCCAAAATGCGCAGACAAGCCGGGCTCCTATTCAACGAATGGCAGATATTGTCGCAGGGTACTTCGTCCCTGGCATCATCAGTCTCGGTTTGATTACATTTTTTGGCTGGATGTTTGTCAGTCACGTCCTGCCTCATCCCCCGCAGATCTTCCTGGCTGAAGGCAGTGGTGGAAAGGTTATGGTGTGTCTGAAGCTTTGCATCTCTGTTATCGTCTTTGCTTGTCCTTGTGCGTTGGGTCTCAGTACACCTACTGCTGTCATGGTTGGTACCGGTGTTGGTGCGCAACAGGGTATCCTGGTCAAGGGCGGTGCCGTATTGGAAGGCGCGACTAAAATCAACCATGTCGTCTTCGACAAGACTGGGACTCTGACAACAGGAAAAATGACCGTCGCCGAGGCCAGAATTGAACGTCACTGGGCATCAGATGAGGCACGTCATCAACTTTGGTGGTTGATCGTAGGTCTTGCGGAGATGAACAGCGAACACCCTATCGGAAGAGCTATCCACTTTGCAGCAAAAACAGAATCGGGCCGTTCCGAGGATGAAGGACTACCGGGCAGCTTGGGCGACTTCAATGCTCATGTCGGCAAGGGTGTTTCTGCGCTGGTTGAGCCTGCAATTAATGCAGAACGTCTGCGTTACCGTGTGTTCATTGGAAATGCGACTTTCTTGCAGTCTCAAGGCGTCATAGTCCCTGAAGCCGCAGCAACAGAAGATGAGCGTTCTACTACCTCGAAGGTTACCGCCGGCATCACGCAGATCCATGTAGCTATTAATAACCAGTTTTCCGGCACTGTGTTGCTTCGCGACACTGTTAAACTAACTGCAGTGGCTGCCGTCGCCGCCCTGCATCGTATGGGGCTCAAGACCACACTGATCACTGGAGATACTCGGTCCACCGCGATCTCTATTGCTTCCGCCGTCGGCATCCCCCAAGATTCGGTGCATGCCTCCGCCTCTCCATCCGACAAACAATCCATCATTGCCTCGATGCAGGAATCAGGTGACCGTGTCGCCATGGTGGGCGACGGTATCAATGATTCTCCGGCGTTGGCTACTGCGTCAATAGGAATCGCCCTTGCTTCCGGTACTGATGTTGCCATGGAGGCTGCGGACATTGTGCTCATGCGACCCGACGATCTCTTGTCTGTGCCAGCCAGTCTGGCCCTCTCCCGCGCTGTTTTCAGACGCATCAAAATCAATCTCATGTGGGCCTGCCTCTACAACGTCATCGGCCTCCCCTTCGCCATGGGGCTCTTCCTCCCCTTTGGAGGTTTCATGCTTCCCCCGATGGCTGCGGGTGCGGCCATGGCAGCGTCGAGTATCTCCGTCGTCGTCAGTAGTCTGCTGCTCAAGCTCTGGAAACGACCACGGTGGATGGACGCCGAGAAGCTGGAAAGGGATGTCCAGGCACGTGATGCCAGCTTCCACGGCTCTCGCAAGAACTGGTGGACGGCTGCTCTCTCGGTCTCAGGATCCAATGGTGCCGCAGGCTCGGGATGGATCGGACGGACAAGCGCGAGAGCCTGGTCTACTATCACCGGCCGGGTTTCGAAGACATCAGATGTCAACAATGGCTACGTCCCTCTTCAGACGGTGGAATCGGCTGTTTGATCCTTTTCTTTTTTTTTTTTTTTTTTTTGGTGGAGTGTGAGTTGTGATGTGTCCATATGTGCATGGCCAGGTCTTCATATATGGAGCTCTTTGTTACGATCTTTCATGATTGGGTGGCAAAGGATCTATTACCTCCTGGTGAAGTCTATGGATTTCCTTGAGTATTTATTTGATACCGTTGTTAGACATTTACTATATTTTCAGCAAAACAACGCATTTCTCATCATCAATACTGGACTGTAGGCGTAGGCCATGAATTACTCCAGACAGTAGATATCGTAGGTATCCTAGTCTGTTGCTGCACATGCGTGATCTTCAAATGCTCGGTTTCATTCATTCGTCATTGTACAAGGTCAGTATGTGGCCTCGAGACTATTGCTCATATAGTTCCTGCTCATCAATCATGAAACAAACGCAAATTGAAAACAGCGAAATAACAAGACGCGGACTACACAGCCTCGCTTTCCGTCGATTGCTCCGTCTGCATTGCCGACTGCTCAGATTGGCCATCCCTCGAGGTGTCGGGTGCCGTTTCCACTGCATCCTTCACATCATCCAGCTGGATGTCACCGTCGCCGTCCGCATCGGCCTGAGGGGCAGGCTCCAGGCCTGAGTTGCTTTGTCCTTCTGCAGCGGAGCTGGGTTCGGTATCAGCAGTTGCGGATCCTGACGCGGACGCGGATGTGGACGTCTGGATATCCATGGCATCCTTGTCGTTTGAGAGATTCATCTCGATGCCCTTGCCGTCTTGTAGACCCATATCCTCGACCCCGAGGACCGGCGGCCCGCGCGCGTGTGGAATCTCCTCGGTCGTTTCTGGCGCCGAGCCATCACCGCCGGCTGGCTCGTGTTCTGCCGGTGCTGATGACGGGGCGTCTGCTGCTGAATGGGAGACGGTCTCGCTCTCTAGGGCCTGCGCTTGGTCTTGCTCTGGCTGCGAGGGTTGCACGATCAGGGATACCGATTCGCCGGAGACTAGACCTGATTGAGAGATGTTAATTGCGGGATGCAAAGGGACTATGGAGAACAGATGCTACCTTCGCTGAGCGACGATTCGCCCTCGGGCCCAGGGGAAGAGGCGCCGGTCAACCACGGGATGGGGGTGAGTAGGGCTCCGCCGAGGGACTCATCGCTCCCTGGCGCCTGGTCGGGAAACATGAAGCTACTCGCACCGCCGTTCATGATGCCATTTGTCTGCCCGATGTTGACATCCGTTTGCAGGGGGAAGATATCGGCCGTGCTGGTGACGGAGACTACCCGGTCGACGGCTCGCAGGTACGCGGGGAGGGTTCGGTAGTGGGCGTTGGGGCGGATGACCAGTTCTGCCAGTCTCTGAATGGTATGCGGCGGTCTGGAAGCGAAAAACGACTTCAATGTGGTCTTAATGGACTCGAAGAGTAAGGCAAGTGGTGCAGGGAGAGCATCGTTCGAAGTGTCGGTAAATGACTGGGGTTGAGAGTCTGGCACTTGCTCACTCGATGGGGGCGGCGTTGCGGTTGAGTTTGGGATTGTTGTCGACTGCGAGGGAGTCTCTAGCTCTGTAGGGGAGGTATTCTCCTTGTTGCTGCTCGACGGCACTGTGTTGGGTTCTTGCGAATCGGAGACGGGACGGTGAGGCGGGGGTGATTGTTGCGCGATCTTCGAGGCTTCGGGAGGAAACTTGGGCATAGGAAAAGCATTGTATACATTCTGCTCATAGCGTCAATACTCCGAGAGCCTTCAATGGGTCATTCTGAAGGGATTGCGCACATGTTCTAGCCGTTCGATCAAGGGTTCGACGATGCTGGGCCATTTCTCGCTGCACGCGAAATTAGTATTCCAATCATATTTTGGTCGCCACGGAAGGTACTCTGAGCATACTAATCCATCGGGCCGCCATTCGCGACTGTTTCTAAGCTTTCTTCGTCTATCATTGCGTCACAAGTTAGCATACATAGCTTCAGCAGCTCATGTGTTGGTTTCCCAAGCTCAAGATCGTGGAACAATGAGACGAAGCTGAGTGGTAAATGCGGGCCGTATTTCAAGACACGGACGATATATCTGACGACTTACCCAAAGCCATACTGACGACACGTTCCCCGACCAGATCGACTAGCTTCGAGAAGGTTGATCCGCGACACCAAGCTGCTGCTTCTTCGAATACATGAAACCACCGGATCGCTATACGCGCGCGAGGAGCGGCTCCGCCGGCAGCCTCAGCTCCTGATTGGCCACAGGAACCGCTTATCGTAGCATCACGTGACGGTTATCGGGGCCGATTTTTTGGAGGAGTCACGAATTTCCCCACGGCGGCGAGAAAAGAGGGTCCCTGGTCGATTCCTCACGGACGCTGAAAGTATTGTGCTCAGGTCATTGACCTCCCAGGCGAATCTACCCAATTCTCTATTATTCACCCTTTTCTGCATCCTCTTCTGCGTCCTTTCTGTCATAATGTGGAACTCTCGCAAGGTGGGAGTGCTTGGTGGGGGCCAACTGGGCCGAATGCTCGTCGAGTCCGCGAATCGATTGAACATCCAGGTGAATGTTCTGGATGCCGATAATTCGCCTGCGAAACAGATCAGCGCCCACGATGGCCATGTGACCGGCTCGTTCAAGGAGCGCGAGGCAGTGCGCCAACTGGCCAAGACCTGCGACGTCGTGACGGCCGAGATCGAACATGTGGATACCTACGCACTGGAGGAAGTTGCCTCGGAGGTTAAGATCGAGCCCAGCTGGCAGGCGATCCGGACGATTCAGAACAAATTCAACCAGAAGGAACATCTGCGGAAGTATGGCATACCAATGGCGGAGCACCGGGAGTTGGTCGAGAACACTCCCGCGGAACTTGCCAAGGTTGGCGAGCAACTCGGGTATCCCCTGATGTTGAAGTCGAAGACCATGGCGTATGATGGACGTGGTGAGTGTGAAACAGCGGAGGGGGCATATTCAAGAGGATCTGGGGGCTGACGAAGAACGCTAGGAAACTTCCGTGTCAACTCCCAGGACGACATCCCCGAGGCGCTCGAGGCGCTCAAGGACCGGCCATTATACGCTGAGAAGTGGGCCTACTTCAAGATGGTTGGTTTTCGATACTCTTATCGCTGCTAAGATAGCACAGCATGGTCTAACACCTAGGCTCTAGGAACTGGCTGTGATAGTCGTCAAGACCAAGGACGAGGTCCTCTCATACCCCACCGTCGAGACAGTCCAGGAGGACTCGATATGCAAGCTCGTGTACGCGCCGGCGCGCAACGTGTCGGACGCCATCAACCAGAAAGCGCAGGAGCTGGCGCGCAAGGCCGTGGCGGCCTTTGATGGCAAGGGCGTCTTCGGCGTGGAGATGTTCCTCCTGGAGGACGACAGCATCATGCTGTGCGAGATCGCCAGCCGCATCCACAACTCGGGCCACTACACGATCGAGGGCTGCGCGCTGTCGCAGTTCGACGCGCACCTCCGCGCCATCCTCGACCTCCCGATCCCCGCGCAGAGCCTCGAGATCCGCCAGCCGTCCATCATGCTCAACATCATCGGCGGCGCCGCGCCAGACACCCACCTCCAGGCCGCCGAGTGTGCCCTCTCCATCCCCAACGCTAGCATCCACCTCTACAGCAAGGGCGCCGCCAAGCCCGGCCGCAAGATGGGCCACATCACCGTCACCGCGCCCACCATGCACGAGGCCGAGACGCACATCCAGCCGCTCATCGACGTCGTCGACCGCATTCGCGCCCAGCGCACCGACATCAAGACCCAGCCCGCCCCCTCCGGCCCCTCGAAGCCCGCCCCCTCCGTCGCCGTCGTCATGGGCTCCGACAGCGACCTCAAGACCCTGGTGCCAGGCCTCAAGCTGCTCCGCGACTACTTCGGCATCCACCCCGCCGTTGATATCACCTCCGCCCACCGCACCCCGACCTTCATGGCCGAATACTCCGCCGGTGCCGCCGCCCGCGGCATCAAGGTCATCATCGCCGCGGCCGGCGGCGCAGCCCACCTGCCCGGCATGGCCGCCGCGCACACGGCGCTCCCCGTCATCGGCGTCCCCGTCAAGGGCAGCTCGCTCGACGGCGTCGATAGCTTGTACAGCATCGTGCAGATGCCCAGAGGTATGTCCCCTTCCCCTTCCTTCCTTTCGTTACACCCTTCCTCCGCAGCAGCGCATCTAACTCGCGGGTGGTCCGCAGGCGTCCCCGTCGCAACGGTGGGAATCAACAACAGTATCAACGCTGCGCTGCTGGCTGCGCGCATCCTGGGTGCTTTCGACCCAGCCATCCAGCGCAAGGTCGAGGCGTATGCCGAGCAGGCCCGGGCCGAGAACATGGAGCTGAAGGGAACCAAGATGCAGGAGCTTGGGTGGGAAAAGTACTTTGAGCAGATGTAGAATTGGAGGGGGGGCTTTGTTGTTTTCTGTACCCTGTGCTACTGATATTAATCTACCCTTTTATCTAGACTTATGAGAGAATGTTACATGACTTAACTTGACTTGACTTGTTTAACGGGTTTGCAGTAAGTGGTACTCTGGTGCTTTGCCTACTTTCAGGGGGATGGATAGATTTCAAGAACATAAAAATTAGAGATTAAGTACTCAAATACTCATACAGATCATGATTGCGTCAAAAGGAAAGAAAGACATAATACACACACAAGTACAGCAAGGAGAAAGTCTTGCAAGACAGAAACGACGGAAATTGATATCTCAAGCCCAGTACTCACGTAACAATATTAGGAACCAAGAGAAAAGAAAAATTATATCAAAATGATAGGCGTTACAGGAGCCAGTGATCATTTGGCTCGGGATATCACATCCACAGCTCACGCGGTCTGTGGGTTGAAGGCAGTAGGATCGCCTCGGACCGCCAGCCCGTCTGCTGGCACCTTTGTTGTAACGCCATTGTTAGTGCCGTTGGCGGCAGCAAAAGCGGTCCCCTTGGCAGTGCCATTGGGACCATCGCTGAAGGCTTGGTACATCTCATCCGCGAACCCACGAGAAGGATAGCCGGATGTCTTCGCGTATCCGTTCGCGCCGACCTGGCCACCATTGGTGGCTTGACCGTTGGCTCCCTCATGGAATTGGCCTTCGGCCGGCCGCTCTCTCAGTCGGCCCTCGGCAGTCTGATGGGGCTTGCGAGTGATAGATGCAAGCTTTGGAATGTCCTTGGACTCCGCAGCGCTGCCGATACTGAAGATGGGCGACTCCCAGCGGTCACCCTTGCGAGCCAGCTCGGCGTATTCTGTGGCCTTGCTAGAGATACCGCCAGGGAGCTTGATGTCAGGGAACATCGAGTCGTGAAGAGTAGTGACCGTCTTGATTCTGGTATCACGCTGAGCGACGGCTTCGGCCTTTTGTCTCGTCTGCGTCATCTTGGCACGCGCAGTGTCCATGTAGCGGGAATAGATGTTTGGCGCATTCGCTGGATCCTGCTTGGCAGCTTGCTGTGCTCGCATGACTTCCTGATGGACGTCAAAGGCGAACGCATCACCCTTGACGAAGGCATCACGGATTTGCTTTTCGAGCACCTTCTCCAGAGTAGGCCGAACGATGTTCAAGAGCATTGGCTTGAAGAGAGCAAAGAGGATCTTGTGCTTGGACTTCTTCAGGCGGATGTTCAAGTCGTGGATTTTCACCGTGACCTTGTCGAGTTTGACAAAGTGCTGGCGATCCTCTGGGTGCGCTGTCGAGGCCGCAATCTTGAAACCAAAGCCCTCGTTTCCAAGGAAGATATCCATGATACCCTTATCTGTGAGAGAGGGGAAACCTTGCTTCTTCTTGATATAGTAACTGACATCTAAGAAAAAAATGAGTACACGAACCCAGTCGCCTTGAGAATTAGATTTTGACTTACCTCTAAGATCGGCTTGAATACCTGATACGGAAATCATAATCTGGAAATGGGTTTCTCACGTTAGCGAAACCAGAAACTAACCTGAAGGTTTAATCACTAACCTTATTGTCCTTCTTGCTGCTGATACTCTTCCGACCCCAGCGGAAGTAATTGTCACTGCTGAATTCCACAACATTGGGCATCAGATTGTCACTTTCGATGACGAGATTCTCCACAATCTAGGGGCATCACACTGGTTAGCCTAGTTCAAAGCATACAGAGCACCAAGGGTGTACTCACCATATCCACCATGGGATCGGAAACCTCAATGCGAGGCACTGGCACGTAACGAACGTTTTCAAAGATCGAAGGCAGGATGACATCCCTGACGTCCTTGGCCAGATGCTTCTTGAAAGCAACGTTACCGTTGGCATCCCGGCCCAGATCATTGAACAGCCTCTCAAGGGCCAATCTGAAGGCTCTGTTCTGAGGATCTTGATTGAACTGGTCGCCGATGAACTTGATCTCATCGAGGATGCGGTCGGTATGATCCTTGTAGCGATCGCGCAGCAGATAGCGGCCATGATCGTACAGACGCTCCCATTCCCGGTCACAGTCGTCCTGCATGATGTAGCCCTGTTCCTGCAAAGTTTTTCTACGCAGGTTAGGCCCAGTTGGAAGTCACTTTGTATTTGAATCCGTATGAAGGACTTACCTGAGGAAGGTGTCCACGTTCTTGAACCATCCTCTGAGTTCCGGGTCTCTGTCTGCCTCGCGGTAGATGTTGTCCAGAGATTCGAAGAGATCATCCAGAGAGGTGCTATTAGCAAATCGCTCAACGAGGATCTGTGCATGCAATCAGTATTGAAGCCATTACCCCACAATGAACAAGTGCTTACCCTGAGGTTGGTTTCCATAGTTCTGACTTTCTTGTTGCTCTGTACTTGCTCCACTGTTCCAGCGCCCTGTTGAGAAGTATCTCTAGCGTAGTTGCCATACTTCTCAGCCAGGGAAAGCAACGTTCCGACGGCTTGCTGATCTGCTCACGAATTAGTCTGTTGGTATGCAGATTTCATGCGGTCAACGTACATTCGGGGTGTCCCTGAATTTCCAGGACCATCTTCTTCAAGCGCCAGATAGCTTGCTCGCGCCTCTCTTTAGGCATCTTCTCCGACAAATAAGTTCCGGTCCGCTCTTTGAACTCCTCAGCGCGGCCCCGAGATTCCTGAGCGACATCCTCGGGGATCTTCTCCTTGGCCTTTTCAATGCCTGCCGTAGCACCAGTGCGGACATCGACATCACGAGTGACGGTGGGATCCTGGCCACCGGTTGCAGCATGCGCAGCAGTACCTGCCACATCACCAGCCTTGTTACGAGCAGCTTCCTGTGGAAACAGTGAGCATGAAAGTATCCTGGGGTTGGGTTATGAGAGGACGCACCTTGTTTCTCTGGAACTGGGACTTCATCTGACTTGTTGAAACATCAGGCTTTTCATGCCAGACGTTTTCCTCAGCCGGCTGATCGACTTGGGAGAGTTGCTCCTGGGAAGGCCGGAGGGTGTTGGCGGCTTTCTGGGACACATCACCGGCCATATCACGAGCAATAATCATCGCATCGTTCACTGTGGATCGTTAGCAAGGAAAATCTCGTTTCGACCCGAAGGGAGTCGGCACATACGGAGCTTTCTGAACTCCCCATTGGTGATCAGCAGAGTTCCTAGGGTCTTCAAGCCCTCCACAGCTCTATCACTGTCCTGCTGGGCTGATTCCTTGCTGACAGGCACATTGGGCTTTCCTGGTCCGTCGGCAACACCCATTCTTTCAGCCTCCCAGATAAAATCCTGTAGTAACTGGCCCTCATTCTTGCTGAGGATAAGCTTCTTGGCTTGTTCGATGACGCTTCTGAGATCCTGGATCAGAACTCGGCCCTCACTGGACAGTTCATTCGACGGTGAGGAGAGAGCTTTGGATTTAATGGCACTGTTCAAAGCGACATTGCATTGCTTGTTCTATAGTTTGAATGAATTCCTTTGTTAGTACAGATTCGAGGACCATTGGCCATGACCCGTGTTGAAGAAGTTCCATGTAACTAACCGATGGAAGTTTGCCATTCTTGAAAGCTATGTACATCGTTAGTGACTAAGTTCACATCTCCAACAAGTATCAAGTGAGTGTATGAATATAATTTACCTTGATATATCCCAAACAGCTGCAGCTTCTGGTTGATATCCTGCAGTGAAGAACCCGAGTCAGCCAGGACTCTTTTTTTTTTTTTCCGGCGCAATCAGTGAATCACACACCTGCTCCTTCTGCTTAGGATCGGTTGGACGATTCACCACTCCGGACGGCATGATGAAGTTCTAATCGGAGCCGCTGGAAAATTTTCCGAAGATGACGAAGAAGAGAGAGGGTTCACGAAGAACTTGGAACACGAAAATCAAGCAATCACACGAGTGAGTTAATTAGAGTATAGGGGAGACAGTAAAGTTCGCGTCGCAGGGGTATCACTGGAATGGAGGACGCGAAGGATGAGTTGAGTATAGAGAGGTAGGTAGATAGGCACCTGGTACTGTATTAGGATGTATACGTTTTGCTAGGAATGTCGATTAGGTCCTGCAGAGGAATAAAATGGGAAATGAAGTAAATTGATAGAGAAGGCGGGGAAATGGTTCGAGATGTCGATGGGAATGTGTATTCCTGTTTTTAAATATGAGAGAGAAGGAGAAGAGAAGAAGAGAAGAAGAGAAGAGAGAGGGAGAGGAAGAAAGAGAGATAGAGAGAGCTGCAACCCTGGACAGGATACTTGACGTCACCGTGTCGTGTCGGTTGAGCGTTGGCTGAAGTGCACAAAACTCTACAGTCTTTATTTTCTCCTGTTACAAAGCTATCTAATCAATGAAATTATCGGGGTAGTTAGTCAGTCATTTCGACCTGACCCTGCTTAGCGAACTATGGTCTATGGAGTATGGACAGCCCCTAGGGCAAAGCCTGGCTGTACCTAAGGTACGTAAGGATCTCCCTCGGGGTACAATTCGTCGGGTTCCTGAAGTGCTGAACATGAACTGACTACTTCTGACCCTGGAGCGAGCATACTAGGAGTGGGAGATACGTAAGAGGGTACGGGTAGTCAGTCAGCCCATGGTAAACCGGAATTTCATTGCAAATTGGGCCATCATCACTTCATAATCCGCATCTTGCCCCTGTGCTCCGAGAGGACAGATGAGTTCCGAGCATGAGCTCATTCCGACTCTTGGCTGGGAGACGATCTGGCAGACGATTGTCGATGGTCGTCAAGTAGTCTAAGCAAGATGGCGAACGGGCAGTTTCAATCGTGTCCCTAACTATGTCCAGACTTTTGGCAACTAGCTATGACGAAAAGCTCGGACACTAGCAGCTGTCGGTTCAAAATCACTGCGGATTCTCAGAACCTAAACGAGAACCCACAAGGCAGAATAATAGTAGTTAGGATTCAGATACTACTACTTTGGCGATCTGGACCCCCGATGTAGTCACTAGTCAGTCTTCTATCTATCAGTCTATCACGCTCTGGTGTAGTCTGACGAAGTGACGATCCGTCTCCACTGGGGCTACCGAGCAACCTTGAAATCAAAAGGCTTGGCATCTAGATTCCTACCTTTGCTTGTAATGATAATAATAATGATACCTAGAAGGGAATGGAAACAAGAGGCGAAATCACCTGAATCCTCAACATGAAGAAAAAAAAAAAATAAAAATAAAAAAAAAATTCGCCCTTCATAACAGACAGACTCGACGCGCTGGAATTCTTTCCGCGAGTGGTCTGGAATTTCGGTCGACACGCTGGGGGAGGAAAGGGTTGAATCAGACAAGAATTCAAGGTTTGGATGAACAAGCAATGCGACTTATATACGGAGTACATGAACGTAATATTGTATCAATAAGGTAAACTACCCGAGGTAGTTACCATACGGAACAACCATGAACCAAGGTTGTTAACTGTAGTCTGCTCCACTGATCATCAGTCTGACGTCAAGAGTTGGGTCGCTTTCAGTTTCCCACAAACAACGTAGGACGGTAGGGACTTAGGAGATAGATAGATATAGAGTAGTTTTTATCTATTATTGTGGATGACAATTAATCATCTCCTGCTAATTCTTCGTGTTGATGCTCCTGCAAATATATGAGCACGTGACAGTTCCAGTACCAATAGGCTATAATCTATATCACAAGCATCAGATGCAGTTACTCATGCAGACTCATGGCAGACAGTCAAAACTCACCCTGTGCAGGGCTGGAGTAGGTTATTATTCCTCTAATTGTGATGCTATAATACATTGCACAAGTTCTTGTTTGTCTACCTGAACTCTTACCCAGCAACCTTGACTCTCACAGTGTGTAGAAGCCACCCTGAATTCTGTACAGCGCAACAAGGAACGCACTCAAAAAAGAGGTTACTATTTACTGCTAGACTAGAGTAGGTGACTAGTTATCTGACATAGGGCTGGATAGTTGCAAGCTGTGGAGAATCGTCCTCATGGTTGATGGTTCAAAGGACCCATCCCAGCTGCATGTTTACCCACTTATCTAGATACCGCCGACGCTTGTGCGGCTGTTCCCTTGTACTACTGTACTTGCGTAATCTCATCCGTCTAGGACAGGTCGGATTAATCAAGATGAATCCAGAATTGACATATATTTGATTACAATATGCATTCGCTGCGCTGCGCTGTAGTCGTTCGTTGAAACAAAGAATCTCCTGGGGCAAGCACGTAAGATTGGAAAAAAAGTTGATTTCTTTTTTTCTTCCCCATTTACCCAACATGGTCATATCCCATATCGTCCGAGGTCATACCCTGAATATCCCGTCCCTCCTGAAGCCGGAAGCATAGGTGGCCCATTCATATAGGATCCTGTCCCGGGGAGATAAATGGGGGGGGACTGCATCAACCGTTTCCGAGCCGGCCCTGAGATGGCTTGAAATGTCTCCAGACAACTGCCAATGCCCCACTTTCTCAAGCAATATTGAAGAAGATCCTGGATATAGTCCAGGCATACAATCGTCCGGGCGTGGCAGTTCACGCGGTCTTTTGCGTTGATTGTAGGCGGTTCTGGTGCGTCAAAAGACAGGTGGGGGAGCGGCGGCACCGAGGGGTTCAATACGAGTTCAAAGTGTTGATTTAGAAGCTCGAGAAATCGGCTACTAACCTGGTATGCGCGTTGAATGTCAAGATATGTCATCAACGGCAAGAGACTTGGGTTTTCCAAGATTTGGTGAAGTTGACGGATGTAATCCATGCAACGTTCGAATAACAGAACTTTGGTATACTCAGACGTTCCCAGGAACCTATGCATGGGCGACAGTATCATAACGGTCGTGTAAAGCAGCTCCAGTCTATACAAGACACTATAAGGACCGGAAGCATTCTCGGGGGCATTGTCGAACCACTCCTGGGCCTTCAGGCACGAGCTCCATATGGAAGCCGTATGTTGAATTGATGCTTCATCATCGTAGTAGTACTTATTCTGATAAGCCGCGGCCAGGATCTGTCGAATCTTAACCATATGCCAAGCAGACTGCGAACTATGTAGGAAAACATCGCTCTGCCCAGCTAGAGCAGAATCTAACGGGGTACTGACAACTGGTAGAGCAACATTGACGGATTCTTCCGAAAATGAAAGAGTCCTCTCCAGGACTGTACTAACTGCTCTGTGATTAATCAAGTCAGCGAGGATGGCCTCGTCTTCTATAAGGATACCCAAGAAGTTCGGGGGCGAACACACCGATCCAGACAGTATACGCAATGGTACACGATTCGACGGATATCTAGCCGGTCCGGAATGGATAACTCTTCCAATGGAGGATCTTGATGCAAGCCGAGATCAAACATGGCCCTCGCAGCTGTCCCCACTAGATACCAAGTTCGAAAGTGGTTAGGGTCAAAGAAGGAATATTGAGCAAGCAATAAAATTGCTTGAATACCAACGACCGATCCCGGACGTAGAACTTCATCTGCATGTTTGAATGCCTCAGTTACTAATGATAATGCTCTTTGATGATCCCGATCTCCGGGCTGGTAAGATGTAGATGCGGAGGACGTAGCCAGCACGAGACGCAGAATCCAGTGATCGAAAGGCTTTGCAAACCGGCCGCCCGACTGATAAACTGCATCTACAGAGGTCCAGAAACTGGTCTCCACGAAGAAGGGCAGCTGCGTATAGATGTTGTCAAAATAATGCCGCAAGAGGGGCGTGATTTCGTGGCGGGAGGGCAATGGCTGTGGGGGTAATTTCGGAAGCGGCTCTGCAATGGATAGTGATAGAAGAAGATTGGCGAACGAGGTGCTCGATGTGATGCCATGGAAATCTCTCGAAGTGGCATTGACTGACCTAGAATGAACCGATCAGCAACGCCACAGCCGGTGCTTCTCAATGATCGACGAACAGAAACCCAAAATCTCCAACAAGATCGTCGATGTCAGACACCTCCTTGCGATGTGACTGTGCAACATTATTCAATGCAGAGATTGAAGTTATAGAGCTCTCCCGGAATGCTCCTGTACCATCCGTGGACAAGGATTCTTTACGGTATCGGAGAGCCGCAATTTGCTTCTCAAGCCGTTCACAATAGCCCTCTAAGGATGCAACATAGCTTCTCTCTTTTCCTCTAGCGAATTCATCGCTAGCACCAGAGCAAGTACTTGCTTTTCCCACTCGTTCACAGGCAGAGCAGGCAGGAAGCTTCCCATCGCATTTGATTTTCGCCGTCCGACATCTAGAACATGCGGCGACTGGTCGACTGACTTTAAGCAATGGTTTGTCCAGAAATGAATTTGCCGACATCATACATAAGCATATTCCCTGCCATTCGTCAGACATCCAGCCCTCCCACGTGGTCTGCCGAGTATAGAGAGAATGGACACAGCCTCAGAATCTCAACGACATACCGGATTGACTCAGCCAAATGAGCAAGATCGACCGCGCTGCGTACACTGAATCAGATTTCAGGGAGGTATGATATGATACAATCTGCACCAACTGTCAGCTCAAGTACAATCAACGGATCTCGCCCGTGATATGGACAGCAGTGAAACACGTCAATTTCACTACGAAGGGAAATCATAATGGAAATGATAATGGTGAATGGCAAAAAAGAAAAGAAAAGATGATGATGATGATGACTCCGCATATGATGAGATTGGGATTTCCGGACTGATATATATGACTGAAATGGCGAAACTGCCGGGTATGATGATTTTATGCTTTCACAGACTGTCTCACCTAGTAGTAAGCCTGGTTCCCCGCGATAAGTAGATTGATCTGTGAGCTTTTCAGAGTTCGACGAGCCCTCGAATAGAATAGAGACACCCGGGCTATCTAGAATGCACTGTAAGAGAATAGAGGATTGAACGCCAGTTTCAAGTGAAGCCAGGTTCCATCGCTGCTGGATTAATTTGTGGTGCTATCACCAAAGTGATCACGGGAATGATGACTGATACGCAGGGAGCGGACCAGTTCCGAGTTCTGACGCCGCAGTTGGGTGATGAAGATTGATAAAAAGGGATAATGCACATGAAAGAAGCAAGGCAAAACAGAGCTCAGTTGTTTTACCTAGGTAAAAAAACACAGTTTTGCCTGGAGAAGATAGATAGCTTATGGCACTAACTGGATTAGTGTGCAGTGATTTGCATTTCAGAAGCAGGACAGCCGTTGTTGATGCGAATTGTGGAAACAGAGAGAAATCACCTGCTCTGACCATCCACCTTAACTAATTAATTCTGCCTGACTTGGCTTTTCCCCTTCCTTCCCCACCATCAACCCCACCTCCCGCAGCCTCCACTGGATGTATTCAACAGCTTGTCCATCATCATACCACTAGGTATCAGGTAGATATCTACTCTGTAGTATCCCATATCAACTGTCGAGGATCAATCATCAGGGTCAGTTCTTGATGTTATAATCAAGAGCTGCTGCTGATGCTTTGGAACCCAAAATAAGTGGCCAGGTAGAGAATGACGGCAAACAAACATCCTACGCCCGGGACACAACTCCTATCTAGGATTTATATATCCTGTTGTGCTCCGTCTTCAATCAACCAAAAGTCAGGGCTACTTGCCAAAGCTCATCAAATACACTTTTTAGGCGCATTATCAGACCATGGCTGCCGTCGAGGAAACACTGTTACATAGATTGCCGGACGTCCGGAACAGGGGATTATCCTCCATAACCTGGCTCATGTACTCCGTACAACGTCGACTTTGGACATAACCATCGGCTAGTAGTGGACCCAAAATAGCAAGGACAGGGATAATCACACCGAAACCCTTCACAGAGCATGGGAGATGAATTCCAGGCTGCAGAATTAGTTACTTTTTCTTTTTCTTTTTTTTTTTTTTGTTCTTCTCTTTGAACAATGTGAGCCAAGATCCAAGGATATGGAAGGCAGGGGCAAGAATTTCCCTCCACTGGTTTGGATGAGCACCCTATGGGCATTGAGAGGAAATCTATGCGGAAAGGAACAGAATACAAAGCTAGGAAAATGGCCTTTTATAGATCAGAAATTTTAAATTGGGTTGAGTGCAATATCTATACAGGACCAGGACATGTGTCTCAGGTTCTATTTTAATTACAAAAGAGTTGAACTCCCTTATCTTATATAACCCTGCGATCTGTATAGAAATCATGAGGATAGGGCCTGGATAGAACCAAACATCTTATATAGTGATGAAGAATTAGGTATTAGGCACTAGACAAACACTAGAGAGATAAAATGCATGTAAACTACGGCAATGAACCTTCAGAAGCATGAAATGACACTAACAATATGACTATACCTTACTACTAAATGGTTGGTGTTGCTGTTGTCCCGGCTGTTGGCCGTTCCCAACTGGTAGATGTGATCTTCCGTACTCCGTCAAGTCGTTGGCTCATCACTTCACTTTAGCGCATCTCTCATTCCAAAATGGGATCCAGACCGAGGCTGGGTACCACCACGCCCCTCACTTGTTGCAGTTAGGAAATGAAAATACTCCTGTCAAGGTAACAATGATGAAAATCAACAACTTTTGAACACACAATACGAGCTCCGAAGGGCCGGAAGTCAGCGTCCCAATCCGATGGTTTACTACGGTTGCTACCGCCTACACCTACTTGCAGCTGGTCGGAACGAACCCTGACTATGTCGACCGGTGTTGTCTCATCAATATTATTCTGCCGGTGTTCGAACAACCAAGCATTACCGTGGGTCTAATCCAGACTCGATTAATTCACAAGAAGGGCAGCTCCGTGTGAAGGCATGGGAGCTGCATTGGATAGCGTTTTTTGGACTTCTTCAGATACCCCCAAAACGCGACAACTGGGCGGCCGACTTGGAGAGGAACAACCATGGCGACCCATTCAAACCTGCAACCCTCGCGTCCACAATTCATCGATCCATGGCAAAAATCATCCTCAAAGTCATCACAGCAGACCGCTGAAGCTCCTGACGGCCGGATCGCGCACACATTGACGGCGTGCACTAGGTGTAGACAAGTACGTTGCCTGGCTTGAGGAATCTTGTGTTTCGGCCCTACCTCCTTGTTGTCCTTCTTTCTTCGCCTTCATTTTTTGTTATTTGTTCTCAATTCGTAGCAAGAATATCCAGGTTAACAGCCATGTAGCGAAAGTCTAGGTGCGACCCCGGAATACCAAGATGCTCCCCATGCGAACGCAGCAACGCCAAGTGCGTATACTACGACTCGGCCCGAAAGTGTACCATACCGCGAACATACATCGTCTCCCTACGGGAAAAAGCTCGTTTGCTGGAACAGGAACTTGCAGATCTGGAGAAGGACATACAACATGCTGCAGATGCGGAACTCATGGTTCGGGGCGCAGGCCGCATCCGATTCAAAGAGAACGATGAGTCTCGGTACCTAGGGCCATCCAGCGGTATCGCAATTACTCGTCTGGTGATGGAGATGGCCAAGCAGAACACGGACTCGAAAAGCATTAAGGATGTTGTCCCCGAGTTTACAGCACAGGAGATCAAAGCCGCATTTGCGCAAGAAAGTTCTAAACCGACATCCAAAGTCTACCCCATGATCAGTTCCCTTGCTCAACCTAACCTACCCCCACGAAACTTGACCTACCGACTTATAGATATATTTGTGGTCAAAGGTTAGTTAAAATTTCGCCTTTCTTGAGATACTCGACCGGTTGTAGTGTTGACAATCTTCCTAGCGCAAGCCATGCTACCCACATTACACGAACCATCATTTCGTCAGGAGGTCGAACATGTCTTTAATGGCTCTGATGACCCTTGCCAGAATTTCCAATTGAGAATGGTGATTGCCATTAGCATGCAAAAGATGAGCACTGAATATGCAGGGCTAGCAGACAGTTATTACCTAGCAGCACTGCCATACTTAGAGGCATCTCTAAGGCGCATGGATCTCAGGGCACTGCAATGCCTCGTGTTGATAGCCCAGTACTCTTTACTCACGCCCACAAGAACCGCTGCGTACTGGGTCGTTGGGATGGCTGTCAAACTCTGCCAGGATCTCGGTCTGACTGACGAGGCCACCATCGCTAAGTCACCCAGCGGAGGACCATTGAACCCCCTGGAGATAGATATGAGACGACGACTATTCTGGATTGTCACTTCAATGGAACTCGGACTATCCCATAGCCTTGGCCGACCGAGCTGCTATTCTGTTCCGCATGACTATATCCACGTTAATTTTTTCGAACTAGTGGACGATCAATACATTACTCCTGATGGGGTACTTCCAGGTGGCACCCCTATATTACCCAAGTGTATAGCTATACACTTCTTCAAAATGAGATTGCTGCAACTGGAAATACGCAGGACGCTGTATTTGAACAAGCGCGAGACTCCTGCAGATGATCAAGATCCGTGGTTTTCACAGATGCTCGCTAAGCTCGACCATTGGGTAGCTTCTTGCCCAAAAAATGATGGCGGCAGCGGACTAAGCGAGAAATGGTAAGAAAACATATCCGCCTCCTGTCTTGTTGACTTGCATTCTGACAGTCGTTGTGTTGTCCGTAGGTTCCATGGCAGACGAAATACAATGATCGTTTTCATGTTCCGACCATCCCCGCAGGTTCCTGAACCTTCAGTTGAAGCTGCGCGCAAATGCTATGAAGCCTCGATTTTCAATGTTTCCATGCAACGAGAGCAGATTGCCACCGGATCTGTGGATTTGACCTGGATCTTTACGCAGTCGCTGTTCATGGCTATGAACACCATTCTTTGGTCTTTTTCATACCCCGATATCCGAAAAGAGCACCCATTAGAGGAGGCCAGAGGACATCTTAATGTGGCTTTGGAAGCTATCATGCTCGCTGCAGAAAGGTGGCCCGGGGTAGAGTCGGCCTTGCTTCTGTATAGAAGTCTCGTAACTGCATGCCTCAAGGCATATAACACCGAGGAGTCGTTTGTCGTTCATTCCCCGTCTAGTCACGCAACCCCCTCGTCTACACAAGATGTGGCAACTCCACCCTCAATCTCCAGTCCTTCTAGCACAACAGCATCATTTCGAGTTGGAAACCCATCGATCAACGATACGATATCGGTTGGCACCGTTTCAAGGGGGCAATCAGCGGATCCCTCCGTTTCTTTCTCACAGTCGTCCCCGATGCAGTCTGTGATAGCCGAGCCACACAAAACACCGCCTTACGCGTTGTGGGAGCCAGAACTTCCTTCACATCAACACTCTGTGTCAAACTCCAGACAGAACCAGTATGCACCTTCTAGGGCACATGATTCAGCCACCGTCTTTTCCGATATCGGATTCAACCCCGCGACACCATTCAATTCTTTCCCTTCTGTTGTTCCTGGCCTACCAGGCTGGGACCCCAACTTTGCTGTTGCCTCAACGACAGCAAGCCATCTAGCGTATGTTGACGCAGCGGTTGACCCAATGCGTTGGCTGGATACCATAGACGACCAATATTCTCAGTACTTCAATGGAGCGTATCCTATTCCACCCTGGCGGGGGAGAACGCTCAGTCAACAGGAACAAATTGAGCTCATGGCTTCCTTGGAGGAGAATATTCCCGATGTTTCTGCGCAACTTGTGCGAGATTCAGCAACATTCTACCAATCTTGACAACTTGGAGAAATCACAATCGCGAAAAAGAAAAAAAAAAAAAAAAGCAGAAGAAGAAGAGAGAGAAAAGGAGAAATCTATATTTACTTGAATCAATTATCTCGTATGCGTTTTCTTCTCAATAAGTGCTGCTATACCCATCTGTTATTGTTCGAATATGTATATGTCCTTGGATTTGTCTGTGTCTGGCTTGGTGCTGGGTAGGCCTGTCCTTTGTTTAGATCCGTCTCATTATTTCGATTACATGTATGGCTGTTGAAGCCAAAGAAAAGATGTCTAAAACCCGGTTAGATTCATACTGGGTTTGTTACTTGAATGCAACATTTCATTCAAGCGATCAGGACTAGCTGAATGATTCCTTGTTCGACTTGACAGCAGAGACTAAGTCGTGTGTGAAGTAGTCCACGACACTCCACGTGCAACTGATTATAGCATATCCCGCTGGTATGATAAATCATGGTCGAATTTGAAATATTGAAGCAAACCATAAGGTTATAAGACCCACACACTCTTGGGAGACATCACTGAGAGTTGCCACCTTGTTTCGAGTCTGGATCAAGTCAATATAGTACGTAGACTGAACATCGATGATGATGAAAGCACTGGCTGGGGGCATCAATGAGGCGATGGCTGTACTAGTGTTGCCATCTAGGTAGATATGTTCTATGCATAAAAAGAGATTCTGTTTGAAGCACCGCCTTGATAGTGGCACAAGGAGCTCAAAACAAAGAATCCCTTGCGAGTTCCGCAAAACTTTCGTTTTCTGACTTGAGGTATGTCGACTACTAGATAGCAACTGCCGCTCTTCCAGAAACAAAGAAATCCACACGCATCACACTTGACCTAGACACTATAAACGCGAAAGACTGAGGTGCCTGCTCTCATTGTCCTGGAAGTGTTACCCGAACAGGAAACTAATTAACCCGTCCAAGCGCGAGCGCGAAAAGATACCCGGTCACGTGCACGCCTGGGCTCTTTTGCCGTCATCCAACATCTCAGAACCCGTCCGTTTCTCCTCCATTATTGAGGGACCAAAGGGCATCGCTCTCTCCACCAACACCAATCACCTACCACCTTCAATCACCAAAGCTTCAACCTATCGACATCTCAGGGATAAATCGGGTTTCCTGACTGGAATGCGCGGCTTCTAGACGGTCGTGGAACGTCCTGCTTCAGCCGAACCTCGACCGGGGTGATCACATTTCCGCCCCCCTCTCGAAACCTGGGTCGGCTCTCGCCTGTCACAACCGTCCCTTGAGATCTACAAGTTCCAGGTCTCAGCGGTCGACTAGAGAGCTTACGCTGTTCGGGCGATCGGCATACCTTGAACTCTCAATCCTTCACCAGGGACCCCATGTCTGATTGCGCCTCATCAGCTTCATTCCGAGTAGGACCTCCTTCACCATCGTCTCCCGCCTCCGGGTCCCTGAAAGAGGACCATCCTCCATACATTTCGTCTGAAAATATCCCACAGACCCCGACATCTCCTCCGTTGATGTCGGTAAGCGCCCAGAACTATGCCACCAACATCACATCCTCCCAACCTCCTAGCCAGGCGACCTCACAACCTGCAAACCTATCATCCCCTCCATCCTCAGCTCCGATGTCTACCCAGACCTCACAACAGCCAACCGTAGGTATGGCAACTTCTTTTCCAACACCGGCTAGCAGCGTGAGTGGCCACTTCATGGGTCCGACCTCCGGCGAAGATTCAGAGCAAGCAGAGAAGGCGTTTGGCCACGCGCGAGCAGACACGGGGACAAATTCAGGTACAGATATGAGCGCAGCATCTACACAACAGTCAGAGCACAGACGGACGGACCATGACCGGGATTTGGCGACATCAACCTCAGACATAGGGATCCGTGATTTTGCAAACATGGATCATCAAATTGCGCGCAGCGATACGGACGCCATGGATATCGACAAGGATACTGGCGCCTCTTCTAACCCTAACGGACTCAGCTTGGAGTCTCTGCAGCAGGATTTCTCGTCCGCGTTCCATCTTTGCAAAAGCTGTAAGGATACCCCCAAACCAGTTCTTGGTGCAGCTGTTTCTGCCGCTTAACTATGCACTTATGTTCCATATCTTATTGAATTGAGATTTGTTAACACTGTGCTCTTATGACATCCACAGCCTATGTTGCGACTGGCCCGGACCCGACACTAGATCTCATCTCACTGTACGGGTTAGGTCCGGTTGCGAAATCGGTTGCACGACTGGATCCGAACACGGGAGAGAAGATCAACCGCCTCAGAAAGTCGTACGAAGGCAAATTGAAGGGTCTAGGGTTGGCGGGTCGAAATAAACCCGTGAAGCACGAGCCGAACATGCCTGGCGGGCTTAGGCACTTGACCATGTGGCCCGAGGAGGAGTGGTACAACCAGAAGGTTTACGGCAAGGATATCAAGGTCGCTGATATGGAATCCGCCCTTCAGAACCTTCAGATGAAGGCCATGCAAATGGAACCGGGTACGGTGCCCAACAATGACTACTGGGAAGACGTGTTGGGTCACGAGAAGCCGTCGAAACATGTCGGCCATAGTGATGGGAAGAAAGCCAGCGTGCCTCCAAACGGGCCTCGAGCAGTGAGCCAATCGAATGGAACACCCGTTCCAACGGAATTGGATCGTGCTCGCCCCAGTCGGGGTCGCAAGAGGCATTATGATGACAGCAGTTTTGTCGGTTATGGCGAAGGCTACGCTGATGACGATGACGACGGTGCATTCTATTCCAATAGCGAAGGCATTGGCAAGAAGAAACGAAAGAAGGTAGGCATACAAAGGTACCAACGGTTTGGTGGTTACCTGGCTAAGTGTTCTATTAGGATCATGTTTCGAAGGTCTCGACACCACTGCCCGACAGAGGCGGCAGCTATGGCGTCGGCATGTTTGGCATTGGGGCGAGGTAAACGATCGACGGCATGAAAAGCATTTTCCTTTTCTCTATTCTATGAATTTCTTCGTGCATAAGGGTTCTGAGATATTCAGACGAGGAGGTGAGGCCTTGGAATTTCCATGATGGTGGGAGGCAACATCGCGATGATTGGATCTTTCAGCCTGTGAACTTGTCCTTGGTCTACTATTCTTCTCCGTACATTTTTCCCTTTTTTTTTTTTTTTTTTTTTTTTTTTATCTTACTCCCTTGCATCACGGTGCTGGATATACCCGGCTTTCACAATGGGACGGCGTTTGGTGGGCAACAATAATCAGCTGCGGAAAGGAATGCTTTTGTTCGTTGTGTGCTTTTTCCCATTTCAGTTTCCTCCTGCTTTTCCACAACCAGGCCTTCTGCTGTAATTTCGACGAGTCATTGTTGCCGATTGTTGACTATGTTCTGCCTGATCGCGTCCTGTTCGTCCTTGTGGAAGACTGAATGATTTTTGGATCATCAATCATACTCAAAATATGGCGACTTGTGTTTTCCTTTTTCTCCTGTTGAATGGGAATGGGGGTGGCCTTGTACTTTTTTTTTTCCCCTTCCACCTTGGCTGTTCTGTTCCTGCTGACAAGTGCTCGGGGAGACTCTACCAGCGCAAAGGACACGGCCAATGCGATCCTACAAATAGATGAATGCATACCTATGATGATCGCCTTTGCAGGTCAGCTTGTAGTCAGTATGGGAAGCTATTGATAGACTAGAGATTTTTGAATTGATTCTCGACCAGTACCACAGCATTGGTGCATGATATTCCTTTCACAGGATGTAACTCAGGGTCACTCTAAACAAACACCCAGCCCTATCAGCGGCGCATACATTGACGCTTCCCAACTTCAGTCTGTTAAACAATATCTAGATAGCTGGCGATCAAAGCGACCTCTGTGCATGAACGCGGGGTAAAAGAGCGATCGCCTCTGCCATCAAGCGGGGCTGGAGGAGAACCAATCCCCGACATCGGGATTATCTTCACCACTTACCTTAGATACCCTAGTTACCCAATACGGAGTACCTACCTATCGTCTGATGTTTTTTTTTTTAATTCCCCCCCCCCCAAATGGCCATACGATTTATGATTTATGATCAAGACTGTTGCCCAACCACCCACCTCTCCTTAAAGCTCTATCTCCCAAGTCCTGACTCACTCACCTCCTCTCCACAGTCTCCAGTCTCCAGTCTCCAGTCTCCAGTCCTTAGTCTCCAGTCTCCAGAACCCCCCCAAAAAAAACAACTCCTCTCCACCATGAGCTCAAGACTCACCGAAGCGCTCCAGCGCATCGACGACGCTCACGCCCAAGATCCCAACAAAGTCACCATCAACGGCACCGAAACGCCCTACGAGCTGCACTACGCGACCAAGATGACCAGTTACCTGCACAAGCGCAGCGCCTCGCCCTCGGAGACGCTGCAGCTTGCGATCCGCGCGCAGCACCTGCGCCGCTGGGAGGTCCCGCGCGACTCATACCCGGCGACGAAAGCGGGCTACTACGCGTGGCGCAGCTTCCTGGCGAAGCGGCAGGCGGAACTGGTGGAGGCGATGTGTGTTGCGAGCGGGTATTCGGCGGCGGAGGCGGGGCGGGTCGCTGCGTTGGTGCGCAAGGAGGATCTGAAGAAGGATGAGGAGACGCAGGTGCTGGAGGATGTGGCGTGTTTGGTGTTTTTGGATGATCAGCTCGAGGAGTTTGAGAGGGGGCATGATGAGGAGAAGATCCTGGGGATCCTGCGCAAGACGTGGGGGAAGATGTCGGAAGAGGGGCATGCGTTGGCGTTGAGGATTGAGATGTCCGAGAGGGCGAAGGGGTTGGTGGCGAAGGCGTTGAGTGGGTGATTCTTTTTTTTTTCTTTTTTGGTTTTGTTTTTCTCTCTCTTTTATTTGCGAAGATGATCTATATCTTGAACGGAGATTTGTTACTGAATTGTGTTGGGAGAAAATGGATATTGTACATTAATCATCAGGTGTATATGACCTGTCGGTCCCGAAACGCCACGCTCATGTTCACATATACCTATGAACTTTTTTTATCGAAAAAGAAACAAAGATCCTCCGGTAACTCCGAGTCAATCCGTGAGGTATCATTCAGGAAATTCAAGCAGCCCCTTGGTCGATCAACCGAACCAGAGCAATAGCAGCGCCTGCTGCTATACCTCCTACACAGCACATCTGCACACCACCCTTGATGGCCGCGATGATGTTGTCTTTGCCCGTCCATCCCCGGACAACACACGTCTTGATGTATCCAAACGCAAGCAGAGTAATAGCCATGACGCCAATGCTCCAGTACAAGGCCGCATTGACATGCTCGACAATAAAGTACGGAATGAGCGGGATGAAGCCGCCAACAAAGTACCCTAGGGCTAGCGTGATGGCCGAGATCCACGCCTGGTTACAGTCGGGCTGACTCTCTTTGTGGTGGAAAGAGACGAGGAACTCCAGAAGACGCTCCTGCGACGCATGGAGCGATGCGTTGATCTGCGAGATGGCATCGTCCGGCAGACCATATGCGGCGAACGTATTGTGGACAATGGAGCTGGTTTCGGCGGACGAGGTTTCGATGAGCTCTTTTGTCTCCCGGACTGTTGCCTGGTATGACTCTCTGTCGATATAATTAGCAAGACTGGCAGGAAAAGAAGAAACATGACCGGAGACATACGCTTCACTCTTGGCCCCGACATATCCACCCAGGCCCATGGAGATAGCCCCAGCTGCCAACTCGGCAAGTCCACCCAGCACCACGACTTTGGTGTTCCCCAAGGCAGAGAGTCCAGCACTCAGAGCAAAGGGGACCGTCAGACCATCGGAGAGACCCAGAATTGCGTCCGAGATGATGCGCGGGTTGATGCGGGATCGCGAATTGGATGAGTTCGACGACACGGACTCGGCGTCGGATCGGGGCGTGTTGAATGTACTGTATGATCGCTGAGCCTCAATGTCTTGATCTGCATCGCTGCCTAGTGTGTCTGAATCGCTTGGTGATAATAGAGGTTTCCCTGGGGCGGGTTGTCAGTTCAGTTGTGTGTGTGGAAAAGGCGAACAAACAGTGGTGCTGAACGAACCATATCTATCTGGTTTGGCTTGTTTCCCTTTACTCGGGAAGAGTTTTTGTTTTAGAAACAGAAGGGCCATCGTGTGCGAGAAATAAATATATACTGGTCCAAAGGATCAAAGTGAAGACAATAGAAGCTCTCGAAAAAAGAGAAGAGAGAGACGATGTATAGTCGACGAAATAGGAAGAATGTATACTATAGTCGTAGACACAGACCGGTGGCACTGACGTCAGAATCAACTACCAAATTCTAGACCTTTTCTTTTGGAGACGACAAAACCAAAAGGCACAGAATTCCAAGTCCAGCAGACGCTTCAGATGTTCAGTATCTTTCGACTGGCAGCTTCCAGATTCAAACACCTCCCCCCTATCAATGAGAGTTCTCTAGATTTTTATAACAAACCCCATTTCTGTGTCGGTGTTTCTCGCGCGCACACCAAAGGGATACAGCTCAGTGGCAACTGGCCAATCAGCGAGTGCATAATTGTCAGCACTCTGCGTTTTTGCTCTCAATCTTTGCGACACGCAGTCGGTGGTCTGTGTGAGAATAAACCGTCCAAGTACTATTGGCGAAAAACTCATCCAGATTACTATTCCACTGTCTGTGAGTGGTGGATCGCGCCTCAAAGTCTCACTTTACGAGCAGAGTTCCAGCAAGACTTGCGTCCCCGCTTCCATCAAGATCGAGCACCGTCCGGTGGTTATGGACCGTTCGCACAGATGTGGTTGATAAAAGGGTCACTGTGATTGGAAGAATCATTGACCAGGCTAGGGAGTCTGACTGCTATGGAGGGCTGTAGCCCTGCTATGGAAGGTGGACAGTCCCAGCGTACAATTTATAGAGTGTGCGCTATATAGCACAGGGAGAAACGAGGCTCAATCTTTACGGCGAAAGGATTGACTTCGAATCTAGGCCGTTTACTATCTCAGAAGCAATAGTTATCACCATGTGCATTCCACACAACGTTGGTTATAGTTGATTAACATATTACATTCAGGGCTCTGGGCTCACAGAGCAAGGGCCAGGCCAAGGATACCAGCAGCACCGGCAATGCTAGCCGCGATGGCACCGGTAGAGGCAGGAGCAGCGCCGTGGGAGGTGGCGCTCGAAGCTGAGCCGTCCTTATTCCCGGATCCGTTGGATCCAGCGCCAGAGGAGCCTGAGTTACCGGTGGCAGTGGCTGCCGCCCCAGTCATGGACGCATAGTTGGTCGACACCCATTGCTTGACGTCTTTGGGTAGGTTGTTGTACCAGTCGGGATAGTGGCCCTGCTGAATCTCGTGGATGATGGACGAGCGAGCAGTGGGGTTGGTGAGCTCCGACAGGTACGAGGACGGGAGAGCAGTGGCGAGGACAGACGCAATCGACGGAGGAGGCATGTTGAGGTAGTCAAGGGTCGGCACCGGGGGCATGGAAAAGGAGAGGTCATTGCCCAGGCCAGTGGGAATGTTGAAGTTGCCGAAATCAGTCTTGGTTGCAAGGTTGAGCAAGTCGGTGTTGGTTGCCAGATTGACCCAGTCGGTCTTGGTCAAGTACTGGTTCCAGTCAACATCAGAGGCCCTATTCTCAGTGTTTCATTAGGATCTGGTTCATCTTGAGTTGTCGAAAGAATGAGTGCTTACATATTGTTCAGGTCATTCATGAGGCTCGAGTAGTAGTCAGACTGTCTCTTCTCAACGTCGACTTCCGGGGCAGCTTCCGGGGCAGCTTCCGGGGCAGCCAGGGCTGTGGCAGCCAGAAAGAGTAGAGAAAGAGCCTTGTATTGCATGTTGACAAATTGACAGATGGTCTTGAGGGTAAAGAGTGTCGGTGCTTCTTGAACGAATGAAACTGCCAAGGTCAAAGTGTCTCAAATGAGGGAGATTGAGGAAAGGAAAGACGAAGATATCAATCGCGACAGCTTGGAGGGTTCAGCCTCAACCAGCGGGCGAAACGACCTTTTGAATGTTTGTCCATGAGAAACTCATTTCGCTGAAATACGGTTTGACACGAATTTCTGAGGCTCTAGTCAAATGAATTGTTCCTGCAGGTGTCTTCCTCGAAGCTTCACCAATCAGGAACTGTGAGCTGTCATCCAGGACGATAATAAGCGCGGAAAAGGAGTCCAAGCTAGCTCTCATACGGTCAGCCCAATTGCCTAATTTGGTCAAAAAGTTGCTAAAGTCGTTCCCAGTCTCAAGTGTCAGAATCCATCAGCCAATCCAGAGGAGGGGTCCTCGGACACAGTCCTTCAACGAACGATCACGACCTAGATAGAAGGACCCTGAGCGTCGAGGCTCGTATTGACAAGAATTTTGGGATGAGACGATCTAACACTAGCAGACGATGCCTGCTTGGCAAGGCATTCCGTGCAAATCATAACCCGAAGAGCTGAGAAATACGAGGCGCCACAAGAGCAAAGTTCAACTTCGCTCAAATTATCTTTTTTTTTTCTTTGGGTCAATCAGTTTGACCATTTCATCTGCCCGGGCGGCCAGCTCAGTGTGTGAACTGCTTGAGTTGCTCTTCTCTGTCACTTTCCCAAAAATAGGGGGGGATCTCGGATGCCGATGACGAGGGGGTATGCCTCATCTCCGTTGATGCCTTTTGATGCTCGCCATCTTCCATTTGCTCTCAATAGCTGTGAAGGAGGCGTTCCATTCATCTTTCGAGCATATTTCGTAGATCACTTTGCAGGTCATTGGATATGCATGGTGGCAACCAGAGGTAGGTCGCCCGGAAATAACTTAGAAGATCACAAAGTAAGACTGTAACCAGTGAGGTTCACTTTAAAGGCCCAAGCCCCAACCACATGTATGGCAAATGCTTGATCTAGCTTATGTTAGGGACTAATTGACGCGACACGCGGCGCTACTCCGCGTTGAGTTCAAGAATTTCATGTTCCTCCGCCTCGCTTGCTGACCAATCATATCACCTTATTTATCTGCTGCGAAAGGGATATAATCCATTGTAAAGTCTACCTTGGTGCCTTCGGGCATTTGGTCAATTTGAAACGATACAGAGAAGATTAGCATGGCCCCTGCACTAAGGATGACACGCTCAATCAAAGAGAAGCTACCAGTTTTTTTTTTAATTCTTACAGACCTCATATTGAGGTAGGAGTGTCAGGCAAGAAAGGGGTGATCTCGAAGTCGTCAGTTCGAATCCAGGGGTTCTCACTTGTTGCTTTTCTTTTTCTTCGCATCTCAATCCCGACGGATCCTCCCGATTTAAATACCTTAGCTGGACTGACCGTAATCTAATGATGCGCAGTGCCACATTGCCTAGCACAACCGCCTGGTTTCCCAGACGGCGCCATGCCCATCGCCCCGTCGGTAGACCGCTGTCCATTGTCCGCATGACGCTTTACAAGATATCTAAGCCACTGTGCATGTGAATCGAGCCAATATAATTCAACATGTCTATACTAGCAGCCGTAGTCTTCATATAGTGCTTAGTAGGCTGGCGCGCAATTGCGAAACCTCCTGCCTCTATGGTAATACATTCACCGTCCAAGAGCTGCAACGCCGCGCCATCGCGGTGATCGAGCCGGAAAATATCAAGACGGTTTTATCGCTGAATTTCAAGGACTATGGAATCAGGTATTGTCTCGAGCTGTTCAGGCCGCTGTTAGGGGAAGGCATCTTCAACACCGATGGCGACCACCTTGGCCGCGTCGCGTGCGCTGATCCGGCCGACCTGCGCTTGTTGGAGGGTCTGTTGCAGGATCTAATGGTGTTGCTTCTGCGCGATGGGACAACAGCGGACTTGTAGGAATTGTTCTTTCGGTATACAATTTATTCTGCGACGGAGTTCTTGTTCGGGCAGTCGGTTGGCTCGTTGAAGAAGAAGAAGGAGGAGGACAGCAGCAGCCTGTCGGAGCTTGGGTTCGTCGAGGCCTTTCACTATGCCCAGAAAGCGGTGCTCACGCGGGTCATGCTGGGTTCTTTCACCGCGGTCTACCCGTGATCACAAGGCCGACGTGTGTAACCGTATCTGCCGGGACTTCGTACAGCAGTTCGTTGAGGATGCTGTCCAGGCAGCTGAGGGGAGGAGGAAGGAAGATGATCTTCTTGGAGAAGAAAGAATGAAGACAAAGGAGAAGCGTATCTTCTCGTATGAGTTGGCGTCGCAGACGTCCGATAAGCGGCGCATTCTGGATGAGCTGATGGATGTGCTCCTAGCCGAACGCGATACAACGGCCAGCCTCCTCGGGAACCTGTTTTTCATGCTGGCGAAGAATCCGGCCATCTGGGAGAAGCCGCGCCGTGAGGTTGATGTCTTGCAGAACCGGTCGCCGACATATAAGGAGCTTCGTAGGCTGAAGTATGTTCAGTGCCGTGTGAATGAATATATAGATCTTTCCCCCCCCCCTTCCCCATCCCATTACCCTCGTTACTCTCACTCCCCACTAATTCGAAGACTCCCCTCCAGCGCAGAGCGCTGGGAAGATGGCGAGTTGCATCTACAGCTGCTCCCGCGTTGGGAATATTTACCGTTCAATGGCGGGCCGCGGATCTGTATTGGCCAGCGCTATGCCTTGAACGAAGTAAGCTACGTTCTTGTTCGGATGGTGCAGAAGTTCCGCGGGCTAGAGAGCCGGGATCCGGGGCCTTGGGAGGAAAGTCTGGCTTAACCGCAGCGGGAATGCAACCTCCTCAGCATGACTTTCTTCTTTGTTGTACTTTTTATAGAGCGTGTGTTTGGAGTGCTCTCAATCTGCCTCGGTCACGATAGAAGAGCTTTGAGAATCCCATTTACCTTGTTAAAGATATGCGCAAACTCTCCATCAAATAATACATCCGAATGAGATGTGAACAGGGAAGCTTCAGCTTATTCGATATATCGATAATTCTTCCTTTTATTCACTCCTCACGTCAATCGTCGAATGGCCATGCTTCCTCCCACGCAAGTCTCTCTGCTTCAGAGTGTGCCACTTGACCAATCAGCCCTGCCTTTGCCTGTTTCAAGAGTCTTTTGACTTCATCATATTTCTCTGGCCGTACGACGCCCTTGTCAGGCCATAGTTCGTCCAGCGACTCTCTCAAGCTTCGCATCAATTCCATTCCTCTAGCTGTACCAGAAACATCTTCATGAATTGACTCAGCCTCGTCTGCGGAGAACTGCAAAGGAAATGGCGGATCTCCAGAAGCGCGCACGCCCGGAAGATTTGTCCATTCATTTTCAAGGTCAAGGCATCGCGATTGATATAATGCCTCACCATCAATAAGGAGATTTTGAGCGAACAGCATCATCTCAAAGCTGGTTGTCTGCCGGAACTCCATGGCTTTGAATAACGTCGTGTTAGTGTTATGAGTGAACCTTCGGTATAAAGCTGAGAGTGCCATTTTCAAATAGAGGTCCTGAGCTCTCGCCTGCTCGGCAGGATTGAGCTCAGCGAAATCCTGCGGAAATGGTGGTGGATCAAGACCTGTTGAAGGAGGGCCATTGTAATCCAGGAAATATGGCTGACGTGCGTGATCGAAAAGAGGTAGAATCTCGCTTGACTGCCAATCTATGATGCCTAGAACTTCTGAAGGCCGTTCCGGGCGGACGAAGATATTCTCAGCATGGAGGTCGGGGTGCCATAGAACTGCAGAGGTAATTGATTTATCTGTGGGAAGAAGATACTTCACAAGACGAAGATAGTTCTGAAGAGCAGCTATTTTTTGGAACGAGAGCGACTATACGTGCCGGGCCCATATAGCGACAATGGTGATCGAGGTAATTGAGCCATATTCTGCACACAGGCAATTTCTCGGAGGCCAACTGCCGACTTGTACTGCTCCACTGAGTCCCCTGATATAACCATGTGAGCAGATACTTCTCATAGGACAAGGTATAGAGCCATACAGGGACCCATATCAAACTCCAACGCTATCCTACCATCATCGAGGAATTCTCGGCCCGTCGACGGGCCAACAGCAAACCGGTGGGTTTTGACTATAGACCCATCCTCCTTCACAAGGTTGCATCCATCGGTATCATCTATGGCGGATGAGTAGTATAAACTGCCGTATTGGGTAAAAGATGTTGACATCCAGGTTTTCTGATATCCCGAAATTGTTTTCACGAGTTCAAATCTTTCCTTGATATCCATCTCTGGCCAAACTTTGTCAAGCTGGACACCAGGGACCTTTTCTATTATGATGTATTCAGTACCAACTGAGTTGTCTTTTGCTTTAGAGCTCCAAGCTAGCACTTTAGGTACAGGGGTTTGTAGCTCATTTCTGGCCTAAGTAGAACATGAGAATAGAAGTAAAGCAGCTGAGGGGGGGGGGGGGGATGAGCTATTGAATACTGCCTACAAAATCCATGGTTGCCACTTCGCTGGCAGTAGTGTAGTGGGACAGCCCTGCGTTCGGATTCGGTACTTTACCAACGACTTGGGTACCGTCTTGCATTGTGAAAAGGAAGGTCTTATTGAACATCCCATCAGGAAACTTCTCGATCCGAGTGCATTGTGTGTATGTGAAGCCGATTGATTCAGCGGCGCGCTTTGCTAGCTCATTCATATCGAACTCAATGTGGCGTATCCCCATCTCGTGATCTTCATTGGATAGGAAGCGGCCCCTTGTATAGCAAAACCAGTCGTCGTTTGTGTTCCAGCCTATGTGCATTGACCGGTTAAAGTCAGCTGTCGATTGACTGGAAGCATAGGATGACTGCATCCTTTTTTGCTTTCTAAACACAGAAATGACACTGCGTCTCATCATAAGATAGATTGTGGTATGCGAGGAACCACACCAAGAAGAACAATGAGATGAAGAGAGTAATATGGAGTGCAGGTTTGTCTTTGTTGGATGATGGGCAAGTTATATTAAGCAGACAAAGCAACGTGATACTTTAGTCAGCAACTACTGAGACTACCAACCGCAATATTAATGCCTTCAAGGATAGGATCACTGCTTGTTTACAATGCAAGACATGACATGGGTTCAAGCATATATTCATCTTCGCGTCCAATTATCATACTAAAAATACACAGAGAAGAGTCGTTCTATTTCAGTCCACCATCACACCCCAAAGATGCTCATTCGTGCCCGCTCTAAGCACCACCCTCTCTCTTCGCATATTCCTCCTCCATGCGCTCCTCATACATTCTCTCCGCCTCGGCCTTGCTCATGGGACGATCACTCTCCGCGTTCTGCAGGACATCAGAATTCAAGCCGGACGAATATCCTGGTGCGGTGACCGTGCCACCGGTGCCTGTGCCGAAGACTCGGCCGCTGGCGTTGTTCTCTGTGGTAGCAAGAGCCTCGACTGATGCGTAGCCGGCAGATCCAGAGGGTCGGGTTCCAGCGTTCGATTGTTCGGCGCGGTCAGTGAAGGTGGGAACTTGGTGAGGCATATTTGATACGATGATGATTGTAGTCCCGTGTGGATTTGAATATGTAAGATATTGCTTAAGAGGATAGGAAAGGTAGATGGTAATGCTGTAAAGTGACTTATAGGAGTTTATGAGCAGAAAGTGGTGTTTATGTACATCGGGTCGTTGGCGATGGATAGAGAGAGATGTGGCGACGACGTCATATGGACAATGCCCCGATACTGTGGCTAAGCACAAGGGTCCAAGAGCCACACATGTGGCGCAGCAACCATACTTCGAAGTGTGGCAAAACATTACATTCCTAAACAGGCAACAGCGTCTAGAACGTCTATTCTCCCTCCCTGAGACCCAAACACACGTAGGACAATCTCGACTCTCGACACTGTTGAATGCTATCACGAGTCCTGACACCTGACCCAGCATACGTAGTCTTGAAAAAATCCAAGACCCATATTTTCCACGACCACAGCCTACAAGGTACACACATACAATGCACATCCTCTTCTCCACCCTCGAGCCACTGGCCCAAGAACTGATGAAAAGTATGATATCCACGAAGTGGAAAGTGCCAAAGAATACGCCTGTCAATGACCCGAAGGCCGTTGAACAAACTGTTCCGCCGCGCTGTGCAATGCAGGGACCAATCTGTGGTGGACCGCCTTCTTGATCGCAGCCACCCAAACAAGGTAAGTATGAAGAAAAGAAAGAAGAAAAAAGTCTAAAAGATCGGGGGGCGGACGAATGTTATATAGGTTTCGGTGGGGTAGTAAGGTAGCGCTAGTCATAAGCGAGGTGTTTCTGGACGGCTGTGATTCGTTGAGGGGACTCGGTCAGATCACATGACATGTCTTGGACAATATTGCGATCAACACACACTACAGAGTATAGTTGCAACGTGAATGATGGGCTGCGTGCTAACTGCTAAGGTTTGTGTAGAATAGCTAGGAATTACTCCGTAGTCTGCTTTGATGAGGCTACAGTTTCTTAATCAGAGATGAAGTCTTGATTATCATCTCATTCAATATATGAGAAATCCCGCCCGCCTCAAACGATATATGCATATTGTCCGCCACAAAGAGGTGGATAATTACATGCTAGGCTACCGAATCCGAAATATACTTACCAAGAGGGTCTCAAAAGCCTCAAGATATGTACTAGAACAGTCACCCGCCTTAGATAACTGCCGTCCTATTCAGCACTGAGAGCGAGACATGCGTCTACCGCCAAACCCACTCTGTTGAAGCTGTATCAGCAGATGTTGTCTTTTCTCCGAATTTTCCTTCGTAGATAAGCCTACCTTCCTTCCTTCATCTTGACAACATCGTCAATGATATCGCGATCAAGATTCGGGAACATGTTCGAAAGTGTCTCGACCACATTGTTGTGTTCAGCACGCTGGATTTTCCGTGCTTCCGCATCTTCAGCGCTAGCCTGCCGAGCAGCAGCGTCTTGGGCATCCAGGACCTTGGCCAATTGCGGCTGCGCAGCGTTGCGTGGGCCCTCACTACTGCTACGGGGAGGCTGATAAACATTGGGGGACAATCGCGGGGGTGCCCCTGGTTGTGGGGTTGCCACGGGCTGAGGTGGTCTGTCCTGTGGTGAATCCGGCTCATCTGAGAACATCCTTCCAATTGTCGACAATGGTTTTTGTATGGTTCGCAACAGCCCTGCTACCGGCGCAGTATCCTCTTCACTGGTTTGCGGCGCATCCCGCCGCGTAAGTCTCTGTCCATCAGCAGATGCCCGCGGAGTACCTTGCGAGCTTTCTGCGGCAGGGCGTTCAATTCTTTTTTGTTCTAAGGTTTCAGACACCCGATTCTGCTCCGCGATAGCAGAAACAGCGGCCTCAACATTTCGTTCAAACTCCTCATCGCTCACTGTCAGGCTCGTCCTATCCAGTGTCTCGATAAACTGAATGGCACCCGACTGTAGACCATGTCAGACACGTCTTTCGCATACCTCTAGGGGTTCGAACAACTTACCAGCGACGACAGATAGTAGCCGGCTTCTCCGCCTAATTTGTCCTGGTTACGGAAGCGAAGGATGTATTGTATATTGGAAACTAGATGTTCAGGGCGGGCTTGTAGCACCACATAGATCAGAAGAGGCACGAATGAATCGGCCGATGTGTCGGCACGTTTGGAGTTCTTCAGCAAGCCTAGCAAATCATAGTCAACCATGTGTCACAGATACTCAGCCTAGGAGCTCATTTGGAGACTCACCAAAAATGACTTTGCAGCAATTCAAAATGCAAATTACTTTGTCACGAGGCGCACGGTAACCATTGATCTTCAGAATTTCTAGTTCGAATGTCAGACAATCTCCTAGCATGAGAACGATACGCCACATACCCTGCTGTGCCAGATTGAGAAATCGACGGCCATGGGCACCCACGGGAGGTATGTCAAGATGATCCTCTTTCACCCAGCTATAAATCCGCATTTTTTGAGCTAACACATCGTCGCGTTCAACATCTTCCTGATGTTGACCACGCCTCCATGGGCCGTGGAGTCGTTCCATCTCTCGTCGCCTGCTTCGACTAGTACTTCTTGGTATCGAAGGCGGAGCTGGAATAGCGGGGGAAAATGTCTGAGAGTACAATCGATTCATGACCAGTTTCTCCATCCCTTCTTTGGCGTTATCAAACTCACTGTCGGATACGTCTCGCCAAACCTCGCACACAGCCATCTTGTTGGTGATGAAGGTTAGGAAGTCGCTTATAATTTTCACCTGCTCGTGTACCATCCACTGTCTTTTGCCAAACTCATTGAGAAAGGAGCGGAGAAATTTGGCCACAGGATCTGCAGTGCGATGCCTTAGTTGTTCCAAAAACCGGTGAAAGTCAAAAGGCTGATCAGGTTCGGGTTCCGGTGGTGGAGGAACCGTGGAGGTTGAAGACCGTCGTGTTGAAGTCTGCTCTTCAGATACCCTATGCACTTGTTTGGAAATTGGGGCCGGCGGCTGTTCATGGGTTGAAGATTGTGATGCTGCGGTGAGCTGCAAAGCATGAGGACCTGCCTCTGCTGATTTTGATTTCGAATGATCTAGGCTCGAATGGCGCGGCGGAAAATGGCCTTGACCCCCAAGAAATTGCTCCGCGAGTTCCAAACGAGGAGACATCAATTGCTCCTGACCGCCCGTGCGTTCAGTGTCCTGAAACTGGCCAATGATACTCTGGATCTCCGGCTGAGAATCATCATCCCGACTCCCTTCGACGCGACTCTCCGCTTTCTTCTCAGTCTTCACACTGGCCGGTACATCCGGCAGCGCTTTTTCAACCACCTCTGATGTAACATTCACGGATGTCTGTAAGGGCGGTGCGGCCTGGGATTTCGTAGAAAGATACAGCTCATCTTTCTCGGGAGGAGGTGGAGGTGCATCGGTATCTGTTTGGGAACCATGGTCACTCGTATGTGCTGAGACTGATAGCCCTTCAAGGCGTGCTGTGAGCGATTTGTGCGGTTCAGTTGTTGAGGGTTCGGCAACGGGTATATCTTGATTCACATTTGAAGAGTCGTCTGCAGAGATATGCATTTCATCCTGAGTATCTTGTAGACCCTCTTTCATGTCGCTATGTTGTAGGCTCCTGTGGGGGTGTTCCTGTGCTGCTGAGGGGTCATTCTGCGCTGATGCGGCTGAATCAAAACCGGTCAGAGTCACTTCTTGACCCTTTCCTAACTTATCGTTGAATTCGATTGGCTGAGTATCCAACTGTCCATTGGAAGCCGGGGGGTCGGAAGTCTCTGGAGTAGACATAAGCTATCTGCATGCACGCTGACCGTCAATGTAGAAGCTTGGTGGGGAAGGCGGTTCAGACGAAGGCACAGATCATCATGGGAGAACCATTCAGCGTGGGGTGTTTCTAATTCGCTACGTAAGAGATAGCGGTATTCCAAGCAGCGACAAGCTCGCAAAACTGAGACATATGAAAAAGCACAAGTATTGAGTCTGATGCTCTAGGAGAAAGCATGTAACGTTGTTGGAGTATTGTGGTTATCACCGCACCCGGTGCGGATCATCATGACCCCGAGATCCGATGAGGAAAGAAAACATGACACTGAGGATCATTTGTCCTTATTTCAACCTTGTTTTTCTGAATATCTGGACCACGCGCTATTATAGCTTGCGGTCATCGTTCCGTGATGTGTGGGATTTTCTTCTCTCTGAGCACTAATGGATCTGTGCTTCCAAATGAGGAGACTTGCACTCTATTGCGGAACCGAGGGCCAGATAGCTTCCAGGTTCATACAGTACAACGGAGCTTGGCTCCGGGTCATTCTGTCCATTCGCCAGCTCCGAATATAGTCCTCACATTCGTTTCCACCGTGCTGTCACTGAGGGGAGATCGTATTCATTCTCAGCCGTTTGTGGATCCAACCACGCAGTCCGTGCTTTGCTGGAACGGCGAGGCTTGGAAGATAGCTGGTGAACCTGTCCAGGATAATGATACCGAGTTAATCTTCCAGTCATTTTTACATGCTATCAAACCCTGTTCGGGGCAAGAACTTTCAAGAACCTCAACTGAGAGAGATGAGAAAGGTGCGGTTCGACGAATAGCGGATGTTATAAGTAACATAACAGGCCCCTTCTCCTTTGTTTTCTATGATGCCGTCAACTCAAAGCTTTATTTCAGTAGGGACTGTCTTGGACGGCGATCTCTGTTGCGAGGCCTCGACGAGGCTGGGAACCTGAGGATATGCAGTATCTGCGATAGTTCTTCATCAACGCACTTTGACGAAGTCGATACCAATGGCGTGCATATGATTGACTTTGAACAAAACATCCTGCAGAATGCTCTTGGACCTGGTCCCATCAAATTCAACCTTGAAAGCATTCAAACACTTCCCTGGGAGCACAAAGAACCGTCGCTCAGCTATTTGGTAGGCTCATCCTTTCCTAAACTCACCTTTTACAATTACTGACAGCAAACCCAGAGGAACCCAATACCTCAGATGAACAAATCTATTCCTGATGGTACGCCACCTCCGCTGACTGTCGACTCTCCCTGTGTCCAAGAACTTGAGCAAGCACTCCGTGAATCTCTCCAACTAAGGATTCAGAATGTGCCTGAACCGCCATCCACCACCTCTGGTGACGTGAAAGTTTCAGTGCTATTCTCTGGTGGACTTGACTGCACTTTACTTGCTAGACTGTCCCATGATGTCCTCTCCAAGGATGAGACGATTGATCTACTCAATGTTGCATTCGAGAACCCCCGCGTGGCCGCAGCAGCTGCAAATAAAGGAGAGGCGACCTTGTCTGTCTATGAAAGCTGTCCAGATCGCATGACGGGTCGTGCAGCATTCGCCGAACTGCAGAGAGTTTGCCCAGATCGCAACTGGCGATTCGTTGCTATAGACATACCCTATGCCCAAACAATCGCGCACCGCGATATGGTCAAGCGCTTGATGCGGCCACACAACACAGAGATGGACCTTTCGATTGCCTGCGCGCTCTACTTTGCGTCTCGCGCGAAAGGTACAGCACTCGACAGCCGAGGCAACTCGATTGAACCACGCCAATATACCAGTTCCGCCAGAGTACTGCTTTCCGGTCTAGGAGCCGATGAATTGTTCGCGGGCTACGCACGACATGGGGTGGCATTTGCGCGGGATGGATTCCGCGGCCTTATCGACGAGATCCATCTGGACGTCAGCCGTCTCGGCAAGCGTAACCTTGGTCGCGACGATCGAATCCTCTCAAACTGCGGTCGTGAGCCCCGATACCCATACTTGGACGAAGACTTCGTGTCCTACGTGCTGCGAGCTCCTGTGTGGGAGAAATGCGGCTTCGGGGTGCCCGATCTGCCAGAAGGCACAACAACAGACCAGACAGGCATTGACTCCGAGAAGAAGGCACTCCGCCTTCTAGCCCTGAAGCTGGGCATGTCCCACGTCGCGAGGGAGAAGAAGCGAGCGATCCAGTTCGGCTCCAGAACCGCCAAGATGGAAAAGGGTAGAACGAAAGGCACCGATGCGCTGAGCTGAAAATGAACAAAGACTGGGCCCGTTCCATTCCAAGTTACTCTACCCCTGCGTAAAAAACCCTGCGTGTCAACCGCCAACACCACTCCATCCCCATCCTCACCCCGGTCCCTCCTTTCCTATCCCCAACCAACCAGCTATGATGACAAAACACTGATCAGATACTTCCGAGACTCCACCTCTTCTTGTCCCTTCTCAGCCCTCCAGAAACCCCATTCATACCGCTCCCTGTTTATGCAATCAGCTATCTCGAGCGGACACATCCAATTCTACCGCTCATCTCATCGCAAACCGCTCATTCCCACCGTGGCCATCCCTCCCATACATCTCCCTCATCCTTCGTCCTTGGTTCTCGACCACATTTGCTCTCCCATCTGGATCGGTGGAACGACCCAACTTCCTTTTCCTCGGACTTGGTCGGGTTGGTTCAAGTCGGGAAGAGGAGTCGGTTCTTCATTACTTGTCTGGATTAGGGGGGGCGCAGCGAGACCAAGTATGAGCGGGTGGGCGTGGGCGTGGGCGTCCGGGGGTGGTATGGTTGTTCTGGGTGTGTTTATGAGAGATGGGAATGGAAGATAGGGTTGAGGTCACTGTCTCTTGTGGTTTGTCAGGGTGTGTGGGTGAGGGGGGTGACGGGTGGGTTTGCTGAGAATCAAGAGGCTTGGTCGATGAGGGGTTATTAAAGGCAAGTCTGAGCTGAGTTGGGGGAATCATCCGGAGGACATGGTTGTGTATCGATCGATGTGAAAGTGCCATGTAGTTTGTAGTTTAATTCTACAAGGGGGAATGGTGGTATTACAAAGGCCAACGGTTGCTCTGAACCGAAATTCAGATTACCATGGAAGAGTTTAAGAATAGTGACAATTTAATTTCGAATAGTAAAAGACAGTCTCTGGTCATAACGCAGGACGATTGAAGTATGGAAGAAGCCAAGTCAACGCATCTTTGAAAAGGAGCAATTGAAATAGGCAGCGGTAAGATAAGGAAAAAAGAAAAAGATATTAATCTGGCCACGAGTCAATCCTGCACAAGCAGGAGACATCAGAACCGACCATCCGATACTAAAAGCACATAGCAAGATGCGAAGATGTCCTCGACGAGGATGAGGACATCATTGATAGTGAAGCAGAGGCGAGTAAGCACCCGAGAGTAGAAATGAAACAAGATGGTGTTTGACATCGCCCACCATCAAAACTTTTATCCTGCCAGAAACGTCATCGTCAGGTAACCATCCTGGAGACTGACTGGTATTTCTGGCATTGAGGTCGACGAGGGGCCCAAGCCCCCGCCACCACAAATCCCATTTTAATGTCCCAATTTTTGAAGAAAACCAACGTGCAGAAACAGCATCAAGACAGAGAGAAACAAACAGGAAACACACATAACACAACATGAAATCAGGTTGAACCATCGACTGCTGTTCAAGCCCTGCTCTGAGCCAGGGCCTTCCAGTACTCTTCACGCTGCTGGGCCTCTTCCAAGGACTTCTCGAGCTCGCGGATGCGACGCTCCATGTCATCATGGCGCTCAAGCTTGCGAGCACGAGACTTACGAGCAGCCTCAGTGTTACGAGCGCGCTTCAATGCCACGGGATCGCTGCCGTCGTACTTAATGGGGGGCAATGGCTTCCGTTGGCGGGCGTTGACACCAGCGACGATCGAGTGCTTGGTACCGGACTTGTTGCTTGGCGCAGGCGAGGGAGCCGGAGAAGTGGACTTGCGAATCACAGGGGACGGAGGCACCACGGCCTCGGCCGCGGGCTCAACCTTCTGCTGAGTGAGAGCCAACGCAACGTCCAGAGCCGCCGAATCGAAGGCGACAGGGAAGGCATCCTGAGGAGGGAAGAGTGAATCCCACTCTTCATGGCCGGGGTTCAACTCCATATCCGCAGGGAACATGGGAGAAGTATCCTGGCTGAAGTAACCGGGGGACTCGAAGGAAGGAGTGCTGAGATCAGTGAACGAAGTTGACGGGGGAGCCGACGCATCCATGAACAGATCCTTGGGAGAGATGGTGCCCGAAGGGGCACCTGCCATCGAGTCCTTGACGGCCAGGAGGCCGGTGGGAATCTGGTGGGGAGAGAGCATGGTGGGTTCGGTGGAGAAATCGAAATCTTCCCCGAAGTGATTCGAGGGCAGATCGAAGAAATCAGGCATATCTGCAAGGGCATTAGACGAGAATGGCTTGGTTGCGTGGAACAATATCCTTGACTCACCCTGAGCGACGTTGGGGGTCGACATGATGCGGCGGTAATAAAACTGTTGCAACTGCTGAAGCTGTTTCTGATTGTATTGGGGACTGACGTTGGTTGCTGAAAACAATGGGACGGGAGGACGACTGGGATTTGGAGAATTCGAAGGCACAGACGCGGCGTGGAGACGCTGGAGGTGCACCCGGCTGGAGGGACTAGACCGAAGAGACGTAGACAGAGGATACCCGGTAGACTGCGGATGGAGCCTGGTCACACGAGGAACCTGGACGGGGGAACCCGAGAGTTTCTGTTGCTGAAGATGCTGGTAGAGACTGAGCGAGTGCCGTCTGGGCTGGTACTGTGATCGGACCAGGTAGGGATGATATGAAGCAGATCTAGGGGTTGTACTCGGAAGTACAGGTGTACGCGAGTCTCTCAGACGAGGCTGTGGACACGGGGCGGCTGGAAAGAGCACAAAGTCCTCCGGCAGGGAGTTGACGCTGTTGTTGTTGTCGTCGTTGGATTGCGAATTCTGATTCTGAGCCAAAGGCTGCTGGGGCGGGGGCGAGGGGAGCCATGATTGCTGCTGGTTATCCGTGGTGAACGACGTTAAGTCGAACGGGAGAATATTGTTCAAGGAAGAACTTGAGCGACGCGAAGCGATGCAAAAGTTCAGAGGTCCTGGGACAGGAGACTCTGAGGTTGTGGGAGGGGAGATGGTGGAAAGTGACGAAGTCCGTAAAGGATCTATGATGTCTGTCTCAGTGGAGAAAGACGAGCTCTGTCCGGAAGAGGAGCTTAAAAGGCAGCCATTTTGCAATGGATACTGGAATTGATGCTCTGTGGAAATTTGTGGTTGTATGGTGGATGATTTTTTCGGGTAGATGTGAAGAATGGAAGAAAAGAAGATGGGGATGAGAAGAGAGAGAGAAAAAAAAAAGAGGGAGAGAGAAGAAGCGCCAGGCAGCGACGGGGGAAATCAGGCACTTCTTAAAACCCTCGAGTGGGTTGTTGGCCGTTTTGCGTTTTCTGCGCTTTAGGTGTCTGTGTGCGCCGTGCGCCCACCGCTAGCCAATCAGTCTGAGGCTCAACTCCACTCTAACCGCTAGCCCAGTCGGGCTAGGCTGCCTTGATGCGGTCAGCAGGTGTGAGTCATAGGACCATGGATCAAGGCTATTGGCTATCCAGCCCTCCCCGTGGGTGGGCCCCAGGCATACTTCGTTTTGGTGCAGGTACTTTCCTGGTACCTGTCAGCGGCAGGAGAACGCCTACAATCCAGAAGTCACGGAGAGGTTTAGGTTGCAATCGATGATGAAGTTGTCGATCTCAGGAAATCAATTATGTGATCCACTCCAGACAACAATTGACCACGCTGCGATGGTTGATGCGATGTTTTGCATCGAGTAGCATACAGTAGTCACTTCCCAACTATCTACCTTGGTGGACTTCGAAGGATGGACTAGATTTAGTCTCTACGGATTTGTCTTTCGGTACCTGGAACCTGGACAAGGTACTCCGTATCTACTCCGTACTCCGTCCAGACTACTAACCTAGGTACCTACCTACAGATCCCCGCTGGCGACCCCTCCATTGTCCAATAGTAATCATCGTGCAAAAAGCAAGATCGCAAGACGGACGGAGTAGGAGTAAGCAATCTCAGATTTGCCCAGGCATCAATTCCAATTCCACACATGCAAGGGGAAGGAACAGTCAACAAGCACCCAGGATTCAAGCCGATCCCCATCACAGCCTCTCTCGGCTTGTCCCATTTGACACCAAGCTGTGCGGCGTTTCGTGTCTCGCGATATCCAGTCAATTTCCTGTTCGGCTCGCCGGGGTAGCCTAACTTCGTACTTGGTTAGTGCCATCACCGTCACAAGGGAAGGGGGCTGAGTTGCGCATGCCCTGTGCTGTGCTGTGCCCACTTCTCAGTCGTCAGAATCAACTAGCCTATGGAGGATGATGCAGCAGACTGCAGCCTGAGGTGGGAGCCTCAAAATGTCTCAGCAGGGAGAAAATCAGCGATAACGAACGAGCCAATCCCGTCCTCGATCAGGGCCAGACAGGGCAGCATGAATGATTCCTGCTCAACTCGTTGCTCATCACAGTTGATGTGTTCAATATCTCGGTAATAGTTATACGGAATAATAGCAACAATTATAATAAGAATATATCCAGGTCACTCTGTACTTCGTCGACTGAAGAAAATTGGATTGAATTTCGCACTTTCCAAATTCTCTCCCCGCCGGTGGTTTCCTCCCCTGTTAGGCTGTTTCCTTTCCCCCCCTTGCCCGAGTCGATGCCTGTTTGGGCGTTGGTGTGGTCAAAGGGCGTGGAAATCACCGGGCGTTCCTCGTTTTCAAAAACTCTATCAGGTTCCCGCGCACAGTCCGTTGATTTCAGAATTATTAATCCCAGGACGGAGTGACTTCCAGTCTTCCAGAACACAGCAAGGAAGATAGATAGGTGCCTTGAGTTCTCAGCATGCAAATACGGATACGGGTGTCTCTTCTCCTGATTCACTCGAAAGGACAGAGTGTCAAAATTCCAGGAAATAAGAATGATAATCATAAGGACATACAAAATCAATAATCGCTGAAGTGAGGGAGGTAAGACCGAGGAAATAGTAATGTCCGAACTCCGAGTTCCAGACACTGTCAGTCGGATAGATTATTCTCTAGTCTCTGACCAAGTCTCTAGTAGTCCAAACTCCAAAATCCAAACCCTGAATTTTGAAACTCCCATTTCATTCCATTATTATTATTATTATTATTATTTCAAAGGGGAACGTCAACGAGCCAAACCCCGAACCCCGTACATGAACCTTCGGGTCCTTCCTGCCGAGAATCCCCGTAGAATTCGGCGAAACTCGCCAGATCGTCCGTCACCTGGCCCATGAAACCTGCTCTGCGGGATGAGAGGTCGGACTCTGCTGAAGACTCTGGAGAAGGTACCACCTAAAAAGTCAATAATGCTTGATATGCTGAATGATTCCTCTTGAGAAAATGCCTCCGTTGCTGATGTCATGCGGAGGAATGTCAATGGGATGCAATCGAGTTGGAATAACTTCCAATGTTCTCGATAGATGCCACGAGACACAGAGTAGGAGTAGGGAGATACGTATATAAAGAACAACGCATTATTGATTCAATTAGCTATTATTATGATGCTGTGCGCAAGTATACAGGACGCACGCGCTCCATGACAACAATCAACACTCGCCTTCAAATTACAGCCGGAAGAGATCCAACGGCCAAAAAGGAACACCCCTCCCTCCCGTTCGGGTATCACGACAAAAGCAGCAAACTAGCGATCACAGATCATCCAAATGACGCACAAAACAAGACAGCAAGTGGTATCAATCTAGTTGCACGGCGCAAAACATAAAAACACACGCAAGCGCGGGGATTGGGTATACCTGCGTGAGGGGGATATCATCAAGCAACGAAATGCACTCAAGACGTCAATGCCGGGGAGAAATAAGTCCACCAGAGCAACATGTGGGTATCATTGACACTCGGCTCGGCCAATCCTCACCAGCGCCAAAGTAAAAGGCGTAGCGAGGTGACCGAGGGAGTGCCTGCGGAAAGGGTATAGAATGATTAAAAGAAAGTAAAGAATAATCAAGCAGAACCGAACAACATTCACCAATCTTTTTTTTTTCTGTTTTTCGCTTTTTGGGGGGGGGGCAATTTTTTTTTATTTTTCTTAATGTTTCTTTTCCGTTTTCCGTCATGCCAATGATTCAACATGATGCAGAGGCGTTGGGACGCGCATAGCCCTGATCCCACCATTTCTCAAACTCGACAACACGTCTTCGAGGTTGAGCACTTCATGCAGCAGCCTGGACGGGAGTCGAGGTGGAGGTAACAGTCACGGGCTTGGCCTCCTCGGTAGCAGGAGCCCCGGCGGGCTTGGGGGTCTCCTCGACGGGAGCCTCGGCGGGAACCTCCTGGGTAGCAGCCTCGGTCTTTTCCTCGGTATCCTTGGTGGCAGGGGCCTCCTTGTTATCAAGCTTCACAGCCTTGCTGGGCTTACGGAACAGACCACCGAGCTTGTTGCCCTTGTGCTTGGCCTCAACATCCTCGTTGTCCGAGTCACCCTTCTTCTTACCGAAGTTGCCGAAGAACGAGGTGCGACGCTTGTCCTTGACGGCAGAGGGAGTCTCAACAACGGCGGGCTGAGCAGCAGCAGCGGTGTCCTTGGGGGCTTCGACATCGGCGGCAGCGGTCACGGCTTCAGGCTCAATAGGCTTGACGGCAGCCTCCTCGACGGGGTTGTCCAGCTGAGGAGCAGTGCTGGAAACGGCGGCGGTCTCAACAGGGGCAGCCACAACCTCCTTCTCGGACTTCTCATGGGAAGGGCTGGTCACCTTCTGGAAGAAGTTACCGAACAGAGAGGAGCGCTTGGACCTGGGGGCAGGACTCTCGGCCTTCTTCTCCTCCTTCTCTTCCTTCTTCTGCTCAGTCTCCTCCTTCGTACCGGCGGCCTCAACAGGAGCAGCAGCTTCGCGACAGTCAGTCACTCACTCAACTTGAATCACCCAAGGGGTCTAATGAGAACTTACCCTCCACAACCTCAGTAGCGACAGGCGCCTCAACGGCAGCCTCGGGGGTAGGCTCGGCAACGGCCTCAGCGGGCTTGGCCTCCTCAACCTTCTCCTCCTCCTTCTTCTCCTCGGTCTCTTCCTTCTTGCCGAGCAGAGAACCGAAAATGCTGGCCCGCTTGCGGGACTGAGAGCGGCTCTTGGCATGGGCCTTGTCCTTGACTTCCTTAGTCTCCTTGGGCTCCTCGACGGCGGCAACCTCCTCCTTCTTGGGCTCCTCCTTGGCCTCAACGGGCTTCTTCGCGACCTCGGGGACGACAGGCTTGGCTAATACGCATATTAGAAATATACTCAGACACACGAAACGCAACGATTGACTTACTCAGCTTCTCGAGCTCGGCCTTGTATCCCTCGCTGGCGGTGATGACATCCTTCTCAACCTTGGCCTCGGCAGCCTTGGCCTCAAGGGCGACGATCCAGCTGTCACGCTCGGCAGCGTTTGCGGCCTGGAAGGTGTGCTTCTGGCCGTTGACCTTGAAGTGGAACTCGTTAGAGCCCTCCTTAGTGATGTCGGAGACCTCAGCCTGTAATTTCAAAAATTAGTCCTTTGAACAGTGGTACATGCGCATCAACAATGATCCCTGCTCACCAGGTTGAAGATGCCGGCGGGGGTAGCCTTGTCCTCGGCGCGCTTGGTCAGGAACAGAAGGCCCTTGCCGGTTTGAGTAGCCCAGGCGACAATGGGGTGAGCAACAGCAGGCTTCTCATTCTGCTGGAAGACGGACAGTTGCTTGGCCTCAACGGCCTCATCGCTGAAGTAGAAGAAACGCTTGGAGAAACGGAGACCCCTAAACAGAAGGAAATCCTTGTCAGTGCTTGTCCTAGGTCACACACACACGGCGCGCAAAGCTCGCGCAAGTCCGAACAGTGAGTGGCGCTTACTTGACCAGGCCGTGGCCCTTGTGTCCGAGCACACCCTCGGTGGCGGGAGCGATTTCCTCTTTGGTCTCTTCCTTGGCCTCTTCCTTGGGCTGTTCGGTGGCAGCCTCAGTGGTGGCCTCCGTCACAGCGGGAGCGGCCTCGGTGCTCTCAACGGGAGTTTCCTTGGGGGCCTCAGCAACAACGGGGGCCTCGGTGGCAGGAGCCTCAGTTGCGACAGGAGCTTCGGCGACAGGAGCCACAGCAGGAACGGCCGCGGGGATCTCCTCAACAGTCTTCTGAACCTCAGACATGGCGATAAGTGTTGATTACAAAGGTAATTATGAAAGTAGGGGTATTGATTAAATAGCGGTTAAAGAAGCTGTAGCGCTTCGGGAATATAAGTAGAGGATGGGGTATCTCAAGGGGGGGTATCTCAACAGAAAGGAAACAAGAGCTCTCTAAGCGCAAGGCGAAGAACAGCTCGGGTATCACAAGGAAGGGTAAAAGGGTTCGAGCGAAACGAACAAGAAGCGTGAAAGCCTTCGTTATTAGGAATGGAATGAAGAAGAGAGAAGGAGAGAGAGAGAGAGAGAGAGAGAGAGAAGAGGAAGAGGAAGAGGAAGAAAGAAGAAAGAAAGGGAGGGAGGCAAAAAAAAAAATAAAATAAAATAAAAAAAAGAAGGAGCAGGGGTTGAAAGGAGGGAGGGGGGTGGTGTGTGTGAGTGGATACAGGCTGGGTTGATGGCGCATCAGCCCAGAAGGGCAATGAGCTGCAGGGCGAAACTCCTCACTATGACCCGACTTGGTCTAGCTAGAGATGTAGTATGGTTATTAAGTGCTACTTCGGGTGAAATTTCTTGTTTGTCTGGGACGTCTCAAGGATGCAGAGTAACAAAGTAGTGTACGGAGTATATAGAGCAAGAGTTAGGAGCTTAGGGGTGGCTCCATATAGCCTAATTTGTATACAGATTGCTCCGTACAGTAGTCCAAGCTGTGGGCAGACCCATGGGACGGAGATTAGGTAAACATGAAATATATTGACTTTTTATATAATAACAACCTCCAGGCATATGAGATTGAACTTGTTACAATGAGTAAGAGTAAGGAACCTGTAGCTATTCTGTTCAACAGTGGACAGAAATTTGCACTCATTATGATTTGAGTTAAGGCTAAAAGTTCAGTGCTGGAACTGCTTTCTCCAAGAGGCAGCAGCTAGCCTAAGTATCATTAGTGTTGAGTGTTGACAAAACAATCAAGATAACAAACAGGCTAGGTGAGGACTAACCGACTAAGGAGTAAGGACAGTTAAAACAAAACAAGGTTAAAAAATTTTCACACTCTCCTTTTCCTCCACCATGATCGCACTCGATAACATCTACTAATATAATGAAAAAGGAGGAATGAAACATTAGTTGTTGTTGACTCGCTTGATACTAAAGGAGCACTACTATGACAGCTAGTTCCTTCAGACTACTGGGATAGTCAAGACCTCCCAGGAGCTCCCCTACCGGCCATGCAGATTAACGGCTCTAGGCCTTGCGTAGTAGTTAGGAGCGGACCCATTCCGAGCTAGCTAATTGTCCCTAAAATTTCGGGTCGATTCCAACTTAATTTTGGGCGTTTTTAGTGTCCTGCGATGATGCACCATTTGTCCTCCATTGGTTTATTAGTAGTTGAATTCTGGAGGATAAGTGTTTGAGGATGACTGGAGTAGATATCCTGTACAGGGCCTCAAATGTATCTTCTATCGTATCAATTTTCAAAGCTCAAAAATTTACCTGTCCCAATTGTTGTTGACGGTTGTTGGTAATATTATTATTATTACTATGACGAGATTTGGAGAATCCATGTCACCTGGCCCCATCATGGCTGTCTGCCTGTGTGGAACGCCCACCACTGGATTCTTTCTGATCCATGGGTCTCTCAGATCGTCTGTCGGGCTGGTGTTACACTAACTTCGTAGAAATCATATGGTTTTCGGAGTCTGTTGTCCTTCTTTATCTAGGCCACTTCTTCCAAGTTCCAACTTCCACTACGTATCTTTATTATTGCCAGTAAAAAAGTCGGGGCATCTGGCATCTTGAGCATCGTTCGATCAACATCAAACCTGCAGCTGCAGAGTCTGCAATTACAGTATCACAGACAGCCTCCCCCCCTGACACGCTGACACATACTTCCTGCGTTCTGAGGGTCCCAGTTCTCCCTGGCTTTAAAAAAAAAAAAAAGGGGGGGGGGGGTCGGTCCAACGTCGTGTACGGAGTACAGCCAAGCGCCCTTCAATTTTCGCCAGACCAAAAAAAAGTTTGTCTTTCCGAGTGAACGAGAAACAGTACCAGCAGATCAGCAGCAAACTGAAACCCTTCCTTACGACTCACCTGATTCAAGGAGGCGCTTAATTTCGCGCCACTCTATCTACTACTACTACTCTGTAGATATCTGATTGGAAGTCTGGAAGAGACCAGAATCGCGGTTTCTCTATCTAACAGTATCTACCAAACGCCATGGTTGGACAACTGGAATGTTCGATGGAGTAATTCTCTATCCTCCTTAGCTTGACTCCAATCATCGAGTGACGTACAGAGGAGACTACTAGAGTACAGGAGGCAAAAGTGGCCTTTGGAATGAGCTTCTGTATCAGGCTTCCAGCAGGATAGACTAATAATGAAAGACAAAAAAAGATTCAAACAACCAACTACTGGATTCAATGGATGTCCACGCGACTCCAGGCCCCGTGACTCTTCTGCTGTGATCTCCGCGAATTGACCAACCAAAACACAGACAGACCCTCCATTGCATCTGTCACGACATGGGCATTCGACCAAGCAGACAAGCACATGCCTGCTGGTGGAGGGTCACTTCCTGTCAAAAATGGGTAGATTATTAGTAGATAACTGGATGGATAGATCATAAGCACAAGGTCAAGGGGGAGAGGGGGGGGGGGGGGGGGGCTGCCGAAGTTTGAACGTGTGCTTTGTCTACGGAGTACCTTTGGTGGCATTTCCCATGTTCTCCTGCATCCTGCATCTGAAGAGAATTCAACGAACACAAAGATAAGCAGGGAGAAAAAAAATAAAAAATAAAAAAATAAAAAAAGAGCACGACAACGAAAATGAAAATCTTGATACTACTACTAGAGTACTAGGTACTCTCCATCCACTAGTTTACACGAAGGATATAGGCGAGCGCCCCACTGCGCGACCCGCTCCCTACTCAATGGCCAGCCCTACTCGGACTAGCATGCTATGACTGAGATAAATGAAGTTGGACAATGTTAGTCGTTACAGAATAAATACGGAGTCGATTCTTCTGCCCTATTTAATATTAATATTAGGTATAATATTAGGTACCTATTAATTACTACACACAGCTAGGTAGGTATCTCAATCTCGAACAATCTTACGGAGTACTCCACAGATAGACAGACACAAGACTGATCTCAGCAAACGTCAGATCTATATCAACCTGAGTAAAAACATGGCCTAAACCCATCAAATATTCACGATTGACCTTCCACTCAATTCAAGGATAAACCCCCTTTTTCCAGGGGCAGTCTCCCACTCTCCATAAACTCGCACCCTGTTGGCACCGCTGGCCGTGGCAGCTGGTCCCCAATTTCCTGTCGAAGTACGGAGTACTCCGTAGTTGACTGGCCAATCATGCCACCGTCGATCCCGCACATCTGATGATCCGTTGTTAATCTTGCCTCGACTCTGTCTGTACCTAGGTATCTACTCCGGAGTACTTTCATTCTATTTAGGTAGTTAGTTATCTGCCTTGAGAAAAAAAAGTCTGGACGTAGTTGTCGGCTTGCAGTACGGAGTATTTCCATTCCTATTTCCATTCCCCCCTCCCCCCTAAATATACCTCGATGTGAAAGACAACGTAGTCTCGAGACTGAGAGAGTGGAGGAACAGACGGAGTTGACAGTTGTCAAGGTACTTGGGGTGGCTGGATCATGTGCATCTCGCGATGCATGGCATCATCTTGCATCAGCTTTCCCCCCCCCCCCCCCCCCCCAATCTTGACTCCCCGCAGCAACAGCAGCAGCAGCAGTAGCAACAGATGAAATGGCATCAGATTCGCGCTGGCATGGCATGGTGCATGCACGAGATGATGAAACCCTCATTCCTGCCATCTTGTCCAGGTAGGTTGAATTGACTGCACATGGCATGCACTACGCAGCTCTTCGGCCGACCCTGCGAGATACTAGGCTTACTACATGGACATAGCATCAGGAGACAAGACAGATGGATCTGGTTTGAATGATTCTAATGCAACTAGCCCCAGAAATGCTCTCAAGTAACCACCCAATGCATGATATGCAACGCCAATAATGGAAAGAAAAATAAAAATTCAAAGGTAGAGTGCAGTTACAGTACACTACAAAAGCCCAGATCACCACATTTACGCCGCCATCGTCAAGACATACCTAAAAGACCCAGATCAGTAAAATATCCAACAAGGGAACAAAAAAAAAAAAGTAACAGTACTTACGACGTGATGCTGTCCATCCTCTCGGTCGTCAACTTCAAGCTCACCGTCAACAGCTCCTGCGCAATATCCGGCTCTTGCGCCTTCAGCTCATGCCATTTCTCCAGGTTCAAGCACCATGTCACGCAATCCTGCTCGGCCTTGACCGTCGCGGTGCGAGGCGTCTCGCTGAAGAAGGGAAGCTCGCCGCACGGCCGTCCGGCCACGATGAGCTCAAAATACCGGCCCTGCGGCAGCTCGTACTCCGCCCGCAGCATGCCTGACTCAAGCAGATAGAACGCCTGAGGCATGTCGCCCTTCTGGAACAAGACAGTCCCCGCAGCGTAGCAGTTGCGAATGAAGTACGAGCACGCTCGGAACCAGAAATCCTCGTTCTGCGAGCTCAGCCCCTGAAATGTCTGCAGGAGAAGAGGGAGGGGTTGTCGCATCGCGGACCATGTGGCAGAAGTGGCAGCTGCTGTTTCGTCCTCCTGGAGAGTCGTCGTAGCTGCTTGCTGCAGATATAACCGACGAGGCGAGCCGACGATGCCGTCCGCCGACTGCAGCTGATGCTGTGACGCAGGCACTTCGAGATACTGTGAGGATCCGCTCCCCGCGCTATTTAGCGCCTCGCGATGGCTGTAGAATACCTTTAGATAATCGTTCTCACAGAATTCAAGAGCAGAGTTAAGGTCCTCAAAGATCTGAACGCCAGTCTCGCTCCCAAAGAGCCCGACATTCTGGAGGCCCCTCCCCACATCGCTTTCAACGTCGAGTCCCGAGATAGTCATCTGCACATGGCGTCTTCGAAGAATCCGGTTGATGCGTGTGAATGCTTCTGCTGCAGAGAAGTCTAGCCCGTAGACTCGAGAGAAGTCCAGGATGAGGAATCTGATAGGCCGCCGGTTGAAGGCTTCTTCCTCAATAAGCCCCCGCATCGTGCTCTCCACGTTCACAATCGTCCCGAAGAACAGATACCCAGCAAGCTTGATAATGAGCGTCTGCTGTCCAGCTTCATTCAAGAAGCGCTGCTGGATGGGAGGCCGTCTGACCGTGGAGCCTGTGATCTTGCCCGAGAAGGTGGCCCGAATCGCGGATTTCCGAGATGTCTGAACCACGAAACTCACGCAGGCCAGTAAAATCCCAACGAAGATACCGACCACAAAATCCCAAGCACCCATAGTGGCAACGATAATGACGACCTTGTCTGATCAGCTTGCGTCATCTAGGGATAAAAGCTGCGACTTACCGTCAAGTACTCAAGTCTATGCAACTTCCCCCACGTGTCAACAAGTGCTTCCTCCATGAGTTCAATTCCCAACATGAAGATCAAGGCGCCCACGACCATGACAGGAATATACCCCACTATCACAGGGCCTACAACAAGTATACCCATCGTAGCAAAGGCAAGCATAATACCCGCCAAGCGGGAGTTGCCTCCGCTTGCGATGAAAAGCAAGCTATTAGTATAAACAAGATAATTCTGGGAATTCGTTAGTAGATGGCCACTCCTGCTGCTGATGAAGAGAGCCATGTCCATACCTGAATGCTTCCTGTGAAGCCTGACAGCGCGTTGGTGACACCATGAGCGATGAGCTCACGGTCAACGTTCAGGTTGTCTTCCCCTGTGGAGATACCCAGAGCTGGAACATTGATTGGCACGTGAAGAACGCCGAAGAAGGTCAATGCGAACATTGCTGGGACCGTATCGGCAAAGGCAGACCAGTTAACGGCCGAGAAATCTGCGAGGCGTCAGCTAAATAGGTATAACTCTTGACTCCTAGTTCGGAGACACCTACCGTAGAGTGTATAGAAGTGGTACCACGGATTTGAGGACGATGGAGCGTCAAACACCCATCCACTCCGACGCAAGGTATCCATCGGTACTCTAGCACTGAACTTGACGACATAGAAGACCACAGCCACAGCGATGAAATAAGCACCGACCAGGAAATTAGACCGCACAAAGCGCTTTAGGACGAGAAAAGCAACCGCGAGGAAGAGTGGTATGGTCCAAAGAAGCACGGTATCCAGCTGAAAAAGCTTCTGCATGGTAGGTATATTATATTCAAGAGACCCCGACAACCGAGCAGATACTTCCACTCCAGTCTGTAGCAAGAAGAATCCTACACCACCAATGCAACCAATTAGGATATGCCGTGGAAAGAATCCAATGAGCGAGCCAAGCCTGCATGTCCCCATGAGGAAGAACACCAGCCCTGTAAGCACCGAACTGGTGGAGTAAGCAAGGATAGTGGTGGCGAGGACCGACTTTGGATTATCTTCGCCAACTCGAGCCAGAATCGTCATGGCCATCTGGTGAAAGAACGGGACGACCTCGATCATTTCACTTCCAATACCGCCACGAAAGATAGATCCTCCGCACGAGAAGACCAGCTGCGCAATGACTGTGCTGACGTAGAACATGGAGATTCCATCCGACCCGAGTTCGGAGAAGATAGGCTCTCCCAATGGGAAGAGAATCATTCCGTACGAAAGCGCATCCAGAATGTTGAGGAGGAGGCCAAGAAACACCGAGGGCAGCAGGCTGACTGGATAAACCACTCCCTGCCGCCATATTGCCCGCCGGTCCCAAGATTTGGGGTTCGCCAGCGTGCAGAACCCCCTTGTTAATACAAAGCGAGCGTTACCCGAGGCATTGACAGGCGGGCCGCGATGCCCCTGTACTTCCTGGCTTTCGATATCATTTGCGATTCCATACCCACTCAACGATTTAGACCGCGTCCTCCGACTCAATAGTGATGTTCGTTCGGTGTTGAATTCTTGGTTGTCTTCCAAATCCGACTCGGTATCGTCCATATTATTTCGGCCAAGGTCACGTCCACAGTGGTCAGACTGGTTCTCAGACGAGCTCGAAGAAGGACTGCGGATCATCTGTGTCAGAGCCGAGGAACCAGTGGCAGGGTGGATTGGCTCCGAATCATCAGGCGCCAGCTTGCCAGGAATCGCAGAGGCAGTCGATATTGAGAGCGATAGCGCGCCATCTGACTGTCGGGAGGACCTGAAAAGATCCAGGCTCGGCGGGAGAGCGGTTCGTTCTTGAGGGAGCGACAGCGCCAACGATGCTAGCTCGGCTGTCTGCTCTCTCAGGCCGTCAGACGAGTAGTGTGCCGGATCTAGACGGCAATCAGTTTAGTTACATGAGCAAGACTCGAAGACTGTTATTCTTCCTTCTTCCGTACCGGCAGGAGCGTTGAACGATCGGTGATAGAACGATCGCGTTGGGGTCCTGTAGCTCGATCCGCCATATAGCGATGGCTCCAGACCCTCAGGAGGACTGCCATGGTTGGCGCGCTCAATGGGTATCTCCGTCGCATTGGAGGCAGGACTGTGCACAAAGGATGCGCGACGGGGGAGCAGCCCTGACGCTCGGGAATCTTTGCGATCCCGCTGTCCGATGATACCCATCGTGAACCGTGACCCCCGTAGGGTCTTTCCCACAAAGGTTTCGTCACAAGAGATCAGCTAGATGAGACGAATGCGCAGAGGAGAAAATCGGACTGGCAAGCTCCGCTCTCGGGGACGGGACGGGCGTGTGGCACGGCGACGGGCCGGCCGAGAAAGAGGAGATGACGCAAGAATCAAGGCCACAGGAATAATCGGCGTCTCTCGAAGACGAGGAGATTGACGGAGAAGAAACGCACACAGATCCGATGCATGGGAGATAGAAGAGAGTGAGAGTAGAGAATCGTAATAATAAAAGTACAAAGATCCCAGTAATAATGGGATGGAAGTATCACTAAGAACAGAGAAGAGCCTAAGAGGAACTCTTTTGTTATCACCCGTGTGGGTTGACTAAAAAAGTCTTATCACCGGGCGGTTATCGTCGTCTCCGCTGGGTGGTGCGCCATACCGCATTCTGGCAGTCCCGGTGGATCTGGACTCTGGAGCGAAGACTGGGCTCTTCGGAATTGATTACCACTGCCAATTCGAATTGAGTAATGGGGAGAGATAGTCTAGCAGTAGCCATTGCCCTGCCTCCTGTTGGATACGGCGGCGACTACGAATTACATCTACGAGAATATGCAAGTGAAATTGATGTCCTGCTGGTGAGTGGACGACAGTGAAGGGTGATCAGGAGGCTGACAGCCTCGGCATGATGCGACAGAGTATCATCGTGATTGGCTTCAGCATGAGAAATAGCTGTGTCGATTTCAATGTCTAGTATATAAATGGGTATCATCAAGTCATAAACCATCATCGTCCCAACCTCATTCCGAGTCCGTATCAACTCAATCGCTCCAAGAAACCCTGCGCGATGAGTCGCTCCACGTCGCCCTGGCGAACGTAGAGCTGGCTGTTCGTGGTCAAATTGATAACCCTGTCGGCGTACAAGAATCAGCTGCCATCCCACAGCGCACTGCGCAAGCCCCTCCACGAGAAAGGGAAACCCAATGGGGCAGAAAAAGAGCATCAACATACCCATACTCCGTCTGAATCTCCCCCGCATCCTTCAACACCCGAACATCAATGAACAAGTCTTTCGGCGGCTCCAGACTCCCCGTCAGATCAATATCCGTCCACTGTCCCTTATACGCCGCAAGCATATCACTATACTGCCGAAAATACTCCTCCTCCTCCGGACTCAGCGAGCTATGGTTCCCGCTCTGCGAGCTCATCGGCCCATGCATGCCGCCCTCCTCGGCAGGCAGCTGCTGCTCCAGCACATCAACGCCATTCCAGCACAACTCCTCGAGTTTCTCCGTGCGCACGCGGTGGTACGCAAGGAGACAGCGCTTGTTGCGGCGCGTGCAGATGTGGTCGACCAGGAGGGCGCACGCGGTCGCCGGGTCCGCGGAGGGGTTGAAGCTGCCGCCGAAGGGTTCGAGGAGCCGCGCGACATCGCGGTCGAGGTCGCGCACTTCGCGCGCGACGGCCCGCACGAGCTCGGTCTGGTACGGCGGTAGGTGGATGAGCGATTGGGTACGTTTGGCGTGTTGGACCTGCGCGATTGCGATTTGGTGGTTAGTGGGTGCGGCGCGCGGGAGGACACACGCGGCGTACCAGTTTGTTTCCTAGCTCACCGTACATGATGAGGGATTATCGAGTAGATGGATCTTGAGAACAGTTTATGCCAAAACTTTTTTCAAAGGATTCTTGTTAGTTATCAGAGGTAAGCTTCGCTCTCGAGTGGTCATTTCTGAGCACGGGGCTTCGGTCCTTTGTCTGCTCAACTGATCGTCCCGATAAGTTTATTTATTCTGCCGTTCAAATCCGCTTTGTTGATCTTCAGAAAACGGCACGTGATTCTAGGAACAACCAGAGTCGTTCACCTTACGATCTTCGCCCTACCACAAGAAGCATAACGGAATTTAAGTCGGAATGATCAGCGCCGATTCAGTCTAAATCCCAATCCAAGGTCAAAATACAGGACAAGCCGCACCACAAAGCAGAGATCTGTCGATAACAGAGTAAAAACAGAGGACCGCCCATAAAACAGACCGCTCCGACATAGTAAGAGAAGGTATCAAAAGGTCGAGAAGGAGATAGAATAAGCAGAAAGATCCCAAGAATGTAGGAGAATACCCTGCCCCAACCCTAATGGATCCTGCGCCTGTGCAACTCCAGTCCCTGGATTTTCTCTTTTCAAGTGAATTGAATACAAAAGGCCACCCAAAAAAGAAAGAAAAGAAAAAAAAAAAGGCAGACGCAAATCACATAACATGCAGCATAAGTATGACGTGACCATCATCTTCTCATCGCAAATGATGACTATGACAAAAAGGAAATCTGCCTTGGGAATCAAACGATTCTTCTTCTATGCTGAATATCCCGATGCGTGAGGGTTGAGCCAATGTTCGAATTCGCCGCCAGATCCGTCAAGACCAGCCTCATGACTCGTGGGACCCCACACCTCACGACCGTCTCCCAGGCCATGATGGTAGGTGGTTCCATTCGGAAACGAAATGGCCAGCGGAGAGGTAACAGGGAGATAGCAGTTGTTTGTGGGAATTTCTTGCCAGACCGCATAATGGGAGTGGTTGTATGCTGGATTCGAGCTGGAGTCACTTTGGAAGGACAGCAACTGGGGATCCACTTGGCCGTTGTGTCCAATCGTCGAAGGAGGAAGAGTCGTTTGAGGCTGGAGTAGGTCATGGTGGGCTGCGCCAGGCAGCCCAGCCAGCGCGGTCGATGAAGTAAGTTGCAATTCCTCCAATCCAACATTCCTGAACCGGGCGTCCTCTACATGAGCACCCATGAGGCCGTGATGAAGTGGTTGTTGGAGATAGGCAGTCGATTTGGGGGGAGATAGCATGTCTTTGCTGGGATGGCTGGTGTGCCAGGATGAACTGTAGTATGTCGTTGTGGGCAGTCCGTGCTCGGGAAAGTCGAAGGGTGTCGAGTCACGGCTTTCCCATCCACTGCTGTCCAGCTCAGACGAGCTCATGGCGCGAACCTGGAGGAAAGCTGGGCTGGATTCGGACGTATGTCCGGCGCCATTCAGGGCCAACTGCTCATTCTCCGCGTCGGTTCGTTTTTTCTTATCCTTCGATGGAGAGAATTTATAGCCCGGGTGGGCCTTGAGATGATTCGATTTTTCGATGTTCGCAAGACGCTCGTACATCTCGCGAATCTGTGCTGGCTCGATCCTCCAGCTGTCGCCTGCCACCTCTGAGACGACCTGGTGATTGTTCTGTGCAAACCACTCCTTGGTCCGCTCGGCGTATGCAGACCGGTAGAGCATGAAGGAGTTCATGGGCCTCGCAACCTTACCATTCTTCTTAGCCACCTCCTGATGGCGCGCCTCTACTGGGCGATGTACCCAGCTCTCCATGTCCCTGACGGGAACATGTGTCATGTGCTTGGTGAGTTCACTCAATGGGCCGGGGAGCGAAGGCTTTGCATCGCGACTGCTCGCCTTCTTGGCTCTGCGTCGAAGTCTGGGGGTCTTGGCCACTCTCGTCTTTCCTGGAGAGCGCTTCAGTGTAGATGGAGACGGCCACCGAGGAGGAGTCGATTCAAGATTGCTCGGGACAATCCCATCATCTGCAGCAGGGGGTGGCGTGTTGACCTGAATGCCTGGAGCTAACATCTGCTTCTGATATTAATACCCATATAGCCGACTAGATCATATCACCAGATTGAGATGGAGCAAAGATACTTACCGAGTGTTGCATCGGTAGACTTCGTGAGTAATCGTGGTGGAGGTTATAATATGGCGGAGGAGAAGTCGCATAACCCTGTTCGATGATTAGTAGCTGCCACAATCTAGAAAAATGTGTCCATTCACTTACGATCGCTTGGGGTTTGAAGTCACTGTATGCAGCTTCGGCGCTACATGACAGGCTAGCAGCTCCAAGAGTGTGAGGGTGGCTATACATTGGGTTGAGCATGCCGCAGGGTTCAGAAGCGGGATCTCCATTTGTCGACTGAGGGGGTGAAGGAGGCTGAATAAACCTCGAAGGTACAGCTGCGGTGGCCATGTTGGAGAAAGGATTGAGCAATTGATGAAATAAAAGAGAGTAAGGAAGTTTGCGCCCTTACAACGCAGTGAAGGCGGCTGCAGAGCGCTCACGTCGCAACGAAAGATCGCTTGAGAGGGAACCCAGAACCCTCTCCTTTCTAGACTTTCGTGCAAAAGGTGAGACACCTGTCCAAGTATAAAGATGCACCTTTGACTGAGAGAAGTGCGGAAGACAGATTCGCGGGCCGAGAGGAGCGACAAGCGAGACAGTGAATGGAGAGTCAGGTTTCTCAATGAATAGGAGGAGGACACCTGAGGGGCAAATAGAGCATTTGAGGTTCCGATGATAGAATTGCTGCTCCACAGCAACGGAGACCCCGACAAGAGCAGTATCAAACGCAGAGGGGCAAATACAGCGATATGATGAACTAATATGAAGATGGCAATCGGAAGAGAGGAAAGGAGGGAGCAAGTTGGGAAAGGGTAGGTGGAAGAGAAGAGAACCAGAAAAAGAGAGAGGATGAAGGAGGGTATGAAGGATGTTTTATCAATGATATTGAGCAAAGAGAGGACTAAAGAGGCAAATGAGGATGCATCAACTGAATGATTGATTGATTGATCGATCAATGTATGGGGGAATGTGTGTGTGTGTAAGTGTGTGTGTGTTTGGATGAATGGGCTGGGGAACTTCAAGAGCCCCGTCGATCTTATTTAATATGATAATGAATATTTAATATTAATAGTTGATGTAATATGGTTCATCTGGAGGCGCATTATTGCAGACAGATACAGATAGAATAGATAGATAGACAGACAGACAGACAGACAGAGAGAGAGAATAAGAGGGAGACTCTCGAATAGTCAGTCATCTGTCAGGAACTTCTTCCACGGGCACCCAGTGGGCTGAGACCCTGACTCAATGGCGGTGTTGCTGGAAAAATACTCTGGCGTTGTCTTTGTTCCACTGTGCTGGGACGAAAGGAGACATGGATATGCCCATTATGACCGATTTCCTATTCTTTTCTGTGATATGCTGACTGGTTTAAGGCTTGAACTAGACTAGACGTCTGCTGGTGGAATTCCCGTCGTCCAGAGACTGTAAAGAATTGGAAATGAAAATTAAAATAAATTTTGAAAAAAAAATAAATAAATAAAACCAGAAAGATTGGTTGAAAAAACATGAAATAAAAATAAAACCAACAAATGAAAAAGAAATGGTAGACTAAACGATACAAAAAAACCCCATCGCTGCGCCCCCCCTTTGTGCCAAATCGGGATGCAGATGCGTTCATTGAAAGTGCTTCTAGATCTCCTTGTTACTGAATCAGTATGCGATTATACTATGGATAGATGGAACCCTCCGTGGATCCTTTTTTGACAGCAGAGTTGAATAAACAGCTTTAAAGAAGAGAGAGAGAGAGAAAATAGATAGGATGGCAGAAGAGTCAAAGAAGGACCAGACGCTTCTTTTCCCCCCCTCCCCTATAATCCTGTCAGTCAGTGGACTAGTTACCCGGCTCTCCAACGTTCAGGCACAGTCTCACAACGATTGAGAAGATCATCCTATGGCTCTAGCTTGCGAATTAGTAACCAATCTATAAGCAGGGAGTATACTACCAGTCTATCACAGGCATGGAATCAACTCCATCGTACTTTTATTTTTTTTGTTTTTTTTTTATCATTAGCTTCAGGAAGATTGACAGCAAGCCAATCTATCTATCCATCAGGGCCCAAGACCGGGAGAGGGGAAAAAAAAGCAATCCATCGCGAGATAGACAGTCACAGATGTCATCAGCACTTTTACTTTTACTGCAGTGTCAAACAAATAGTCAGTCCCCACCGTTTGGACCCATAGTACATAGATTAGCTATGCATTCTCATGCATGCTGGTACTATCCATCCTGGAATAGCCTGGACCAAATCTGTAATCCGTACATTTGCAGATTATGGGATATGGACTCCGTATCAATTGGAAGCTCCCTACTCGTCCTTATAGTGGTCAGGAACAAGGTGCCATGGAATGGAACTGCCTCCAAGACTACATGTCATTGGAGTAGGAGCACCATTTGTAATACCACGACGGGAATCTGGATACCTACCTACCTACTTGCCAGTTCAAACTTGAAGTGATGGTAGAGATATCATCAATCCATCGTTCTTCCATGGAACCACGCATTTTTCCACATGGGCCTTGGTCTCCCTCCAGACTGCGCAACCTAAGTCATATATACGTTAGGGTCGTTGTTCATCGGCCAGCCAGAACGATGGTCTTGATCCTCACCACGGAACCAGTAACACTAAGTCGACCCAAATTCCGAAGGGGGAGTTCGGAGCTTCAGTTCATCGTTCGGAGTCCGGTCCATCCTCTGTAAAATCTAAAACTCCTGCTCGTATCTGGTACTGGTACTGGTACTGGCACTGGCACTGAGTTTTGTGGAAATGGAGTTGCCGCTCTGTAGATACTCACCATACTCTGGAAAATAATATCTAATGATCATCTTGGTTCTCGGGTGTAAGCAGTTCCATGTACGGAAGATCCCCAAACTGGTCAGAGCTGTTGCGGGGGATCTGTAGTATCGTTGTATGAGCCTAAGGCCATTAATCTCACTTGGCGGCGTACTATCTACTCTGGACCTAGTCCTACTAGGTGCTGGGGAGTAAGAGACATGAACACTCTTACCCGCTGATTGGGGCATTTATCATTTTCCTTTTCCTTCTTTCTTTGCATAATGAGGCTGCCTTATGTTGCCCTTGTGTGAGTTACTGCAGTAGAACTACTAGAATCTCAATTTCATCGATCTTGTAGTACAACAATTACAATACGCCACCTGCTATCTGATTGGTGTTGATGCAGGCAGGCTAAAGTTACCCCTACAATACAGCCAGTGGTGACTAGGTCCAGCAGATCACTGGGTCGGATTAGCGCGGGCACCAACTGATGGCGTAAGAAAAGGGCAAGATAGAAGGCTAAAATACAAGTTTTTGATCTAGCCAGTACAGTACTGAAATCGGAATACGCATTAATACAGGCCAACCTCCTGCTTATCCATATCCACAATCTAAGCTACCTGTTAAGTTTAACCTCCCCAACTCCAGGGTCCACTCTCGCCTAATATGGGTGTACGGAGTTACGGAGTTCCGCATTGGTATTAATATGATATTATCATGATTATTAAAAACAGGAGATTATAGTTATACATGCCGTCACCCCGGTCAGGGGGTTCCTGATATTCGGTCTCATTTCAGTCACGTGTAAACTAGCTAGTTTGTGGCAAGGACGAATGCTAGGTAGAGGTAGTTACTTCTGTAGGTCAAGGGAAGAGAAAAATCCCTCGTACAAAAAGCCAGCTGCAAAGAGCGACTGATGACAATACCTCCTAGGCACTTTTCCAGACGGAATTTCTCCATGGATTGTTGACTTGATTTTTGATTGTGATGTGGTGCTACCAACAAATTGATACATCAAACCCTTTGCAGCTATTGGAACGTGCATCCCAAGAGCTAAGCATGCGGCTGTCATGTGCGTCAAGATGTCAACCATTAAGAACTAGGAAGCGGTGACCGGTTCATGGAGTGACGGTCACCACTCAGAGGCGACATTCGAGTCCTGCGTGATTTATCCATGTCTTTTGTGACGAAGCGCGGCAGACGCTTGCTTCACACTTTGCTCCATGCATCCTCAATTGATCCTTTCTTGTCAGTTGTCAAACTAGGCGAACTCCCTTCAAGTGGAGGCTTGCATGGTCATCCTAAATCTGCGGCTGTCAGATGGGCCGATGATAGGCTTTGATTTGGCCCCATATGGCTTGCGCAGGAACCACAACCGGCCCTGCATCAGTTCTTTGTTCAAGCTTAATCATTGGGAAAGGAGCCTCTGTCCTTTGAGAAGTACGTATCAGCCTCCTCTTTCCCCTACACATCAACAGAGTATGTTTCAACCTCATTGTCTGATCAGTCTCTTATGGCAAGATCAAGATGCGGCTTTGTTTCTTATTTTACTTCACCAGATGCCCATGCACCATTGTGAGGTGGCTATGAGTTTCATCAGAGATCTCAACCTCGAGGTTGAAAGCATTCGATATCGAAGCACCGAGTTTCAGAGCGGTCCATGACTCTTTGAGAGCGCTATGACCCCTTGACTCGACATTCAGCCCCGTTGGTGTCACCGTATGCAGGTCGTTGCGCAAAGCCCCCTCCAGAGTGGTAGAGGATTCGCGGCAGGGATTGTCTGGTAGGACAATTTCAACAACACCAAGCATTCGATGGGCTTCTGGAAGATCACTAGATCTGCGCCAAGAGGCGAGCCTTCCCAATTCCGTTGTGTAGGTACTGTTGAGGACAATAAGAGGCAAAGCCCGGGTGGTCTGGTGACAGCGGACATGTCCAACCGCCCGCCTCGACCATGCCTCCCATTCTACGCATCTTGGTTCGCAGTATTCGAAGGGCTACTGTGGTTTGTACCGCATCTAATCGGGAACGTCTAAGAATAATCTCGTTTCAGATTTGCAGGCTGCGCCTCTTACCCTGGCTTTCAGGTTATTTTTGACAGATATTTGTGAAAGCCAATGCTTCCGCCTTGAGGAGGTTGAGAAGGGAG